ATCTCTGATTGAACTTGGAAGACTCACATAAACCCGCTACTTTCCATCATTCATCACGCCCCATTCTTCTCTTATTACTAAGGCCGAAGCCCTTTCACGACTGTCAACGCCGCCTTGCAAGCCTGGACTTGTTATTACTCATAGCAGTAAGTTCTCCCTAAGCAGATCATACTTGCCTCATGATCGATACGCAGTAGCCGAGGATTCAGAAGCGTGGATGGTTACTGCAATACCAAGACCCGGTATCTGTTCGGCAAAGGCCTGTGAGTCAAGGTGGTGAGCCTGCAGGTCAATGATCTCCTGTGCTCTCACCGATTTCGGCCTCACCGTAAGATAGATTTCACACTGGGTTTCTCATCTCCCTGGGGAGTGACCGTCCCTTCATCCATCGTCAAGGCTTGGCTGCTCGGATGATCATTATTCACTGTCATTGTGCTATGTTTTCACAGATAGAGTTGCCGGGAATCGCTAACCACTCAGTTTTTCCAGTATTTGATCCTGAGGACGATTTCTGGACCATCTCATCCCATCTTTCTCAACTAGGCTATCTCCCAAACGACCAGGCAAATCAGAAGTACCGGACTGGGTTCGAACAATTTCTAGGACCGGCGTCTCGTTGGAGGAAAAGGAAACCACAGTGCCGAGGAGGCCGCCAAAAATATTGAATATGGGACTCGGTCAAGGAGCTGCTGAGCGGTCAAGGAGAAACCCTTCGATAAGTGGTGAACCTGAACCAAGACAAGACCCCGAAGCGCAGAGGAACGCACCACCTCAAAAGGACCAGGAAGGCACCAACACCGGATCATCCCAAGATTCGCCACGGGGATGTCACGCATCACCGGAGACCGCACCCTCAACTATACCACTAGAGATCGGAGCTAGCTCAGGTCTGTCCACACCAGTTGTTGCGTCACCAGCCGAAATCCTGATCAACAGGAACATCACGAGGACACCTCCGCAGGGATCCATTGACCCGCCCATAACGAAGAACACACTGAGCGAACTGGATGTGCAGAAAATTTTCCACAATCCCAAGCTGCGACACGACATCAACTTCGATCCTGACTTGCATTTCCGACCCAATGTTGAAGGCGAGAAGGGCAGGAAGAAGCAAGAGCGATCAGACTGTTTCTGGCAAACACTGAGGGACCAGCTCTCCGATTTTGTTGTGAACCGGGAAAAGTTCTATGCTCAGTTCGGCTATGGCGATCAGTGGTGCTTGCCTGTGCTATTGAAGACTATCAGGGATATTTTGCACACACTGGTGCCTCAGCGGGATCGTCAGTTCTTGGACGAAGGACTGAACGTGAGCCTGAAGATGCAGCAATTCCACAAGGGCGTTTTGGACTTGGATCAGTTGGCTTTGTGGTTGTCTGGTGTTTTGAAGTCTCACTGCGCTCCGATGCGTGATGAGGAAGTCGACACGATGTACAACTACATTAAAACGGGTAATCAGACCGGTGATTTGGACCAGTTGGTTCTGGGTATGAGGGAGCTTTTGAGTGTGCTGGAGCACATGAAACTCGACGTGGCCAACCACCAGATTCGCTGTCTGCGGCCAGCCCTGATCGATGACACTATCCACTTCGAGCAAAAGTACTTTTGCAAGAGACTTCAGTCCGGAAAACTCGACACTCGAGAATCGATTATGTGGTATAGGAACGCACAGAGACTTTACTCGAATGGTCCATCTGATTTAAATCAAGGGTTCGGCGAGATGCACGTTCTTTTCGAAGGTCTATCTCGATTGGTACTGCCCTCCGCTGCTCGACAAAAGATCCCTGAGACTTTCCAACATGACCATGAGAGAATTCTCAAACTCCGAGCCGACATCCTGGATGTAATCAACTTGGATATCTGCATGCGACTGTACGAGGATCTGGAAAAGCTTGGTCGGTTGACCTCAACTGCTCAGTTCCAATCCTACAATGATGCCTCATCGTCGCGAGCATCATCGCGGGTTCCGAGCGGCGAGTTCAGCTTCACTGCCTCTTTACCTGGATCACGCCCTTCGAGCCTTGCCTTCAGCTCCCCCGGATCTGCAACATCATCGCCCCGATCTTCTCTCGCCCTGCCTTCCTATGTTGCCCCAGACCACCATGAGTCTAGAGTAAAGAGGCAGAATCTCTTCCAGTCTTTGGTCGCCCTACTTCAACAAGCACCACATGCAGCAAACCAGGCGGCAAGATGGCAGGCTATTGCTCCATCAATGGCCCTCCAAATATTCCGCTACACCAATGCCCCGTCTGGTATGCTCCCCGTGTTCGAGGAGAAGTTGATGAACACATTGTGCAGGCCAGACTCGCAGATGTACTGTGAAATGGAGCAGAAATTCCAACAGAGGCTCTTGGCTGAACTCTGCAACAGAGTGCGTGAGTTCAAGGGACTGTCTGGAGTCAGTCTGTACTCGGCCGCAACAGAAGCTCGCAACATGCCCAACAACCGATTGTTTGATCATGATGATGAAGCTGGAATCGAGGACATGGCCACTCGCCTGGCACATGTTGGCATCCTCCATTGGAGGGTGTGGGCTCCCCTAGTCTACGTCGAGGACGTCGACGAGCCAATGACCTAATCCTACCCAAGAGGCAACATATGGATACAAAACAACGCAGGCGCTGCTGGAGCAGCCTGAAACCGAGGCCTGGGGATGTTGACATCTTGATTGGTCGTCTGGACTCGACATGAAGCCTTGAGTTTTTGTTTAACACTTACTATTTCCCGGTCTTCGCAGACCAATTTCTTACCACCAAATCCTCACGATTCCTCGTCTGGATACCATCGATTCGGTGGGCGCTATTTTCTTGATAATCTCGATCACTCATATTGCATTTACATTTACACGGTTGGCGTTTCAAAGAGGACTTCTACCACTAGACTGGCTGAACTGGGAAGGGAGATATCCGGTACTTGCATCTGGCTGAACACTGTTCATTCCCCCATTTCCTGCTTTTGTTCAACAGCCATAATCGCATTTCTTCGATTTTTGGGATTGCTGTCATTCGTTGCCGACCTGCACAAGGTGGCTATACTGCATTTACTGCGCAATGCAAGCGGAGTCGGTTGTACCTGCATTTCTCGCACAAACTGCATTTCATGACCTAGCTTTTTGTTTTCTGTCTTTCGTTTTCTATAATACGGCGTGGCGCGAGCTTGGCATCGGATGAAGAGCATCACGTGTTTTTTCATGGTTCTTGAACTGGCTTCAAGCTGGGTGGAAATTTGAAGCGAACCAACTACATAGAGAAAGAAGTGCGCGTTGCTGTACATAATATCTTGGTGAGAGAAGGAAGAGAGAGGAAGTACTTGCATGATCAGACAAGGTTTTCGATTTGCTGAATTGACGTATTTTCAATGAAAAAATGATCCGTGCCTGTGATTTGAGTTTGCTGCCTGGGATTTCATGCCACGAATTACTGCCACATATGTGGTGAAAAAACAACAAACTTCATCGCATGCGAAACTTTCTTGGTCTATTTTGTCAAAGCACAGTCATGTGGTGTGGCAACTGGGTTTGCGAGCAAGCCGGCAGGCTGTTTAACTTCCAACATCATCTGAACTGGAATGGGCCAGTTTCTCACTCAGCCCCCCGGGGATCGACTCCATTCATCCGCCTACTCAGGCTCACACCCCTCTGCCGCTTTTCTCCTGCATGTCAGAAGAACCAATGTCGTTGTCTGTATTTGTCACAGAGGCGTTCTTTCCAGAACCCAGATGCCCACCGCGTCTGTTTCAGAAACAACAGACACTCTCCATCAGCCCAGAGCCGAGCTGGTACTAACATATCCGATTGCTATGGCTTTGGCGGAAAACGCGGCCGCGGCAACTTAGACTTTGTTCGCGAATGTTTCCCCCGACAGTCCCCCTAAGCGACATGTTGCCGGGAAAAGAAAATTCCCAAGTTCATGAGAGCTCGGCCGACAAACATGCTGGGTTGGGGGTGATATCACCACCCTTACTCGGATTATAGAGTCCTTACGTTAGCCTTTCGTCTGACGTGGAAACATGATACGCTGAGATAAGTGGTGTTTTGTACTTCGGTATGATGCGGCAAGAGTATTGAGGGCCGATCATGTGAGTTTATTCTTATGTTTGTTGGATACTTGTTCTGGTGGTTGTTGTTTCCCAATCTGGGAATGCCTTCATGCAGCCCGTCACTTAAAGATTTCACAGCTTTCATGTGAGGCTGAGGGCTAAGTGCAGGTCGTATTTTCATGTTGCTGACTGTCGGCCGGCACTTGAGCTCGGGCGTCTTGCCGTCGAACCTGACCGAATGGGCTGAAGCATGCGGTGATAAAGAGGGAATACGTCCTCCAACCGGCTGTATTCCCGGTTCTTGGTATTGTAGTGGCGTCAATCACCATGTCACGTTCTCATGCCCCATCGTCTGGTTTCGTTCTGTCTATTTGTATTTTGCATTCCAGTCGTTATGCTCGCTCTATCTTCACCAGTGTGTGCCTAGCCTCATGTCGGCTGATGATACTAACAGCTTGTCCAAATCCCATTGCAAAGAGAAAACGGACGCTTGTTGTATAAAATCTAGAAGAGAACAGAAAGACGAAACCCGAAGTGAGAAATAATGCTCGTTCATACCACGCGGCATCATTCAAGATGCAAGAAAAATGAATAGGTACACTATGCCCCCTTAATCTCGCTAGAGGAAGGTAATAGAAGAAACATGATGGTAGAAGTACATGTGCAATCCGGCCTGTTGAACACCGCTCAGTCGCATAGCTTGATCCTGAGACCGGAGCCAAGTAGAGAAATGACGCCAAAGTGCTGAAGGAACCACTCGTTGATGTATATAATAATGGACAGAACCAATATAGATGAGACAAGAGAAGCAAATAAAAACAATAATATAGAACTCCCACCGTTTTTATATCTTCGTTGCGCCGGATTCTGCGTATATTCTCGCGATAAGTCGTATGGGAAATCATGACTGAGTCAAAACGTGAAAAAAAGATGGCCGAGTACAGAGCTCATCTCATCTCAGTTCGTTATCGAGGACTGAGGGGACTCTTGCCTGGGCCTTGAGCTCGTTTTAATTTTGACAATTCCTCTTCCAGCTTGCGGATCTTTGCGCGTTCCTCCTATTGTACCAAATCAAGTTAGTCAATGGCCAGTTATGTGAGTGTGAGATCTCCGATTGAATCTTACCTTGATATCTTCCTGGAACTTCTTCCTCTCCTCACGCATTGTGGCTCTGAACTTCTCACTGAGCATCGATGCACCGGCACCTGGTCGGGCAGATGCGTCTCCCCGGCTGGCTTTCAGTCTCTCGCCATCAAGTTCATCCTGAAGCTGTGCAAGCTTATCGGTAGATTTCTGAAGCTCGACATCCAGCCTCTCCCGCAGATTGGATAGGTCTGTTTCCAGTGACATTCTGACGGAGATGGCTTCGTCCAACTTGCCTTCCAATTCCGTCTTCTCTCTTTCGGACCCAATCGTCTCCTTGGTCACCTCCTCGAGTTCCTTGACGGTCTCCGCCAGTTCTGATTTGAGCTTCTTGACTTGGGCTTCGAGCTTATCGATCTGGCCGTTCGCCCTGACGGCTGCCACATCAGCTGCTCGCTCAGCTCGCGTTCCGTAAGCGCCATCTAGCTCAGCGCGGGCAATCGTGACCTCGGTCTTCAGCTCCACATATGACATATTGAGCATGTCGAACTCTTCCTCCTTCTCCTTGAGAGCCTTGTCTTTTTTCTTGATCTCCTCTTCCTTATGCTTCACTGCTTCCTGTGCTTGTTTTGCTTCATTGTATGCTTGCTCTGCTTCCTCTTGAGCCTTCTCCACCTCTTCATGTGCCTTCTCTGCCTCTTCCTGCGCCTGCTCTGCCTCTTCCAGCGCTTGCCGAGCTTCGTCTTGTGCTTGAGCAATTTCCTGCTGTGCTTGCGCAACCATCTCCTGCGCCTTTGCAATCTCCTCCTGCTTCTGCCTCAGCTCCTGCTGCAAGTGCTCAGACTTGGCATGGGACTGGGCAGCTGCCTCCGTAGCATCATCCAGGGCTTCACTTAGCGTGGTGATGGACGAGTCAACCTGTACCAACCGCTGCTGAGTAGCCTGGCTATCAGCCTCAGATTCGGCAAGGCTCTGCTGCAACTCTTTGAGTTTGGCTTCCAACGCTTCAGTCCTGGCAGCCCGCTCCTTGAGCTCAGCTTGCGCATCCCCAGCACCGCGTGATGTATCCCGAGCCTGCTCGAGCTCTTCCAAAGCCTCCGAAAGCATCTGCTGAGCATCCATGGCGTCCTTCTCAGCCCGGGAAATGAGGATATGGCTTTGATCAAGCTCCTCCTGCTTCTGGGCAAGCTCGGCATCCTTCTCAGCATCGGACTTGTTGTTGAGCTCGCGTTGCTGCTTGATCTGTCTCTTGAGCACCGACTTCTGATCCTTAAGCACAGTCGCCTGCCGGTAGAGCCAGCGTACCCTGGACGAAAAGCCAAACAGCGTGTATGATTCCGATAAATCGATACCTTCGTCATCTGAGATGTCCTCGTCATCCTCCAAGCCTTTGTCCGCCCTCGCTCTTCGTCGGTCCTCCTGTCGCTTTCGAATGTCGGTGTATCCATTATGAATCATGTTCCATAGCTCCGTCAGAGTTGCCTCCACATTGCTGCTGCCAATGTTCTCAATTCCATTCTCATTTCCATGTAACTCATCCAGAAGAGTCTGCTGCTCTGCTTCAATTGCTTCCAACGCAGTTTCGAGATAGTCAAACTGCTCCCTGAGAAACTCGGAAGGATCAGAACCGTTCGGCGCGGCTGACCTGGGAGGGGGGAGAAATTCGGCATTGTGCTCCGGGTTGAATCGAATGATGGTGTCCCTGAGTGAGCTGTTGAGATCCTCCAGTCTCTTTTCCATGTCGGAAATGGAGCCCATGAGATATGTGTTTTCTTCCCGGGAGCGATCAAGTTCCTCCTTAAGCTGACTCTGTTGTTCGCGGATCGGTGACTTCATGGGAATCTCAAGCGGGTTGTTGAGGGCCTTGGCGTTCCCGCGCTCGAATTCCTCGAAGCTGGTATCGTCGGTGTAAAACCCGTCTGGCCCGTACAGGCTATCCCGGCCCTGGGTATACGTATAAAGGCTCTCCGGGCTGCCGGGAACACCGTTTAGAGGCTGGCCGTTCGCCGTCGCCTTCTTCTTGGATGCTTTATGCGTCAATTGAAGAATACCTGCCGTGTGCTCCAGCAACCGGCTCTTGGGCTCCATAAGCCGCTTCTCGAGGTAAAAGAGCTCCGCGGCGAGGTCCTCGCATCTCTGCTGGGTCACCCTCCGCTCCTCCTCAGCCTCGCGCATGCTGTGTTCCTGATCCGGGTCCTCGCCATCCGAAGGATTATAGAGCTTGGCCATCGAGTTTGCCGCATCTCGGTACTTGGCCTGGATTAAGAGGTTCGACCTGGTCGACTCTATCCGCTTGGTCAGGGTTTGTACCAGCTTCTTCAATCCATCAATCTCCTCCTGGGACAGAATCTCGAATTCCTTGCTATCCGAAAGGGCCGTCTCGGTGAGGAGGTGGATTTGAATCGGGTCTTTCAGGTCGACCATGACAGAGCTCTGCGGCCGCCCCGGGTTCATCTAAAAAGCATCGAATTGAGGTCAGTCTTGGGCCCTGATCGCCATTCGAAAAATGTAAAAATGACATTGCGCGCCATACCGAATTATATGCCGGCGCAGCCTGCTCAAAACCATTCATGATGTCCTGTCGGTACGAGTCCACCACGACATTTCCGTTGGGCTCGAGGCCCGTCCGTGGAGGCGGGCTGAAGTCGTCGGTGGCCATGTCCAGAGGGTACGCCATGCTGTGCGAAAAAAACACACAAGGTGTTATGGTAGGTGGCAGCCGATTGAGGACTCAACCTCGTCGTAGCAGCTGTGTCGTTGAATGAAGAATTAATCTATTCCATCGAACCAGTGTGCGTGCGGTCATGAAGAGGATATCGCCATGCGCTCCGTGCCCCCTGTCAATGACTGGACTGCCCCTGAATCTATCTGCCTTGGGGTGGGGAAAAGGAGTTGCAGATCAATGAGTGTGAGTTCTAGAGACGTTTCGCTCGCGAGGAAGCGGCCTCGAGGAGAGAACAACAAAAGAAAGCTGAGGAAGCGAGCCGGGCCAGGGAGGAGAGACGAACTCTTCAGCTCGTGGCTCTCGCATTTAACGCGGGTGGTTGGAATTATTGGTGGCACGCCGCGCAACGCAGCGCCGTGCAGGGGGAAAGGGGATCGACCAGGTTCATCTTGTCATCTGTGGAGTACTTGCCAATTAAAGGCCTGCACTCGGTACTTGGGCTCGAGAGACCTTTGCCCGCATTGGCGCTGGAGCTTAGGGGCAATAGCGCTTGCTGGGTACCCTGGGGGCAAGTACCTTGGGGGGCCACTCGCCGCAGCTGAACCACTGGGGAGGTGGCTTGAGCCGCTCGACAGGGGCTTGTAATCGAAGACTTCGGGCGGTTTTTTCTTCTGCCACGCTCGGAATGGGTCCGTTCTTACAGGGGGAGACGGCTGATTCCTCTCCTCTCTGATTACAGATCAGGAGCAGACTGGAACGTCACTCCAAAGATGCTGTTGGTTATCGACCTATGAGAGGAACCCGGAGAGGTTTAAAAGCTAAGAACTAACTACCAAATACAATGCTACTAAGTGGTAAGGTGTTCAATGCTACTAAGTGATAAGATGTAACCTATATGCAGGCTGGGCCGCATGCATCATTTCATATTTTACGTTCGTCTATGGTATTATAGAATTTAACTACCTCCATGAACACAGCTTCTCTGTCTATAACACGTCTCGGAACTGGTCCATAATCTGCTGCCCCATCGTCCGCCGCCTCTCCGGCTGGTTCGCCGACTGGCCCTGGGCTGCGCCGGTCGCTGCGCCGGTGGAGGAAGCCGAGCCCTCGTCCTCCAACATCCTGCGCAAGCCCTCGAACTCGCTCCTGCGCCGTTGCGACCTCAACCCCAACATCCAACCGGGCATTCGCCACCGCACAAACGATGAGGGCAGCAAGCCCTCCCTCCACGAGTAGCCGACCACCCAGCCGACGATTGCACCGAGGAGGGAGCCCGGCCACTGGAGAAGCGCCAGGTGCACCGCGATGGCGTACTTGAGCGACTTGTCGGAGAAGGTGACCCCGGAGAAGGTCTCGTCGGTGGGTGGCGCCTGGGACGTGGCGATGCGGTACTTGTATAGGTGTGGGATCATGGCGTGGTACTGAGCGAGCACGGCGAATATGATGGGGGTCGGTCCCGCGGGGATGTAGTTGAACCATCCCGCAGTAAGAGGGCGCAGAACGACGGTGAGTGATGGCGGAACGATGGAGGTGAGGAGGTAGGAAACGACGAGGAAGGACTATGCAGATGAAGAAAGCTGTTAGTAGTCTGGAACCAACATGCTCATGTTGCAGCAGGACGATGGAGGGGGCAACTCACGGCGTATTTCCTTGACCCCCACATGCGCTCAACGATTCGCAATTGGTAAAGAGTGATGACACCAAACAGGACCTCGGTGGAATTGGTGTAGCATAATTGATAGATGAGAAAGCGCCAGAGCTGGCGGTAGCGCCATACGTGTGTGTCGACCAGTATGTAAAAATAATGCTTGATATCGAGCAGGCTCGCCAGAGTTGATGCTGATACGATGCCCAGCAGGATCAGCCGAGTTACCGGAGTGTTGGTGAACGACATGACAGTCGGAAGTCTAGGAAACCCTGGCTAGAGAAACAATGTCGCTGTTGTGTGGGTGCTGGGTGCAATGGGCTGCAACTTGATTTGGAGCATGCCTTGGGACAGGAAGCCACTTGTCGCACTGGGCTGGAAGCTGCTTGTGATGTCACCAAAAGCAGTGGGCAGGGCGCAACTCAAGATTGAAGTTATTGCCTCGAGCAAAGCTCCAGCGATTGCGTTTGCTTGAATAAAAAGCGCTGGATCCGGCCCGTCGTGATGCTTTGCAAAAGGTAGCTTGACTGAGACTGCAAGTACCTGGTTGGGCATGTCCGTTGAACATGCAAATGGACAGCTAAGCATGAGCATCCCGCAGTCACGTGGATCAGTTGAAGCTCCGTGAGGCGTGTCGGCGTCCGTCCGTGTCCTTCCACCGGCGTACCTTGCATCCGCTGTGGAGATATTAGCTTATCGAATCTTCAAGCATGTGCACTGTCTTTAACCATCTAGAATCCTGCAATTGAATTGATTCATCCGAACAATGCTCCCCATTCTTTCCCCTCTCTCTTCTTCTTCTGGCTGACCGCCCCCGCCTGTTCGGGATAATGATTGTGCCTGACCAAAGTTCGGGGTCTCTTTGCTAAGATGCATATTAATTACTAGCCTTTAATTACTTATAATACCCCATTTCCCGCCAATTTATCTTAGACCCATCCCGGTTCCAAATCACTCTTAAAAGTCTCAAGGGCCATGCGCCGCTCAACGTGCGTTTGCTGACCCTTGGCGCTCGAGAGGCGATTATTATCTCGTTTGCATCTGTTGCGGTGACCTCTAATTTCTCTACGACATTACTCTCTCATTAATTGATTATCTCTTACACGGTGTTGTGAGGTCAAACATAGCGGCACGTGCCTCCTTCTCACTCATCCTATTATCACACCTTCCTTCCTTCCTTCACTGGCCCCTACAACCTCGGAACAGACGAGCAAGGCAAGACTTCCCCCAGGACAAAAAGAGACGGGGACCGCCCTCAATGGATTGGACATCCTCATTTCATCCCGCGCATCAATGATACTGCGGACTCGCATCTCGCCCCACCACCCAAAATAGTTGATATCGCTGCGAAGATGCCACTCGATAACCTCGGGTCGCTCTTCATTAGCCATGCCGTCTTCCTCATCCACATCGTCTACTGCACCATCGCCTTCACCCACGTCGAGCCTAGCGCGCTCTTCGTCCTCTACTGCATCGTCAAGGTGCTCGGCCAGCGCGGCGAGGATTTCGACCAGGAGACCGCTTGGCCGCCTCGCTCGCCTAGATGGCTTTGACGGCCCATGAGCGTCTGATTATGTACATGGATGGACCTTTTTCTGGGAAAGCTCCTCTGATGGATTGGTGCTACTCGGCTGAGGGGAACGCGCTGAGAAACCGACGGTTCCGAACTACACGCCCCTGGACTCCCTGTAGACCTTCCTAGAGTGAGATATCAAGATAGCGTCTTGAATAGGTACGGTGTCTACGCCTTGGTGTATCGCCCTGATGCGATGTTTCGCTCACACTTAGCAGACACGGCATTGGCTTCCCCCGCTCGCGTTCAGGAATGGGTTGTCAAGAAACAGGCCTTGAATGACCGGGGCGGAGAGTTTGTCACTAGGCAATGGCAACACTACCCAACCATGTCCTGGAAGAGACATGAGATCGTATGATAAATGTATATTCCTACTAGAGAGATGTCATTAGACTCAAGCGATGCCCATACATGGCTCACGCCGTTTATTGTATAGAACGCATTATTACTAGCGTGTCCGATACACCATAGACATTTACGCTGCGGATCAACTGATTTGGATTATCGAGAACGTAAAGGTTGAGCAATGATTCTAGCTGCCGGCAACTATCTATATACATGTTTCTAGAACCTGGTTGAGCAAAGATGCCACGCCCTTTCCAAAATATCCAGTTAACGCCGCGGATGGCAGATTGCATTGCCTATTACAGCTTGGCCTTAGGGTTCTCGTCTGGAGAGGTGGCCTCGGGGTTTACCAAGACCTCACCCGTCTTCTCTCCATTGCCGAAGAAGATAACCTGGACTGTGAGATCGTCGCTAAAACATCAATTCGTTAGTATACAAAGAATATTATGTAGAGAAGTTGCGAGAGCGGGTTGACATACCGATATCTTCTGGAAAAGGGGGCCGGGAGGGTGAGAAGAGCGCACACCTGCTCGTCGTTGGTGCCTCCGAGGGCATTGCGGACGAGGTGGGTTGCCACGTTCTGGTCCTTCACGACGAACCTGTTCTTCGCCTCGGGGTCAACGCCCCACTGGTGCAGGCGGATGGGAGTCTTCTGACCCTCGGCCCCGGTGTCAGCACCCTTCTCAACAGGAAGGGCGCCGTTCCCCTGAGTGCCCATGATCTTGGACCATGCCACCTCGAACTGGGACTTTGACTGTCGCCCGGCGGCCTGGCTCTCGATCCACTGGCCGACAAGCCCGACAACCTCGTCGTTTGTCAGCATCTCCCACAAGCCATCGGTGGCCAGGACGAGAAAGTCACCCTTCTCAGGCGTGACCTTGGTCGTGGTCACCACGGGCTCGGCGGTCACGTATGGGGGCGACTTGAGGAGTTGAGAAGGCGTACGCCCAAAGAACTTCTCCTTGAGCTTGAAGGATGTCTCGCGGCTCCATTTGTAGACAGCGTCGCCAAAGGCGCGGGTGGGCTCCAGGCCACCGAGAACACGGCCGTTGCGCACAACATGCTCCTCACCAGGATGCTCCTTTCGCATGCGGTTTGCCTCATTTGGGTTGCTGCCGGTCTGGTCCTCGGACAGAGCAGTTGCGGTCCACTTCCCGGAATCGGATCGACGTCCTAGAACCGCTCTTGAATCACCGGTGCACGCTACCCGCAGAAGGTTGGTTCGGCTATCATAGAAAGAGAGCAGCGCGCAAGAGCCGGACAGCGCAGGCTGCAGCAGCTCTGCAGCCACGGTCTTGGAGCTGGCCTTGAAGACCTTCTCGACGCTGTTGTGGACAATCTCGGTATCCAGACGGTTGAAGCCAGTCTTGATAGCGAGCTCGATGGCATCAGACGAGGGAGTGCCCTCAGCCACAGCCTTGTACGTATTGTTGAGTTCTGTCGCAACGTATGAGATGAGGTTCTGGCGAAGCGTCGCAGACGTAGTCCAACCACTATGAATATCTCAACATCAGCGCCGCTCATGCCTGCATATCAGACACTGCAAGGTAGACTTACGAATGGCCATCAAAGACCCCCCAGAACATCCATTCATTCTGATCTCCGGCATCGGCAGCCGACGACCGGCTGGGGACCTGGACAATCTTCTCGGCGTGGTCGTCTTCAATGGGGTCGTTGCTGGGGAGCTGGACGAGGTCGTACCGCGTAACACCGTGGCCCCTGTTGACCGAGAAGGACTGCTCTAGGTGACGCAGCTTCTGCGTGGCTTGCTCTGGGGTCAGCATCTCCACGATCCTCCTGCCGTCGCCGCTCGTTTCCTTGGAGATGGGCCCGTCGCCCACGATGGTGCCCTGTCTTAGCTCATCCGCACCCACAACCAGCACAGTCCTCGTCGGCACGGGCGAAGCGGCGGCGGTCGAGGGGTTGGTGGCGGCGAAGGAGAAGCTGCGATAGAGCGAGGCGGCGCCGGGGATTGTCGTCGAGTTGTACGAGTACCAGGCGCCGTATCCCGCAACCAGGGCGGATCCCAGCACGACGGGTAATCGACGAATGTACATGGAGGATCTCAATGGTGCATTAGGCGTTGGTTTGAAGGAACTCGGTGCCGAGTTGCTCAAGAGGCGGCGGGTTCCCGCCGAGAGCGTTCGCGCTGTTGCTAGCCGCTGGGGCGAGACCAGAGAAAGTCGACTTCGCAGGGCGGATCTAAGAGTCACGCGAGGCGCTATGATGGCCGCACGTTGCATTGAAACGACGGTGACGACGGCAACTCCTCTGTATGGTTGATCAATCTATAAGGTAGTCGGATCGGGAGTTGGCCGTGGCGTCGAAATGAGCAAAGAAGGAAATGGGGACAGGGAAGCTGGAAGGACGTTGTAAGAGTTGGCTGCCACCCGTTTGGGACAAGCACCTGGACTTTGGTACGGATATGTAGTATTTGTTCCGATCTGATTTCTTACTCTAAAGAAGCCCTCCAGAGGACGTTATCTTACAGTTTCGAATGTACAAATCCGGGTATCGCTTGATTTTCGTGAGAACAAAGGAAACAACGTGATTCTATGGAACTTTATCATTCTATTCTGCCAGTTGACCCTCCGCCAAAGCAGACAGCCCCACCACAATCTCTAGTGGCGTGGATTTGTGGCTTGTGAGTCGCTCTTCGGCATGCAAGCATTAACTTAACATGCTCCGATTGCTGGCTTGTGACGAGCATTGGCCTCTGCAAAGACCCAGGTCGGCTTTGCACGCAGAGGGCCGAGGTCACATAAGACAGTCCAAAGCCTCTTCCCCTGCAGAACCTGTGCTATTGAATTCTGGTGGCTTTTGATAGTCCCACAAGGCCATTGCAGCTGTAACTTGACTTGAGCTCCGCGCCCCATTCATTGGCTTCCAGATGAAATAAGAGACAGCACATAGGTAGGTAACTAAAGCCTCGGTGTACTACAACAGCCCCGCATAGCACATCCATATACCTTAATAGCACCTACACACTCACCAGCTCATACATATTACTTGCTTGCATATCTCCATATGTATATTCGTGTATCTCGATCTACACGGCCAGGATAACATTCTCATCTTTGAGTACCTTACATCATGTCTCTCCCGCCCCAAGCCGTAGAGCGGATCCGCTCCCTTACAGACCAAGATGCCATCTTCCACGCCTTTGATTCCTACCCATGGGCCAAAGACAAAACATTCATGGTACAATAAATAGCCACAGATCTTTCCGACATGACTTGTGAGAATACCCCAATCCGCTAACCACCTTCCAGTCCGGCCTCTTCGCCCTGCTCGGCGACCCCAATGGCCAGCCCGCACAGGGCTCATCACCGCGGGACATGGCAACCCACGCCCGCATATTCTACTACGCCCAGAGACTGGGCGTCACCATCGACTTCACAGCCTACCAGACCTGGCTCTCACAGCACCCGGACCACCAAGCCCCCGACATCCTGCCCGACTCGTACCTCGCCAGGGACAGCGACAGCAGGTCTCAGGGCGCCGCCGGCGCCGCAGATAGCAGCGCCTCCCTCCCCTGGCAGCAAGCCGCCCCCAAGGACGACCTCTTCATCGACAAGAAGGCCGCCGCCGCGGGCCAGTCCCAGGAGGACCAGCCCTCTTACCCCATGGCCTTCGCCGAGATGCTCAAGCTCCTCCAGGAGGGGAAGCCCGTCCCGGGCATCAGACAGATACCCAACACAGTAGTGCGAGATCCGGTGAGTGCCTCTTTGCCGAGTATCCTATTCACATGCATCATGCAAGCCAAGACGTGAGTCTCTCACACCAACTACCTATCTAGTCAATCAAGCCAGTTGGCTCAAGAACAGTGCCCCGGAAGCCTTGGGAGAGAGATAACAGCTCTTCATTGACGGATAACCCTGTTATTCCCAAGGCTCTTGATATCGAGTTCCCTCCTGTCGAGGCCGAAGCCGAATCTTTGAATCAACAACAGAGCACTACTTCATGACCGTAATTTGAATTTACGCTCTTTTTTCTCTTCACAAACAAATCAAGATCGTTCCGCAAAGCGCCGTATATGGTAGGATATTAAAACCCCGTGATGGAAGTTGAGGGCAGGTAAACCCTTGTGGCCTGCATCGAGCCATCATGATAGCTTGAAATATGGATCACTGATGGAGAAGGTAGTTGTTATATCGCAGATACAAGGTAAAGTCCAAAAACATATATTAATAGCCTCGCAGATAACTACAATCGAGGCTTCCTCTAACTTTCAATACTTGCTTGCTTCTTTGTGCTCAAGTTGCAGCCCTAAGTTTAAAACAGCGATAGGCGATCCTCCACGAGTCTCGTTCAAGAATACTTTGGGATCCTCATCTCTGGCAACCTCAGCGAGAGTAATTCCAGCTATTTGGGTCATAGGAACTATACCAGCCCCCAAAGTTTCTTCCTTTTTTTTTTCTCCTTTTCTATTTTCTTTTCTTTTCCCTAGTACCCTCCTTTCTGAACTTGTCCATTGATTTTCGACCCGTCCTGGGGCAAGGGTGCTTGAATGCCTCCCTCTCCACCAGGACTATTAATAATGCCTGCAATGTCCTCTCATATTGCAAAATCCATAACCATGATGTGTCCAATGCGCCCTGATGAGGCAGTAGCCTGTTGAGCGTAGGATGACGAGTGATTTGTAAATTACTTCATGAGAAGATGTTAATAAGAAAAGGCCAACAAATCCTCTCCGGCTTTGTACTTCGACGGAAAAGCGGAAGGCAATATAAAATAGTGAGTTAAACGCGCCGGACATGGCATTCGAGCCAGAAAAAACACGTCCTTAAGAATACCAAGAAGTTCTGCTGATTAAAGAGAGAGAAATGGTCTTTCCTCAAGCACGACCGTTGGCTCTAGATTATCGATAGGTTCCATTACCAAAGCGAGGCCCTGGCCCCATTCGACCATTGATCCCCGGCCCAACGCCAGGACCAGGTCGGGTCGTGACAGCGTGATTGGTGCAGAGCATTCCAACACGAGAGCCGAACTTGGATCCTCTGAGAGAGACCATGTGTTTTCGAATATGAGCTGCGACCATTTCCCGATGCTGAGGTGTCGCGTTGTTGAGGATCCATTGGATCAGGTAGTTGCCATACTGATCACTGGCGATATCAATCAGTGGGATCCTAGTCCTATCACGACGGCCTTCACAAACTCGGTCAAGGTAGCGTCCAAGGAACTCAGTGCCTCCAATCTTCAGGCATTTCTCGACAACCTTGGAGGCAAACTGGTCTGTGCTGTACTCGGCAGCATACCGAATTACGTGGTCAATGGCACGGCTTCGATCAGGTGGTCCGCCATGCTCGCAGATATGCTGAATGCACCAATTACCGAATTGTCCATGCGCAACAATATCGATGTTCGCGAGCACCTCTTCGATGCATGGTCGCTATATCACACGAACGTTAGTACATGCTTCAATAGATGGTAGATGACGTTTTGGGGTAATACCTTATCCTCTTCAAGACAGTTCTCGAAAATATTTTGAACCACTAAACTTCCAGTCTCGCCTAGAGCAACCTCGTGCCACATTCCCCGAAGGGCCTCGTTGACATATTTCATGATTTGAGGAGGAGACTCAGTCCATCGAAGCTCGAAAAGCTTCTGCCAAACGTGGCACGCGTATCGATGAATCACTGTTTCGGGGATGCGTCGGAGTAGTTCATGAACCATTATTGCTTTGTAGTCCTCTGGGACAGAATCAAACGCTTTTTGAACCACATGACACCCAAAAGGGTCCATCGACAGATTCAGCGTGTTTCCACGGATCGCTTCAGCAATTTTGATGACCTGCTCGGGGGTCCCGTGCTCGAAACAACGCTGCACAAGGAAGTTTCCAAATCGGTTGACCATCAAAGGGTATGCTTGAGCTACAATCGCCTCCACAATCTCATACTTCTGCTCAGGAGTACCGACCTTTAGCTTTTGCTGCAAAAAGATGGAAGCCTGTTGGTCGTTGTTGCACACGATCTTGTCAACAATATACTTCCAGTTGCAGTTCACATTCCGATCAAGCAAGCGTCGGTAGTTGAGGGGCTCAGTAGGAGGCAGGTATGTTGGGCCTTCAGAGGGCATCTCCTGAAGGGTATCAGCTCTGTAAGCAAAAGTTTCACCGCCGGTTTCTCTCACCTCTCCCTTCCATGCTCCTTTAGAGGTGAACTCGGAAGCGAAGGGGGATAGGGGAGTACCCACAGGCTGCTGGGGCTGTTGAGCATAAGGGGGGATTCCAACTGGGCTCATCACTTGGCCAGGCCCAAGGTGAGGCCCAGGAATAATGGCGTTTTGGATGTGCCCCCCCATCATGGCATCCTGCTGATTTGCTAGCCCATTGAAAGCACCGCCGTAGGAGCTATTGAAATGATGAGGTGAGTTGATCCTGCCTTCATATCGATTTCCTCGGCGGCCTGTTGGTGGGCGACCATGGACATCTGAATCCGGTGTCAGGCGATCACCATTGCAGCTCTCTGTCTGGGAATATGGGCCAGCAGAGTCTGCAAAACTGGTTTGGAACCCTCGACCCCCAAACCAATTTCCTGGAGAAGGCTCCATAGCAGACGATTGAGCTGCATTGCCAACAGCAGGAGGAGCCCTTGGATTATTCCAAATACCTCTCTGTCGGCTGAACGGACCAGCTGGAAGGCATTCACTGGTATCTGACTGAGTGTTATCAGGCGATGCCCAAATGCTTTCTCGGACAGTTGGTATGTAGCTGCGCGAAGGAAACTCGCCCGTAGGAGAGGTGCCTGGCTTGCCCGTCCGGGTTTGAACTAACTCCTGGTCGAGTCGGGAGATTTTGGTCTGTGCTTGAGCGAGTTGCAACTTCAGGCGAAGGATTTCATCAGTGTCTTGACGGTTATCCTCGAATGTAGCACTTGCAGGTCTAGTGGTAGGTGCAGTGGACGAAAAGGCATCCGTTGCTGGTGTGATGGGGAGGGGCGTGCTCGACGAGGTATGGTCCTGCGCCCTCGAGTTGTACGGATCATCCTCCCCTGATCGAATGGCTTCATTTTGCTTGTTCAGAACCGCTTGCTGTTCAGACAACTTAGCGATAAGTTTGTCCATGGGGTATGATTCGTCTGAGACTGCGGGCGACTGTTTCATCTAGAGAAGGTTAGAATCTAGATGCAGATGGACAAGGTTTTGTGTCACTTGCCTTGATAGGGTTTTTATTGGCGAGCTTCCCTGTGGTCAGTGGCGAAATGCCCTTCTTTGCGACATCCGGAGCTGGATCGGTAATCTGCTGGAAATGAGCGTCAGCGTTTTGAAAAGTTAAAGACAGTTTTAACTGGCTTAATGTAGCTGATACTTGGAGAGTAGGGCGATCTGGTGAAGGGATGCTAGAAGAAGCGAAGGTCGAAGGGGCTTACCATATCCGAAGCTGACGTTTGGGGATCTCCAATATTCGTTGAATCTTGCTCGTGGCGCTGGGACGAGCTGGAAAAAGATCTCAGCGACATGGTGGCTGATCCTAACGAAGAATTCAAGGTCGACATGCGGCTGAGGAGAGAGTGAAGTGTCGCAGCGCCAGTTGTGCCAAGAAGACGAGATGGCGAGGAAGGTGATTAGATGTTCGAGATCGCACACAACAGTCTATTAGATCAAATGAAAGTGGTTGATTAGAATCGTGCCAGAAAGCAGGTGAGAAACAGAAGAGGGAAATGGCTTGATAGAGAAGACGTACTCGAAGTTTTGGGCCAGAGCTGCTACAGAGCAAGCAGGACCAGATGGAGAGAGTGAGATGACAAAAAAGGGAAAGCAAGATCCTGGAATTAGAAGAATATCGACAGGTTACTACAGCAGAAGCTGAAAAAGGCAAGACGAAAGGAAAGGCTTGAGTGAAGATCGATGTGAAAGGCAGAGGAGAGAAAGAGAGAGTGGAGGTATTGTGGGAGGGAAGAAACGGGCTTGGTGAGTTTGGAAGTTGAAAGAAAGTTTTGGAGGGAAGGTCAGGCGGAGGTTTTAGAGAAATGCACCTGAGAAAACGGTGTGGAATACGCCTGCGTGCGCACAATAACTCGGGAAGGTTTATTGCTGTAGGCGAAGCCAGCAGCACCAATAGGCATGACCAGCAGGACAATAAGCCCTTCGTCTCCTCATCCTGTGCTCACTGCATCATGGACTCGATCTTTTTTTAGACCAATCTCCGAAATTGCACCTTCTTGCCATCCTCTGTAAGTCTTTCGCGTGGCAGGTATGAAAGCATACCACTCACCTCGAGGTCACCTCAAGGTCACTGATCAGGCCAAGCCCACTCACCTTAGGCGCCTAGCCCAGTAACGCTCCAGCTACATCGTTCAACGTATTCCATCCTTCTGCCTCAAGCGAGACACTACCTAGGTAATGGCGTCTACTCGCGGTACCAGTCCTTGTTACAGGCATGATCAAAGGGAGTCAAGGATCCAGCTCTCGTCCAAGTTGAACGAGGCTACCTAAGGAGTCACTGGATACAAGGCTATCAGCTCCCCAAGAATCACTGCTTTTGAGGCCCCGAGTAGTGGTTGGTATAACAAATATTGATACAGCAATGCCATAGCGTGCATATATAATCGCATGCAAATATGTACCTCCTGGCGATCGAGTCTTCCCAACGCCCAGAAATACATTCCCATATCGTACATAAATCGGATATCATCGCATGTTGCATGGTGACCTCTAAGATTTTCCCAATTCGTGACAGTAAATCCTTGCTTACCGCCTCTTGCCTCCAGCACCCGGTTTCGCTATGTATTGTTAGCCTGTGAATATCCAGCAAGAGTCGGCGAAGGGGGCTATGGTTCGTACTCGTAGGAGGAGCCGACTTCTTCTTGGGGGCGCCCTTTCCACGCTCTTTCAATCTGGGGTCTCCGTGTCAGCCCACATCCAAGTTGCCTCAGGACTGGAATGATCATACTCATCAATGTACTCGAATCGATCCTCCTCGGCGTCCTCCCATGTATCCAGGCCAGGCCCAAACTCTTGCCTCACATCCTTGATTGTGGCCACTCTCCTCGGGTAGTATGCGGCAAGTGCAGGTCCTCGGAGTCGCTGGCGCAGGACCTTGTTGCCCATGCGAACGCCATCAGGGTTGAAGTTCGTCGCGAAGACCTGGCATTGAGCCTGCAATTGGTTAGCTGGAGGACAATTCTACAGGGAAAATAGAAGCCATACCTTCATCAAATCCAGTAGTCTGGCCCGCGGGACGCTCATGGTGAGATCTTGGAGAGCATATATATTTTGGATATATGCTGAACAATGGACATTGAGGCTCAAAATTGAGATCACGGCGTTGATCCAGCACCTGGTTGGCGGGAAAGCGCGAAAAGTGGAGAGTTGATGGCCAAGCCGCATGTGGCGTATCTCTGCTTATCGCTCCCAACTTAGACTTCGTTTTTCCATCAAGCAGTAAAGAAACATGACAATAATTCACGACCAAATCTATTGTTTGGCTTATTATTTTACATATTTTGAATTTCATTGCGTAACACCTGGTCAATATGACCAAACGCGACCTGCCAGAGTCCCCCATCCACTCAAGCAAACGACTTCGGACCTCTGTGGATGACACTGGAGCGCTCCTCCAGCTAATTGAAAATGCCGAGGAGCTTACGCATTGCCTACAGTCCTTAACAGGGTGGAAAGACGATATTTCTCGGAAAAGTGGCCAAACACAAACAGACCCCTCTTTCGTTCGAGTGAGAGAGCAACTTGCTGAGCTTAGCAAAAAGTTAAGCCCTGTTTTTCAACAGCTGGACCCTTCACAAGATGCTCACCATAGCGAAGTAAAGGTATGTGCAATATACAACCAGATGCAATGTCATATTATTAAACTTCCTCGTACTAGACTGTTTCTGATGCTGAAAGCTCGGTCAAAAAGTCTCAAAAAGACACCGGAAACATGGTTGCCTGCCCTCCTCCACTTCTCGCAGCCTGGCACGCCTCTGAGATACCATCCCAGTTACCACCAATTCCCAAAATCAATGATTCCCGGATTGAGATTCAATCATTCCGACATCCTGGGATGACAAATATCTCCAGGGGCGAGTTAAGTTACGAGCGATTAGAGTGGCTTGGCGATGCCTACCTCGAGGCCATCGCCTCAAACCTCATCTATCAAAGCTTTCCAAATTTGCCGGTTGGAAAGTGCTCTCAAATACGAGAGCAGCTGATCCGCAATATGACTCTTGCGGAATACTTCAGAAGCTACAACCTAATGCAACGAGCTCAAATACCACCCTCGGTCCAGTCCAACCTGCAGCCTGGCAAAGGTAGATCTGCGGACAAAGACTTGGTAAAGGTTCAAGCCGACATGTTTGAGGCTTATGTTGCTGCCATTATTATCACAAATCCTCGGGACGGTGTGATGCAAGCGTCAAGCTGGCTGAGGGGACTGTTCTCAAGGACCATTAAGGACCAAATAGTCAAATCAGAAATCTCAGCACCACCGATAACCACAGAACCGAAACAAAAGCTGGCCCAGCTGTTAGGCGCCAAGGGTGTAGAGATCAGCTATGAAGACATGCCAACCCATAAGAAACACAAGCAGTTGAACATTCCGATGTTTGCAATTGGCGTTTACCTAACTGGCTGGGGGGAACAGCACAAACTGTTAGGAATAGGGACCGCCACAGGAAAGAAGGAAGCTGGCAATAAAGCCGCCATAGTGGCACTGGAGAACAAAAAGCTCATGAAGGTGTACGAGCAGAAGAAGAAGGCATTTGTGGAGGCTCAAGCGCAGGCGCAAGGCTCAAGCGCAGGCGCAACCGGACCCTCCCAAGCGACTGACATAAAACATGGCACATTTAGATAGTTCAGCACTGAATTCCAACACAATATCAGAATAATTGACCTAATAATGAACACAATATCAAGCTAAATGTTGTAGAATAATTTATTACTCTTTGGCTATTTTGTTTAGTTAAAAACAATGTCCCTGTCGTACGTGAAAAGAGCTTTGGTCTGCCATGTTTTATTCACCCACTTGCCTCCTTCGTGATAAGGATATCAGACCTCTGTCTTATTCGTCCAAGTAATGCTTCCTATCTTCCACTAATTTGAGTCGCTATTCTTTATTGGCCCGCTAGACTGTGCTGTTAGTTTCTGTTTCAATTCAATGAAGCCGCTCTCCCATGTCTGTGATCTATCGTTTAAGCACTTTGTCATAGACGGCTAGAGAGGGAGTGAGGTGGGCCTCGGCAATGCACCCCAGATTTCAAGCATACCTGCCTACCACTCCTATACAGGGGAGAGCGTGTGTGGGATAAACTTAGTAAACGGCTTGGGCTAGATACCTGCCCACATCTTGTAAAAGATGTTGCTTGGCTCATTTGTGTCGTTGGACATTACGATCTTAGTAGTTCACGCTGGAGGATGGTAGCTATTTCCTACAGGCGCAAGGCTAAACATGCAGGTCAGACACCTGCATTCACTAAATTAGCAGGTGTCTACTTAAAAGGGCCTATCTCTTCACGTGTCACCGAGAAAGAAGGTCAGGAGTGGGAGGGCATGCGGAAGATAGTTAAATAAAAGACTGCATGAGGCACTGGCATGCATAAAGGCAGCCGTAGTGTGCGAAATTAGATGCATGAAGCTCATTTTAGCATTGTGCTGACCGAGAGCAAAACCATTGAGTCCTGCCAGTGGATGGATTGGGAAGATAAGGCCAGAGCCAACGGTTTCCAGGTACCAGCATCGGAATTCAGGAAGGAAACCGCGCTGGAGCAAGTGGCGGCCCAAAAGGGACCAACCTGCTGAAGCGTCGCTACAGAGCGATTGTTACAGAAGCTGCCCGCAGATAACGTGGGGTCCGACAGGGCGGGAAGTGTGGGCCCCCACAGCCTGTAGGCCTCGATGTGCGCGCGGGTTCCTTGCTCCTGGCCCTTAATCCGAGCTGTGTCGCATTTGCGCCGAGGCACATCGCCTGGTTGCAGTTCACTACCCATCCCATCCCATCTGATTGCCCATGTTATTCTCAGCATAATTATCCCAATTCTTAACAGACCTCGAGTCGGAGCCGTCTCGCTCCAATCGACCCAAAGGATCGTCGACAGCAAATGCCGGTTTTCCATCCAGCCCAGCTACCTGCTCTGGATTCCTTGCCGTGCAGTTACTAGCCTGTCGTTATCTCCATCATTGACCCGCGGGGCGTTTGCCCGAACTCGGTCCCTGTCGTCTCTCCAACCCAAGCACCCTTCTCTGAGCCGGCCTTGGCACGATAGCATCATATTCCTCCCCTCGGTTATCTTCAAATCCAACTCACAATCACGATGGCGGACTCCGTAGGTAAGTGCATCCCAGAATAAGGAGTACCTCTCCTTATCAGTCTACTAACAATTGCTTAGACCGGGTCTTCGTCCATGCGTTGAACACCGTCAAGAAGATTCCCAAAACAGGCGCGTCACGTCCACCGCCTGCCGACCGCCTTCGTCTCTATGGCCTCTACAAACAAGCTATGGAGGGTGATGTTGATGGAGTGATGGAGCGACCCTGGTCAATGCCCGGCGCCTCGATGGAGGACTTGCAAAAAGAGAAGGATAAATGGGATGCATGGAATGCACAAAGAGGCTTAAGCCGGACAGAATCGAAACGCAGATATGTGGAGGCGCTGATTGACACTATGCATCGCTACGCAACTACACCGTACGACACCTCCCCTTGCCCCTCCTGAGCTCGGATTGGTCGATGGCTAACAAGGCATTGGGTGTACAGGGACGCTAGGGAACTCGTGACGGAGCTGGAATTCGTCTGGAACCAGATCAAGCACAACTCTCCCACTGCGTCTGATGCATCGCCCAAAGCCAGCACCACGTCGCGACGATTCGAGGAACCGCCACACGATGGTGACGCACCGATGAGGGTCTTGAACCCCATGAGCGAACTGGATGAGGCAGAGAGGCGATCACAAAAGCTCATGGAGATGGACGACGAGGACGATGAGGATGCAGGACACGCTATTGCCAGAAGCAGCAACCGGTGGCAGCGAACTATCGAGCGAGCAATTACGAATCTGTCCGCCGAGGTTGCTGCATTACGAGAGCAGATTACCTCAGGAAGGGAATGGAGGTCTAAGAAACAACGCAGCTTTCCGGCGTGGATAGAATGGCTGTCCTGGGCAGTATTGAAGCACCTTGTCATCGATTGCTTCGTCCTTGGACTGGTTTTACTATGGATGCGGAAACGCAAGGACAGACGGCTTGAGGATCTGGTCAGAGCAGCATTAACACTCATCCGGGAGTATGTGCGAAACATTCTCCCTTCAAGGTGACGATGAAGCCCTTGGTACTGGAACAAAATCTTGCCTGCAGATTTGATGTGCTTTTGGACAAGTTGCTACCTCTCGACAACTAGGGCAAGAGTTCACTACGTGTTTCTCGTATTGGAAGCCTCACGGGAGCTTTCCGAAAGGTGCAGAGCAATCCGACAACATCGGAGATGGCCAACACTTCCGGAGTCCAGTACCAGCCGTCCGGTCCGTTTTAGATGATCCTATCATCTAGCAATAATGACGCCATACATTGATGACCAACAATCTGGCGCCCGAGACGAGTGTCAGAATTAACGACACAGGTTTTTTATCATTCATTAATCATTACTCTACCTGTATTTGATGTTATCTACCACTTTTGGAAAAGGTTTATATCATACGTCCGAGGGTGGCCGATAATATCACCGTGTATCAAGCCCAACCAGCATTTTTATCGCATCTTGAGAGGCCAATGTCAATAGGCATGTTACATCAACGTATATAAACATTACATAGCGAACTCAATGAATCTAAATTAATATATAGATGCTCACTGTACTATTTTGATGACAATTTGTGACATTGCCAAATGAACTGAGAACAGTAGGTATGTATCGGTATATAAGGTAAGTGGTGCCTGGAACGACACCTATTTACCCTTCTAACACAACAACCTCGACTCAAGGCGAAAAAACAACATCATCCTTCACAACAATCAACTCCTAGGCATATAAGTGATATCCCCACTCACCAATTGACTTTTCTTCTTGACCTCACGGTCCCAAAGTGCAAAAGTCAGGGACATCCAAGGTAAAAAACCGCGTAGCCAAGAAACCACCTGCCAACATGGCTCACCAAAACAAAGCACCACCACAACAACAACAACCACGGCCACAACCCCAGCAACAACAACAACAACCAGTCTCAACGATCCCCATCCTCCACAGCATCGCCCCTGCCATCTTCACCTGGATAACGGACGAGGACCTCCTCGCCCCATTCACACCCCCCACCGACCCCGTCGACCTGCTCAAGGCTAGGCTCCGGGAGATCGAGGCGCACGCCGAGGAGGTCCGCGCCAACCTCCTCAGCCTCTTCCGGCGCGAGTGCCTCCGCATCATCCAGGAGGCCGAGGGGGAGGACGGCGACAACACCACGGTGCACCTCGCGCCCCTCGTGTCCCAGCAGGAGGTCGACGACATGATCAGCAACATGAGGCGGAACACAAGCGAGGCCCGCGACAGGTCCCGGAGCAGGGTGCTCATACAAAACGACATCTTCGGGCAGCCCAACATGAACGTGCTGCCGATGAGGAACCCGAGGGAGGCGGCCGTGGCGCAGATCCAGGCCGTCATCAGCCAGGGGCTGTGCGATCTCGAATCGTACAAGACCAAGGTGGACGAGCTCAGGCAGCAGATCAAGAGCGAGATCGACAGGGGGACGCGGAGGCAGGGCACGGATCGGATGGACTTGAGTTTCTGAAGGGGTGGCACGACTAGTAATGACTTTTTCACACACACAGAGAATTTGGAATTTGGAATGGCACGCCTGGTCGGCTGGCAAGACATATTATGAAAAGTTTCTTTAATGCACCTATACCTCTAGCCCGACATCCTATATGTACAAGCGAGACGAACAGCCCAGAATCGACAAGGAAAGTAATATTCTTCTTATAACAGTTTTTATGCCTCGACCTCATGCTCCATACTCAATCTGGCCTTGGGGCCTATCCTCCTCGATACCGGGAGCCATCAGGTTCGTCCTGGGGTCTCCGGTCTCCTTTGCTGCCGCACACCGTGCCATCGTCGGCGAGCTATTCTCATAGTTAGCAATTAATCTTTGGAAGTTGAGGAAGTGTGGGTTATTAACTGACCTTCTGGAAATGACGTCTGTGAAATAGAATGACTCAATGGTCTTCTTGAGGGGCTCTCCCGTAGCCTTAGCTCCCTTGTTCTGGTCAACGAGTTGGACCTTGCTCAAGTTCTTCAGAGCGACGGGCTCAACGATATCGTAAGCAGCCAGAGCCGGGCTGATCTCCGCCATGCGGTCACGGACAGCAGCCACATCATCGTAAGGTAGCTTGACGCCGAGGAATTCACCGGCGGCTCGGAGGATCTTCCAGTCAGTGCGGGCAGCACCGGGTAGGGAAGTAGCAGCACGGGTCATCTGGACACGGCCTTCTGTGTTGATGTAGGTACCGGCCTTCTCAGTGTAGGCGGCACCAGGGAGGACGATGTCGGCGATTTGAGCACCGCGGTCACCGTGGTGACCCTGGTAAACAACGAAAGCATCCTTGGGAATATCGGCCTCGTTGATCTCATCGGCACCGAGGAGCCAGACAAACTTGGGCGTGGTCTCAGCAACGGCAGCAGAAGGAGTCACGAAACCGACCTCAAAAGCACCGGCACGAGAAGCCTCGCGCTGGAGGATGTTGAAACCGTCCCACTCCTCAGTTCTGAAGTTGGCGGCGTGCTTGTCCACGAAGGTACCAACGGTCTCGTAAAAGGCCTTGGCGTCAACGTGGTCGGTCACACCAGATCCAAGAACGATCATGGGTCGCTTAGCAGCCTGGAGCTTCTTGCCGAAGGGTCCGGCAAGCGCCTTCTTCAGAGCGGCGTGGTCGGTACCCAGGTGCTCAAAGTCGAAGGTGGACTCCCACGACTCGCCGACAACACCAATCTCGAGATCAGATCGGAGCCATTGCTTGCGAATGCGAGCGTTGAGAACAGCGGCCTCATGACGAGGGTTGGTACCAACCAGGAGGATGGCATCAGCCTCTTCGATACCGGAGATTCTGGAGTTGAACAGGTAGTTTGAGCGAATGTCGACACCGTGAGCGAGGGGCTGGCTGCCAGTGGGGGTATCAAGGGCAAGATTCTCGGATCCAAGCTTGTTGGCCAAGTCCTTAGCCACAACCAGGGACTCGACCTCGGTCAGGGCACCAGCGATGACCTTGAACTCGTTGCCCTGGGGCTTCTTCTCTTGGAAGACCCGAGAGACGATAGTCAGGGCCTCCTCCCAGTCAGCAGGTTCAAACTTGCCCTCACGTCGAACCAAAGGCATGGTAAGTCGTTGTGTCTTGAGACCATCACAAGCAAATCGGGTCTTGTCGTTGATCCATTCCTCGTTAACATCGTCGTTGAGACGGGGGAGAACACGCATAACCTCAAGGCCGCGAGAGTCCACACGGATGTTTGAGCCAAGACCGTCCAGAACATCGATAGATTCGGTGTGCTTCAGCTCCCAGGGACGAGCACGGAATGCGTAGGGCTTGGAGGTGAGGGCACCAACAGGGCAGAGGTCAATGACGTTTCCGGAAAGCTCACTGTCAAGGTTCTTCTCGAGGTAGGTGCCAATCTGGATGTCATTGCCACGGCCAGTTGAACCAAGCTCAGGGGCGCCAGCAACATCGTTTGCAAATCGAATACACCGGGTGCAGTGGATGCATCGGTTCATGGATGTCTTAATCAGAGGGCCAATGTTCTTGTCTTCAACAGCACGCTTTCCGCCGGTCTCGTGGAATCGTCCTCGGTCGGCACCGTATCGTAATGACTGTTCCTGGAGATCGCACTCACCACCCTGGTCGCAGATGGGGCAGTCGAGAGGATGGTTGGCGAGGAGAAACTCCATGACACCCTCACGGGCTTTGTGGGTGAGAGGAGAGTTGGTCTTGACGACCATGCCAGGCTGGACAGGCCAGGCACAAGAAGCAACAGGCTTGGGAGCACGTTCGACCTCGACCAAGCACATGCGGCAGTTACCGGCAATCGCCAATTTCCTTGGTATTTGTTAGTTCGGTTCGACGGGTACGACGGAAGCAGGAAGAGCATACTCATGGTAGCAGTATCTGTGGTATGCCTGTTAGCTAGGGATTTGAATTGGGATATATCTTTCTCGACATACCGAGGAACTGTGGCACCGGCTTTTTCGCAAGCCTGGATGAGGGCAGCACCAGCTAAATCGCGTCAGTCAGTGAGGCTCAAAGCACCCACGCAAGCAGTATTCCATACCTTCGATTGACACCTTCTTTCCATCTGCGAGTCAATTAGTCAATATCTACCATCCAATGGCTCAATGGACAATGAATGCTCACCAATTGTTAACTCCACCTCGGCAGGGCGCTGGGATGTGGTCGCAAATGTACGGGACACGGTGGCGGCCCGCCGGCCGGTCCGCCAAGCCGAACGTGCCAGAGACTGTCGGAGCATCGTGTCGCCTTGACGGAGATGTAGGTGACGACGCTGGACGCGGGGTGTAGGGATGGGTTCGTTGACGTATCAAACGAGGGATCTTCGAGCAGTTTGGCTCTCGGGTGATGGGATTTGGTGGTGCTTAGTAACTTTTGGCTGCTCGATTAATTTACATGAGCTGTGATTGGCCAGAGCTCGGAGCCGTTGGTGCCTCAGGCATTTCGGGTACATCAAATACTCCGGAATTTGTCGCTAGCTTTTTCAGTTTCCTCTTTCTCCCCATATTGTACACGGGCACACTTTATTGTAGGTGAGCTTGAACACCGGTCTTGACTGGTCGTCTCAGTCGAGTCTTCCTCTATCTTGTGCTCCAGAGTAATTTGCGCCGATTTATTTTAAAGCATGGGAGAGATTTAATTGCTCTATGAGCGATGCTCTTAACAGTCGGTCGTGACATCTCCTAAATATCCAATGATGTGAATGTGATGTGATGAACTGAACTAAAATTGTGGTAAAATCTGTTCAATGATGGCTACCTGATACTACATTCAGTTGTCTTGGCTGAAAGCTCCCTAGGAGCTACAGCTACACTGCATCGCTCGCTCAAATCTGGGCACATCACCCGTCCATCTCTTTTCCTCTTCCAAATCGCCCTTCCATTGCGTTCCGTCGAATGACTCTCCATCCCACTTATCCTCGAATGGATGCAACGCCATGTGCATGATACGATTGAGCACATCTCTCTCCCCATCTTTCTCAACCCGTCGAATCAATTCGTCCAGAATCCATCCACGAGGGATAAAGTTGGGATTGACCTGCCTCATCGCCTCGATTCTCTTGGCATCTTGGGCTTCCGCATCAGCACCGTCTGTTACCCAATCCTCAATAATACGACTTCTCCACGAATCCAGCCAAGCGGCTATCTTCTCCCGGGCCTCGGTTTCATCCACAAGCTTGGGTGGGCCTTCGCTGTGGAAAAATACCGAGGCCTTTGCCTTCCTGGCGTCTGGGGTCGCAATCTCATCAAGTCTGATATTGCTCAAGCGGCGGAAGAAATGAGTGAAGTCCAGTTCCAGGGCCTCCATAGTATCGAGGGCCTCGCTGAACAAATTATCAAAGTCCGATTCTTTGTGTTGGCGAAGTCCAAGCCGAGCTGACATTAGCCTCTTATACTCGGCTAGGAAGACGGATTTGAACTCTTCGCCAGCTTGTGTAATAAGCTTTTCTGCGCGGGCAACTATTTCCTTCTCCTGGTCCTCCTTGACACCCTCCGCCTCGAAAGTCGGGTCGTCGACGAGAGATCCAGCCCCGAGGAGCTCGCCTAAAGCTTCACCAAGTCTGACCAGGTTCCACCAGATGATGGTAGGCTGGTTCTTGTAACTGTACCGGAGATTATAGTCGTCATGGTTAGGAGTGTATGCAGGATCGAAATTGTCCATAAATGCAAATGGACCGTAGTCAATGGACAGTCCATACACAGAAGTATTGTCGGTGTTCTAGCAATGCGTGAGCTTCGGTTTCTCTTTTTTCCATCCTTGAGGGTATACATACCAGTACTCCATTCATAAAGCCATAGGCTTGCCAGTTGGCGACCGTCACGGCATTCCGTCTTACAATTTCTCTGTAAAGCCTGGTGAATCTATTCTCGGTTCCATCATTGAGGCCTTGATTCTCAGACGCCGGTACTCCTCTCGTCGGTGGTGGTGATTCCGTGGGGTTGTCGGGGTCGTCCAACCGGCCAGGCAAAGCTTCCCAACCGCCGAAAACATCCTCTGCGATGTAAGTCGATAGCTTTCGAATCAGTGCACGATCACCCCGGGCTCGAAGGAGATCGAAGCTTCCCAGCCGTAACCACGAAGGAGCATAGCGTAGCACAATCGCTCCAGGCTCGATCCTCTCCCGGGCAACCTTCGAATGCGGCAATAATGTGAGAGAAAGCGCTCTGGTAGTCGGGATCTTGAGTGCGTTGAGGGCTTCTGAGACAACAAATTCTCGGATACTGGATCTTAAGACAGCTTTGCCATCCGCAAAGCGAGAGTAAGGTGTCATTCCAGCACCCTTGAGCTGCAACTCGAATCTTTGTTTCGTGGTAGGGTTTGTGGCCTCGAACAACGAAATAACTCTCCCGTCTCCCAGCTGTCCAGCCCACTGCCCAAACTGAAAGCCTCCATAGCACTGAGACCAAGGATAGCCTCCTTGCAGCTTCTCATAGTCCCATCCATAGAGCCGGTTCCCCGCCACCAGCTGCTTGAATTCCTCCGAACTTGCCTCATCAGCTTTGAGTCCCAGATCGCGCAGCGCAGCAGGGCTGACTGCAAGAAGCTCTGGGTCCTTCTGCTCCTCGGGGCGCACCCACGAAAACAGGGCGCCGCGAACTTGTCTGGGTCCGATCTTATCTCTGGGCGTCTTGTGCGAATCAGCAGGAGTCGGGAACTGAGGATCCGGGGGAAGAGCCTCAGTGAAACGCCATGATTTGGGCAGCTCCTCCAACGAAACACCCAGAGTAGACATGCTTCTGGATATTGGCGGAGTTGCGGGTTGACCCAGCCTAGTGGCCACCGGATGCAGAGCGCGCGCTGTCTGGTGTATCCTAGAGGCTGCGCAACGAAGCATCTACCCTGGTGCGGACTGTCGTTGAGGGCGCAATAAAATGCGCAGGTATGGTGTTTGATGGAATCCCTCACCGATAGGGCAGGGCAGGGATTTTCTTTCTTATAAACTGAGCTATTGTCTTCTGCTATGTTCCAGTCGTCCGCGGCATGTGGTGTATGTAAAAGCAAGCTACTGACATCACCTCGGCAGCTATCGGAGCTACGGTTTACGACCCTTCCAGTATAGCCCTACTTAGGTAAGGCACTCAAGGAGCGGGCACTACAATTAGTAATAACGAGGGCTGGCAACTCGCCGTGGAATCAACATCAAGGCATATGAGACAATGGAATATGGGAGTGATGGATGGGTGATTCAGCGCAATCGCCTCCTCTCTCCGAACCCCGGTGGCCGCCCGATAACGCCGAGACCGTGCAAGCCAACCAAGATCCAAGGCGATGGGCAAGCGGATATATCCGAATGAGGGGAAACAGCCGATCGGGGAGACAGCGGAATGCCTCTGGAGGGTTCCGGTGCTCAGCAGCCCATGTGAAGGCCAGTCTCCAGGCCACGCATAGATAAATCCAGATACACCCCGAGCGGTAAGCAGCACAGTTCAGTGCGGCTGTCAACGAGAGCCAGAAGCAGCAATTGGCTATCTAACTAGTTGATTCGCCATACCACAAGTGACTCACGGAACCGATAGGTCGATGACGCCTTCGGAACCTCCACACGTCTATGCTTGTGGGCGCAGTAGAGTAAAGCATATCAAGAGGAGAGTGGGGATACAAGACGAACAGTTGTGACATGTATTAATAATTGCTGTCGCACCTCATATTAATTTTCCCAGCATCTTTCCTTTCGTATCCTAATTTTCAGTTCCCAAGCTATAGAAAACATATCAGAAACCTCTCATCTTCAATCTCAATGGCTTCTCAATCGGCAACCGCAGGGGCTTCCATCCCTACCCTAAAACTCAACGACGGCAATGTAGTTCCGGTGGTACGTGACTCCAATGTGGCTGACATCCTGAGTGATAAATGAATTGGGAATTCAATCTCGTCCTTTCTCTCAGTCGTGATGATTTTAATTGACATAATTGACACATGATTGTATATAGCTTGGGTTTGGTGTGGGCACCGCTCACTTCAAAAGAGGCACTACGGATTTTGATGACAAGGTCCTGGAGGTAGCCAAAATCGCCATTGATGTAGGCTTTCGACATCTAGATGGCGCAGAAGGTATTCGACACACCTTTACCTGCGTACCCCAATGATTCATGAAAAAGAATCATAATTGCTAAACATAAGCAAACACCGGCTAACATCTGCTAGCCTATGGAAATGAAGAAGAGCTGGGCAGGGCTATCAAACAGTCCGGAGTCCCTAGAGAGCAGCTCTTTGTCACGACCAAGATGCATGCTACCAAACCGCAGACCGTCAAAGATGCATTTAATAATTCGTTGACGAAGCTCGGCTTGGAATACGTTGACCTCTACCTTCTCCATGGCCCATGGTACGCCAAAACCGAGGAGGAGCTCCAGGCGAGATGGGCGGACGTGGAGAAGCTCAAGGAGTCTGGCCGAGCCAAGTCAATTGGCGTGTCCAACTTTCTCCAGGAGGACCTCGAGAAACTCCTCAAGACCGCCAAGATTGTTCCTGCAATTAACCAAATCGAATATCATCCTTACTTGCAGCACGGAAGTCTTATCGACTTCCATCGCAAGAACGATATTGCCGTTGCAAGTTACGGGCCTCTGACTCCCCTGACTCGAGCAAAGGGCGGACCTGTGGATGACTTGTGGACGAAGCTCGCTGCTAAGTATGGAGTGTCTGAGTCTGATATTGGCCTTCGCTGGGTCCTAGACCAGGGAATAGTCGCACTCACTACGAGCTCTAACAGGGCAAGACTGGAGGGATACTGGTCCAATGTATTCAAGTTCAAGCTGACTACGGAGGAGGTTGAGGAGATCTCCAAGTTGGGTAAACAGAAGAATTTCCGCGCGTTCTGGCACGATAAGTTTGCCAGCGATGATTTCCGATGAAGAACCATATGGTCACCTTTCATCGCCTACTGGAATGGAAACAAATACTTGCCTCCATCTCAGATGGATAGTAATAATTGCAAGGGAACCGTGGAACAATGAACGGAATTTTTTTTTTGGTTTAAACATTATTTGACGTGATGCATGAACTGAGTTTTAGGGCGGTTATAATTCATCGTCCGAATCTGTCTCACTTTCTACAGGAGCAGGGGCCTTTGTCGAGGCCGCTGCTCTCTGTTTCCCAAACGGTAACGTTCGAGGAGGTGGAGGCTGCGATGCTGTAGTTGGAGGTTTTGTTGCTGGGGCACTGCTTTTGCTTTTGCTCGTGGTCTCCTTGACAGGCACATCGTCCTCCTCGGCATCACTAGTTGAAGCCGTCGCCTCGGAGTCATCTTCACGCTCCGTCTCTTCTGGCTCAGACTTGACCCTGTCCACATCCATTGGCTCAAACTCCTCCTGCTCGGGCTCCTCTTCGACTTTTGTTGGTGGTGCCTTTCTCTTCGACGCTCGCGAAGCAGCAGCTTTACGCCCTTTCTTAGGGGGTTCTGCTTCTACCGGTTCTGCCACTTCAGGAGAGTCATCAACTCTTGTAACAGGTGCACTCTCAATGACTTTCTGCTGTTCCCGGATCTTGACCTTCTTCTCATTTAAGAGATCCCTGAACTTGAAGAGTAGCGCCGTCTCATCCTCATCCTTGGCTTTGATCAGCTCATCGAGTTGGTTCTTTAGATCTGCTATGGTGGACTGCAAGTCTTGAATCTTGGTCGCGGTACTGGCCGTCAGAGCCTTGCTTTCAGCGGCTGCATCCACAGCAGTGGCACACCAATCAAGGACATTGAACCCTGACTCTGGCGCTACGGCGATGGTGATGGCACCGAGCCGTTGCTTTGACGAACATCATATTACTAGGTGAAGATCATTTGAAAATCGGTGGAGCTTACCGTGATTCCCTGCACCGATTTGCGAACGGTGACTGTGATGGAAGTCCCTGTCTCAACCGTGGCAGTGACCTGGATATCAGGCTGGGGCTCCTGGGTGAACATACGTTCTAGGATAGCTTGCCACTCTGATTCCGTCACAGGGCAGTTCTTGACCCGGTGTGACACGACCTTATCGTGCCTTACTATAACGAGTCCACATGGTAAGAGCATGAACGGTCATCAAAACAACGGCGCACGACCCCATAAATACTCACGATTCTGAGCGTACTCCTCATCACCCTCGGTAGCCTCGATCCTGAGATCCAAGGGTTTCGAACCCCGCGAGGCTACATTGAGAAGAACATACCGGGATTCGTCGTCCGTGCGGTCGAATTTGAGTACACGGGATGCTGGTGCCATATCTTGAGATTGCTCCGCATTCACGGCCCGCTGAGAATCCTCAAGGCGAAGCGAGGAATGATGAGAGATTATCAGATGGGCCGAGGCTAGATTGGGAGTGGAGGTGTAATTCGTAAGACTATGAGACTGAGAGAGTGGCCGAGCCAGGCGCACAACGAGGCCGCCGGATAGAGGGTGGTGAGTTGGCGCCACTGGCAGCTGAGCTGAGTGAGCTGGAGTGGTTGTTGTCAGTGCTCTGTTGGTTACAGGGTTCCGGGAGCGACAATATTTACTTGTTGTGTTACAGAAACAAAACAAACAAAGCAAAATAAGCAAGAGGGAAAAGACCTTCAGGTTACTAATTCTACTGCGAATACCTACCAGCCGGACGATGCTATTTTTATGGCGATTCTCACTCCAGGCAGTCGTACTCGCTGCCGGGGATTTGCGCCAGGCTGCAGCGCCTAGTGATTTTGACTCTGATGAGCGCACGCTGCAGCTGCGGAGGCGTGCAGCCACCGATGTCAGCGGGCAGGGTGTACAAGGTACCTAACCCAGGTACACGTCCCCTCCATCAGATAGCTCCAAGATCGGTGTAGCGATTAACGACGCCCTAGCTTTGGCGGGCAATGGGGAATATTTAGTGAATATTTGACACTATCTAGATTCTTGCCCATTCCGATTTCAACGCATGTCAATAATGATTATTGTCGGAACAACCGATTTGTTGAGCCCTTACATACCTTGGTAGGAATCAAGCCATCTGATTCCAACCAATTCCTCACACCGAAGATTTGTGGTGCCTGAGAGCTGGACCTGACAACTGTACTTGATTTCATTTGATTGGCCAGCAGGCACGCATCTGTACCTGAGCTGTCAGCTCTATAATAGCTCGCATAAATTCTAGAAAATTGCCCTTAAACAAATAGGACAGTACGAGGGCGGCTCCGTTGTAACACTGAGGCACGAGTCAGTCCCATACCAAACTATCCGCATGATGGATCTGCAACGATGAAGAAATTGACACAATGCGCCGGAGATGAATCCTCCTTGGACTCATTGTTGATGGATGGTGTGGCAAACTGACGCGACCTCGACGCGTGCAGCGTCAGTTCGTGAGTGCTGGTCAGGCGATCTGGCCAATCGTCAGATGGCCCTGGAACAGGCGGGGCCAGCAAGTCCAGGTCACGTGGAATGTGGGATTCGGCCCGCAGAAGTTGAGCGTTTGGGGTGATCCTAAAGGTTTCGGACCCACTTTACCAGCCACCCTGGGCTTTGGGCACCAGCCATTCTTACAGGTTCTTCCTTCCCACCTACCCACCAACCACCGTCCACCGTCCACCGACCTCCCATCCGAACCACCTGCGAACACCTCCATCGCACACCTTGAATTCTCTTGCAAAATTTTGCACCTCCTTCATCATCCAATCGACGCTTCATATTCTTTCGCCTATTCGAAAGTGACCTTTTTTAAGCATTTTGGTTTTACTCTCACCCGCTGACGCTCTCAATCTCGATCGCGTTTGCTGGCTGAGCCCGACATTTCCAACTGGGTATCTTACGGGCCAGGTTTTCCTGATCCTCCGCCCCGCGAAACACAAATTCCTACGACGACCGACCCTGATTTTGGATGCGATCTCTTCCCTAGAGACCATTCAGCCGACTTCCTTGCGCGCCGTTTCGACCCGAGGAAATGCGAGAGTGTTTGGCGAATCATCGCGCGATGACAATCGTCTCACCTAATTGACACTCTGCCAACTCCTCGTGTCTGATTAAGCTTTGCGCTTCACCAAACCCTATTTGCGCTACATATTCAGCATATTCACATTACAACACTATGGAGACGCTACGATTGAAGGTCCGGCAGCCAGCCGAGGACCCCGTTGAGAACTGGGATGATGGCGACTTCATGATGGATGGGGACGATTTCGCTCTCCGAAATCACTCAGGTGCAAGCAGACCGCCTTCGCGCCGCCGCGACTCCGGCTCATCGCATTTATCTTTGCGATCAGATCTCGAGTCCTGGACTGGTGAGGATGAGAGGCAGGTACACATTCCTGGAGATGATGAGAAGTCAACTTCGGATGCAATCTTTGCCGCCCAAAGTGCCGGTATTCCTCTACCAAAGAATATCCCTTCTTCGGCCCTGATGGGCGGCACTATTAAGAGACTTGGAGGCAAGAAGATCCGTAAAATCATTCAAGAAGATTGGGAAAACGATCTAGAACTCCCCGACACAACCCAAGGGCTCAAGATCAAGTTTCAGAGGCACAGCGAATTTCCTGAGACACTGCGCCAGATCAGCACTGGCTCTGTACATTCTAGCCCCGTCAAGATGGGTCAAACAAGCCCGCGGGCTCTTGGTCAGGCTCTTGTGCCTAGGCCTGGCATGATAAATCTCTTGGACAAGTTCAAGGATAACGAAGATGATGATTTCTTTGGAGACGGTTGTGAAACCATCAAGATTTCTAAGCAAAGACCTGCACCTAAACCAGTATCTCTCATCACTCCCCCAACGCCTTCAAAGAGTGAGGGTCTTCTGGAGAATGAGGATGATTTTGAGAAGGATCTCGAACTGCCTTCGCATGGTAAGCTTCAGCTATCAACTAGAAGAGATATCCCGAAGACTCCATCGGCGTACTCCGATGATCTTGACTGGGGTGAGGGCAGCCTTGGTACAAGATTCGGAGGCACACGGCGTGACGGGCGATCTAACAGGAGCTCCTCCGCGTCTGCACTTAGTCCAAGTGTTTCGAGTTCAATTACTATGGAAAGCGAGGATGAGACATTTGATGGACTTGTCCTGCCTGCCGGCCCAGTCAACTTCCAAGAGAGACTTCAACAACGCAAGAAAAGCCGTTCCCCCCAACGTATTCCTGAGGAGGGACCATCACCCCCTAAGCGGACCTCGACAGCAGAGGCCGATAAGCCCGACTTTTTAGACGGGCTCGACTTTGGCGACGGAGACCCTTTCAACGCTGGAAAGCTCACTCTCCATAAAAATATCAAAGTGAAGGAGACTCGCCCCAGTAGCCCTGCTCGCCCTAAAACGGCAATATCCTTAACCTTCACAAACAAACCAGTTAACACGCGAATTCCTCGCCTTAGCCATGAGCGGGCACACTCGACCTCCTTGGAACCAGTATCCGAGAGCGGCGGGCCCATCCCGCCACGCACTCGCCGACCACAATCTCGTATGGGGCATAGCTCCCAATCATCTGTGACGAGCATCCCTACTCCCACGACGCCCTCACCTAACCAACGCTTCCCCCCATCTACACCTAGTAGACGGGAGCTGGCGAGCAAAATGTCAACCCCCTCTATGCGGGCGGAACCTACCACCACAAGTGCCCAGCTTTTGAAGCAGAAGCGATCCCTCCCAGCCATCAGAGCCATGGCTTCCAAGAATTATCGTTTTGACTCTTCAGCATCAAGACTGGACCATCGCTCTCAAACTGGGGTGCGACCTAAAACTCCTGTCGAGCCAACTCCACGAGCATCAATGGATAGCTCAGCTCAACCAACAAGGAAGAAGTCTCAGCCATTTTTGCCCGCTGGAGCCTCATCGTCTCAGTCACAGCATGTCAACGCCAAGTCTGTACGCCAACTCCGTCGCCACGATTCGGACAATGCGCTCGACCTTCGACCTCAGTCTCGGGCATTTTCACGGTCAACTATGCGAAGCCCAAGTCCTCAACAGAGGCTTAGGGTTGCAGCTGACACATGGGAACGCTTGAGCAGACCCAAAACGAAAAAGCAGTTTGGAGACGGCCATGAGCTGGATGCGTTTGATGACCTGCCAACTTCCAAAGAGACGGAGACTAGATTTTTGCGTCAGCCAGTTGGAACGAATGGCAGCAACAAGCCTTTGCTTCGTCGAGCCGGTCCTAGTATAACCGATCGGATGAACACTCCTAGTCCACACATGAGTACCAAGTCTTTATCTACACCTCGCTTTGCACGGGATACTACCGCAAGTCGCATTGCGCGTGAGACATCGCTAGCCAACCGCAACTCGATAAATGGACCGCTAGCACCCGTCAATGCTCAGCGTGCTGTGCAATCATCACCAGCACAGGCACCGGCACTTTCAATCCGGACTACACCAAACATCCAGTCATCCGCAGTTCGATCCAAGAAGTCGAAACGTCCGGTTCAGCAAAAGCCGCATCTCATCTCAAACTTGAATGCCGGCAAGGAATCGAAGAGTAAGTTTTTCGAGGTTGCTCTTAACTCCAGCGAGAAGTCGATGCTAACAAAGTATGTAGCGGTGAATGGAATGTTTTACAATGCGGACACATATCGCTGGGAGGGCAATGAGAATGCCCTGAGCGCATTTGACGCTGGGGTTGTTACACCAATTGCAGCTCCGTCGGCCCATGTGCGTGAAAACTCAACCACGACACCACGCCCGGCACTTATTACCAATATCAGCACGACCAAAGGCGTGCAGGTGGTCAACGGAATGGTGTTTGACCCTTCAAGTATGTGCTGGCTCAAGCTGGGAGCACAGCAGGAGGGTCCAAAATCAGACAAATCCGACCCACTGGAGAATTTCAATGCCCTTGATGATGATGAAGACGTCTTCAAGGATATTCCTGACCTTGAAGAAATGACTGGGGACGAAGAGGGCCAAGGCCGTGTTAGCGACATCAACGATGACTGGCTAGTTGGCGAAGAGTTTGACGTTGGTCCTGAGTTTATCAGACGACAACGTGAGGAGGAGGATAGATGGCGCAAGAAGTGCGGCAAGTGGGCTGGTCGTGGCACCCGAGACCGTGAGAGCTGGCGATGGACTATTCGTGAGCTCGTCTCTCAGTTCGACGAATTGCCCATGTGAGGCCCTGCGGCAATCTTTCGAACCGCTTCTCGGATTTCTTCCTACGAACGACCATTCTACGACCTTTTGTAATATTGATACTCTTATGATTGATGAACAACAAGACACCGACACGAATCGGAATGACGACGGAACATTCAAAAGGACAAGAATCCTACACCGAATAGACAAGACATTTAACGACAGCGTTTTGCTTCTTACCTGGCTGGTACAAACCAGTTAAAATACCAAAATCACCGACATTCATTTGAAGAGGAGCATGAGGATGACCTCTGCTCGACACCAATATCTTTCTTATATCCACCTTGTATTTTATGAATGATGATGACATTGGGCGGCTAGAGATTCTCGGACGAGAAACCAAAGGGGAGGGAGCAGGCTTTTGTGTGTTTGCTTCTTCTTTTAGCCTTATATTGCACGATGCGGGGGAGTAATGACGATACGAACGATGTGCTCATGACGAATTGTCACCTACAATTCACACTATTCTCTTTTGTTCACGGCTTCACACTTTTTCTATAGTCCTTTTAATACTCGTCACCTCACGGTGTAAACATTGAAAAGAACATCTTTTGCAGAACGGTCAGTCGCATTGATAATGAGTGAAGTGTGCACAATGCTTGTGGAATGATTCGCGTAAATTAACATTTGAGGACCTCTTTTCTATCTACATGCTATCTAAATTACTTGCTCGACTTTTTCGACTTTTTACCGGCGCTGTGAGGATCCAGACCGCGTCTCCTCATGGCATTCCTCCTTCCCTTCTCAATGTACTGCTCATCCTCGTCCTCGTTCCACCCGCCAAAGTCGTCGTTCTTGGCCTTGTCATCCTCGTCATCGTCAAGAGCGATGGGAGTCCTGTCGATGACCTCGGCGGAGGAGTCGCCTCCCGAGGACCTCTCGCGGGGCGCGCTGGCCTTGGCCGGCGTGGGGCCAATCTTCTGGAACTTGGCGACGAAGAAGCCGTCCACGTTGTAGCTGTGGGGGTAGTAGCGGCGGGTGAGGCTCATGCTGGGGTCGAAGGACTTGCCGCGGAAGCTGGTGAAGCCTTCCTTCCCGAAGGCGAGGTTGGTCTCGACGAGCTTGACGTTGGGCCGGCGCTTGAGGGCGTACTGGACGACGGCCTCGTTCTCCTCGATTGTGACGGAGCAGGTCGAGTACACGATGTAGCCGCCCGTCTTGGAGTTGTGGGCGACGGAGTCGATGGCGGCGAGGATCAGCTGCTTCTGGATGTGTGGTAGCTGCATGAAGTCGAGCTCCGTCTTGTTGGTCTTAACGCTGGGGTCCTTGGCGATGACGCCAGTGCCGGAGCAAGGGGCATCGAGCAGGACTCGGTCGAAGCCGCCCATGGGCTTGGGGAACTCCCGAGCGTCGTAGTTGGAGACGATGACGTTGGTGGCACCGAGACGGTGAATGTTACCAATGAGACCCTTGGAACGAGCCTTGTTGGGATCGTTGGCAACGATAATTCCGGTATTCTTCATCATTGCGGCCATGTAGGTTGTTTTACCACCGGGGGCAGCGGCCATATCCAGAACCCGCTCGTTCTCCTGGGGGTCGAGAGCCATGCAGGGTAGGAAAGAGGATGCGGCTTGGAGGATATAGTGACCGGCGAGGTACTCGGGCGTAGCACCCAGGGGCACTGAGCTCTCAAAGACTTGCAGGCCGACCTTGGACCACTTGCCTACAGGCTCGAGGGTAACACCACGGTTGATAAGCGCCTGAGCAAGCTCTCGTCGGTTGGCGCGAAGAGTGTTTGTACGGATGACAACTGGACGTGCGGTTTCGTTGGCCTCGAAAAAGGCAAAGGCCTCACGGGGGGTGAAGAGGTTGTAGAGCTTCTCGGCAAGGTATTCAGAGTAGCCGTAGTAGGCGCAGACGTCCTTGAGCAACTGCGCAGTGTACTCGGCACGCGAGCGGCCCTCTTGGCGGAGGTTGCTGAAATCATCCAAGACTCGGATGTTTTCTGTGATTCTTGTCCGTAATAGCTGCAGATCAGGAGCCAGGAACTCGTTCTTCTCGGCTTCGAGATCGTCGTCCTCATCTGCCAGGACCTTGGGCTTATCCCCGCTGATGTTGGTCTGTAAGGCACTTTGGAGCATTTCTTCCTCGTTTGCCGCGGCTTCCTCCTCCAGCTTCTGGTCCAGTTTCCTCGACAGACCAACAATGTTGGCGGCTGTGAGCTTCTCTTCGGCGTCTGATTCATCTTCATCCTCGGACCACATGGCTTTGGTCTGGCCACCCTCGTCGTCGGAGTCAAAGACGGAGGAATCAGACCCCAGGAAATCGTCGCCAATCTTCTGAACTTCGTCATCCGAGCCGTCGGCCTCTAGGTCTTCCATGTCAAACTCATCATCATCCTCCTCTGATTCCTCAAGCAGAGGCTTCTTGGATGCCTTTGACTTTGACGACTTGCCGTTGGCCGTGGGCAACTCCTTGGCTCCCCTCGCGGGTTTTGAACCTTTTGATGTCGATCCAGACTTCTTGGATGCAGAACCATTGCTCTTGGGTTCAGGCTTCTTCGCCGTCCTTCTTCTCTTGTTCTCCGGGGCTTCGGTCGGCGCATCGACGGGCAGGCCAGCCTTGCGCTTGAGCTTTGCGAAATGCTCCTCGGACAGCGGCTGAGGAGGGCCCTGCTTCTTCATTCGTCTTCCAACACCCATCTTGTAGACGCGCTGCTTCCCAATCGACAGTTCGTGCAGGAGCGAAAAGGAATAAACAATGTAGGCCGGAGAATTGACGTTTTGCGTCGTCTTCACCAGGAACCTCTGTTTGATGGCTAAGTACGATACCGACGAGGCCCCACCGAAACTTTTTTTTCTTCAGAAGGTTTGGGCAGGGGTCCGATAAGATCGGAGAATCTTCGTATCGGGATGCGATGGGGCAGATGGGTGACAAAAACATGGGACACCTAAGACAGCATCTGACTTGGAAGTTGGAACTTATAGACCTATAACTACTCAATTGACTACAATGACAACTTTAGAAGGAATGAAGAATTAATTGATACTATATCCTACCGTATGAATAAGTTATAGTCCGAAGCCAATGCCAGCGAGGTTGGTGCCTTATGTTTAATGTCATGCAATTGATGAGCAGCTGCCCCACGTGATAAGTGAGTGCCGCTCTGCCCCACCAGTCGCTGATGCTGGACATCATCACTCGCAGCTCCGAGCGCAGGACCAGGACAACTTGGCTTTTCGGGACACTAGGCAAGCCTAGCTTAAACGTTCAACCTTGACATACAGCGACGGTCATTTCCTGGGGAACACGCTTGAACGCTCAATTACTCGGAATCCGAAAGCGACCCTATCCCACTGGGCAACTCAACCACCCACCTTCCCCACACTGCAACGGCTTCAATTCCAGACCAAGATGGCCGAAGTATCATTTGCTTCCACCTTCCTCACGACGCTCGATGCGCGACCGATCAAGCTACCGGCCGATTATGTCGAGGATGCGAGGAAGTATCCAGGGCGCCAGCCCGTACGTTACGCCCCTCCCCTTCCCTCCAGCCTACCGATAGGGACTCGTCGAGCCAATAGCTCTAACATCACATATTCTAGTACATCCTCCCCCGGATGCCCAAGCCCATGAGCAAGCCCACGAACCTCGCCCCCGGCCAGGAGCGCAGCGTCAAGGTCACCCTCAAGTCCGCCCGCAACCCCCCGCTCGACATCAAGCTCACCTCCCAGCCCCTCGACACGTCCATCCTCGACCTCAAGGCGCAGGTCCACGCCCAGACGAGGGTCCCCGTCGAGAAGCTCAAGATCCTCCACAACAAGAAGCCCGTCCCCGACAGCAAGGTGCTCAAGGAGCTGCTCGGGGACGCGGACACGTCGGTCGAGTTCACGCTCATGGTCATGGGCGGCGCCGCCGCCATCCCGCCGCCCGAAGAAGAGAGCAGCAGCAGGCCCCTGGTGGTGGCGCCCACCGGCGCGGATGCGCTGGAGACGAGCCTCTTCTGGCAGGATTTAAAGGGGTTCCTATCACAGCGCCTCAAGGACGACGCGGAGGCAGAGAAGCTGTCTACGTTGTTCAAGTCGAGCTGGGAAAGTAGCAAAGCTGAGCCATAGAAGTGCGCATGGTGGGCAGATAACCAGAATAGTACAGAAGCAGAAGAAGAAAAAAAGATCAAAAAGTAATTAACGGAATGACAGAACCAAGGAAAAATTTGGCATGCTGCCTGTGATTTTTTATTTCCATAATACGGTATATCATCATGATGGGGCTGGCCAAATCTGAGAATGTATGCACCTGGTCCACGGGAAGCCCTTAGACGAGACCATCCTAGGAGGTCGCCCTACAGCTACTCTATCTCTCTTCGACGTTTCATCATCGTTTGTCATGACTGATTGCTCCAAGACGGAAGAGCCTCCAGGAAGCACATTAAAGTATTCGCTCTCAAGGACAGCGCCGGGGAACGGCGGGTCAGTGGAATCGTTTAACCAGCAAGGCCCTTGCTGACGGTCTTGATGATGGAGTCATATTCAATGTCATCGGGGTCGTTGGCCTGCAACTCTGTGGCGATACCAGTCAGAGATCGCTTGAGGGCGTCCTTGGAGGAAGCGTAAATCATCTTGGGCTGTGAAATTGGCGGTCAGCATCATGGGCGCTTCACTATGCGGGGTGGACGTTATTGACGCACCTGAACACCGGCATCATCAGGAGACCAGGCAAGGAAGGTAAGCTTGTTGCTGCAAAGTCTGTCAGTCACAGATGCCAGAACCACCAGGATCTAAATTTTTGGGTTACGGCATACCGGAGACCGTCGCCAGAGGCAAGGCTGTACTCGAAGTCGTAGACGGCGTAACGGGGACCCTTGCCGACAGCACCCTGAGGAATTGCGAATTAGCCAATAGATCCAGCAGCGGCCGGTGCGGGACAAACGCCAAGGCGAGACGTACGGATCTGCTCTTGGAGGTGGCATTGATGAGCTTCTCCCGGAAAGCCTCCCAGTCCTTGCTGTCAGAGGCTTCCTCGACAACAATCTCCTTGTAATCGTCTGACAGCTTGTAGATGATGAACTTGTACTTCTTGTTAAGCTTCAGGTCATTGTAGGCAGTGATGCACTCCTGCGAGACGGTCGCTCTGTTAGGTGAAAGGTTAGCGCCGTGGTGTGGTCATGCAGACGTCTCGATGAGCTCCTCTGTACCCCGCGGCTCCGTCATTGTCGGCGCGCGCCAGACAGTCCGGGAGCGGGGTAGCAGTTGAAAAGGGAGCGTCGAAAACGAGGGAGAGGAGATGAGACGAACCCGGATTGAGACTGTGAAGAGACGTTAGAGAATCAAATGCTTGGGTACATGAGGACATGATGGCTTACCATGGTGGGCTGTGAGGACCGGAATGAGGGGGGCGGGACTAACAGCTGGGTCAGTTCAGGTGGCTGCAAGACGAATTAAGAGAACAGGTGCGCACGAGGCGGATTAAATAATGGTGGAGGAGGAGGGGAGAGAGGAGAGGAAGAAGACTCACCGAGGGAGGGTACAGAAGGCTTGCGTATATATTCGGGGGCAATCCTTAGTAGGCGTTGCGTGGACAGGAAAGACAGGTATCGCAGATGGAGGGGGAACTAGATTGATGAGGCAGGCAAGGTGGTAGGCAGTAGGGTAATCAGCTGCGGTGGGACCCGGTGTCACAGACGAGAAAAACACTCCACAGTGGCTGGCCATGGTGGGGGGTTGCCTGTGAGATGGGCGCACGTGATCCGGAGCTTGCTCTGTGAGCTGATTTCGACAACAAGGAACAGAGCGCAGGGCATTGGAGCTTGGGCAGCTGATGACGACAGTCTCCCGGCCCCAGGCACCAAAATATCGGACGCACAGGCATCACGACACCGGGCAGGCATCGACAATCTCCTTACTATCTCAAGGCAGCAGGGCATTCATTCTTCGTCTCCCGCCAGCTCCATAGCTTCCCGACACCCGTGTCTCAGCTATCAACTAGGCAGCGTCATATGTATTTTAGCTTCTTCACGTTTTCGACGACTCTCCATAGTTGGTATTAATACAATATATTGATTCATAACTGGCAAGTGTACATGCTATGTATTATACAGGGTCCCAACAAGTTGCCTGAAAATCATCCAGAGGGTATGAAAACACGTCTACACCAACGTAGACAAGGAGAGGGGAGATTTGCAGGGCCACTTGATCCAACCGACCTTCCTTGGTAAACACCGAAGCCATGCACCATCAAGCCTGGTACCTTTTTAATGCTACAAACACAGGGCCGTTCTTTTCATCTTTTCTCATGATTCGCGTTTTGCCGTTTACATCATACCGCCCATACCGCCCATGCCACCCATGCCTCCCATGCCGCCCATAGGAGGACCAGCAGGCTTGTCTTCGGGGGCCTCGACGATGGCAACCTCGGTAGTTCCGAGGAGAGAGGCGACACCACTGGCGTCAATGAGACCAGTGCGGACGACCTTGAAGGGATCCAGGATACCGGCGGAGATCATGTCAACGTACTCGCCCTTGGAGGCGTCGAAACCCTTGTTGAAGTCGCTAGCGTGCTCGTCAGTCAGCTTGCCAACAATGACGGAGCTCTCGAGGCCAGCGTTCTCAATGATGGCACGAGCAGGGCGGGTAATGGCGCTCTTGATGATACCGATACCAAGCTGCTGGTCGAAGTTGGCGGGCTTGAGGCCGTTCAGAGCCTGGGCGGAGGCCTTGAGGAAGGCAGTACCACCACCGGGCAGGATACCCTCCTCAACGGCGGCGCGGGTAGCGTTCAGAGCATCGACGAAGCGATCCTTCTTCTCACCAACCTCGACCTCGGAGGAACCACCGACCTTGATGACGGCAACACCGCCGGAGAGCTTGGCCAGACGCTCCTGGAGCTTCTCCTTCTCGTACTCGGAGGTGGTAGGATCGGCGATGACACCGCGGATCTGCTCGCATCGCTGAGCAATGGCGTCCTTGCTACCCTCACCGTTGAGGAGAATGGTGTCCTCCTTGGTGATGGTGATGGAACCAGTGGTACCGAGCAGATCAGGGGTAGCCTTCTCGAGCTTGATGTCGAGCTCATCGGAGAAGACGGTACCGTTGGTCAGGACAGCGAGATCGCCGAGGATGGACTTGCGGTTGTCACCGAAGCCGGGGGCCTTGACGGCAGCGACCTGGAGCTGACCACGGAGCTTGTTGAGAATACAGACGGCAAGAGCCTCACCGTCAATGTCCTCAGCAATGATGACAAGAGGGCGTCGCTGCTGGGTAGAGGCCTCGAGGGCAGGGATGATGTCCTGGACAGCGGAGATCTTCTTCTCAGAGAGGAGAATCAGAGGGTTCTCAAACTCGACCTTCTGGGACTTGGTGTCGGTGATGAAGTAGGGAGAGACGAATCCACGGTCGAATCGCATACCCTCAGTGACCTCGAGCTCATCCTGCATAGTCTTGCCCTCCTTGACGGTGATGACACCCTCCTTGCCGACCTTCTCCATGGCATTGGCTATCATCTTGCCGAGGTAGTGGTCGCCATTGGCACTGATGGTAGCAACCTGAGCGATCTCCTCGCTGGTGGTGATGTCACGCTTGTTGTTCTGGAGAAACTCGACGACAGCGTCGACAGCAGCCTGGATACCACGGCGCAGGTCCATGGGGTTGCAACCGGCGGCAACGTTCTTGACAGTCTCGGAGAAAATGGCACGGCCGAGGACGGTGGCAGTGGTGGTACCGTCACCGGCAACTTCGTTGGTCTTGGAGGCGACGTCCTGGAGAAGACGGGCACCGAGGTTCTCGAACTTGTCCTTGAGAACGATGGACTTGGCAACGGTGACACCGTCTACAATTATAGTTAGAAAGCTGCATACTCGCACGGGCGTTTGATCTGATAGTGCTGCTTACCCTTGGTGATCTTGGGGGAGCCGAAGCTTGACTCAATCAAGACATTTCGGCCCTTGGGTCCCAGAGTGGTGGCAACAGCCTTGGCGAGAGTGTCAACACCAGCGAGGAGGGCAGCACGGCCCTCGACACCGAACTTGAGCTCCTGATTTCATTGTTAGTTGAATTTCTATCCGTCGTCACCGCTGAGTGCCATACCTTGTGGGCGAAGCGCAGCTGCTGGCCGAGACCAGCTCCAGCTCGGTATCTGGAAGCGGCAGAGAGAGCCGAAGCTCGGGTCCGGGAAGACAATGCGCGCTGCATCTTGGTGTGTGTGTGTGGGAGGGTGAATTATGAGGAGAATATACAATTGTTACAAAGAGAGCGCTGCTTTCGCTATAACAAAGGACAAGAGCTCCAACCGATGATTGGGGGAGAGGACGCGGGATCCGGGGATAGAAGGGGAGAAAGAAGAAGAACTCGGTCTGGCTTGAGTGGAAGCATCTTGAAGCTCCAAAAAAAATTGTCACGGAGATCGGCTAAACCTCCACCCAGTAACGCCGCTAGAACCAAACTGGCTTGCAACCCCACCTTGCAGCACTTTCGGATTCCACCCCCTTCCAATGCCCATTCTCGATGCATATTGCCGGCATGAAGCCTACATATGCGATGCGAGCCTGTGCCTGTCTGGGGTGCGGTGGTGGTTCTGTTCTGGATTTTTCTCTGACCGCTTGCTTCAGCAGCGTGTGCATAATTAAATCCACCCATACCCGAGGCTAGGTCTCTGGCTCGGCATTGGAAATGTCTGTGCCCTGATTGGACCCACAGAAGTGTCAATTCACCTCAGAACACGAACACATTTATCGCTGTTCATATTGATGTGAAGTTGTGCTTGGCTGAAAATGAAAACTAGGTACATTTCATGATGCACCCTATTTGGAACTTCTGTATATCTGTAGTTAAGAGCAAATGAAACTCCTTAAATATGCCATGTGATGGCCATCTTTTCCCTGTCAGCAAATATAGTTGGCCATTCTGTTCGGCGCAAATAACGAGAAATAAGAATCCAGTACCAGTAACTTTTTAAGCAATGTGCCTTAGAGGCACTCACCCACCAACCCTTTTTGGCTGTCTGGCTTTTTTCTAACCGTTTCCTTTTTGTTTTACCTCGTTGTAACAGAAGATCCAAGCTGTAACCTGGTCCAATCGTTGTACGCAGACGAAACAATAATGAAGTCGGCTGTCTAGATGATTGCCACTGACTTCATGAAATACAATGTATAAATGAAAATGATGCCCTGTGTCTTGTTTGTAAATGAAGGAAATCCTGTAAGCGCCGCAAATGCAATCCGTTCTCTCTTTCTCTCTTACTCGCTTTTTTTTCGGTCCTTTTTTGGTTTGTTGAGATGGAAGAAGTGCGCAACTGACAAACCGAAAGGAATCACTAAATGGTGAAACCATGAAGTGTGTACCCCAGGGTCAGTTCCGTGTTCTGATCACTCCTCATCCTCCTCAAAGAAAGTCTGAAAAGAGCCTTCACTCTCCTCGAGTAAAGTTTGAAAAGAATCTTCATTCTCTTCGGGCAAATTCTGAAGGGGCTCTTCCTCATCTAGTAAATTGTGAAAAGAGTCTTCATTCTCTTCGGGCAAATTCTGGAATGGCTCTTCGTTCTCCAGCACAGTCTCAAGGGAATCTTCGTTTCCCAGTACAGTCTCAAAAGAATCTTCGTTCTCCTGTACAGTCTCAAGGGAATCATTGTCCCCCTCAAGTAGAGTTTGAAGGGAAACCTCTTCGCTGAGGTCGGCATCCTGTTCACTGGCGGTCAGACTGTGTTGCCTGCCCTTCTTGAGGGGTGCTACTCACAAAAAGGTCATCCATGTTGGGCTGCTCCGACTGCACATCTTGAACAACAAAAGAATCATCACCGCGAGGTGATTCTCCCTTGGGATTCACTGGTGTCTGCTGGCGAGCTCCCTGCATTGGAGGCCCATAGGCAAGGTATGGGTTCATTGGAAACGGCATCCAGGGGTATCCGTAAGGGTAGTTGGGATGGGGGAGCATAGGCATAGGCCCGGCTGTTCCATTTTTGGCAGAGTGATTTGCTTGTTTCTCTGATGATGATTCATCTTGCCCTTGAGGCTGAGCGAATGAGAAAGGATCACTTGGCATGGCCTGGTTGTACATCATCGGGTTCGGGAATGAAGCGCCTGGGAAATAAAATCCAGGATACTGGCCATCATTCTCTCCGTGGTATTTGTGAGGCGAATTGCCATTGCCGGGGAAGAACTTCTGAGATGTGGTTAGTAACTCCGAATCAATATACCTGCTTGGGCGGTTGAACTTACCTGATCAGCTGGAGATGGCATTGCGCCCAGAGCAGGATAGCCTGGCTCGGAATCAGCGAAAGAGACAGGTGCCTGGAGCTGAGCGTATGCATTGGAGTTAGGCTGGGCATGGTAGAATGAGTTCATGGACTTGACAGAATCGCCGGAAGGACTAGTCGAGTTCATTTGAGATGGGCCATCCTCGTTGTCACTGTCTTCAGTATCGTTGAGCTCACGCTCAGTACTCTCGGCAATGACATCGAGGTTGTCCATACTGGGAAGATTGAACTTGCGGTCATCCATGATTTCATCGTAGGGCACAGGCCGAACAGACTCTTTGTCTTCACCGTCCATGTCCTTGCGGACGTAGCCTCGGACAGTTGGGTCAGTGGATTCAGGAGGGACGGCACCATTGCGTGAAGTAGCTGGCGGAACGAGGTGGCCCTTAGCAACCAGTTCTCGCCGGATCCTGTTAAGATGCTGAACAATGGCTGCGCCGGAGGATCCTGGATGAAGACGATGAGCCACATAGTCCCAGGGAACCTGAATCTTGTGGCGTGCAAGTTCATACTGCATGTGCAAGAGAAGTTTCTCCGCCATGCGAGGACCTGTGAAACATGTTAGTAAAGCCTGTTAAGTAAAGGAAAAGGAAGAAAGGGAGAAGGAGAAGAGATTATGGTTGAGGTAAAAATTCACTTACGTCCCCAAACGATCAAGTTCCGACCAGGAACGCGGCCGTTGGACTTTCGTTCTTCAGCAGTGGGAGGACGATGGGTAAACCCGCTGCGTGGTGTTCGGTTTCTGGACGATGCCGACTTGGCAGGCGATGGTGAAGGCGTCTGCTCAGCCTTGAGGCTCTTTGAGGCTGAGCGTCGAGTTGCAATTGGCGAGCGACCATCCTTGGCCGGTGTTCGCTTCGCTGCTTTAGAACCCATCTTGATGAGAGTAGGTTCGAGTGTTTTTCGTAACTCTGCTTATGAATGTGTTAGAGAATCATGCTGAATTTGAAATGGTAAACACGAGTAATTGGGAGTTGCGTCTCACTCACTTTTGAAATCTATCAAAACGAAGCGGAAAATCAAAAAGTCTTTCCAGGCGGATACGAGTGATGATGGTTCGCTGTTGCTTTTGTGATCTCTATATTGCCAGCAATACAGAGAATCGTGTCAAATTCGAGTGAAATCAAAGAGAGGATGATTGCTTGGAGAGAATTCTCAAGTTGGGATGAACGTCTGATGGTGTTGAGGATGAAACAGCCGCAGAGAACGGATGGTAGAACTCTGCGGAGGAAGAAAAGAAATGAGAGAAGGTGAAGGACACGGGAAAGAGAAAGAGGCTGGTTGGAGTCGACGGCTCAACATCTACACGAAGTCACTCTGGTTTCCATTGAGACTGTTTGCGCAGCGGCGTGGGGGGCTGGGACCTAACAGACGGGCAGTTGGTAACAGTCGCCAGAGACGCGGACTCGACCGCGCTAAGGCGAAAGAATAACATGTACCGACGGGTGAAGCAGCCTATTGGGTAATCGTATTCACCCATTGTTCAATCAGTTACGTCAATAGGTAGCTGTCTGTAGGTACCTATTCATCAGTGTGCCTCAGGTACCGTCTGGCGGGCAATGTTACGCCCAATGCATTGTTGGAACCCGGGCTCTACATTGATCATTTGGCTGGACTCGTGAAGTTTCCTCTCGCCAGAGAGAAATATCCATTTTTTGCTTGACTTTCGAGGGCGACGGTGACACTCGACTAGGAATGAACTTTGGCCTGCAAATATGAGAAACTCAATGGCAAACAGGAGAGGAGGCAAGAGTAGGATGAAGTTGGAAAACAGAAAGAACAGCACATGGTGCTAATTTTATACAAGCCTCAAACAGGGTAGCCGTGCCTTCCCATTTTATGACTTCTATCTTGCCTGCGGGTACTTCAGCATTTTGTAGGTAGTGGGAACCCGGGACCAGCCGCAGCCGCGGGGATGTGCGCACTCGTTGATTTCTCACGCAAGAAAACAGAATCCAACATTAGGTAGCTGGTGTGGAATTTTGATTATTGGGCTTCTGTCATTATCTTTTTAATACCACAACGAAACCTATTGTCTGGCGATTCGTGAGCATGTATCTAGGTACCATTCACTGCAAACCTCCCCATGGTAGAAGACCTAGGTCAACGCCATTGTCCTCTCAATGATTTAAATACTAGAGTGAACAAAGTGAACGCTCAATAGGCTGAAGAATATTGAATGGATTCATTATTCAAAGGGAAACTGAATCCCATTAGTCAAGGTCGATTCATTCGATGTTGAGGTCGCGTCTCGTCATTGTAGCTCTGCCAGGCGCAGAGTCTTTATCAACATTGAGGCTTGGAGACAATGATAACGAAAAGGAACCTTGATGGATAGGGGGCCTGGGCTCGCCTCCAACGCTTCTCGCTCACAAAACGCCACTTCTTCTTCCCCTTCATCTTGCTTCCCATCCCCTCTCTGGAGCAGAGGAAAGATGGGAGATCAACCTGAGACCCTTTTAATGCCAAATTGGTCAGATTTCTTACGCCCCTCATACTTTTCAGGTAATTTCCTCCCGCAGAACTTGACCAAGTACCTGTAGTAACTTCCCACGCTGACTTGACCTTTGCAATAGCTACTGACCTCCCTCCCTCAGGACTTGCGAACTGTTGAGCCTTGTGATGGGCTCAGCCACCCACCCACACAATTGCTCAACAAATCCACTAAAGGTACGTGAATTTTCATTTACTGAGTCTTGCGAGACAATCCGGTTGACTCTTAATTCTATGTAAGGGTTCGCTCTAAGAATACCCACCACATGCCCCTTTGCTCGCTCAGGCGTTGGTCCACACCTCGGATGTCGGATTTTCCCTCCTAAATATCACGGAGACTGGAGTGTACTTGGTTTGCATTTCAATGCGGCGGGCATAGATGATCGCATTTTGCTAAACATGACTTGCATTTTCTTTCGTAATGTATCCTCCATGGCTGATGAGACTCTGAGTTGACTAAATATATAGTCACAAAATAGAAATTCACAATTCAGGAGTCTTGGGTATCAAATTGAACGCAAGAAAAACACTTTTCCTCCTATATCTGCCTTTAAGCCACTCCGTGAGAGCACTCCCCAGTTCTTTTCATCGAGTCATGATGGATGGCCTCACGCGATGCCAGAATTTCCTCAGCCCATCTCGGGTACCCTTTTCTTCCTTTGCAAAACTTTGCTCAGGACTCAAGCAGCCGGCTGTCTGTAGTTTTGAGACGATGGACGCTGAAAGTAGATCATAGTTTATGGCTTGGTTGCTTTGAGTGTTCTCTTGACGCCGCTGTAAGAGAGAAAGAACTGCTTCTTGTTGGGCCTGGAGGACCTGCTGGATTGCTGTCTCTGTTTGCTCATGGACGGCTCTCTGCACAGCTTGTTCGACGACGTATGGGAGATTCATGGCGAAATGAGAAAGATGGGTGACGATTCCAGTAAGGAGGGCTAGATTCTCTCCGGAGGTCTGGATCGCCTTAGACTGGGGATTGATCATGGCACTGAGGGCTCTGACCAAGTCTTGCTGGTGGTTGAGGAGCTTGTCGTACTCAGAAGTGTGCGTCTTTAAAAGCCTGTCGTACTCGGAACTTTGCGTCTTGATAAGCCTATCATACTCAGAATTGTGTGTTCTAAGTTGCTGAACGTTGAATCGAAGAGGCTCGGCGGCATCGACCATAGTCTGGTCCGCTGCTTGACCAACAATAGAGAGTATACTCTCACCAAAACTCTCGATATCGCTCCGCGCCGATGACGGGCGCTCGGCGGTATTTGAGTTGGCGTCGAAGAATCGCTTTTCCGTCCCGAGGGTGTTCAAATAGTGGTGCACCCTGCGTACCGCTTCTTGGTGGTTCTCCTCATCGTCGTGAAAAGAATCACGGTCCTTGATGCGGCGGGCGACCTCGACGCAGAGTTCGGTATAAGTGGTAGGAGCAGGTAGTGTGGCGTCGCCGCGGGCTTCTCTGAGCCGGGTGAGATAGCCGTAGTCTTGGATGACTGCTTGGGCGTCCATGGGGGATGATGTTGTACTGGGGAGCTCTCCGTTCTGCCTGGCCTGGAAGAGGACGTGGTTCATCGTCTCAATGTCGCTGTGGGTGTAAGAGATCTCGGTCTTGAGACTCCTTTCTGAAGAAGAGGGCGAGATGCAGTATGGTGCTGAGTTGGCGTTCAATGTCCTGCTTGAAGCCGACGAACGGTTGTGAACAATCTCAATTCCGGTGATCGGCTTCTTGTTTGGGATGTGCAGTGCAGGAGGTTTGCGGCGATTGTCTGTTTCAGGAACTTGCTGGTAGCTGACAGCGTGGAGAAGAGGAGAAGCTGGACGCGGCATGATGAAGCGGCTTGAGTGATTTGGCTGACTGAAGCTGGAGATTGCTTTGGAAACACGAGTTATTGGATGATATCTTCACGAATATCTTGAAGTTGGATACGAGTAAAGATGGAAGATGCAGAGATATCAAGAAGAAGGTTTTGGATTCTATCTAGGATCAAATCTACGGATGCATTGAAAAGGGGGGTCTAATTGTCATTAGGGGAGAAAGGGGGGCGGCATTGAATGATCAATTGCGCATGTATGTGCAGCTTTACATTGAATGCGATGCGTAGGCTTCGACAATAGCAGCAGAGGAGGGGTGAATCGGAGTGAAAGAGGGGACGGCCGTGTTACGTGACCGGGCACTGCTCGAACCTGACTCAATAGCCACAATGGCAGAACGCCCGACGCAGCCCTCTGTGCTCACTCTCACCTTATTCCTATTGTTCGCTAGAGATGCAGGTTTCTTGCTTTTGGAATTGAGACCAGTGGAGTAGCGCTCAAAACACGATCACTGCTCTGCCCTGACCAGAGTCTAGGAGCTCGAGGAGTGTCACTCATAGAATCAAGAGTTGGTCAGCTCATATTATGCCACAAATTCCGACGAGGAGGCATGATGAACTTGTAATTCCATTTTCTACTGAGCAGTCACCTGCCTTCATGGTTATTTCGTAAATAAAGAGCAAAAAAAGCAGACCAGATTTTGTTGGGCAAAATGTCATGAGAGTCTCCAATGTTCGCAGCCAGCGCTGAGAGCAAGCCGTACCCAACCAACACATATCGTAACTTCCAGATTCCCGTCTCGCCTGTGATCAATCCCAACCAAACTCTCCAAACAGACCGGGATTTTTTTCTGAAGATACCTTCAGACCTCACTCATTGTCAGTGGGTGGATCTGGCGTAGTGTTAGTTAGCCATCTCGCTCACCCATTTTCGTTAGTGTGATCAACTTACCAGAGAGGGGAGATTCCTCACGCTCGTCCTTGACGGGCTTCTCCTCGGAGGAGTCACCAGAAGCAGCCTCAGCCTTCTGGGCGGCGGCGCCGCGGGGAGAGCGAGTCTTGGGAGGCTTGTCCTCGTCCTCGTCAGTCTCCTCCTTCTTGACGCCGCGGCCGGCGCGCTTCTTGGTAGGGCTGCCGTTGACTCCGGCGGGGGCAGCTCGCTTCTTGGGACTGGTCTTCTTGGGAGTAGACTCGCTGTCACCATTAGTGGTAGCAGATGCCTGGCTTGGCTTGCGGGTGATGTTGTACTGCTTGAGCAGTCTCTCATAGCGCTTTTGGCTGCGTGGTTTTGGGTCAGATGGAAATGGACTTATGAGGACATTTAGGGAACAGGGGATATACTCACGCTGCAGCCTTAGAGACGATGCCCATCTCAGAAGCTACGGCGTTGAAATCAGGCTATGGGATTCGTTAGTGACTGGATGAAAAGAGCTGGGCACGGTGATGTTGGGATGGAAGAGGCACTCACTCGTCCATTCTGGGCGTTTCCGATGCAGTGCACCAGGAATCGCACCTGCTCAGTAGCGTCTGCCTTGACTGACATCTTGGCTGTCGTGATTGTTGAAGAAGGGTGTTTTGAAGTGATGGGAAAATGGGAGTGAAGATGGGTTGTCAACTTTGGGACAAGAATATGCAGACGATCAGATCTTCAGAAGTAAAGAGACAACAAATTCGTTGCGCAACGTCTTTGAAGCGAAGTGAGGGCAAGGAGGAAGGTGCAGATTCTTGATTTTGTGTGTGTATGAAGCCTGTTCAGGTATGTGAAAGAGTGAGTTGTGAGGTGAAGAAGGGGGAGAAGAAGTGGGAGGAGGGTAGGTCTTAAAGGGGAGGAAGAGGATGCGGGAAGGGGCTGGGCAGGCAGCTGGACTGGCCGTCAATGAGTGCTCCCAGTCGTAAAGGAGCTCGGGGAGCCTTTCTGAGTGCGTTGATCTGACCTTCTGCTCAGAATGCCGTCAGTTCGGCCGCAGGTGATCAGTCTGCGGTCCGCTACACTCCGTTTTATTGGCTCATCCGCACAATGGCAGGACCACAAGCCCAGCATCACTGCCCTATTGTTGACAATTCAGAAGCATTGTTTTTATATTGACCCCGTGTTTGTTTGCTACTCGGCTCAGCAGGCAGCCATGCTAGACTCAACACAGGGGCTAGGCCTTGCGGCCCTGCTCAGATTGAAGGCACGTAACAGTCGTGTATGCATTTTTTGGAGGAGTAGATAGACCTAATTAATCACTTCGCAGATGTGCCGCCCTGGTGAAAAGATGAGTATCGATCTCTGTTCATTTACTAGCTACTGCCGTCGTCATTCAGGCCACTTTAGATGAAGCTATCCTGATCAAACAAATAGTAGTTCAAATGTGTCTCTAATGTAATCTTTTTAACCCAAATCTCCGTGAAATCTTGAAAAGGCCATCTAAAACCCGAGTGCCCCATGATACCCCAGAGTCTCCAAAAGCAGAACCCCGTGCATATACAGGTATACACCAATGAGACCGTGAAAAACGAAAGGCCTAGATAGATCCGTCCATGGAGGCGCGGGCGCTCTTGTCGGAGTCCTCCTCAGACTTGACATCGTTCTTGTTGTCGTCGTCTTCGTCGCTCTCCTCCTTCATGGCCTTCTTCTTGCGCGGGGTGCGCGGCTTCTTGGTGACCTTGCTGTCACCGTTGGCGGCGGGCTTGGCCTTGCGGGCGCCAGGGCCGGCACCAGCCTGGTCGCGCCATCCGTGTCGGACGGAGAGTTGGCGGAATCTCTCCTTGGCACACTTGGCGTCCTTGAGGCCGAGATCGACGGCGACGTTGTCCCAGTTGGCGTCGGGCTTCTGGGTCATGTTATCGAAAACCGCCTTGATGAACTTCATCTCGTTGGAGTTCAGCCCTTGGGGAGCATCTCCATCTCCAGAGGTGGCCTTCTTGGGTGGCATGATGATGGCTATGAATACCGGTTAGATCGTTGTCAAGTTGGGTGGGATCTGGTTAAAGATGGGATGAAAAAGTGCAACTCACTGTTTTGTTGGAGAAAGTAGCTTGAATGTGGTTTAGATTTAGAGTCTTTGGCTTTTTTTGTTGGAGAGACTGTATGCAGTGCTGGCAGACGGTTTTTTGGAAATGATTTGTTCTTGGGATGAGTGTGGAGGAGTGTTGAGGGGGAGAAGGGAGTGTGGCAACTTGGTGTGGAAGAAGGAGAGATCAGGGAAATGTGCTGGAGCTAAGGCAGCTCACATTTATATCAGGTGAGGAGGTGCTCATACAAAACAAACCGGGCCCCCAAATAAACAATGCAGAGAAAATGCCAGAAACACAAGCAGAAAGCACTGCCCAAGGCTCATTTGATTACACTCTGGTGCCTCTCAGTGCTATTCATGCCATCCTTTCCCACCAGTATCCATGGTATAAGTCAATGAGCTAAATGATCAAATGCTACGTCTGAAAAGAAGAGTATCAAGTCAAGTTTCTCTGTATTGTGAAGTCTGCAGTATCGTAATCTGGCTCTCTGCGTTCTGCCAATGACCTTGTCTAGCTCTCTCACTGTCCCTCTCCGTGTCCACTACCACAAACCATAGCTAATGATCGGAATATTTCATCAAACCTAGAATTCCTAGCAATCATATTTTGTAAATTCCGTTCACCTTTTTCAGGACAGTGACAAGTTTCCAGTGCTCACTGCACGATCAGAAGGGATCGTTGAGGCCGGCGTCAGTCTCCTCCTGCTTGGCGACGGAGCCACCATCGGTGTCAGACTCGTTCTTGGAGGCATCCTCCTTGTTGTCCTCATCGTCGTAGTCGTCTTCCTTCTTCATTTTGGACATGCGAGCCTTGGCAGCTCCCCGCTTGGTGGGTGTCTTGGTCACCTTGGTAGGAGTGGACAAAGGGGTTTTGGCCTTCTTAGGAGAGGACTTTGCTCCGCCGTTGTCTGACCAGATTCCAAGCTTGCGCTTGACCTGGCCGAAGCGGACCTGTTGGTGAAATCCATCTGTTAGTGAAGTGTTCGTAAGAGAGGAGAAGAGAGCTCGGTGGTCTTGAGACTTGAGCATACCTTGGCAACTTCAGCGTTTTTGAAGCCGCGATCCTCGGCAACATTGACCCAGTCGATATCCGCCTGGGTTTTCATGTTCTTGACGATGGAGAAAAAGAACATGGCTTCTGAAGCCGTGGGTTGAGGCTGCTTACTTTCATCAGCCATTGTGTCAGCTGCTTGTTCGGAAACGGTGGTGAAGTTTTTGGTTGAGACTGAAGGTCTGTTTGTTTTATTGAACAAGAAGTTGTACGGATGAGAGTCTGACTTGAGGATCAGAGTTCTTTGATTTGGCTGAGGAGAAAGAATCTTCTCAAAATAAAGGTTTGCAGGTGAGGAACACAAATGGTGGAAGGCGGGGCGTGCTGTGGAAGGAGTGTTAGGGGAGGAGCAGACTGCTGTTTCCCAGGCAAGTTGGAGTAAGGAACGGGTGAATGGGTGTGAAGAGGGAGTGGTTTTGCATGTTATTGTTTGTCACGCGAGATGCTGCTGAGCTGAAGGTGAAGTGAGAGGGTGGGGGGCAAATCACCACAACGACCAAACCTGCTCCTGGGCAGTCATGCCTGAGAATTCTTTGGAACCCAGCCGGGTTTCATGGTCCCGCGAGGTACCCTACTTAGTATCTTTTTCGAGTTTGCATTTACCCCAACTTTCGTTTGTTAGTGCCAAGCAGAGGAGAGTGTGATACTCCGCAATTCGACTTCCTGATCCAGAGTCAGAGCTGCCCCGGTATCATCATATCATAGGAGCCACTCGTGCACAACAACAGCGATTATGACTATCATCGAAGTTCACTTCACATAGGAGCTCAATGAATATAGAAGATGGTCTGAATGACCGGGTTGGCCCGTCCTTTATTATGATCATTGCAGGATGCGGATAAGCTAATGAGATCTGCCATTCCCTTTTACCAAACACCACAGGGAAGAAAACTCATCAATCTGGTTAAGTAAGCAATGATGTCCCCTGTTCGTAGTCATTAAGTCATAAATGTCAAAATCAGAACATGTAGAGTAAGAAAGAAAAACACAAGGAAATGTCTAATCATGAACCACGCCGTTGTCTTCCGTCCTTTTTTTCTTTCTTTCTTGCTTCACATCATTTTTGGTACAAGGCAGAAAACGAACTCTCCCTAGATTCCGAATCGATCCTTCATAAATAGAAAAAGAAAAGGTTCTTTGTGGGGTATCAAAATGGAAGGTTGTCGTTCCAGAGAGGGCTGTGATCGCCGAGAGACTGGCGAGCGCTGTCTGCGCTGAGGCTGCTCATATCGAAAGCATCATCAAGCACCGACATTTCAGGCGAGTATGGTTGAGGCGGGCAGTTGATGAAGTCGAGAGGAGAAGCGTACTTCGGAGCATGCTGGTGGTTGATGCTCTCCATCGCGGCAGGGTTGACCAGAAAGCCATTGGCCATGTCGTCGCTGCAAGGGGTCAAGAAGCGAGTGCTGAGATTATCTGCCAGATAAGGGGATGTAGTCGGCGTTGGCGAGTAGTGGCTCATTGGTGCATGGTGAGGAGGTGAGCGTTCTTGCTTGATGTCGCCCTCGCAAGACTCGCTCTTGACTGAACCACTTCTTCCCCCCTTGGGCTTCGTTACTCGAGCTTTGGAGTCGATTCGGTTTCTCTTCTGAGTGCCAGTGCCGGAGACAGTTGCCCGGAAGCGAGAGTATCGCATTCTAGCGGCGTGGCCGTTGGTGATGGGTTGGAGTAGCACTGGGTCATTGGCAACTTGGTTCCAATCGATCTAGGCATTGTGTCAGGAGTGCCAATCTCAGCAGGACGTCAGCTCGAGAAACCCACATCTTTGAGGTTCTTCTGTTTTAAGATGGCGAACAGAAATCGAGCCATGGCGTTGTCGCTGTTAGGAGACATGTTACAAGGCTGGTAAATGTTGGCGTGAGTTATCTGGAGACACCAAAAGATACGATTAGCCTTGCTGACTCCAACAGCAGGTTCGCCCAGCAGGTTCGCCGAGGAGATTGAGGGAAGTGTGGACCGAAGACTTCGAAGTGTATATATACCCCGAGGCAGAAATTCACGTTCTCAGGCAGAGGACGCAAGGCAGCAGAGGGGTGGATCGAAGGATGGGCAGGTGACTCAAGACTCACAATATATGAGGTCGGATGGAAGGCTGAAGAAATTCACGGCGTGCAACTGGGGGTCTTGGGGGTAGGCAGACAGATCAGCCGAGCTGGGTGACGAAAGGGCATGTATTAAGTGAACAAGTGTGGGTGAGGTGAAGGCGTGTCAGGTTGCGTTGGCGATGAGGCGTAAAGGTCTGGTTGGGCGAAGTGGCTACGTAAGATTAAACGACAAAGGTCAAGCCAAGAGACAGACAAGCTCATGCAAAGCAGAGAGGAGAGTGAACGGAACGACAGGTCGAGGACATCAGGTGCACTTATATCGAGCGGGAGATGGTGTGGGACTGTTCCGGCCCTTGTCCAGGAACCATGGGAAACACTTAAAGCAGAAACTGGGGTCTCCCTAGTGATGCAGAAGCTCTCCTCTGAACTCATACAGTGGCAAGGGAAAGATGTCTGAGTACGAGATGAGAAGCAGCTCTCTGAGGCCATTGTTGCCTGGCGAGACGGGGAGCTGGCATGGGATTGGGCCGGACGCCGGACAGGGCTCAAGCCACTTTGAGATCGTGCATGGCAAGATGGTGGGTGTGGTGGGGGCGGTCTCCGCTTCGGGACTAGCTCGCGGTAGTGCTGCAGCGCTGTGGTGCTGCTCTACAGTGCTAGCTCGGCCTTGCTTGGGCGTTTGGGGCGCACCACGGCGTAGAGTGCTCCCCCCTAACCCCCGCCGCAGCCCGCTAAAATTTATTTTCCACCGTCTCAGAATGCGACAATCGGCTGTGAGGCGCTTCGCAAGCAATTGACAATTGGATCGAGCCAGCGCAAATCGCCTTTGCTCGACAAGCACCCTGAATCAGCTTCCTGTGCAATTCTGTGAAACTCCCAAGTCCTAAGCGAAGCTTTCCAAGGGGTGGCTGTATCCGATGCCTCTTCCGCATGCCCCGTCCGTGGGCGAATTAAAAATAATATGCAGCCGCTTACTCGCTCAATTGCGGTCATCCCCTCACCCCTCCCCTTCGCCGAGGATCCTCAATAGCTCCAGCAACGAGTGAAACGCTACCCTAACTTGGCTTGTGACTCATTCCTGCACCGTCTTTGGTAAAATAAGCAAAAAGCGCCGGGGTAAGCTATAGATCCAAGCCCAACATTTATATCACTACATGGACTAGTTGAAACGGAACCGAGCTGTCAGCTATCCGTCCGCATATACCTGGCATGTTAGTGGCCAAATTCAAAACGAATAGCGGCAGCTTAGCTGTCGTCTATGTCATTGAATTGCCCTTCAAACATTTGACAATCCGCAGCTGGGCCTGGCTGCACTGTGTGCCGACACCTTACTTCCCAAAACCCCAGATGGGTGGCAACCATCTCATACGTAAATCGCTGCTAGCCGTCCTGTCCCTTGCGTTAAGTTCAGCCAGAAATGTAGCCTCATTTTGATGGGATCATATTGTGGGGATGTTGTCACACTGATGGGCCTTCCCATGTCTTTTTCACCGATTTTTGCAGGCCGGCCAAAAGCGCAGCTGCCGTTTGTGGGTGTAGTGATAGAAGGCGCTGACGTCGCCGGGCCAGTGGTGAGGCAAGCCGCCAGCTGGGCAATTGCGTACGCAACAACCACGCATGCTCAGAAGACCAGGAAAGTTTGCGTACGTAGTAAAACTATGTAAGTTTCTGTTTGGAACCACTTTCGGGAGCATATATGGTTGCGTAGACGAGCCAATTCGCAATCGTCGTCATGGGGGGGATGGGGTGAGGTGGGAGGGAGACGCGACGGGCGCGAACTTTTGGGGGGCAGTGCGCTACTCCGTTTACGCCAGGTTTTCGCGAAAGCACGTGAGTTCGTTTAATTGCTCCAAGGGAGGGGGTTCCAGCCACCCATGCCGGCCAGCTCCCCACCCCAGCGCTGTTGCCTGAATCCCTAGGCGCCTCTCCCTCCGTGTCAAGACTGGTTTCGATCCCCTTCTCCAACGCTGATGGCCCTTTCCGTCGGCTAAACAGCGGCTCAGGCTCGGCTATCACATTTCATCTTGGCCAACACAGGTCCTATCTAGCCAATGCAGGATGCCTGTCTGTTAGTTTTTTGAGACGTTTGGCATAGATCATAAGTAGGCTTCTATCCAAAAGACAAAGATTGGCTTGTATCCTCAACCATGACCTCTCTCCTCTTCTTCACATACAGGTTTTGCCGACTCGAGGTGATCGAGATGGCCGGAACATCTATCTTCCATAGCCCGACGGCACCTGAAGCGTCCCCCGTCCCCTCTATCTCGGTGCGGAATGTTCTTTCACTACCAATTTTTGTGTTGCTCCACCAATACACTTAACAATATTTATCCACAGCACGAAGTCACGACCAGCCCATCCCACCAGCCATCAACGTCCCTGGACGCTCGATGGGAATAGCTAGCCATTGACTCTCCAATCATGAATAACAAGAATTGGAATGATCGCGCCGATAAAGATTTGTTCTTCACCATTCTATCCGTGAAGAATATAGGAGTTATCAGCGGCTCAGAATGGACCACGATAGGTAACCACATGAGAACCCTCGGGTATGGGTTCACAAATGAGGGATGTCGGTAAGTGTCCTGGTCTCAATTGAGACGCCCCAGATGCATCGCACCGCCCTGCCTCGTCAAGGAAATTTTGGAACTGCGCACTTTCATTCGCATTTGACAATCATGATGTTCGTTTACAGAGTCCTGCCTGCTCCATGTCGGGCAGGGATGTCATTGACACCACACTCATTCATATTATGTATATTTTCTTGTTTGCGAGCAATATCATTTACTATTCTACCGCCTACATGTCCATAGTTGCGTCTTTCTCGGTGCTTTTTCGTCCTTTGCCTTCTTTTTGTTTACTTGATGTCCACGCCTACCCAAAAATAGCTACTAATTCCGTTCATTCTCTCACAGGCAACATTTTCAAGGCCTAAGAAGAGCCCAAAACAAGTCAGGTGATGGTGGAAGTACAGGAGCAAGCAACAGACGGGTTGATCCCACGTGGAATCCGATTACCAGGAGGCCTGGCCCTGGAAGAGGTCGGCCAAAAAAGTCTATATCCTCAGACGCTTCAGCCACCGAGCCGTCGGTTCCTGATGCCATAGCCCCTGGGCAGCCCAATCCTGCACCCGTAGCAATCCCTGGCCTTCCGCCACAGGTTCCTGTTGGCCAGGTCTATGAGCCAAGCCAGCAGCCTATACATTATCCCTCGCCTCCACTACCACACGCTCAGCTCCATGTGCAGCAGCCACATCCCGGAATGTCTCAACCGCAGCCCCATATCACAGAGCCTCACCCACAAGACAGCCAGCCAAATCAGTCTCTTGCCGATAACAAACAAGGGGGGGTGGCAAATCATCACGATGGGAGCCTTCCTATGCCGCACACTGGTAGAGCCGAAATAGAAGGCTCATCTGTTGATGCCCTTCATCTCGAACCTGAGAATGATATCGACGCTGAAGGCGAGGGCGACGACGAACCGCCAATAAAGCGGCAGAGGATAGATTCTGACGACGCAATTCCACCCGACTCCCTGGAAGATGATCCAGTTCTGGCTCTTGCGACTGCTAACAATGCAGGGCCCAACGACCCATATCCTCCAGAGTAAGACCCCATCCCATATTCAAACCATAGACAATGCCTTGCGCTAATCGAACCCGGTAACAGCTTCAGTTACGCGGAAGCATAGGAATTCCAGGGGTAACGTATCATGCGGTCTATTGTGTTTATATCGAGAGTGGCCAATAGTTGGCAGATTGTGAATAATGTGTTTTTGATGATGATGAGCTGGGTCAACGCAAATCGATGGAGTATCATGTTTTATATTGGTTGCTTTAGAAATGGTAGCGATAGGAAATGGGACAGATCAGTTTATCAAGGTACTTGTTTGGGTGCAGACGCGGGAGGTTTTGCGGCCTTCATGGTCACAAAACGCATGTACTGAGTTACCCTGCACGGGACCTATCAGTTGTGATTGCATGCCTCCCTCTCACGCAAAGCCACCGACGCGGCCATCCTTTACCACAACGCTCACTTGTCTTTCTCCAACCTTGATCCCCGATCTACGACTCGCCTCGTTATCATTCCAGATTCTGTGACGCCAACTACTTTCGTTCAAATCAACAACAGTCGACGATCGAACAACCATGCCTCCTCCGAAGGGATCTTCTCTGTGGGACAACCCCGAATTCCTCAGCAATGTCATCATTGGTCTTTATGAGGCTGGGACCATATCCAAAGGCCTCTCTCCCAAGATGAGAGAGGGGATTGTCCAGTACCTCAACAACTGCGGTCACTCTGTCACTTGGGAGGGAATACGGTAAGCTTTGTTTCTTTTTTTTTCTGAGTGGTCGCAACGAAATTTATTTTGAGTCTCCTGGCCTCGTCTTTTCTTTGAGTGCATGCGTTGTCGGCTGTTGCCAGCTGCTGCCACTCCGTCCGAATTTTCAAAACAAAACATCACTTGCGAATCACCCGCCTACGAGTTTCCTACCTCCATCTCCTTCCCGAACAACTCCTTCCTCGTTCTTTCACTTCTTCATTCACAACATTCATTCACTCCTTTCAACATTTTCAACACTTTTCCTTCATTCGTTCGTTATATCTCCCACGTTTCCTGCCCGACATGCCTTCTCCAGGAAGATCTATGCAGAGATGGGACGCCCATACCCATGAAGACATCTTGCTTGCACTTTTCCAGCACGTCAAGATACCGACTTCTGATATCCAGAAGGTGATGGGTGAACTCAAAGCCAAGGGATACACCTTTACTGAAAACGCGCTTCGGTACAACAGCCTCTTCGGTTTTTGTTTGTTTCTGTTTGCTTGCTTCTCACTTTGCACCTTTGCACCTGCACGCTCCTCACCTCCCCTTCATCTCCTCTCCTGAAACGCCCAACTCTTCCTTTTTCCATCCATTTCGCAATCTCTCCTGCGCATACCTTCTGGTCGTTCAACACCTGACCCCAACACCCATACAAATTCAATCTTCACGCGTTTATCAAATCCTTCCTCTCTTCAAGATGTCGAATACCCCCTCCAAGAAAGCTCGTGGATGGGATGAAAACTCGCATCGCGATCTTCTGCTTGCCTTCATCTACGAGACCAAAGCTACCAAGGCTATCATTACCAACATCACCGAAAGAATGAAGCTCATGGGCCACACTTATTCCTTCGATGCCATCAAGTACTCGCTCGCGTTTTCTTTTTGTTTTCTTTTTGTTTTGTTTCTTTCGTTTCGTTCTCTCTCATCCTTTAAAGTCCAAGTTTCTAACCTTTCTGTTTTTCAGCCAGCACGTTCAGAAGCTTCGCAAGCAAAAGGACATCTCGAGCATTCAGAATGCCGGAGGAATGGAAACTCCCACCAAGGGAACACCGTCCAAGGCTACTCCTCGCAAGGGAGCCTCTGCCAAGAAGGCTGCAGGCAAGGGCTCTCGAAAGCGCTTCGCCAGCGATGATTCTGAAATCGATGATGACGATTTCAAGAAGGAGGAGGGCCTCTCTGACGTCGAGCGGTCCCCCTCCAAGAAGCCCGTGAAGCGCGTCAAGAAGGAGCCTTCGTAAGTTTTCTCTCAATACCCCATGATGCTCAGCTCTGTCACTAACTGTCAAATCTTCACACTTCAGACCTGGTCTCGACGACGACTGCCAGGTTTAAAGAACATCTACGATGTTTGCTCTAGGAAATTCCTACAGAGCTGTACTTTTTGGTTGCCCCTAATGGCACACTGGTTACGATTGCGAGATCTTGGGAATTGGCTGGCTTCGATACGATGAGTGAGATAGTTGGAAGAAATGGCTTGAAGAATCGCGATTTGGGTGAGAAATTATGTCAAAGAGCTCACGACGTTCAGGGCTTCTGCCTAGATAAGTCTACTCTGCTCTTAACATGATACCCGTACGGAACAAACAAAAGATCAATGCAAAGCAATTCCCACCTATACTTGTAGTCCCCTCTTGTTGTGAAGAGTGTCATCCAAGGCTGGGATTATGCAGCGGGCAGGTATCCGTGGGCAGCACGTCGATAAACCTTCAACATTCCCGTGACGGGGAATAGTGAATGCTAGAAAGCGAAAATCTGTTTTATTTTACTTTCTCAGTATTAAGAACATTGCTCTAGATTTATGGTGATGGCTGTTCTAGTCGTCTGGTGGAGTTTCTAGATAGTGGCTCATCACCAAATTGAGTAAACAGAGAGAATGTCACAGTACCGACTGTCTGGCTGTCAAACCAAACAAAGAGGGCTGCTGGATTGCTCCTGTTTGCTTCCATGCCAAGAGAAGCTGGTATGATAACAGTAAACAACTTCGGGGTAGCTACATCAGCACTGTTATTAATACTACATACAATATATCATGGCGTTAGGCATTGCAGAAAGATATGAGAATCAGTTAATAAGAGCCTTTCCAAAATCGATGGTACGAGATCATCCTCTCCGTGGAAGGTGAGCAGGTATCTCAGTCGCCGGGTGAACTGGTCGTGAATCACGCTGCTGCTGCCCATCAACCTGTTACCCCCAAGTTACTTGCTTTCCCATTCTGAAAAGGGTGCTGCAAGCTCAGACGGCACAGTGAGAGGAAAGTGAGCTCACTACCTGCTCAGTTTGGCCTCCCTACTCTACTTAATCTCCCTCAGTCCCCCACCTCCGGTTTCTGCTTCCTCACCTTTCATCCCACACCCACCCACACAACCATCACATTTTCCCTTTCTACAACCTCACTCAAACCGCTTGCAAGAAGGCAGATCCTTAACTACCGTCCGACTATTACTTTCTTTGGAATCTACAGTTCCAATACCATATACAGCAACCGTTGTTCAGACTGTATGACTCTACTCCTTCCCCTGCCACTGCCACTCTACCTTTTCCTTCCCCCTCCTCGCTCCAAGCCTGCCCTGGTTGAAACAGCAGACTAAAAAGAGAAACCAACAGGCAACCTCAATCATGCCCGGCGCAGAGAAGAAATGGGGCCCTCTCGAGGAGCGAGACCTCGCCATGGCGGTCATCCTCACCCAGCACGGCGAGCGCCCCAAGTATGACTGGGTTAGAATCCAGGAAATGATGGAGGCCTGGGGCTATACCTTCAGCCGCGATGCCATCACGTAAGTCGGGTTGTCTTTCCTTGTACCCCTTTATAGAGAGCCCCGAGTGTTGTCTGTTAGCTTGTCACTTACATTAGAAAAATGCAGGCAGCGCTGGAGCAAGAAGATCATGAAGGACTTCAAGGAGCGCCACGGCGCCGACGCGGTCAAGAGCGGACCGTCCGTTTCTGCGGCTTCCACCCCTCAGAAGCCAACCCCCCGGAAGAGAACCGCCAAGCCCAAGGTTGTCAAGGACGAGGACGACTCCGACTCGGAGAAGAAGGCCAAGCCCGTCTCGGCCAAGAAGCGAAAGCTCGCCAAGGAGTCTGATGATGATTCCGACCGCGACACTCAAAAGTAGGTTCTAGTGTGCCACAAGATTGTTGTTCCCCCCCTCTCTGCACTGGCTAACGATTTCATTCCTCAGGGCCGCTCCTGGAGACGTGGATTTTGACTCTGGTGTTTAAACAACATGGAAACCCAGCCTGGCAACGCCCTCGGGGGTGTATTTTCGGAGAGAGTGAAAACATTCTTCTATGACGCCTCTGGTCGCTTGTTATGTGCCTCCTTCTTCTTCTTTTTGGACTTTTTTGCCTAGTCTGCCCAGAATGATTTGCTCTTAGACTCGCAGCTAGGCACAAAGGCTAGAAGCCGGTGGTTTACTTCCATTTATCACTGTTCTCATTCATCACCTTTCGTTTCTAGCTTAGCACAATCTGATATCTGTCATGAGTGCCGAATTCATCAAAAGTCAATGCTCGTCTCAAGATTGCCTAGTTCAAGTTAATAAATTGGTTTCGCTGCTCGCGTCTTCTTCTATCCCATGTTGTGAAAATGAATTTGAGAAGATCTCTGCGCCAGCTCTTCCACCTTGAAACAGAGGTGCCTTGGGAGTATTATTTGTACCTATGCATACCCGCAACTCTCGAAAACCACGATCCAAACGTCCAAACGCCCGCGAAATGGAACTCATGAAATCAATTTCTACTCCTTTATCGAGGTCGTCGACCATCCAGCCTATTTCCCTCGCTTGGACCTTTCTTCTCTGAGGGCTTCGACTTATCGTCTGCGTCGCCCTTTCTCTTCACAGCCCCACGTAGCGATTGGCCAGCACCCGCGAAATGCGGCTTGGTAGCGTTGTTCGCCTCCTCCTCCTTCTCGTCCTTGGTCTTGACCGGGACCAGCTCGTAGCCAAAGAAGAGTTTGTTAGGGGGCAGTCGAAGCGGCGCTGGTGCTCCATCACGCCGTCTGGGCGGTGGCGCTGACAAGTCAACAGGGACTGGTGTTGCTGGCTTCGGTGTTGTATTCTTGCTTCCCTTCTTGGCTAAGCGCTGGCCTTCACCCAGAAAGTTTGTTGCTGTGCTTGTGACTCTAGGGGCGATGGAATCGTAGTTGATGGCCTGCGCCATGGTTCCTTGGCTGTGAACGACTCCTCCGGCTGGCACTCCGGCTTTTCCACTCCGCGGTGTGCTGGTACCGCTCTGCCTCTCAGGCTCCACGTAGCCAACCGGGGGCGCAAAGTCGACCGACACATCGGTCTCGATCATACTGACACCCATCTTCTCCGTTTCGGGCTTGACGTCCAGGACGGCCACGTCGTAGATTGTGTCGTTATACTCGAAGCTAAAGACGTCGCCCTTTGTCAGTGTAGCGAAATTTCGGAATGCTCTTTCCAATACGGCTTTGGGATCACTGATGTCAAGAAAGTTTGTAGACTGGGGCTGCAGTTTGACCAGCTTTGCGAGCTCCAAGGATGTGGTTCGGATCTGAATCATGTCCCCAACATCCATACCCAGTGTGACCATCATCTGGGGCCTTGTTAGCTTGTGAGACCTCGAAATGAATTCCCCGCGAGTTCAACATACCCACTGGGGGATGTAAGCCCTTCCCTCCTCGGCAATAAACTCCAGCACACCCGCGTGCGAGTGCTTCCCCTTCTCGCCGTTGATTAACTCCATTAATAGCGGCCACTGGACGTGGAGCTTCGACACCTTGTCCAGCGCTGACGGGGGCAGGATGATCTTGGAGCCAAAGTTGAGTTCCGGACGCTCCGCGCCTGGAGCCATGATGACAGGGTAGCATCGGTAGTATTCATCGAAGCGCTGGACGATCGGTCGCCGTCCGCCGCCAAACCCAGCGGAATACTGTATTGCCATGGTTAGAGCTTGGCAATGTATAGATAGGCAAAGTGATGAGATGTTACCATGGTTAAATTTTCCGGGCAGAGCTTGTGCTAAGTCGTTGAGGAATCGGAGCGAGGAGGTCGTTGGAGGTTGTCACCGCACAAAGGGTCGAAGATGTGCACACGGTTCGGCGAATAGTGAAGCACAGAACCAAGTGATGTGTTATCTCTCGGTATATGAAGAAAATTCTGCGTCGGCCGTGTCCGGTAGTCGAAGTGCAGTGTTTTAGGAATCAGCTGTGCAGCTGGATCAAAGGTCGAGAGTTGATGTGCCTGAACACCTGTGATTTGGTGCAGGCAGAAGGCAGAAGACGTGGGTGGATGGGTGGAGTGGCCATGACGCACATCGGAGCTATATTCCTGGTGCGGCAAGTGGGTGACATAGGAAATGGCACACTTAAGCACTTGCTTAACCTATACTTGATCTATTATCTTTCATAGCTAACTATAGAACTACGAAAATAAGATTAAAGGAAAGAATATCAAGGTAAAAATATTGATGTTCTTTGATTTCTATTTAGAATTAGCTGTTTATCTAGATATTCAGATATTTATTTGGGTGTTTATTTAGGTGGTTATCGGATCTTCATTTGGGTGTGCCATGTTTTAGGTCCCCCACTTGTGTGGCTACAGGGGACCAGCTGTGGCGCCAAAGTCAGAGCTCCAAGGCTGGGTGTGGCAGAGACGATACATTTTTTCGACGGCTCGCCAAACTTTCCCTCCCTGTCGCACTCCAAGATATATTTCCTCGATTCAATCCCCAGCTAGTCGCGACCTCCATTCGCACTACTATTATGGCGTCAAGACACTCGGCAGCGCGACCAAAGCACGGCGGAGACGTTTACGCCCGGACACATCACAACAAGGAGGGAGCTGATTCCAAAAAAGTCGTTTTTGACGTCCGAGATCCTTCTAAGCTAGCGCCAGACGCGCGCGAAGACGATGACATCCTCGATCACGATGTAATCGGCGGGAAGAGCTCGACAAAACGCGGCGCAGTCAACATTGATGGCTACGACAGTGATTCAGACAACGACACGTTTAATGCGCAGGCGCAAACGCGCAAGCGAGGCAAGGTAGACATTCTAGATCAGCTCGACAACTACGATGCCCGAAGAGCAGATACGGAGGAATCCCCTGCGCCCGGTAAAAAACAGGGCCCTACAGATGACGACGACGACGACGACGACGACGATATGTTCGCTGCAGATCCCGAGGAAAATGAAGAGAAGAAGGACAAGGAACAGGATGATGATGACGATGACGATTTCAAATTCACTGGACACAAAAAGGATGGCGGAGAATTCCTTGACTCTGAGAAAATCGCTGGTCAGGAATCCAAGAGTCGGTCCGGGGGGCACGTTCGCCTGGACGATACGGAGAATCAGAGCAGTGACGATGAGGAAGATGCGGATCTTGCCATGCAGGAGGAAGGATTGGACGAAGAGGTTGGTGCTGGTGGTTTGAAGAAGAACGCCCCAAAACTGGAGGCATTCAACCTCAGGGAGGAGATGGAAGAAGGGCAGTTCGATCAAAGTGGCAACTACATCCGCAGGGCAGGTGACCCTGATGCCGAGCACGACAATTGGCTCCAGGGGCTCGGCAAGAAAGACATGAAGAAGGCGGCTGAGGCTCACATGAAGCGAGAGCAACAAGCACGCGAGCAACGACTAGCGGCAGATAACGTGCTTGTGTCCGACCTCCTCAAATCTCTGATTTTGCATTTGGAGAAAGCCGAGACTCCTCTAGAAGCACTTGCCCGCCTGGGGAAAAGGCAGACGAAGCCCAAAAAGATACCCCAGTGGAAGCTAAAAAAACTAAAGAAGGATGGTGAGGGGATGAAGGTTGACCAGTCCGGGGCAGAGGATCCTGAGCAGGTCCGCATCAGGGAGGCCATTACCATCATCACCGACGCCGCGGACAAGCTGCTGAACCGGGATTATGAGGAGGTATACGACCAGGAACGGGAGCTGCTCATTCGCGAGTACCGCCGGGAGACCGGAGAAGACTGGGTCGAGCCACGGCCTGAGGAGGCGCGGGGTCACGAAAATGCGACCTCTAACCCATCTAGGCAATGGGAATTCAGATGGCTCGATGGCAGGGATGGAGGGGCATTACAAGGTCCGTTCGATGGGCCAACGATGAAGGCTTGGCAAGACGCTGGATATTTCACGGAGGGGGTTGAGTTCCGGCCGGTTGGTGAGGGTGCTGAATGGTCCAAGGTAGCTGTGTTCTCGTGAGCGTCGTGTAGGCGGTAAAGCACCGTTGGTAGGCTCTCCTTGACTGATGGTGAGGTTGGCGATGCATACACGCATGCCTGCAGACCGGGAGGCAGCAGGCGAACATCACAATCGGCCGGCAGCATAAGGACGGATGGTCGTGCGTGTTGCGGTGTGTCTCACGCGAGCTATGGGAACTAAACGTTTGTATGGGGTAATAATTAATGCGTGCAGCCACGGTAGTGCGGCTGTAGTCACGGCTATCTAGGTTGATCTACGGCCAGCGGGATGCGTTGCTCCTGAGGATTCCGGTGTCTCGGGGCGTCACGGGATATTTATGCAGTTGCATAGGCGAAGAGCCAACCGATGAAGCCGTGATGCCCCGACAAGCCGACCGCCAGAACAAACCAGACACGGGAACCGAGAGATTACCGTGCACATGGTGGATGAGAGGCCCGATGCGCCCAGGATTTGGCTGCATCGTGATGGATGATGGGCAGATGGCAACGGTCATGGCTGTACGTGTTGGCCCTCTAGAATCGGTGGCCGGGGTCGGGCGGGACGGATGGGGTCCCCGGCTCCTCAGGGAGGCTTTACAGTGTACCTAGGCCCTAGCATTGGCAGAGCACAGGCAGCCCTGGAGCTGGCCAGCGTTGCCACTACAGGCCACAGGCCAAGCTACAGGCAGGCACAGGCCTGGAGCCTCCTGGGCTAGGACCGGCCTGCCGGAGTGTGGTTCATCATCAGATGGCGCCCGCCGTAACAACACATCAGCCCATGCGGTGGGCAGATGCAACAAGATAGCCACCTGCGATCTAAATGAGTAGTTCCAGTTGCCACCTCAACCAGGCAATAGCCGCCTGATGGACTCGATCCGACGACCTGATTTGTGGTCTTCAAACACGCTGTCTCCTCCCTCCCAGTCAGACCCATGCCGGCCATGGCCTGCTCGCCTCCCAGCTGCATTCATGCCACCCTCGACAACGCGGTCTGCTTGACGTAGCGTTACACGCACCTAGACGAGCTTCGTATGGAGGGGCACCGCCGTCCGCCTCACCCTCTCGCCAACCCAGTCATTAGACGATGGCCCCGAGTAATCGGCCCAGAACCTGTCTGGCCTGTATCCCTTCTCGGCGCATTAGCAAGTCTGCCCAGTTAGCGTCCACTCTCAGCACAGGTGCGCCCACTAGCACCTGGCGCTCGAGTGGAGAGCTGCCCGTGAACATGAACCGCAGCCCGCTGTGACCCCACCACCCAATTGCTGGGGAGGGGTCGTTACTTGCTGAGCTGCCCCTCCATCAGGCGCGCAACCTTCTCTCACGCCAATGCGGCTGCCCGTAGTCGCCATTACCTCGTCCCTCATCAGTTTCCATGTACTCTGCCTGCCAAATTGCCTAGCAACGGTACCTCTGCCGGCTTATACTTTACCCAAAACGCAGGTACCAGACTGTCAACAGATCCTCTCCCAACGGCAGAGTACTTCTCCTCCTCCCTCCCTATTTCTTCTCAACCTTCCCCTCCTCTTCCCTTTCTTTTCTTCTTCTTCTTCATCCACAGTCCTCTCGACTAACCATCCTCCCAACCAAATCCAATACCCTACATTCCTCAGGTATGTGAAGAATCTAAACTAAAAAGAGGTCGACCAACCTCTTGGAATTGCCCCTCCCCCTCCTTTTGCCTTGGCCACACCGCACGCGTCGTATCTCGCCGGACAGCTCGATATGACAAACCACCAGAGCAAATCATAACACTATCCAGCTCCTGTCATTGGGAGCTAGCATCTCCTCGTCAATTTTTGCCAACCCCGCCAGCAATTTTTTCTCAAACATATAAATTCCCATTCCTCTCTCCCACACCTCCTCTCCTTTCCATCATTGTCACTCGTCTCCTTCCAATTGAAAGCAAAGCCCTCCTTCTAACTCGACGAAATCGAAATAGATACTCTCAACATGACTGTCAAGGTCGGTATCAACGGTTTCGGCCGCATCGGTCGCATTGTCTTCCGCAACTCTGTCGAGCACCCCGACATCGAGGTCGTTGCCGTCAACGATCCCTTCATTGAGGCCAAGTACGCTGTGAGTAACGCCCAAGCTATCCTAGCTATTTCGAACATTATACTTGCAATACGGTTGGGGGTTGGGAGCTACTAGCTGCTGGTCGTGGCTAGGAGGGGTGAGGGGCGACCGTGCTTGCCCCTCTATGAGCTCTTTCAAGCTTTGCCCCTCCATGAGGTCACCCCACGCACGCGTTATCGTGGCTGCATGCAAACCACTGGAATCCCCCTACCCCTCCCCCACCAACCAACCAACCAACCCTAATTACAACCAGCTCCTGGATGTGATAGGGAGCTTCCGAAACTTCCGTCCTGGACAAGATGGCTGATTGAAGTCCCAATTTCTAGGCCTACATGCTCAAGTATGATTCCTCCCACGGTGTCTTCAAGGGCGACATTGAGGTCTCCGGCAACGATCTCGTTGTCAACGGCAAGACCATCAAGTTCTACGGCGAGCGCGACCCCGCTGCCATCCCCTGGAAGGACACCGGCGCCACCTATGTCGTTGAGTCCACCGGTGTCTTCACCACCACCGAGAAGGCCAAGGCTCACTTGGCTGGTGGTGCCAAGAAGGTCATCATCTCCGCCCCTTCCGCCGATGCCCCCATGTACGTGATGGGTGTCAACAACGAGACCTACGACGGCAAGGCCGACGTTATCTCCAACGCTTCTTGCACCACCAACTGCTTGGCTCCTCTCGCCAAGGTCATCCACGACAACTTCACCATCGTCGAGGGTCTCATGACCACCGTTCACTCTTACACTGCCACCCAGAAGACCGTCGATGGTCCTTCCGCCAAGGACTGGCGAGGTGGCCGTACTGCTGCTACCAACATCATCCCCAGCAGCACTGGTGCCGCCAAGGCCGTCGGCAAGGTCATCCCCGACCTCAACGGCAAGCTCACCGGCATGTCCATGCGTGTGCCCACCGCCAACGTCTCCGTTGTTGACTTGACTGTCCGCATCGAGAAGCCTGCTTCTTACGATGCCATCAAGCAGACCATCAAGGATGCCGCTGCTGGCCCCCTCAAGGGTAAGTTGATTCCGCTACATCCATCTCAGATAACAGTGACTAACATGTATACTTTAGGCATCCTCGACTACTCCGAGGACGACCTCGTCTCCACCGACTTGAACGGCAACACCCACTCCTCCATCTTCGATGCCAAGGCCGGTATCGCCCTCAACGAGAACTTCCTCAAGCTTGTCAGCTGGTATGACAACGAGTGGGGCTACTCCCGCCGTGTTCTCGACCTCATTTCCTACATCTCCAAGGTCGATGGCCAGTAAATTATCAAAACTGGCGTTGATCGGCTACCTACAAAAGTCATGAAACTGCTCAAAGAATAATAATATAAAAAAATTAGCGTACAATTATCAAGGCCCATGATGTGACAGTTTGCTATGTGAAAATGATGTTTTATCTTGTGTATCTAATGGCTTTGACCTTTCAAGGCTGCCAATTGTAGATGATATGGCCGGGCGGGCCTGGCTAGGCTCGATACTAAGAGCACCAACATGCGGTCAGATGGCCTAGCAGAACAAGTCGAGCGAGCCCAATCCAGCCAGTATCGATGGTTGTGCCTCTGGACTTTTCAAATTAGCAATCATGACCACAGTCCATAATTTCGCTGCTCCTAGTGTGCCATCCTTCCTGTGTGTCATCTGGATACCAACTTGCTGTGAAATGAGACATTTAAGCCTACTTTAGGTAACGGACATTACACGGCGGTATAGCACAAGTCGCTCAAGCTGGCGTAATCTGATGTAATTATCTCTAACACACCGTAGATATCTTAGTCACAGTATTGTGAAATTTCGTCCATGGGGGTTGGTGTTGGTGGTGACCCCCCTTGCGGCGGGGAGATCTCGGCGAACCCCATTAGGCAATTGGCGACAAGAAGGAAAAGTAGGTAAGTAGGTAATCATCAGATCGTAATTCGCCACCAGTATAAGGGACATAATAAGCAAGAGTAATCTTTCCATAGACTCGGCTATGACGTACGCAGGGAAGTTCCGGTGCGGATCTTCCGTCATCTTGGGGATATCATAATACATGAGAGAGCACATGTGAAGCCGTACATGACACACGACCAAGTGCTAAAACGATCAAAAGGGAAAAAAAAAAAGCCAGCAATAAATCAACCAACGGGGGGTGGGTATGGTGTTCCTTTTCCTCTCTCTCTCTCTTTCTTTCCTCACCCCCTTCCCTCCTGTAATTCGCTCCTCTTCGCCGGCCTGCCCCCTTCTCCGTTCCCCCAAATTCCTCTCGAGAAAAGCTGGTGAGAGGAAGCAAAAAAAGTATCCATGATGCAAGCCGGCCTTGATTAAAAGATAAAAACAGCAGCGCAAGCAATGAAACCATCATCGCATACCGTAAGATTCGCCTTGCCGTCCCGATACCAAAAGTAAACCATGTCCTGCAGATGCAGATCCTATCAGGAGAGTATAAGTGTATGTATATGTGTGTTGTGTGCTTTTTGTCTGGTGAGACGCTCAACATCGTCGTCATATTTAGCCTGTTGGACGAGGCGTTTGTGTTAATTAAATCAAAGAGCCATGAGATTAAGTGACAAAGAATCACAGCGAAGATAAGTTCGCCCCACGAAAATTGACGCATCAGATCTAACGTGGTACAAAGCAACCTCGCCATTGGCTTAGGCTTCTACCGAACAATGCGGCCAGGTATGAGGAGACTTGTAGCCAGTTGAATGCACGTGGTGTTGATCAAAGACACAGCGAAAGAGGACATTGCCCCTAAACGGTATATACCATCAGTGGTGTGCCCGAGCCATGATGTTCTTCACTCCGACCTCACGGAGATTGAGTTGCGCATTGTAATCGATTCCCTCGTCAGCACACCAGCGGCGAAGGATACCCAGGACAACTTCGGCGATATCTTCGACGGTGGTCAAAAGCGTGATATTGGCGCGGAAAGAGCTGTCGATGGACGCATTATACTCGCGTAGCTGGGGGATAATCTTCTCACGAGTCCGTCTATGCTTCAGAAATTCCTGCAAAGTCACATCCTTAGGGTTGTCCTGCGTCGTATAGGCCTTGGTTATCTCGTCATACGCGATAACCTGGAGCAGCATAGTCACAGCGTGCAGCGGCCGCAACACCCTGCCCTCTTTCCGCCGTAAGAAATCAAGCAATGGAAGTAAGCTTCCCCAGCTGCCGGGGTCAGCTGCCTTGCTAGCCAGAGTCCGGTGAAGGTCCTGGACGTAGAAGCTCATCATGAATGCAAGTGTGCCTTCTAGATGGAGAACATATCCAAGCTTAGTATTAGGCTCTCCCGCTCGTGTATTCCCATTAGTGACTGCGGCTTGCGTGTCCTGGCGTCCATTAAGAGCAAGATCTCCGTTGTGCTTGAGTCTCTTCCCTAGAGAACGGAGGTATACCTCTTTCTCTCTTAATAATGTAATCTTGGACATCATCGATTTGGATACCGGTTCTGGGCCGTTGGTAGTTCGCTCGGAAGAACCAGGAACTGACGGTGTCCCGGTAATCGCTTCGCCAGGTGTATTAACAAGTGAGTTGCTTGAGCTAACACGAGACATGTTCGTAGCTCCACCTTTCCGGTAAGACGGTGTGGATGGGGGAATAGACGGTTTTGACGTGTTGGGCAGGTCTGATGCTCGTGGTTTCTTCATAGCGATAGACTCGACGGGTACGTCAGTCAAGCCCACCGGCCGCTTCTCACCGTGGCTACCACTTGTTGGGCCCAACAAGCGAGGTTCTTTCCTAGATGGAGGGAGCCTCATCAGCCCTGCAAACCTAGTTCGGAGCGTTCTGGGCACTCTCAGTGTGACCAAATGCGTCCTGCGACCTCTCCCCTCATCATCAGGATCCACACGAATTCTCTTTTCGATCTCTGGCTCTTCTCTTGACCGACTCTCGAGGGGTCGGGGTGATAACTTTCTCCTTCGTTCTAATTCGGCCTCAACCTCGGGTGGTAAAGTTGGAGAAAGCAGCGGAGGGATTTTCACTGGAGACCTAGGTGGTCTCGAGCCGATGTGAACATCGATATTCTTAGATTTGGGGACCTTCCCAGGTTCTACACCGCTCGCGCGCTTCTTCTGAGCTCCTCTTCCTGTGTCTTCCGTGCCATCGTTTATATCGAGATGCAGCGGTGAAAGTAAGGGTGGGACATAAGTTTTGGATCCTACATCGAGCTTGCTAGATGATGTTCGGTTAGCACCTGTCGCAGGAGGACGAACACCATTCATTGAGTTTCCACGCGATCGGGGAGGCGGTGATGCATTGCGAGGTTGTGATGTTGCCACTTTGACCGTGCCACGGCCGTTGAGAAGCGAGTTGGAACTGGATAGTCTACTATCCTTAACAGGTGTGTGATTACGCGATGAAGGATAGTCTTGGGCCTTGCGTCGCAGGGTGTCTTCTCGTGATGGTTCTTCTGGTGCTCTACTGGCATCAGATGGGCGCTGCCTCTTCAGAGGCCGGGCACCATCATCAGTCTCAGCCGGGCGTTTTCGTCTATCCGGATCAGGTGGTCGAGCAGGTAAAGATGGAGGTCTAGGCGGAAGGCTACAATAGATCAGCATTGCGCAAAGTGTCTCACCTGATACACGTATAACCTACCTTGTGTCGACTACGACCACTTCGTTCGTCGCGGTTTTGGATGATCTTGCTGAACTGTATGATTCCGAGTTCATGGATCTAGAATTATCAGACCGTTTAAGGTCCCTCGAGCTCTTGTGCTCATCAAGATTTCTGGGTTCTGTTGTAGATGGTGGCTTATCGGAAGACTTCTTCTGACTTGATGGGGTCGGGGGGTCAGACGGCGAGGCCGATGCTGCTGCTCCCGACTTCTTCTTAGCATAATCGCTTAGCGACAACTTTTTCGCGCCGCCTCGTGCAAGGACATCGACCTCCCTCGGCACAGGCTTCGTCGTGGGGGGTTCGGGTCTAATGTCATAGTAGCCTCGGGTGAAGAGCACACCGCGGTCGCCTTCATTCACCATGGTCATGTACTGGAGCCTAGAATTGTTTTGTTCCTCGATGCGTTTCTTGTCGTCAGGTGTGTGGCGGCACTTCCAATCTGGAGATTTGGCCAACTGGTGTGGTAGTTCAGGCAAGATGGATCGGGTCAGCTGCCTGACCTTCTCCGCCGCAGCTTCCATAGTTGCTGGTGACCATGCGCATTCCGTATGAAGCTTCGGAGAGCACCGTGGGGTTGGGATATGGCGATAAAATGCGCCGCAGCGAAGTCGTAGGTGAGATAGCACGTCGTGGGCCGATGGGTGAGCGTACCGCGTGGAGAAGGACGACGGCGCGAACTAGAGTCGAGGAGCACACGAGAAAGAGATGGGGCGGGTAAGAGGGGGGGTGAAGAGAATAAAGATGTTTGTAGCGAATGACGGATTGATTAGGTTCGAAGAGGAAGATTCGTGAACGTTGTTGCTTTGTTCGCGACCGGATGGCAAGCCTGACACGCATACGCATAGGGTGGGCGTTTTGGCGAGGATGGAGAACAATCGGCTGTTTCCGAGGGGAGGGCGCTAGGGAAGAGCCCGCGCTCTCTGTCCCAGGCCAGCAAAAGGTCAAGGTGAATCAATGTCGCGACCAGCGCCGTCGTGGAAAGAATCCTTTGATGGGATAGCCGTCGACCTTGTCTTGGGGGTTGGGTCGGCCGGCGGCGATTAGCGCGCGACGATGCTGGCTGGGTTGTTGTTGTAGCGGGATGTGGAAAAAGAGTGGATAATGTGACGGAGAGTTTGTGTTTGGGGGTGGTGGCTATCAGTGGGCAACTCTCTCCTGCCAATGGGTGCCAGTTAGGCTAGGCCGGGCTGCCAAGTACCGCCCCTACACTTTGCCAGCGCTGAGTACATGCAGTGCTACTTCAGTGCTACCTCGCACCTAAACACGGGCCGACAAGCTGACCTCCATCGACGCCTCACCAAGCAAGCAGTCGCCGGCTTCACAGCACCCGACTGGCTCTGCGCACGCGTGAAGAGCAGTGAATCGCCTCGATAGAGGTCAACGGGCCTGTGGGCGATGATGGGCACGGCACTGCTTCATCCCCTACCAGGTACCTATTTTCCCGTCAGGTTACTTGCATCGGTCGATCAACTGGGACCAAGCTCGCTCAAACGAAGATGAACACCCGACGATTGGCTGGCAGCCCCGTAATGAGTCAGTCATGTGCGCTACAATAACCGACTGCTCTTCTTGTTTGCACAGAATCAAGGGCTTCCCGCCTGTCCAATTGACCATGGATATCGCTGTATGAGGAACTCAAGCCCTGCGCTTCATACAAGTTCGCGTCACTCCACTCTCTCTCATTGATCGACTCCCGTCACGAAATAATGTTACCGAGACCCATTTCCAGCTATGGGTGGGACCCGAGGCCAGTGCCCTTTGTTCCAAGCTCATCTCTCCCGACACGCTGGACGAAGCCACGCCGTTAGTGGTTACTACCCAAGTGGGTGACAGAAATGGCACACCTAAGCGCCCCCAGGCGTCCTCAAAGAATACTAAGTCTGTTATTCTCCATAGCCAGCTGTGAATTACTTAAATAAGAATGAAATGAATATCAGGATGCGAATAGTACTTATCGGTAATTTCTGCCTGTTAGTTAGATATTTGGGTCTTCATTTGGGTGTGCCTTACCTACATACCTAGGTACTTGCTACCCTGCATCAAGAACGCCACTTTGATTGAGTTCACGGGCGTATATGATGAGAAGGTTCAAGATTAGTGGAAGGGTGTTATCCAGCTGCCCTTTTTTCATCTTCTGATCTGTACTGGCTTCCTTTTGTGGGAGTCTCTGGTTGTTTCTTCCAAAAAATATATATATCTTAATTGCCTGGATTATTTGATGTTCCGTTTGGCTGAGTATCATTGAGCATGCCGTACCGAGTTCAACAGACTCTGACACAAATTGCCACAAATACATAAATTAGGGCACCAGGAAAGATATAGGGATAAAAAATACAGGTTATCGTAAGCTTTGTACTGCTGGATCTCTTTGACCATTACCCCCGTGATTTCCAACTACTGAGGTAGGTGGTGAATGCGGTACGTCGCACGTGACAAGCCATGACGGAGGTTTTTTTTTTTCTTTCCCGAAGGCTTCAACGGCGGTGTTCAGTGGATGTACCTGAGACTGGGCTCATATTCACCATCATACCGCAGCGCCAATTGCTTGGGGTGCACCCATCTTGACCTTTGTACAATATTTTCTGGTTGTATGTAGTCCTCCCCTGACTGAATCCTGCGCCCTTCTTCTTCATTGCAGTCCCAAATGACTGCCCCTCGGCTTCTCTGCCTGCGACTTGCTACTTCACGTCTTCGCGCTCGGCCCAGCAATGGAGCACTAGCCACAAGCTCGGGCGCTCCTGCTGGAACGCGGCGAGTGGCTCCATTTTTCGCATGCAAGCACGAGTACCCTGGCAAAATATTTGTGCAGGGCCTTTGTGTTACAGCTGCGACTCATGCTGCCCCTCCAAAGCCCAATTCAGTTGCCCCTCCATCCTCATCGCCGACACAGTCACAGTCACAGTCACAGTCACAACCACAGCCCTCTTTATCAACTCTGCTGCGTCTGCGTCCACTGACGACCTCACCAAACGCCATGGCCGACACAGCTGCCGTCGAGCAGCTCGCGAGCAAAGTCCAGGGACTTTCTCTGGACTCTGTCAAGCAGACATATCCTGGTACTTTCCCCAAAATCAACCCTCTTGACCTGTGGAGGGCCCACATCAGCAATGTTCTTCACGGCATCTCTGGTGTCTCGACAGACATAATCTATCGCGCCATCCAATGGACCCAGGGCTTAGACAAGGGAGACTTCACCCTCGCAGTCCCTGCCCTCAGAGTCAAGGGCCAGAAGCCTGACGTACTGGCTGCTGAGTGGGGTGCTAAGGTAGAAATAGAATTTTCCCGTCGATGCCAACGGCATCTGTGTAAAGAAAGAAAGACAGACCGCTGACAATTTTCTCGTAGTGGCCAGAAGATGACCCCCTGGTATCAAAGCCTGTCACCAACGCCCATTTCATGTCTTTCTTCATCAAGGCTGAGCCACTTCGAAACACCATCATTCCCATCATCCAGCAGCAAGGCTCTGAATACGGTATGGGTGACACTGTAAACTATCACGTAGCTTTGACTAATTTCGCAAAGGCCGTGCCCGGTTTAATGGTTTGAAGGACCCCAACGACCCAAGCAAGGGTCAGAAGCGAATTGTAAGTGAGATATTCTGAGTCAACCACTTTTTTTTTTTGAGTGACTGTGGCCGTCCTTATGGGGCTTGCGGAGGGATTGATATGCTGACATGATGCCTTCTTGTTGGCAAATAGATTGTTGAATTCTCATCCCCCAACGTGGCCAAGCCTTTCCATGCTGGCCACCTTCGATCCACGATCATTGGTGGTTTCCTTGCCAACCTCCACGAAAGTGCAGGATGGGATGTGATTCGAATCAACTGTATGTGCCCCGAGCTCAAGCTTCACACGATTCATCGCAATATTCGCTCTTGATGAGCGCCATGTGTCCCACACTCTAGCACCACTGTTTACACAACACTTGGCTGACCCAACCCAGACCTCGGTGATTGGGGCAAGCAGTATGGTCTGCTGGCTCTTGCTTTCAAGATGTATGGAGATGAAGAAGAGCTCAAGAAGGACCCTATCAATCATCTCTTTAAGCTCTATGTCCGAATCAACTCCGAAATGGAAGAAGAGAAGAAGGGATTCGAGGCCAAGAAGGCTGAGGGCATTGATGTTACTGAGCTGGAGGCAAACAGCCTGGATGAGCAAGCTCGTGGGTATTTCAAAATGATGGTTAGTTCGACATGTGGCACCAATCCGTTTGAAACCTTACATGGGGATACCCCCTTCCCCCAGATTGCTAACGATCAGTAGACTGAGGGAGATGAATCAGCCCTTGCTCAGTGGCGTCGATTCCGTGACTTGAGTATCGTCCGATACAAGGGTATGTTTTCAAACCTACCGTCATCACGCAGTGATAAAAATTTGCGATCTGACTTTGTGATAACTAGAGACGTACGGACGCCTCAACATTCATTTCGACGAGTACAGTGGTATGTATAGACGCAACATTTTTGTTATCCATGGCCTATATTAACAACGACAAGGTGAAAGTCAGGTGTCCGAGGATGCCATGGAAAAGACTGCCAAGATCATGGAGGAGCGCAAAATCTCTCATGAAGACCAAGGTGCCGTTTTGATCGACTTCACAACACTTGTCCCAGGCAAGGAGGGCAAGCGATTGGGAAAGACAGTTTTGCGGTATGCCTCCCAAGCCTTCAATTTCATAAACGCAATTTGGCGATATCTTTCGCTGGTTACCCGATTCATGTAGCTGTACTAACCTCTACCATGTACAGAAAGAAGGATGGTACTGCTCTTTACCTAACCCGAGATGTCAGCGAGCTGCTTCATCGTGTAAGTGGGCACCAGAGCCTGTCGATGGATAGTAGGCGAAACTGACAGCCATTTCAGCGTGACAAATACAAGTTTGACAAAATGCTCTACGTCGTTGCGAGTCAGCAAGAGCTTCACCTGCGCCAACTCTTCAAGATCACAGAGTTGATGGGTAATGAGGCCACTGCCAAACTGTGCCAGCACATCAGCTTTGGCCTGGTCTTAGGTATGAGCACCCGAAGGGGCACAGTCAAATTGTAAGTCCTCCCATGTCTTTGATGTGTAGCCCCTTGCCATTTACTTCTCTTGGAGGCGCATTCTCACATGATTCCAGCTTGAACGATATCCTCAGGGATGTCGGCGAGCACATGCACGAGGTGATGAAGAAGAATGAGGAGAAATATGCTCAGGTGGCAGACCCCGAAGCTACCGCCGATATTCTTGGCATCAGCAGTGTCATGGTTCAAGATTTGACTGGCAAGATCATCAACAACTACACTTTCAACATGGATGCCATGACATCCTTTGAAGGCGATACCGGCCCATACCTTCAATACGCCCACGCTCGCCTTTGCTCAATCTATCGACGAGCCAATATCTCGGACGAGGACTTGGCCAAGGCTGACCTGTCTCTTCTAACGGAGGATCACGCCACCAATATTATCCGTCTCCTTGCTCAGTGGCCAGACGTCTTCCAGAACACCCTGAAGACCCTCGAGCCAACCACTGTTCTCACATACCTCTTCCGTATGACTCACGTCGTGAGCAGCAGTTATGATCACCTCAAGGTCGTCGGCAGCGAGCCAGAGCTCATGAAGGCTCGTATGGCCCTGTACAACTCTGCCCGCATCGTGCTTAGCAATGGCATGCGCCTGCTTGGTCTCACTCCTCTGGAGAGGTTAGTAATATAGCCCCCTGCCTCTTTTTGAATGCATACTGACAGACTGTTATAGGATGTAAAATGAAAAATGAAAAGGAAGATAGCTCATTGATTTTGATATCGGGATGGATTCTCCCGTTCTCAGCTTACTCAGGCTGAGCACAATACACAAACAATTAGAAAAGTAAATAAATGAACCGATTGGATCAGGAGACTTACCGTAGCCAATTGCCCGTAGGTGCTTGTTTGCCCATCATTGGGTTTGTCTGCACCCGTGACTGTACTAGGGCCCGAGTGCTAAACAACCTGACAGAATATTCACCTGCCTCAGTTTGTTCAATCACGATAGGGTAACTTCTTGAATGATGCATCTAACGAGCAGGCAATGAGCAAATTTAAGACTTATTGTTTTCATTATCAAGAAGCTCTTTATATTCACTTTCCCTTGTATTCATAAACTTATCCATCCTGTCTACCTTCCAGGTTTTCCGACAAGTATAAAAAAGGGAGAAGCCCGTCCCATACGACCAACGTCCCATACGACCAATATTCGAGAGAGAAAACTTTTCAAGAGGGTATGCATATCCTCGACCGTTTAAAGTGAAGTTTGCTCTACATAACTCGTACAAGAGATGGAACAGGGGGGGGAGAGGAAGGGGAGGGCAAGCGGCAATGGGAGGAAGGAAAACTTGAACTTTGGGTATCGACATGTCGTCCGAGTACCCGTATGCGCCGACTTTCTTCGTCAACTCCAAATAACTCCAGGCATGAGAAGAGGGCAGGTAAAAAACAATGAGGGCACCCGAAAACCTCGCAAGATAAAACAGATGATCCATACGCATTCCGCAACCTGGGCCGTCAAAACAAAGCCGGCCATGCAAGACTGAAAGGACCAAGACTCCAGGGCTTGTGAAAATGCAACTCGCCAAAAATTAAGATAATAAAAAGAGACGTTCTTGAATGAAAGTTTGAGGGTCGCGAGCACGAGCGACAGGGTAAGGGCATGTTCGATGGTCTCTCTCATCAATACCCCCAAATCAAGGCTTGAGAGGGGAAAAAAGAAAAAGAGTACCAACGGACCTTTGGTCTTTTGTTTCCCAGCTTAGCGGCTGGCTCATCTTAACCATGCGCGGCCTGCTCTTGGGTGCCATTAACCACGAGGGCTGCGCCGCTGGATACCTTACGCTTCTTGAACGAATCACCGTCATTGGAAGCCATTACCATCTTCTCCACTCTACCCACTCGATCGAACAAGGCCTTAATATGTGCATGGGAACTATTCGGCATCGTGCTGCTAATATGATTCGTTATGGTTCTGACCATTTCCGTTGATCGGAAGTTGTCCTGCCACATCTTGAGGTCGGAGATCTGCATCTCGAAGTCATCGAGACGGCCCGCGTCGTCAGAGGACTTGTTCTGAAATTGATGCCGCGTTACAGCGAGATCGGCCATCTGTGTTTGGATCATACTCTTTTGCGAATTGATCTCCTTCCAAAGATCCTCAAGTTCTTTGACCTGCTTGTCCTTCAGTGGCAACAGTTCAATAACCAATTCGTCAATGGATTTCTGATGTCTATCGAATGTGGAATTGTAGGTCTTATCGTTCTCTTCCATTCGCTGGCGTTGTTGATCAATGAAGGCACCAAGCTTTGTGGCGATATCTGAAAATTTGTCCTTGGACTTCCTGTCATATTCCTTCATCTTGGGTTCTAAAATCCCGAGAACAGTTGCATTTAGGTCCGGGTGGTGGTTGTAGTTGTCGCCATTCATGCGAGGAGAGAAGCCTCGAGGGTTGTTTCCATCATTTGATGCTGCTGGAGTCAGCGACTTGGGTCGAGGATCACGCTTTAGTTGCTCAAAATTGCTGCCCAGCTCATCAACCTTCTTCTCCAAATTTCGGAGATCCCCCGCAGTGTCTTTATAAAGATCCTGCATGACTTTGTACTTGTTACGTAGGTCTTCATTGACTGATGAATCCAGGTGAACCACGGTGGGATCCTTTTTGGGTATGAGCGTCTGCATCGCTAACTGCTGGGCATGGGAAACAACCTCTGCCTCGAGCTTGGTCAGCTGCTGTTGGTTATCGTTGATCTGTGATTCGGCCGTTTCTTGTCGTGCTTTCAACCCGTTAATGAGAGACTCTTGCCCTTGAAATCTCTCCTTCGCCCATGATTGGCCAGTCTCCTGTTGTATCTTCAACTCGTCTAAGAGAGTCTCTTGCCCTTGAAATTTCTCCTTCGCCCATGATTGGCTAGTCTCCTGTTGTATCTTCAACTCGTCGAAGAGAGTCTCTTGCCCTTGAAGTTTCTCCTTCGCCCAAAACTGGCCAGTCTCCTGCTGTGTTTTCAACTCGTCGAAGCGAGTCTCTTGCATTTCGATCATCTGCTTCGCCCACGATTGACTAGTCTCCTGCTGTGTTTTCAACTCATCGAAGCTAGTCTCTTGCGTTTCGATCATCTGTTTCGCCCATGATTGGCCGATCTCCTGTTGTGTTTTCAACTCGTTGAAGCAAGTCTCTTGATCATCGATCTTTTGTTTCACCCATGATCGGCCGGTCTCCTGTTGTGTTTTCAACTCATCGAAGCGAGTCTCTTGCGTTTTGATCTTCTGCTTTACCCACGATTGACCAGTCTCTTGTTGTGCTTTCAATTGGTCAATGTGAGTCTCTTGATCCTCGATCTTCTGTTTGGCCCATGATTGACCAGTCTCCTGCTGTGCTTTCAACTTGCCAATGCGAGTCCCTTGATCATCGATCTTCTGATTTGCCCACGATTGACCAGTCTCTTGCTGTGCTTTCAACTGGCTGATGCGAGCCTCATTATTTTCGATCTTCTGTCTCGTCCAATTCTGGTTTTGATCCTGCTTAGATTTCAATTCTGTGATTCGACGATCCTGTGCCTCGATTCGAAGATCTTGTGTCTCGATCCGACGATCTAGTGTCTCGATCCTCTTAATCCGGTCTTCCGACTGTTGGGACTGCATTTTGAGTAATTCCTGGTATCCTGGACCTGCAGCCTTCCCCCCCTTTTCTAGCTTTGATTCTATCGTGAGCATGCGTTGGTCTTGCTTCTTAAAGGTGTGCCGAAGTTCATCAAGTTCAGGGATTCTAAGTTCCTCTTTGAAACGACCAAACTCAGAGGCAAGCTCCGAGTTGGCTTTATTGGATTGATCCAGCTGCTCTGAGACATCGCGCAGCTTCTCCTCTAGCGCCTTATTCTTGGAAGTCTCCTCGTCTAGGCGACGGGCCAGCGTTGACTTTTCCGAATTTATCGCGTCGATCTTTTCATCCATCCTTTTTGCTAAGGCATCAACCTTGTCGTCCATCTTCTTCGTTATAGAAAACTCAATCGACTTTGGTAATAGACTGAGCCGAGTTTCAAGGTGAGTTATGTTTGCTGTCGTCGGCGTCGTCGCCGGTGTTGGCGTAGGCGTAGCTGTAGTCGTAGACGGCTCTGCAGATGTGGAGGCGGGCGGAGCAGTGGAAGTAGGTGCAGGAGTGGCTTTCCGGGACCTATCAATTATGGTCATAAGGAGGGCAGGGAACTTCTGGTCCAACTCCTCCAGTCTGCGTTGATATTTCAACCTGGCGTCCTTAGATTGACTCAATGACTGCTTTAACAAGTTGAATTCGGATGTGAACTCTGAGCGAGCCACAGTTTCGAGTGATTCACGACACTTCTTTTCCCTAGTGAGAAGATCGTGGTACTGCTTGTAGGCTGCTGCTCGTTCGGATATTAAGTTGAGAACTTCAGCGGTATCTCTATCCTTGGTCTGGGGTTGGTTCGGCGTGGAGGATTGTTTTGTAATCGGAGAGGAGGTGGCTGCTGAATGGCCTGTTTCGTGGTGGGTTAGCGGACGGACATGGGATGATAGTAGGATCTCTCGATGGCCGTACCTTTGTTTGGGACCGTCTGGTCTCTTGGGCTTGACGCTGCACTCTGATGTCCGGCGAGGGAAGAAGTAGATAATCGAATACCACCATCTTGACGACGGGATGGTAGAGGACGATCGTCCTTTGCCCTGTTATCACGATCGGAAAATCCTGAATCTTTGCGAGTGAATGGTGGTCTCTGGTCGAATCGTTCACGGCGATCTCTCTCCCTGTCCCTGTCCCTCTCTCGGTCGTAATCTCTATCTCTATCTCTATCTCTATCTCGGTCGCGAGGACTCCGTTCCCTCTCACGCTCCCTCTCACTTCCGCGGTCCAAGCGATGGAATTTATCTCGAAACGAGCTCATGGCGCCTGGAAGGAGACTCGCCCACGTTTCCCACCAGGAAAGTGGAAGGTCATGTAGGCGGTGCGAATGGTCGACGGCAGGAGGGGTGGCCTTGTTTAGCAAACAGCACTACAAGTTACGCAGAGATAAATCAACAGCGCACGTGATGTTTCTTCTAGATATTGCCTGGGCCTTTTGTTGGAAACCAAGCCCGGCACTTCAGGTCAAAAGATGTGCGGGGCAGATTTAACTTTTGGGCACGGTTGCAAAGCGGTGGAGAGTGAAGCTGACAAAATCTGGAAAGGAAGACCGTCGACGCGCGAAGCCGAATGTGCAAGGTGCGAAGGTTGCAGCCGGGATGGAAGAGAGAGAGGAGCAACGAGCAATCAGCTGCACGGAATTCTGCCGCCACGCACCCACGCCTGGTTTCAGCAGAGATGAGATACGGGAGCGGGATCTGGAGCTGGAGAATGGGACGGGACAGGAGCGTGATGCTGCCAACTAGCAATGGCCTGTGGTTTTGGCGGGAGATTGTTCCTCGCCATTAACGCGCTCAAATGGGAAAGGCGGTGACCCGGGCGCTAGTGCCAGACATGCAGCTAAAGATGGCGCTTGGGCTGAAGGGTCCATACTGACACCAGTTATGGAGTCAATTATACGTGACTTTCTTTTTTTACCTTCATTTCTCCTCCATTGCCACTTTTATCATAGCGTTAGTAGGGGGCAGTGTGCCATTCACCATGCGTTTCCTATATCCGCCCCCCTGCTGCTCGCCACACCATCCCAAGAGCAAGGTATAGTCGACCACACTTTGCTTTTGGGAGTATTCAGCCAGCTTCCTGCGTCGGGGATCCTGCAAGAAGCAGAAGCAGATGGAATCGAAGCGAACTCGTTTCTGTCCGACATGTCCTACGTGCCACAAGCAATGTTTTCCTGCAGAGATATGGGGATCGGGAAAGTCAGGCCATGGAGGGCTGCAAGCATCGTCGTCGACGAAACCAACAGCCATCAACCGGTACTGGTTACACAAACGGCAATTCTCGCCTGCTCCGCTACCGGTATTGTTGAGAAAAAGAAAACTCCACCTCAATCCCGTTGGTTCAGTTGCAGGGGTTAACTAGGGTACCTTGGAGTCGTGTACTACCAGGTATGTATGTGAACCGGCACATGGATTGATTGGAATAACGACACCTCCCGAGCTTACGAGCTGCGAAAAATAATAATACCCTAGGTAGTTCCTCTCTAGTAATGATCCAGACTATTAACGTGGCGGAGTTTTAAGAGTTTAAAAAATCCCGTCAGATAGGTAAACCGTCAGCTGTAATGTTCTTCTGTCATTTTCTTCTATCTTGGGCCTTGCCGGGGGAGGGGCTTGACCGCATTGCGATGGAGAGTATAAGTCTCCTGCAGAACAACCAGGTTTTGCTCCTGGCTTGTCTGAAATTTCATTGACGGAGATAACTACGCAGTGGCGCTTCGTCTTGAGTCGATTGTTTGCCCATTGTCTACCAAGAGAGGGCTAGTTTTGGGCAGCTGATCCATGACAATCAGACCCACTTTGGTAGCGAGATGTGACGGTCCATGATTAAAGGATTGTTTCCACAAGTCCGGGGAAAAGAAAACATGCTATGCCGGCATATCCCTTTTCATTTACCCCAATTGGCTTTCAGCTCCGGAATCTGTTGGTGTATTGTCAGAATCCGTGCCTCACAGGCGACCAACAGTCTAAAGCAACCATGAGAAGACCCATGGCTTTTGGGGAGATGCAGTAAATGGCTAGTCCAGTTGGCTCGCTTGCTGCCACTCGCTTTGGATGGGTAGCTTGTCATCCATGCTCAACACTTGGGCAAGAGCCGAAGATTGGGCTTGGGAAAGCTGGAACACAAAGGCCGCACCCGTCGAGATGCAATCTCTGAATGTCATTCAGCTAATGATTGGATCGCGAGTGTTTATTCAATCTAGTGTTGGAGGTCCGAGATGTTTCGCCAAGGTGTAGGTCTGCATATGATATGCATTTCTCTGGCTTATAAGCCAGTGGAAGCATGCTCCAGACTAGCCTGCATAGTACACAGCCAGGCAGATCCTAGATGCCCTGATAGCAAGATGCGGTGTTGAAGGCACGTGCCGATAATTGGACGACATCTTGAGATAGGAGGCCCACACGATCTGATTGAGATCCCACAAGCTCGTTCAGGGGCCCATATGTTTCTTTTTACTTTGTGTATGTACTGAGATACCAGAAACAGCCATGATAATTTTCTCGATTTTCGAGTATTCTCCTGGACGTCGCAAGACTCAGCGTTGGTTGGACTTTTAGGGGCAGCTCAGAGGTGGCAGTCGTATGACGTCACTGACCTTATCGCAGCATCATGTGGTCTCCCTTGGATTTACAACGTTACGCCTCTTCTTCCCCTTACACCAACCTTGCCGCCACTGAGCATCCGATTGTCCTTTTCTGGACTTCTATTAGTACAGAGACATGGACGACTTTGGAAGTCGTGTCAGTCGCAATGTCGGGGAAAGAGAGCCCCTCTTGGGCAGGCAATCTCACCACAACCGAGATCATCAGATCAGAGAGGCTTCCTCGATGACCACCCGCCCTACCTTTGGTCAATGGATCAAGCAGTCCTGGGTTGATGTAGTTACAATGCTTGTGACCGGTGTAGTTGGACAAATGGTAAGTCCAAACAGCCATGCCGCCAATCCCCACGGCTTTCCATCAGATGGGGCCGGTAAAACTAACAATGCATCCCTAGGCATATTTATTGCCTCCAGTGCCAACCCGCTACTTTGCAGTTACTTCCGCAGACGATCAGGTTGTCTTCCCTGAACTCGCCTACCCAATGCGCAAGGTGATTGTCCCCATCTGGCTCGCCACCTTGCTTGCCGCCGGCATACCCGCCACATGCATCCTGGCTATGCAGATCCGGTACCGGTCCTTCTGGGATGCCAACAATGCCATAATGGGGCTCCTGTATTCTCTCGTTACGGCCGCGGCTTTCCAGGCGCTCCTCAAGTGGCTCATTGGCGGTCTCCGGCCCCATTTCCTTGCCGCTTGTAAGCCGGATATGCGGCTAGTAGCGGCTGCATATGCTGAGAAGATGGGCGGTGCCTGGGATCTGGATAGCAACAAGGAGAGTCACCACGGAGACGGTTTTGGAAATCTTTACTTTACGAGGGACATTTGCACGGGCACTTCATGGGATGTCTCCGACTCTCTCGAGTCCTTTCCGTCTGGCCACACCACGGCGGTTTTTGCTGGATTTGTCTTCCTGTCCCTCTATTTTAACGGCAAGCTGAAGCTATTTGCTGACCATGTAAGTTGAGAACGAGGCATGAACTCTCGTTTACCCATCTCGGGGTCTCTTTGTTCCGTGCTTTGGCTTACTACTCTGGACCAGCATTCTGCTATGTGGAAACTGATTTTGTTCCACCTCCCAATTCTGGGTGCGATCCTTGTTGGCGGAAGTCTCACTATAGACTTCTCTCATAACTGGTACGATGTGATCGTTGGAGCAATAATTGGCACGACGATGGCTGTATGTTCCTACAGGATGGTATATGCCTCCGTTTGGGACTGGAGGCTCAATCACATCCCCTTGCGCCGAGACAACACCAAGGTGGGTGATATTGGGGATATGTTTCTCCCGTACGGCGACCACCAGGGGAGGAAGACGCTTGATAATGATATCCGTGCTACCTATGCGACACCAGAAAATGTCGCAATTGGCAATGGTTTGGATGTCACTCCATGACTCGCGAGCCTCACAGCATGATAGGTTCGGCCCTAGTCATGCGGCACGGGGGAAATTCAAGCCTTGCGGGCACTTGGAAGCGTAAGCCAGACATCTACATGCGGCTTTGGGACGGGGCAAGGGAAGCCGCCAGAAGCGAAGTGCTCGTGCATGATGCAACCTGTAGGTCTACCCATCCGTATATAGCACGCACATTCATGATGAGATGTTGCAGAATGGTCATATCCCCGCTTCTTCCATTCTCTCCATCTCCACCTTTGGCGCTTCCGTTATCGCCTCCGTCACTGACATTCCACTTACTTTCCTACTACGGTATATTATCTCTGTTAGATGGGGCCTCGGACCCATAAGCTAAATGTAGGGCGCGCCCAGCAAGTTCATCAACATCACCAGGTTGGTTCCACCCTGCTGTCGGTCGTTGTATTTATATGGCCGTCTTTCCTGGGTGAGTCTCTGGATTCCGGAGTCTCTGTAGTATCATAAACCCCCTCTCACAAAGAATCACATCCATACTTATATAGATATATACCCACACTTGCTTCCATAACACTCATATATAATGGCTTCACTCAACCTTCCAGAGAAATTCGCTGCCATCCCTAGAGAAAACTTCCTCTTTGGACCTTCTCCAATCCAATCACTGCCCCGAATCTCGGCTGCACTTGGAGGCAAAGTAAACGTTTATGCCAAGCGCGAGGACTGCAACTCTGGTCTGGCCTATGGCGGTAACAAAGTACGAAAGTTAGAGTAAGGCAAACCCTCCTCTTCTCTTCATGAGTTCGCCCCATGAGTTCACGCCGCTCTGCCGGAGCCCGAATCAGTTCTCTGATGCTAACCACATGTACGCAGATACCTCGCCTCAGAGGCTCTATCACAGGGCGCCGACACTCTAGTCTCCATCGGCGGCGTCCAGTCAAACCACACCCGCGCCGTCACGGCCGTGGCAGCCAAGCTCGGCCTCAAGGCGGCCACCCTCCAGGAGCACTGGGTCGACTGGGAGGACCCGGGCTACGAGAAGGTCGGCAACATCCAGCTCTCCCGGCTGATGGGCGGCTCCGTCCATCTCAACACCGAGACGTTCGGCATCGAGCACAAGCAGGCCCTCGCCAAGCTCACTGACGACATCAAGGCCGACGGCCGCAAGCCCTACTACATCCCCGCGGGAGCCTCCGACCACCCCCTGGGCGGGCTGGGCTTCGCCCGGTGGGCGTTCGAGGTCGAGGCGCAGGAGAAGGAGCTCGGCGTCTTCTTCGACACCGTCATCGTCTGCGCCGTCACCGGGTCGACCTTTGGCGGCATGGTCGCCGGCTTCAAGCTCGCCCAGAAGCTCGGCTCCCCGGCCCGCAAGGTCATCGGCATCGACGCCTCGGGCAAGGTCCAGCAGACCTTTGACCAGGTCCTGCGCATCGCCCGCTTCACCGGTGAGAAGATTGGCCTCAGCCCCGAGGACATCACCGAGGAGGACATCATCCTCGACCCAAACTACAATGCCAAGATCTACGGTATCCCTGACGAGACTACCCTTGCCGCTATGAAGTTTGGAGCCCAGACGGAGGCTTTCATCACGGACCCGGTTTACGAGGGCAAGAGTCTGGCGGGGATGATCGATCTTATCAAGACTGGCAAGATTGCTGGTGGAAATGTACTGTATGCCCATCTCGGAGGTCAACTTGCTCTCAATGCATACTCCTCCCTGTAGGTACATAACTATGAAATAAAGTAAAAAAAAACATGAATAAACACCAATCTGTTTGGCACAATATAGAGAAATTTGCTTGTTTGTGCGTAATGTGAAGCTGCACGTATTGACCAAAGCCCAAGGTTCGGCAAGTCAAGTTGAGGTGACACTGGACTGAGCTAGAGGTAGGCGAATCCAACCAGATGGTTCATATATGCAGCTACTTCGCCGCAAAAAGCGAGTCCAGCAAAAGACATTGAAAAAAAGAAGCCCACTTTGCGTTCAAGTAGAGAAATACTGGGCAAAAAACCCGTCAAGCGTCATGAGGCCCCCATCCTTGCCCTGGGCCTCCTGAGCCCGACTCTTGAGCTGACCAGCCAGAGCCATATTGTTGGGTACACCGTAGTAAAGGCCGCCGGAATACTGGCAGAACCCAAACATGTACTTCACAAGCTCCAGGCCCCTGTCGCCATACGTCTCAAAGGATCGCCAGTCCTCAAGCGGGGTAAAGCGAGACTTCTTCCCAGTGACTAACGGTGCTGTCAGCATTGACTCTTTACATCAGAAGGGAGAAGGAGGAGAGGCACAGATACTCACTCTTCTGGAAAGCCTCAACAAGCTGGGTTGCAGTGGCACTCTGGCTAATGGCCTGGATGAGCTGTCCGTTGTAGAGCTCGGGGGAGAGGAAAACCCCATGCACGATGTCACCATAGTCATCGCCGATGGAAATGAAGGGAATTTCCTCATTCCCTCCCCAGCGAGGGCACTTCAAGGTGAGATAACCCTCCTCGTCCGGCGAGAAAGGGAAGCCTCCGAAAAGGGGTGCGAGCTGTTCCGCGAGGTGGTTCTCCAGGTACCACCCAGGGCTAACGATGGCGACTGAAGTAAATGACTTGGTCTTTGCATACTCTCCGACGGCATGTTTCTCTTCGCCAGTGTTAGAAGAAATCTAGGAAATACAAGTAAGAGAAGGGAGGTTTCTCAGTTCAACTCACCATCAAAACCTTTGTTTGGGACGGCCCCGTTGGTAGTCTCGGACGCCGAAGCCATACCACTGTAAACAAAGTGTTGGACACCAGCCTCAACAGCGGCATCAATAATGATTTTACCCAGATCAGTCTCGGAGGGTCCGTCAGGCTGCCCGATAGCCTGCACAATAAGAACTAATATCAGATACCATTGCTTGATTAGTGAACTTGGAGTGAGCACGTACAGGATCATCAGAGTTGGTGTTCACGAAGACACCCCAAGCGCCCTCAAGTGCTTTGGAAATCTGGTCCTTCACCAGACCGTCCGCCTGCACCATCTCGACACCTTGTTCTGAGAGGGCCTTGGCCTTGTCTGAGCCGGTGTTGCGGGTGATTCCGCGGATGGCAAAAGCACCAGACCGGTTCTTGAGGAGAGACTGCACGACACTCCCACCTTGAGCACCAGTGGCTCCAAAAACGGCGATGACTTTAGGGGAAGACATGGTGATAGCAGATTTGTCAGTGAGGCTGCGGCGTGGGAAATATAGATCTATGAAAGGTTGAGTCTGGTCAGTTGAGTAGCTCGGAGAATGCCTCTACTGAGCTTGGTGAACATCCATATTCTCAACGAGACACTGCACTTTATACTCATGATGAATGCCTGCCAAAACACCTACCGACCATCTCAAAGCACGAATCCGGGTAGAGTTCCTGTAACCTCTGGGTTGCCTAACAACCACCTTCCTGAGCGCTGGCAACGACCACGCAACACATCACCGCCATGCTGCAGGCTAGAGCGCCTTTGATAGGGCCAGATGCTCTCGTGATTCGTATCGTCTCAAGATCAGTAATTCAAAATCACCATCCCAAGGCAATGTGCGTATGCCACCCACGACCTCAACCGGGTGTGTGTCAGAGCTGAATGTTGGTGCATTACCTTTAGGACTAGCGATGGCCCAATGTTGGCTAGCCTAGCGGAAGGAGTCTGTATGGCAACGCGTTCATTTCGCAATGTTCAATAATCAATATTCGGGAGAGTTGCAATTATGTCAGCAAGCCACACCACCTATGAAGTAGGCTGGAGATTGTTTGGATTAAGCTTAAAGATACATTTCAAGAGATATTGATATAGTGGCATAATACATGAAATGATACCATAGAGACAAGTGTTTGGCGCTGCTAGTATACCAGATATATGGGTATCTACCTACTTGCAATACAATATCCCGAATGCCTTGCATTCACGTGTAAATAGCGAATGAGGGTAAGAGGCTGTAGACGTGTCGAAGGCAACACACATTTACCTTCTGCAAGTCAGATGTAATTTTCATCTGTCAACCACATTAAAAGAGCCCAAGCGACTTGTCTGGAGTGATCCAGAAGGTGAAATACTTTCTCTTAGTCTGAAGAAAACGCGCCAGGGCACATGGGCATATTCGATAAACCGGAAAGCGACCTACCATAGGGAGTACTTCTTAGAAGACGCTGCTAAAGTGGCTACTATCGCTTCCCGATGACCTTGGCGGCCTTGCAGACTGGACACTTGCTACAATTCTCCATACCTATTGGGCATGATTTATGTCTCTCTCCAGATGTAAAAAGACATTCGGTGTGTGACTTTCCATTTTCTTCAACAATAATTGGAATGGTAATTAAGAGGATGCAGACGGCACTGCACTTGCGGGTAAAGCATGCCGCAGTGCCGTTGTTGCAACAGAAGTGGGCAATATTAAGGCTCGTTGCAAATCGGGTTTGAGCCAAGCCACATGAAACGCATTGATGCAGTAGCATTACAGTAGTATCTTGAGTTGGCAGTCGATGTTCCGAGGCCTTTTGTGTCAGCGAGATGCATGGCGCATGTGAGGTCGGGCACCTATAGCAATACCACCGATGCGGCGAAGACGCTGGCAAGGAGGAAGAGGGAACACAAAGGGTAACAGGCCAACGGTGATTTTCTTGAGTATCTTGTGAAAGGGTGTACCAACGCAGATGAGTGGCTGAGACTCAAACGCACGTGATGAATCATCAAATGGCATTGTATGATTGACTGAACTTGGCCATGTTGTGGTTCGCAGAAATTCTCAGGAATGGCCAGTACAGTCGTATGAGAGGCAGTCGGTAGACCGAAGAGAGAGTTGACGGAACGTAGCACACTCCTGGGGCATATGAACCTATGATTGATTAACCGCGTTAGCTTGTTGGTTGCTCGTCAAAGTACATCGCACAAACCACCGAAGAGTGGAACAGAAATCGTCATCACGAAGATCCCAACTACCTGAACGGAGGCCACTTCGCTCGCGTCAGTCTGTTTGTCGGAGGCCAATAGATGCCAGCCACCGTGCGGGAAGCTTGCTGGATGACTCGGGCTTGGCTCGGCAGTCAAAAGATCTGATGAGTGAGTCCTCACGTGCCCCTTGCCTTGTTGCCTGAGATATGAATCGCAAGAAGTGCATGCAAAAAGTAGGCATTATGTTGATCTTTAGCTGGACGGAAGGGAGATGGCGTTGCATCAGGTCATATTACTGCGGCGTGCATGATTTTGCCCTTTCCACGATAGCAAGACCGTGGGATCTCCCATCAGCCGATCATCTGGTTGACCGAAGTCCATAGTCACAGCCGGCTGGCGAACTTGGCATATTTGCATAGAAGCTGGCTAAGGAATGTTCGTGTAAGGCGATGCAAGATAATGCCGTGATTGGTGGTGAGGAAGAGAGGGTGCTGAAGGAGTACCTAGCCATCATATCTCGCCAAGAAGGCTGGGCAAGCTTGGTGGTTAGGCGGCATCATCATCCCTCGGTCGGGAAACGGTGGCGCAGCAGCGTGCTCTGACCGCACAGAATATCTGCGACATGCAGCATCCTGCTCATGCACCTAAGCGTACCTTGGTTCGAGGCCCAGGTGTTGCGTGTCGTGTGGCTCATCAATTGGGTCAGGTTACATAATTTTTCGCACAGGCCACGCTTCCAAGCGCCAGGAAAGACAATGAGCAGCCATGCACTATGTGGTTGCATGGCTGGGCACATTGGCCTGTACTGACAGATGACGAATGCAAGAGACACCGGAATGTTGGCGGTGCTGATCAATCGGGGTGTTGGTGCAAGTGCGTTTCGAATAGAGAAGGCGGACGCGTGTCGGTCAGAGAAGCATGTACCCGTTTACCTTGGGTATAGCAAAGTGTAACGCATATTCCACAGCTTCTTGAAGTGTTATGAGAAAAGGACGGACGACAAGCACTGGTTGGTGGTAGGTTGGTGTAGTTCGAGATGCTGGTAAATGAGGATGCCACAGGTTACTTGGAGGTCCTGCCTACTCTGTACAGCCGGTATGACTTAGATCAACCTCCCCGGACGTCGAGAATCCGAGATGATGATGGATATGGGGTACTCCTCCATTGTCATCAATGGGAAACCCTCTCATCTCACTAGAACGCGCGTGAGACACGGTAGAAGTACAATGCACCATGGAAAGGGGCAAGGGTGGGTGACGCAGGAAACGCCAGAATAGGCCAAGCCCTATGGTTAGACAAATGAGCACCGGATAAGCTTGCAACCTGTCTCTTGTCGAGGCATCGTACGCGCGCTGTGATGCACGACGAGTGGATGGGCCCTTTAGGCCACACCTAGACTGTCGCATAGTGCAACACTGCCAGCACCGCCGTGTTATCAGAAGGCGTCTGTGACGTCAAGTTCGAGGACTGTCTTGGGCCCCAGCACCGAGTCTCCTGAGCGACAGACAGTTGAGGTCGATTGCCTGCCCTCTGGTTGGCAGTGGTGAGGATGTTACAGCGACAACGATCCAACCGGCCGGCGCCGACGCATCATCGGGGCTTATCTGGAGTGCCAGATCTGGCCATGGCCTCATGATCGTGAGAATTAAAAGGAAGGACCTCCTGTCCCGCTCCAGCCCCCAATGTCATTCTGCTTGTGACTATCTACCTACATAGGTGCTAGACACTGCCCGCTTCTCTCCCATAAATCTTTACTATTCTTCTTTCATTGCTCTGTACCCAATACCATCTCAGTTTGCACCTTGGTGCACCCTTGGCATACACGAAGCACCTGCAGGTATTTGCCTACGTAACTGGCTTCACCAACCTCCACGCTACGACGAGTTAATTGAGACCTGCGTCGGGCTGGTTTTCAGCTGGAGCGGCAGAGAAGCGCCAAAGCCCAGAAATCACGGAACTTGCCTTATCGTCGGGTTCTCGACAATCAGGTGGTTCAGCCCTCATCGTCACAGCCATTGTATCGCATACGTTGATTCGCGGGCCATCTCTCATGTGACACCCCCCTCCAGCCCGCACATTGGGTTGCACTGCGCCGTCGCTTGTGCAAGACAAGAGATAGGACGACCCCCCAAAAGGCAACGGCTTCATCTAGACGGTGTCTTGGGCGTGCTGTGGCTTGGAGCTGGGCCCGCCCCCGCAACACCCGCCGCCTAGGCCAGTCCATGTGGGACCGCTGTGCCGGCAGGCTGTGGTAGCGTCTGATTGCCTGCTTCAGCTCGTGGCCTCGGTACGCCAAACGCAGGCGAGCCGCAAACCGTCGCTGTGGGATGCTGTACCGGAGATTATATGCTGCAAAACTAGTAGTTCTTGGCTTCGCCTTTTAGGGCCCAGACCGTTGACCCCGAAAGCGAGGGCTCCTTCTGCTTGGTTATTTGAGCCCAAAGTCCGCTGGGCCTCTTTTTCGTTTCTTTGCCTTCTCTCCGCTTCATTTTGGTCACTGGTTGGTCAACTTACTTATCTTGAAGCTGTGGAATCCTGGCATCCCACATACACCCCTACCTATCACAAAGAACATACAGACACCTTCGCACAACACCCACCCACACCGATTCGACCATCTCCGCCTACACCACCTTTGCTGAAATATTGAGATTGTTTGCCTATATTTAAAACTGAGATCCACCTCCGCTATTTGACCCTGGTTGTTTCTGCATACCCACCAGCTGGGCAAAGCACTCTACTTATTATCGCCTATTTGTACACCTATATAAGTCGACTTGGCCTGTTCATGTTAGCCAATTTTGAATGACTTGACGACAGTAATTCATGCAAAATCGACACCAGCCGTTTCTTTTTCGCAATCAAGGTTCTTTCGTCTCTTGCCAAGGAGGATGCACACAGGTAGGTTTGTTGACACTGCTCATCCAACGCCCCCGTCTTTAGAATAATCCCCCTCCAATTGTAATTCCTCCTTCTGACCTTTTAAACAGCTATCCCGTTAGTCCACACCCCAGATCACTTATACTCGATATTATTTCGTCGAGTGCCATTGATTGAATATTCAACGATGGTGCGGAATTTTCAGCTTCTTACCAAGTCCCTACTGGGGCAATGGTTTTGCAATACACCGCCCCTTCCACATACCCTTGAGCTCTTCAACGGACCACAAGAGGATTATCCACCAAAGCTGAGGTTCATTGACCTCCCCTCTGACGTTCTATTCTCCATTACCGACCATCTCGACACCCCGTCCGTTCATTCTCTGTCTCTCACCTGCCGAAGCCTTTATGCCTCCAGATTCCCGGCGACGCAGAAGCCTCTAAGTCCGGAGGATCAACAGAACCTGCTCACCACATTGGAGCGTGACCCGCTTGGTGAAGGCTTCTCTTACTGCCAAAGGTGCAACAAACTGCATAGTTATGACCGGACCTGGGGCCCACAATCCGGGTCTGAAAAATCCCAGAACACCAGGGGAACCCTTTGCGGGATGAAGGATGCATTCTCGCCCGCAGGAAATCCCTTTGATCTGGGCTATCACCATGCTCGACTCGCAATGAATAACCACTTTTACGGGTCGCAATTCGGGATTCCCTTGGACGCAATCTGCATCAAGCAGATCGTATCCCGTGGTGGGATAGCCATTGATTGCTCAACCGCTGCTCAGATCCTTCAGGACGAGCTGTATATACGCCGCATCTACAAATTTATGGTCCCGGAAAATGGCATTGACGAGTTCTTCAACACCCATGGATTTCGAGACTTCCGCCTGTGCGAGCACATGCCTTTCCTCCGCAGCCCCTCGGTGTACCACCAAGCCGTCCCCGAGCTGCAATGCAGATCTAGAACAGCGCCTGCCGATGAAGCATTCCAGCCATGCAGGAACAGCCCGGGATCATGCGGGATCTGTCTGCTTGATTATGACATCACAATTCAACACTCAGCAAACGATAAGGCTTGGAGCATTGTCATCCAGGCTTTCCACCAGCTGGGCAGCTGCCGGTCGCCTGACGACTGGAAATGGGCACGTTTCACAGAGAGGAGCAAACCCCGCCTGTTTGGACCAAACCGGCCCAACCGACGAGGCAGCAGCTTCAGCCCAGGCGTCATAATGAGTGCTTGGCTCGGCGGGGAACGAAGCACAGCCTAGGCCGACCCATCTCTTAACTTTCCCTAACTCTTGTATACTTATGCCTCTTGTTTTTTATTTCCTCCCCATGATTCACACACGCGCCACTTGGAGTTGGAAGCATTGTTGGAGTCACCGGCATTTGCATTTCTAGCGAGTTTGAGCTCAAGTTTGTATCATTTTATCACTGGGACAAGGTACCAGCCGGAGTTCTTTTTTGTATCTCTATTCTCTTCTCTCCTGTATTTCACCACTCACCCGGAAACGCCGCAGGGACGGGCATTCCGGCAGGTCGCGGCAATGAGCCGGACCGGCAAGACTAGGCCGATGATAGGGACGGTGCATGACGATATGATATGATATGTTGACGATTACGATGGGAAAAACGGATTTTATACCCCATCAAGTTTGGGCTCTCAACGCACACCGAACGAATGATTTTGCATGGGGCAACAAAGGAAAACGGCATATTCGGCCCTGGGTTTAGGGTCTCAATCTAGCAATTTATTCTTCTCAAATTTCATCACTCCATTCTCCTCATATTGAAATCTCGCAATTCATGTGACGCGTGTCCAAATTCTTTTCTACATCCGTTCACTAATGTGTACAGTCTATCATCCGATCCGTGAAACATTAGTCCCGAGTTTTGGCCCAGTTGTCTCCAATGCCAGCCATTTCATGTCAAGAATGCCCAGCTCTCCAGCCCACCATCAGTGTGGCCGCGGCAGACGAAAAAAAAAAAAAAAAAAAAAGCTTCTTATTGATCTGTATGCCAACTCCAGAATTACCATCCATTGTTACTGCAGCCACACACCACCTGGCCTCCCGAGTGAATAATGAGATCTAAGCAATGATGATGATATGATATAAACTGAGACGGTAAATGGAGGGACCATCCGGGAGGTTGATAGAGGGGCCAAGGAATGGCGGTGGCGTGGTCCTAAATCTGGTATCATTTTTTGGTGGGTCGTTTATGATTTTTAAAAAGCCATTTTGATTAATTTACAGCTTGTCGATAATGGCCTGGGCGTACTCGTGGGTCTTGGCCTTGCCACCCAGGTCGCCGGTGAGAGCCTTGCCCTCGGCAAGGGTGTCGAAGATGGCCTTCTCAATCTTGTCGGCGTGCTGGTTGAGGCTCATGTGACGGAGCATCATGATGGAAGAAAGGAGCAGGGCAGTAGGGTTGGCGAGAGCCTTGCCCTGGATATCAGGGGCGGAACCGTGGACAGCCTCGAAGATGGAGCACTCGTCACCAATGTTGCCTGAGGGGGTGAGACCAAGACCACCGATGAGACCGGCGCACATGTCGGAGAGAATGTCACCGTAGAGGTTAGGCATGACGAGGACCTTGTCGTTGTAGGGCAGAGGGTCGGTGACCATCTTGAGGCAGGTGTTGTCGAGGAGCTCAGCATCGAACTCAATGTTGGGGAAGTCCTTGGCAACATCGTTGGCGACCTTGAGGAAGAGACCGTCGGACATCTTCATGATGGTGGCCTTGTGGACGACGCGGACCTTCTTGCGGCCGATGGACTCGGCGTGCTGGAAAGCGTAACGGAGGACACGCTCACTAGCCTCGCGGGTGATGAGCTTGATGCTCTGGACGACACCATCGACGACAATGTGCTCGATACCAGAGTACTCGCCCTCGGTGTTCTCACGGATCAGGACGGTGTTGACACCATCGTAGGGAGTCTTGTAGCCAGCGACCGAGCGGCAGGGTCGGAGGTTGGCGAAGAGGTTGAAGGTACGACGAAGAGTAAGGTTCAGGGAGACGTGGCCCTTGCCGATGGGAGTCTGCGACACCTAGTTAGAAGCGATTCCCAAAAGCCAACTTTCACATGCTAGGCTGCCTACAGCGAGGGGACCCTTGAGGGCAATCTTGTTCTTGTTGATGTTCTCAATAGCGGCATCGGGGATAGCAGTCTTGCCATCCTTGAGGATGGGGGTGACATCGACGGATTCCCAAGTAATGGGGGTCTGTGGTTGAAGATTAGCACCATGGCATTGGGTGGTTGTGGTGCGCGATGACGAACCTTGGCGGCGGCGAAGATGTCCTTGACAGAAACGGCGATTTCGGGGCCAATGCCATCACCCTCGATGAAGCTCACCAGGTAGTTACCCTAATTGCGCGCTGTGTTAGTATATACTTCAATGACAATTTGATGCTTGCATTGATCTGTTGAGGGAGTATCATCGCCTGAGTGATTTTCGCTCGGCTATGCCTGTGGTAGGGATGCCAATCGATAAGGGCGACGGCAGCGGGCATGTGAAGATGAGACCAACCTTGGAATCCTTGGTGCCCTCGTACTTGGCGACACGGTCGCCGGCGCTAGAGTAAAATCGCTGGTTCTGCGCATTGGTTAGCAAAAGAGTCATTCGAGCCAAGATGTGATTGTCTGCCTCACAGAGATGGACCAGGTGGCGGCAGCGCGAGGAGCCGCACGCAGGCACTGCCTGGGGAGAGGGCTGGAGAAAGCGCGGAGGGAGAGCATGGTGGCTGAGGGTTGTCTAATGATGAGGAGAGATGCAACACCAACAAAAAAGAACCGGACCTCGAACGCAAGCAAAATAGACACAAGAGTAGAGAGGAAGCAAGAGGAGGAGGAGGAATCCAAGCGTGGATCCAGGAACTCAAAAAAAGTTTTGGAGGTCGGACAACAGCCTGTTCGGTACGGCGCGGGTGACACTGGGCCAAGCGATATGCTAGGCAAGATTGTGTAGGCACGTAGGGATTGTCGCAGTAAAGCTACTGCTGCACAGGGAAGCTGCAGTGTAACCGTGTGGGGCTTTCCTTCTGGAAGCTCGCCCTTGGCCTCGGAGCCGTCGTAATCCGTCTCATTGCGCCGACTGCCAGAAAAACCGAGCCCTGACACCCACTGCGTCATGAATTGTGGCTTTGCCTGTGGCTGGGCGGGGTCAGTTTCGTTTTCGACGCAATGCGCCACTCCTCCCTGGGCCCACCCATCTAGTGGTTAGACATTAGCTGGCCCCAACCTCATCAGGCACAACGGCAGCTTGGAAACTAGTTCTAAATCGGGAATGCTCCATCGAGTTGCATTGGAGGTTAATGGAAACAGCTTGCAGCAACCTCCTTGCGATCTACGTGCGTGGCCCGTGAATACTTACCATCCCACTCCCGAGCTCCTGTAGCAGCCCCAATCTAGCTCGCTGATGGGTCGATTCCGCCTATCATAGTATGTGTCGCACATAACTTGATTCAACGCCTCCGCATCCCGCTCCTCCTCCGCAGCGATGGCGACCGAGTACGACCGCACGATCTTGGATTTCTATCAGATTTCTACGCCATATCCTTCAGAATGGCCCGATGAAAAGAACAAGGAAGATTCGGACAACGAGAAGGAGGATGATGACGACAAGAAGGATTACAAGAAGCCTAGGCGGCGCAAGTCGCGATACCAGGCGCTGGAGAAAGCAGTCAATGATCGCATGAGCAGAATCAGCTTCATTCCTGGGTCTGAAAGTACTGGAGGAGTGAGCAATCTTGTCCAGAAAGATGAGCCAGACCCTCTTGGATCCACAGACAGTGTGGTCAGGACGTTGAAGCACATGGGATTACCGATGCAGGATGACCCCCGGTTACGTAGGTAGATCCGGCCACAAGGGAGTCTATCCGATGATTGTTAACCAGGTCCCAGGGAACCGATTCCTGTTGTCTTCGACGACATTTTCGCCTGCGCTTTTCCTGTCGCAGATGCATTCCACCGCTGACACGCAGTCGCTTCTTCGAGGCTTGGATTTTCTTTCGCACTCCATCGACCAAAAGTCTGCATCTCTAAAGGTCCTCGTTGAATCCAATTTCGAGCGATTCGTCAAGGCCAAGGCCACCATTGATAACGTCTATAAAGAAATGAAATATCGGGGCACCGAACCGCCCCAAGCTCAAGGTCGGCATTCTCGACGTGCTAGCCGGAATAGCGCAGTTTATCCCAGCAGTCCCCTGCTTTCACCTACCAATATTGCTTCCCGGAAAAAGAATGCCTTGACAAAAGAGAGTGAATACGGACTCTTGGGTATCAAAACCCCACTGCTTGATGTATCCGCAAAGGCTGAGGATGTATGGGGCCCTGCGTTGGGGGGCAGAGAACAGGAGGAAACCCTCAAGACCATATCCTCTCAGCTTGAAGAATTTAAGGAGTATGTTGAGCTGAGTTCGGCAATTTCTGACAGCATTAAGCGAAAAGACTATGAATCTTTGGTGGAGGAATACAACAAGGCCAGGAAGTTTGCCGATTCTGCTCGCAAGATCGCAGACAATCCGGGCGCTAAACTTGAAGACAAACAACTATATCAAGTCATACTCGCTGCCAGGATGTGGCACGACGTTGATCATCAAATTCAGTTGCTGAAGAGAGATGTGTGGAAGAAGCTGACTTCATTACATACAACTGCTAAATCTGAAGGTATCGCTGGTCGATTCCACGAGCAGCATATGGATCTCATCTCACTACTCCTCGAGCTGGGCGTGTCCGATAACCCTGTTTGGGTTTGGTTATTAAGTCTTTATGATTATCTCAAAGGGAAGATTCAAGTTACCACTGAGCGATCCAAGATTGAAATTGAGGTACTTCGAAGGAGACTGGGCGCTGCGGAAAAGCCTACTCCGCAGGCTGTGGCAGCTCACCTCAGATCTTTGGGCCGCCAGACTACTGATGATAAGCCAAAGTCAAGCGATTCTGTCGATGTAATCGAGTTATGGGACAAGATGCTGGCGTTCTTGACCAACTTGGTCTCGCCTCAAGGCGTTCTTGGAGAAGTAGTCGAATTTTGGCAGACAGTTGAGGGCTTTATCAGTGGAAGGGCCCAGAAGAATCTCCCGACTGGCTACAATGGCGAGTCCCGGGTGCATCATAAACTCTCTTCTTCAGTCATTCAAGATTTGCAAAAGGGTGCAGTGGAGTTAGTTGAGATGATACGGGAGCTTCTAGCTGCTTTCTTCATGGGGCCACCACCAGAGGATCTGACACTGTTGTTCTCGCCCTCGAGTGCAACAACGCCAAATCTACCCCCTACTCCCAAATCAGCATTGAGCCCAAACGCATTGACCCCGGGAGCTCTTAGCCCAGGCGCTCTGAGCCCCAGTGTTCACGACCCCCGATATAAAGTAGACCCTAACAACCTACCGCCCCCTTCCCCAAAGCGAGGTGAATCATGGGAGAAGCTTGCATTCTGGCCTCCCTGGTCTAATTCCCTGAGTGGCTCATGGTACTTGTCAAAGATGCTTGCGTTGGTCGGCTCTGGGGCGTCCGATATGGCCAGCATTGGCCCTGTAGCTTCTGGAGATGGCCAAGTAACCGAGAGACTTAAAGCTCTGGTAGGAGGCTCACGGGAACGATGTGTGGCAGCGCTTTGTGCGGCATGGAATCGTGACGCCGAGAACATCAAATATGTCGAAGACTGGCAACGTACTGCCGAGCTTGGTGACGTGACTCGGATGCCCTCGAGCTTCTCAACCTTCGAGGGGACCTTACTCATGGGGATGCAAAAGATATTATATGTGTCCGAGGCCATGTCAAAGCCCGGTGCTGGAAACATTATATCCCCTCCCCCAACTAAGCTTCTTCAGATGGTGCGAGGCCAGTATGTCACCACATTGTATAAAGCCCTCAGCGGCATGGTAGAGAATGCAGAAAGGTCTCTGGCAAAGACAGATGATGAATGGCTCACCGACGACTACTGGGCGCCTACAAAGGCCAATACGGAAATTACTAGCAGAAGCACGCTTGACTCAAGCGACAGGGTGAGTCCCCTTTCACTCGCTTGGGTAGTCCAATTTGCTAATTTGAAACAGAATATTCGCATGCTACTGACCTTGAGCAACCTCCAAGCCCTTCGTTCGCAGGTTGTCCCTGGTCTTAACTCGCAATTTGAAAATGCCTTCTCCGTCAAATTGACCGACGAGTCCAAAACAATCAAAGATGTTCTCGGCCAGATCGATGCCCGTTTGTTCCAGTCATACACGAAAAAGGCCATCGAGAGACTCCGGGAGGTCATCCAAGCTGGCCTGGCCGAGCCCGACTGGGCCCCGCCCCCATCTACCAAGCCGGCAACGGCCAAGCCTTACGTTTACGAAGTGCTCCTGACACTCGTCCTGATCCATTCAGAGGTCTCCACCGCCGCGGCACCTCTCACGCCCCAGGTCCTTTCCTTCCTTCTCGAGCAAACATCAACCCAGCTGCTCGAGGCCTTCCGCAAGCGGCCTCGCTACCCCCTAGAGGCTCTCATGCAGGCCACCCTCGACGTCGAGTTCATCGCCCAGACATTGAGCCACTACACAACTGACCGGACGTCCGAGCTCCAGGGTCAGATCTACCAGGAGCTCGACAGCAGGACGGACAATGACGCGAGGGCAAAGCTGCAGAGCGAGCTACCCGAGATGCGACTTGTTCTCAAGAAGCTCAGAGATGCCAGTAAGAACGAATTTGCGTGCTTCAAGAGACCAAAGAGGCCTGGTCAAAACATCAATAGGACGGATAGCGGGTTATCATCATCAACGTGAACCAGTTTTTCTTCTTCTACCTAGGTAGGCTAGGCACATAAACATGGAGCCAAAAGCCCGCAGAGATGAGGACTGGCCGTTTCGCATTATATATCGAGACGGTAGAAATAAATTATTTAAATCAAACCCTTGGTAATTAATGTTTGGGGGTCAAAGTGACCCTCCTTTTGTCTTGCCCGTCTTTTCCTTCTTTGAGTATGACCATCAAGCAAACAGCTTGCTCGCATCACGCACCGTGAGGTATCTTGCCTTTTTTTGAGAATAACAAAAAGTCTACCGTGTAAACGCCAGAGCGTAAAAGAATTCGATCTCTAATGAAGTTCCACCTCCGTCTTTCTTTGGCTTTTGGTTTACAATAATTTCGTGAATTCGTCCTTCATAATGGGCCCGGCCATAGGCGAATGACGATGTGTAAAAAAGGGGCAAGATAGAAGAGAACTTTGGTAATGAGAAGAGGACTGAAAAAAGTCCTTAAGAAAAAAAAAATGGGAATCAAGATAAAGAGCAAATCGTGAAGCGTCGTGTTATGCGTGTCCGTGCATTCATCAAACGTTAGGGTATGTATCTTTGTTGTTTCGTCGTCGGGAACTCTAGGTCCGTATTGGGCCTCAATAGAATCTCGCTCACATCGTCATTCCTGGCTAAGTCGACCAATGTGTTCGTACTTGGACGTGTATGCAGGTCCACACAGCTCAGACTGGAACATTTGGCAGAAGGAGGTGTGAGCAGAATGTCAACTCCAAGGAACGGGAATCAGCAGGCGAAAACTGCGAGTCTTTCTGCCTGGCCGCAATGGTATCATCTGTTTGGTACAATGCGTCAGTAAAGAAGGTAGTCGGAATGAGGGAGCGGGCGGAGTCGCAGGGTGACTTACAATCTAGATCAAGCTTTTCAAAGTAGGCTGATACGATAGGGTCTTGATCTTTTGTTGCCAACTTGCCCTCCTCGTTGCGGATCGTCTGAGGCAAAGCTTTGCGGATGGCCAACAGCATCTTCAGAAGTCCTGCTAAATTGCCACCCTGTTGAGTGAATGCACTTGGATCGCGCTCAAGGGGCCATCCAGGTCGTAAATGATCTTGTTCCCACGCTTTGAAGGCCCATGTTGATTTTTCAACACAATTGAGGAAAATCAGGGCAGTCAGGAACATCTTGAACCCGATCTTGATCTTACTATCTTGAAGAAGCCGGTGCATGAGGCTGAGTAGACTCTTTGAGGTGTTGTTAGCTCTTCGCTCTGCTGCCGCATTCAGCTGCATGCATATCATAGTATAGATATCGGCATCATTGCCGCTCTGGGACTCTTTGATCCATCGCGGCTGTTCGCCCTCTGCACCAGGTTTCTCCAAAATCGTCCACTGCCTCTCTCGATCAATGGTCTCCACAAGACCCCAAAGCTCCAAAGCCTTTTTGAGGAGATCGTCATTCTCGTCCGATAGAAGCTGCTGCGCAGTTTCTAGAGTGACGCGCATGAACTTGGATGGTTCCCGTTCAATAAAAATATTAAGCACAGCGCGCATGTATCGTTCCACCTTATCAGGCAGATCCTCGGCATCCTGATCGATCATAATGACCTGATGATAAGCGTCCTTGTTTCCTCTTATCTCGGCTTGGCTCTCGCTCGGTTCAAGCAGTGCTACTAGAGTTGGCGCACTGATGTGTATTTCTGTCTCGGGATAATGCGACATATCGATGACTGTGCCATTGTTAATGGGATGGAGTTGTTCCTTAAGAAGGTTGATCCTATTCTGAGAAAGAACGACCTGTACGCCTGCGGAGTATAAGTCCAGTTGTTCATGGAGGCGCGTGCGAACACACCCGGTCCTCCATACGCGTGGAGCCAGCACCTTGCGACATGTATCACAAGGAGTACCTTTGCCACAGTTCTTGCGCAAAATCCGACATCGAATACAAGCACCGATCTTTCGAACCTCCTGAACCTCCTTCCGTCTCGCCGGTGTAAATCTTGCGCGAGCGTGGCGGGGCTTGCCATTCAAAGACCCGTCGCTCGTATCCATACGAACACCACCCCGGTTAAGAGGATGTGGTGCTATGGGAACCTCGTTCATGATCGGGGCAGTAGGTGTGTTCGCAAGATAGGTCATCTCGCCCCAAGGCTGTGCTGCATTCGGTTCGGGTGTTGCTAGAGGTAGCACCTCTTGGGGTTGGATATCTTCGGTGACCGGGGGTGAAGCTACAGGGACAGGATCTCCATTGACAAGTTGAGGGTCTAAGAACGATGGGTTGAGCCGGGCAGTGGCTGCAACAGCGACGGAGATATTTGCAGCGTCTGGTGAAATGGAACCACCTGGCAATAATGCTTGCAGCCGCTCCTCTGGTGACAATTCGGTCGGTGGTGGGGTAGCTAGATCAGCTGCTTCTGTTAGCCTGCGACGCTGGTAGGGGAAGAAAAGACGATATAGCCAACTTACTTCTCTTAATGGTCTGAGGTCTAGCATCATAGCTCACCGGGGGGTTGTCGAGGGTGAACTGCTCTTGGACTTCGAAGCGCTCGGTGCAAAATTCGTTGTTCATGGTAGCGGTGGTGTTGGCGACAGCGGGGGGATTGGCGGCGGCGGTTGCGTCTGGACTTTTCTGCCCACGATTGTTCTCGTTCAGATCGACTTGGCGCGACGCTTCGGCAAGGGTTTCTAATGCGCTCCATCCCTGCGGTAGCTCTGGGAGATGGGCAGGCTGTCCGTTCTCTTGGTGACCGTTTGCCTGCAGAAGGTTTCGATCTGGCAAGGTCCTGGCATTCGTAATGCCATGGAGCTCAAGGCAAGCTCGCATACGGTCGGGTTCGGATATGGCCGGGCATTTTTTAGTGATGTGCGTTGTCAGACTGTCAATGCGACCCTTTGGGAAGTTCTCGCCGCATTGTTTGCAGGTGTGAGGATAGCGGTTGCTGTTATCGTTGAGCTTCGGCCCACGCACGAAGTACTCCAAGATCAGAGGGTTTGGCTTGCGACCCATTGCGACAGGTAGAGCAAGGATGCAAGCGCCCGGCTTGCAGCCTCACTATAGAATACGCAGGGCAAGTCAATGCCTTGGGACTCCCAGTGTGTGATGTCAGGTACGGCAAGATCGCAGGGAAACAAGCCCCTCTATTATGCCGTATCGAATTGATTTTGGGGTGATGGACTTGTTGATTCTGCCCTCTCTCACCGACGAAATTCTTCACACCGCCTAGATAGTGTGCTTAGCGGATCAAAGATTTGCCGCTCCACCCTCAAGGAACGCTCCATGTTGTGGATCTACGGCGTCTTACCTTATTTGGCTGAGATCTAACTTCGATGCGCCTCAGCCTTGGAAACAAGCTTTGGCGTACCTGAAGACGACGGATGAATCATTGTTTCTAGAGTGTCCAAATGTGGCAGATTTGGAGTAAGAACGGGGAGAGCCGAATAGGCTAATTACTCGTGGCAGAACTCATTGCATTGACCAGCAAATATCATTTACCATTGACCTGCTCTTTTCATCCCATCACCTTACTGGTAATTAGGTACCTTGTAGGAAGCACTCGCTTCATGCGGACAGACTAGACGGAAGAGAAAAACCATCGCTGTTGGCCAAGAGCTAACCACACCCACGACTCGTTAAAACGCGCACCGGCGATTCTAGTTTGCTTCGTTCAAATTCCGATATCGCGTGACCACTTCAGTAGTCGCTCTCATGCTCGTCAGGCACGGGGGATCAATGGCACGTTAGACGCCCATTTGAAAAGTGACTCGCATGTGTGCTGCACGTGCTCACAACACAACGAGCAGGAGGCCTGAGCTTGGCATGCGCTATTTGCCTCCTGCCTACCTTAGGTATCTGCTGTTCACTCTGGCCCGTTGATCGGGAAGGAGAATGCGAGCAGTAGGTATTCTCCCGGGTCGTCGGAGCGCACGACGCCCAGTTCCATTGTTCTGGGTAGAAGGATGCACTGCAGGGATTCGGTGGGGTTCGAGCAGTTCTCCAAGATGGACGTGCAGATCGCTTTTCAAGCTCACAATAATGCGCCTTCTTATTACCTGCCTTACCCAAGTGGGTGACATTGAAATTGAGACACTCAAACATTAAGCTGCTTATTCTCCAGTCTGCAACCGGTATTATCAAATTATTGAGTGCCAATGATACATGCTTGAGATAATACGGCAAATATTGTCACTTTCCTTAATTTTATACTACTGAATTTCCTGATTTATCTTCGAAAGTAGAACCACTCCTCCATTGGGTGTTCCATTTCTCCTATCACCCACTTGCTATCCTCCACCCGCACTGGGAAATGGAGAGAGTGGGATCGTCACACTGGTGGGTCGCACTCGACAGGTACCAAGAACCACTCAAGGTCAGGAGGAATCACACGCGCTGCCTCTGCATGACGCTATTCGCGACGACCATCTCGTCGCTGACTGAACATACAGGGATCCTATCGCAATGCCACCTACTGTTCCTGGCTGATTGGACGTTCCTCGCGCGATCAGCCGAGAACTTGGGGAGAGCTCGATTGATCAACAGGCACACAGTTAGAGGATCGTCAAATGACCTCTAGCTTCCCACTGGTGGCTCATGTCAGAGAACTGAGTTCCGCTCAACAATCCAATGTTCTTAGATCAATGGCCATGCCGTGTCATGACTGAGCGAGATACGATAGTGCTACAGCATGACTCGCAACCAAGACACCTCGCTACTTGCCTGCGCTTTTGAGTCTCCCAATTTAGTGGAAGTGTCCCTCCTTCCTTATTCTTCTGGCTGTAAGGGCAAAATCCTGTGCTCGTGAGCAGGTCTGCATCAGCTGCCTCTAGAAGAGTGGCCGAGTTGCCAGTCATCTGTCCCACAGCAGATGGGACCTGCCAGCTACATGTGTCCGGGAATCCGTGAATTACATACCGACTTCTGTGGCAACTTCTAGGATTTCCTTATTTTCCCCAGGCTGAACCCTGACGGTCTCTTCCTTCCGCCACTCACACTGGTGGGATCTAGCACGTTTGATCCACCTGGGCTCCCCTCCATCTTCCCTCGAGTCAGTATGGCAAGCTGCGCTAAGGTCTTACACCATTCTGGCAGCCTCCACTGCACTTCCTATACCCCGGGTTCCTATCGCTAGTCAGGAACCAGCGTAAGGCTCCTCTTTCGGGGAGGTTCCGGATATATAAGGAGTACGTAGGGCAAATAGATTGACCCCATGCCTTTAGTGTAGATGCCTTCACACATTAATAAGTATTCAAGAATTGTTTAGCGTTAAGCTATGCGTGCCAAACAGTTTGTATTGGTTAGTGTTGCTGGTCTGGCAGCGGCGAATGATGACCTCTCTTCCTATGCCCTGACTGATGTAAGTTAATTGATAGCCATATATGTGCATAGGCCTCTACTTCGATATCCGGACCTCTGCCCTAGGTAAGGTCAACCAGCTAATCAATAATATTGTGTAGACCGGTTCCATCAATGGTGGGAACACCTTCCCTGGTGTGGCAAGGCCACTGGGGATGGTAAAGCTTGGCCCTGATCTATACACCGGATCGGACTCCTATTCAGGATACCAACCGACTGGCAACTTTACCGGATTCACTATGCTTCACGAGAGCGGAACTGGCGGTGCCCCCAAGTATGGAGTTGTGTCACAAATGCCTGTCGTGGGCATTATTGAGAACCCACTGAGTGACAAGATGAACGACACTCGGGCAAGCGCTGACAAAACGGAAGTTGGATACTACAAGGCATCATTAGGATCTGGAACTGTTCTAGAGATGAGTGCTTCTAAGAAGGCCGGAATTTTCAAGTACACCTTTCCCGAGAAAAAGGAAAATTATCATGTGCTTGTTGATGTGTCCCATGTTCTATCCTCGTATCGAGGTCAGGGCTTGGAGCAGCACTTCCTGGGAGGAAATATCAGTGTTAACCTTGAGGAGGGATCTGACAAGTATTACTACACAGGTTTCGGAACATATGACAATGTGAGTTGACTGAAATTGACTGAAACGACGATTTTGAATGAAACCCAGCTCATTTCAGACAGGGCTGGAACAGGGCTGGGCCGTGGACGGTGTACTTCTGTGGTTACTTTGACACGGAGTCGCGATACAAGACATTCCTTGGGAAAGATTTCAAAACTGCCAACCTCGAAGAGTACTCTGATAAGTCATCTCACGAGTCGAAAACCGCAAGACTGGGTGCCGTGTTCAGTTTCAACCAGACATCGGTCGTCTCTCGTGTTGGCGTATCTTTCATATCTGCGAATCAGGCTTGCTCCAACGTGAATTCTGAAATTCCGGAGGGGACACCAATTGAAACAGTCCGTGATGGGACCAAAGAAGCCTGGAACTCCGAAGTGTTCAGCAAAGTCACAACAAGCGAAACTAATGTGACAAAGCTAAACCAGCTCTACACGGCATTGTACTTTATGCACCTCCTTCCAACAAACAAGACTGGAGAGAATCCTCTCTGGGAATCTTCAGAGCCTTACTATGATGATATCTTCACATTCTGGGACATTGTGAGTACCAGCTAATCAACGATGTGTGATGTGAGGCATCAAGCCGCTAACACAAACCATCAGTACCGGTCTCTTACCCCCCTTCTCCATATCCTGCAGCCCGTTTACTATGAGGAGTTCCTTCGCTCCATGATCGACATCTGGAGGCACCAGGGCTGGGTCTCGGATGCCCGCTCGTCTTTCCACAACGGCGCTGTCCAGGGTGGCACCAACGGCGACAATGTTTTCGCAGATGCCTTTCTGAAGGGCGTCCGAGGTAAAGTCAACTGGTACGATGCTCTGTCGGCTATGGTCAAGAACGCCGAAGAGGTTCCCGTGACCAATAATGACCCGCGTGATCCCACCGGTGCAACTCAGGAAGGTCGAAGTGCTCTCCCTGACTGGCACGAGCATGGGTTTATCACCCCAAAATTCGGCAGATCTGTCAGTCGTGCCGTTGAGTAGTAAGCCTAAAAGACCGCCGTCCTTCAAATTTGAAGTATTAACTCACTCGGGTTATTTAGCTCGGTCAATGACTTTTCTCTCGCCTCAGTCGCGCTTGGTCTGGAAGACACAGACAAATACAAGAAATACTTCAACCGCTCTCTGAACTGGCGAAACCACTGGAACCCAGATCTTTCCGCCCTGGGCTTCTCCGGCTTCGTCGGTCCCCGAGATGTCGAAGGTTTCATCAGCCAGAACCCCATCAGCTGTGGTGGTTGCTACTGGGGCGACTACTACTACCAAGGCCTACCCTGGGAGTACTCATTCAACGCCCACCACGATCTGGGGACCATTATCGATTACTGCGATGGCGAGCAGAGATTCACCGAGCGCCTGGAGATGACCTTTACCCCCGGCGTCTACAGCGGCAACGGTGCTTTTGGCAACACGCTCTTCAACCCCGGCAACGAACCCAGCTTCGTGACCCCCTACCTCTACAGCTACGTCAACCGCCAGGATCTCAACGTCAAGCGCAGCCGCTTCATCGCCAAATCGTACTACAGCCCGACGCCTGCCGGCCTTCCGGGAAACAGTGACGCCGGCGCCATGGAGTCGTGGCTTCTCTGGAGCATGGTCGGCCTCTTCCCCATGACAGGCCAGCCCGTCTTCTTCATCGGATCGCCCTGGTTCTCCGATTTGACTATCGATCTTGGCGGAGGCAAGACGCTCAAGATCACGAGTGAGGGCGGCAGTGAGGAGAAGTTCTATGTCCAGTCTCTCAAGGTGAACGGTAAGCAATGGAACAAGAGCTGGCTGAGCTGGTATGATATTTTCGCCAAGGGCGGCACACTGGACTTCAAGCTGGGTGCTACACCAAGCAATTGGACAACAGGCCCAACTCCTCCAACCCCCGCCAGTCTCGGGCTTGATGGGGCTGCGATGCTGATCAGGGAATGGGTTGATGAGGGGGACGCATAGGGTAAAATAGTAGCAGCGAGTATATTTTTAGAGTTGACAACAATAACAATGAACATATTTTTTCAGTATTCAAAATAACAAATATGGCCGGTCAAAGCTAGCAGCCCCGCGAAAGACCAGGTTTATGTAGTAGTTCTGGCCCAAACTCCACGCTATGTCAGAAAACTTCTGATAGCCGACGAAAGGGTATCTCATCCGTATCATATATACACCATAAGCAAAACACGAAAATAATGCAGACAGATGCGTACTCTTCTATCTAGATTCTTCATCGCCACCCCAGACATTGCGAAACTCTTCTGTCTGAGAAACGCTATATCTCGAAGTGTAATTATCCTCGGGCGATTCTTCTTCACGAACAGTCGGGGTAATGGCTTGGGGCTCAGGATCGGTAGGCCTGGAGGTTTCGGCGATGCCGTCATTGTTTATTGCACTAACAGGCGGTGATCGAGTTCTTTCTTCGCCCAAATGCAGTTTCGAGGTATCAGGAGCCTTGTGCTTGACCACCTTCTTTTTCTTTTTCTTCACAGGAACAACTGTTTCTGGAACGACATTTTGCTGTTGAGAGTAGGGGGGCGAGAAAGAGGGTGATCTTGCTGGTGGGATATGAACCGGTGACCGGTTGTTATAATAGCTTCTCGAGGCGTAATACCTGTCTCCTAGGGGCTGGCTGGCCGTAATAACAGGATACTGCCACTGCATTAGCATATTTATGCAAAAATAGTCAAGTTCTGCCGTTACTTACATTCCAATCACCGTATTCTAGTTCACGAGCGGAGTCGTACAGTTCTTCGTCTTCCTCATCGATATGTGGTTCTTCGAAGGTACCATGCGTGTTCTCGTTGATTTGGTCCGGGCGGCTGCTGGAGCCTGCACCATCCGACCCCAGAAGCGGGGTGGTGGAGTTGATTTCACCGGGTTTGGGGATCCAATACTTCCCTTTGCCTCCCCTTTCGTATCGCATACCATCCCGCAGCCTGGCGATCCTAGATTTGGAGTCTTCATGGGCTATAACCTTATCTCCCGAATCAAAAGCACGGTAGCCATAATTTTCACCTCCGAAAGTCTGTTTCGAATCCTCGATCAAATCTCGAGGGCCGAACGCATCCCGAAATGCATGCCGGAGTGGCATCCTCGCAGATTGTATGCTGTTATCGGCAAAGTCCTGCCATGAGAAAGCATACCAGTGTGCCATGGCAAAAATCGGCATTTCAATGCAAATAAGGGCATCTTGGATGGCAGCAGCCAAATTATCTGGTGTGTACTCAGGCACATCTGGAATCGCACCCAAGAAGACGAGAATAGACAGAAAAAAACCTTGCCAATAGGATGCAAAGATGATGAGCTTGACGCATAGAAACTTGGGAACTGGGCGAAACGGCTTGAGGTCGTTATGCATACAGACCCAAAAGAGTCCAAGCGAGTAAAGACTGACAGTGACACTGATATTGTAGATGATGCCACTCCACATGTATCCCGAGTTCAGCCCCAAATATCCTTCCTGATATGTGTTGGTTGCCTTCATTATGATGGCGGCCAAAGCCAGGATCGGTTTGAGCCAGGCATACTGCAAGATGCCGCGTTTGATGGAGAGAAATGTATGTGGATCTGAGATGTCGACTTTCGATAGAACATGGTCCAGGGGCCACAGGTGCTGAACAGGTGCCCGGCCATGTGTCATGATGATGAGAGCTCGCTCTCCATCGAGGTAGTTGATAAGCAATTGGAAGAAAGTGTATATCGTAAAGGCTTCGTAGATGTCGCGAATTGGATCAAGAAATTGTGCGGCCGCGGTGGACACCATGCTCGACCATGAAGCGATGGAGTAAATAGGCACCATAAGAAGGATTCGGACGACGTATCGCTGCAGCAACGGCTTTCGGTAGTTTTTGACCTGGAGGAGGATGGAACTGTCGGGTTCTCAGCATTTGCGGGCTTCAGCTTTGGGGCCAGAACTTCTTACACGACACTCATTAGAGTAGCAACCAGCGACGCGACACCTGCTATGACGGTGATGGCGGCTGCGAACTTCCCACCAGTTCCTCCGCTTTCGACCATCTTGACGGCAGCAGCGCGGCGGCAGATATAGGAGCGAGAGAATAGTTCCGCGTTGCGCCTGCGGTGGCCTATACAAGCATGCCGGAGAAGACTATTCCCTGGACGATGTGGCGTTGAGATGGTGACTCTGGTCGGAGCTCAACAGCAGCAGCGTCACTTTCCGTGAAGAAAGGGGCGCAAAGCTGCGTGGTCTTTTTGGAGGGCGTCGCTGGGAGAGCGTGTGACCAGACAACAAGTCATGAATAATGGACAGACGGTCCGGAGGTTTAGTTTGAGCTGGCAGGCAGGTGTTGTGCTGCTCCTGCTGCTAGGCCCAATGAGTCCGCCACTTTTTGTCAGGCGTCAGTGAATGCCATACGTAATTTCATGGAGCTTGCATGTGCGTTTGGCGATCCCGGGCAGAAGTACCCGGCGGAGCTCGTGCTTGCAGATGCGCTAGCGGCCAGTCTAAGGTCTGCACGTCTGCGCAGCAATTAGCCTGTAGGCCCCTGAAAAGAAGCTCGTATAGTGGGTGCTTTCCCCAGTTTTCAGCAGCCACCATGCCTAAAGCACTGTCGTGTAGGTGCAGGGCTGGCTACGATAAGCAGTAGTAATCTGGGAAGCTCAGGAGATTGTTTACGACCAGGACCTGGTACGATTAATATTGATGGTCGAAAGGCAATTCGTCGACCTCATGCTGGCGTTCCCTCTGCCATTCAACACCTGCAGCCCTCGCCTTACCTCGACTGGCCATTTTCGACAAGACATGGGGCTATGCAGCTGCCAATGACCCGGGCGTAACTGTGACTCCTGCTTCGCAATTCGCGGGAGCTGTACCTGGAGCTTAGCAAGATGTCGGTCGTGGCGGAAGCGGCCATATCTGTTCGAGATGATCCGATACCGCCCTTTAATTAGTTGGTATAGTTCAATGTTGGGGGCCTGAGTTGTGCTAACTATTGATTCATCGTAGTGAATTCGTCATCTTCCTCCTAATTTGTTCCATACTGGCCATCTTCTTCCTCAACTATTTTAACCGACTCTTCGCCTCGATCGCCTCATACGGCATTCGCACGTGGACATGGCACCAATACCGAGTCTACTTCGATGTGAGCGCCTTGCAAATATCCCTTTTGGGCGGTCGAATCTTCTTCACCGGCCTGCGCTATCATGGGCCCAACGAGACATTCCTCGTCCAGAGCGGCTATGTGACATGGCGATATTGGTTTCGACACGTGCGCGAAGTCGATATCCTTACCGACGGTCAGCCTGCCGACCTTTCGACCTCGAGCGTGGATAAGAACTCGAAACTGCCCTGCCGAATCAATGTCGATCTTATTGGTGTGGAATGGTTCGTCTACAACCGCGGCCCTGCGTATGACTCTATACTTTCTGGCCTCACGAACTCTGCGCCTCCTGACGTGGAAGGGCGCTCTTCCTCAACCGAGCATAATGGCGACCACGACAAGTCTGGTGTTCGTCCGCGTGTCCCAAGGCGAGGCTCCAACGGCGGCCACGATCCCTTGCCAGTACCAGGAAACCATAATACATCATCAGATGGAGGGGCTCGGGCAGAGAACGGGAAATCGTTAGAAGGTACAAGGCCAACCAGGGATCACTCCACCTCAGTTTCTGGGAGCTCTGATGCTCAAGAAACTAAACCTAAGAAAGCGTCGGATCTTCCCTTCTTATTACAGCTGTTTCCGATACATGTCAATTGCCGAAAGGCAGCGGCTGTTATAGGCAACCAGAATACCAAGGGTGTGCTTATTGTCAAGGCGGATGCAGTAAATGCCGATATTGACGCATCAGAAACCAAAACGGTTGATCCTTATCGCCAGACTTTCAAAGTTCAATTTGAACATCCCGTCATTGAAATGAAGGATAACGAAGACTATCAAGAGGATCAGGCGTCCCGAGCCACACATCCAAACGCAGGCGAGATCCAGGAGCCTCATATCATGGATGTTTTCTTCCGAAAAGCATTTATTTTTGCCCACATCTTCAGGAGAATCACTTCTTGTTTCCGTCCAGCTGTTCTTGAACCATCATCCGAAGAGCATGAGTTGATCGGAAGGGGTCGAACGAGAGTACCCGGATCCAAGCAATGGCAGGGCCTATCGAGGTACCTAGATGATCAGGATGAAGATGACTTGGCCCGGTGGTCATCTGTCGAGTATGCTGCAGACACCACGGTTCTTGATTCCCCAGCTGCCACCATGACCATATACTGGGACTCGGTGGGGAAGGTGACCGCCCAGGCGGTTCAACAACGCAACGCATCTAAGCTCTCGCCGTACATCAATGGTGTCGATCCTCCGGCTTGGGGTATGCATTTTTCTATACAGGGAGGTGCCGTCAGCTATGGACCCTGGACAGACCGACTGAGAGCTGACTTGCAACGAGTCTTTTTCCCGGGTCTTTGCAAGGATGCATCTCCAACCCTTCCCCTTGAAGTTGGTGCTTGGAGGGTGCCGACTCAGTTTGAGCTCTTTGTCGATCTTGAGGACACAGTTGTTATGAGGGTACCATTCCGAGAAGAGTCAAAGAATTGGCGATGGCGTGGACAAGAGCCGCAGCCGAAGCAGCCAAACAAGGCCAAGACACGAAGCAAACCGAAGAAGGATAACAAGGCTGAAGCGGCGCCAGCACGCCAGGCGGCGTACCTGGAAATCACCGTTCCAAAGGACTCAACGGTATCGTACCTAATGGATATGGTCGCTTCCGCGTCTGGCTATTCCAACAGCCTGGACCTAGACCTGCGATCCACCGAACTCCGCAGTACTGTGAACAATGACATCCTCTGGCAGTCCGGTCCACTCAAAGTATCATGCGACCTTTCCAACCCTCTATCTTGGAATACCCTGAGAACTTGGCAATTTGATATAAACTTCGACGACCTTAGTCTGTATATTCTCCGGGATCATGTTTTCCTCCTTACAGACCTGATCAATGACTGGGCAGCAGGCCCACCTGCCGACTATCTCACCTTTACACCATTTATATACCGTATTAACTTGAAGCTCGCCAAACCAAAATTCTATCTCAATGTCAACGACTGCAATATTATTGACAATCCAACCAACCATGATGACAATGGATATATTGTTTTGTCAAGCCCTCTTCTGACCGCGGAAACATCAATACCAATCGACAAATACCGTCCTGAAAAGAACGTGATCCCGTTCGATGTGAAAGCAGATATTCTTGATCTAATGTTCCACACACCTCAATGGAATACCCAGGCCACTTTTGTCAAATCAAATGAGTTGGGCCGTGTACATGGTCTCGAGCTTGGTGGCAAATACCATTATTACACGACGACATCTCCATCCAATACCGACACCCTTACGCTGAATATCTATGGCCGTGAACCGCATGCCTATATTTATGGGTTTGTCATTAGGTATATCCTCTTATTGAAGGACAATTATTTTGGCGACTATGTTCATTTTCATACATTGGACGAATACCAAGACCAGTTACAACGGAAAGAGCTCAATTCTACCATCGACCAGGCCCCAGTCAAAAAGTCCAATGATACCGATATCATTCTTAGTATTCAGGCAGACAACCCTCATGTCATGATTCCGACAAATATTTACTCCTCCAGTCGCTATGTTCAAGCAGAATTGGCAACTATATCACTAGATTTGCGGATTACAAACTACATCATGGATATGGAGCTCTCTCTAAGTCCTGTCAGTTTATCCCTAGGCAGCCCGGAGATTGCGCTAGACTCCCCGAACGTTTCGTATTCTAATACACAGATGTTCATTGATGGCGCGCGCGTCTTTGGGCATCGCTTGATGGGTCTTCCTCCTGCGGAACCAACCTATCTATGCAATTGGGACGTTAATGTGGGCGCTGTTTCAGGGGAGTTGACCGCAGATTTTCTGTCAGCCCTTGCACACGGAGCTTCTGCTCTAGCAATGACCTTCGATGACGTCGAAAATGCACTGATTCCTTATTCGTCAATCGTGTTTGACGATGTCACCTTTGCCCGCGTCAGCGTTGAAACCGTTAACCTGTGGCTCCACGTCGACGAGGCTGCCTTCCTTGTCTCAACTGATGATATTGATGTGGCGTTTAATGACTGGGCTCGATCACATTATTCAAAGAAACTCGAAGTCTTGGTTCCGAATCTTAGAGTATCTTGTGTCGATGCCGAATCTGCTGCGAGACATAAATCGCGGCATCACCACCCGGTGGAGACGGATGCCTATTTCCAAACTGATATCCGTCTAGGTTCAATCAAACGACATCTTGATTTCTCTGAAAAGCGGAGATTGCAACAAGAGCTCCTTAGAAAGGAAGATCAGCGCACAAATCGAACCCCGTTTCTTTTTATTCCAGAGCACTTGAGCGAATACTTGCCAGAGCCTACCGATCCGCCTGCACAATGTGTGCCCATGCCTCCGGCGCCGTTGTTGGAATCGGAATTGGGTTCCGGTTCATCCTGGAAAGCTTCTATAAGTCGAACGACTCCCAATCTTGCGCGCAAGAGCTCATTTCTGTCGCTTTCTGACTCGAGTGTGCGGCGGTCACGGAGCCGAAACGAGAGAGCAGCAAGCCCTAGATATGCCTCTCAAGCTAAAAGGGGAGACTCATCAGCTAAACGGCCATGGCTAGAAGCTGGCAACAGAGCTGATTCCCCATCTAGTAGTTTCAATTCAATTTTCTCACCTGGAGGAGGGGAGTCTGTATTTGAAGATTATCAGCAGAGTTCCGCGGTGGCGTTCTCAAGCCAGTACCTCGAGCCCCATTTTGGTCTTAAAGGAATCCGCCCTGATACTCGGGAGACTCCTTCGCAAAATGACAGTGGCAAAGGAGAGCAAGAAGACTTCCTCAGCAACACAGTGGCAGAGTTGGGAGACATCGATCCGAACAGGTTAGATGAAGACCACTTCTATGACAGCATACTGGTCGAGTTTCCCGCTGGCCTTTCGGGATTTTTCAACCCCGATGCTATTAAATATGCGACCTCGCTCCTGGACGCTATACTGCCTACTGACCCTGAAGATATACTCGATAGTCTTCAGTCGGCACCAATGGGGAAAATTTCTGATTTGTTAGAACGACAAGACGCAAGAGGTTCTATAAATGATATTCTTCTTCGGCTTCCAAGGGCCGATATTCGATTCCTACATTCGTCCACCCTTGACTCGTCAGACCTACCGCAGGAGGAACAAGACCAGTATGACATCTCAATTGCAAGCGTTGCACTGGTCACTCGTACTGTTAAGGACTGGGGACTGCTAACCCACAAGGAGGATGAGAGTTCAAAGACATCTCTTCGCCTTGAGGTGGGACTTGCAGAGGTTTCTGCGGCAGAGCGAATGTCAACTCTGCAAGAACCTCAAGCGGCAATGAGGGTGCGAATTGACAAAGTACTTGTTTCTGTCGGTGCGAAAGATTTGACGTATTTTGATGCTGATATTGGGTCAGTGGTTGGTAGCACATCATCTGGGAAGATCGAATACCTTGCTTCTTTGATTCATAGAACGGGAAGCTTGGCTGTAGATTTGGGAAAATTGGTCCAGAGTACAGTTACACGACACGAAAGCCGACTCAAATACTTCACATATCGTCTGCTCGAGGAAGGCCATATGACAAATGACCCGTCGTTTCTTGTCCGCCCTTCAGCCGTGCTTAGATCTGCTAAGGGTCATTTGCGAACTTTTGACTCTTGGAAGCTTTCTATGCGGCTTCGGCAAATTTGGGACACAATGGACGAGGATGCGAGATTTCAAGTTGTCGATGGCATGTGTAGAGATGTACCCGCAGTGCCATCTGATGCTGTTGATTTAGTTATCACGGCATTTCAGCGTTGGCGTAGTTGGGACCTGGGTAACGTTTCTGAAGCACTTTTCCTTAGGCACATCTTCCCCGCCTTGGAAAAGGGGGATACGGAGGTACCTCACATTGAGTACCCCGTCCTTGGAGCCTTCAGGCTTGCTGAACTGCAATTCGTTCTTGACCCTGGCCCAAAAGAGAACAAGATCGCACTGATGGATCTTGCTGCCCGCCTAGACAAGAAGATAGCTGGATCGAGTGAGCTTCTTCCGGAAGTCGATTGCCCTGATGGACCCCTCATCATACTGAATCTGTGCTGCAAGGAAGCATCAATCCATTTGAACTGGGAGCTTTGTGAGTTGGCTGAGGATATTCTGCGATTGTATAATCGCAACCAGGCGAGGGAAATGCCCAAGGCGGAAGTCGCAAAGAAGGAGATCAAACCGAAACAGAGCAGCCCTATCGGTGTACATGTTGTATTCGAGGTTACCAAGGCATCGACCCACGTAGAGACGATCAATCTCAATGCTAAGTCGGTCATGACCGGTTTCAGAACCTCAGCTCTATTCTACGACAACAACGAAGAGTCAAGATCTATCAGTGCTATGATTCACTGTGAAACTTTGAGGTCAGAGCTGCACAATCGGCTACAGCTCTTGGGATTCTTTCACCTATGGCAACCCAGTGTGTTTATCTCGCACGAGATGCTACCGAAAGAGGATACACCGATTCTCACCGTCAAATCTATGGCAAGCTGCCAAGGCCTTCAGCTTGCAATCAAGCAGGATCCGATTGGGCTTATGGAGGTCATCGATCTGCTATTAAGAGATGAGATCTCGCACCTATTACGTGTCCAGGCACAGGCTCCCAGCCAACCGAAGCCAAAGCAGGATTCGAAGGAGGACGTCAAAATGGCCGATCGATTCTCAAACGCGAAGATCAATGTTGCCATGTTCCTAGACAAGTATAGCATCAGTGTATCCCTCTTGCAGTCTCTAACCTACAAAATCTCTGGCGCCGTAGCACGAGCCACGTGTGCGGCCAATGTCGGTCGAGATCTTGTGTTTGATTTCGATATCAAAGAAAACTCCCATGAGATGCAGATCGATGTCCGCAACAAGCCAAAAAGCATATCTCTTCTCCAGATTCCGCCTACCAATGGTCGCATAACGAGCCAGTTTCAGCAATCTGACCATGTGCTCACTGTCCTATCTTCTGTTCAGCCTATGCATTTAGACGCCTCTGCAGTCTATAGCCTGCTTACTGCTTTAAATAGGCCACAGATATCAAGCGCAATTCAGGACATTCAGGCGCAAGCCAAAGTCATACAGAGGCAGATTACTGATACTTTTGGCTCAGACTCAAGTAGGACTGAGAACTCTGAAGTTGAAAAGGAATCAAGCTACAAAATGGTGTATAATGTGCATCTCACTTTCGAAGGCTTGCAGGTGTATACAATAACGCCGCTCAACTCCGCAACCGAACCTTCAGCTCAGGTTCTATTCTTCTTGGACAGAGTCCACCTCCAAGCATCCAACCGGCATGAAGCCAACGGGCCTATTTTGAAGTATCCTGAGCTTCATATTAATCTTCAACAAATCGGTCTTGACATCGCCCGAGGCCGGAAAGATGCCATGCGATCGTGTGGAAGTTTTGGTGCAGGCATTACAATCTCAGCTAGCTCTCGCCACGGCGAGGATGGCGAGGAGGATTGGGCTTTCAATTTCAAGAGCCCCGAGCTGGGCATCTCTCTATCCCCTGAAACAGTTTCGACCGTAGTGGCAGTCGTCGGTTACCTCAGAGAGAAGATTAAGGATCTTGATACTTCGCGTGAATTGGACTATCTGCGAAAACTACGACAATCAAAGCCGAAGATCACAATCGAGGACCGTCCACTGGAGGACGATGATAACGAAACAGACATCATTGAATCTGTTCTTGGGGTATTTGTCTATAACTTTGAATTACAAAACATCCGGGCTTACTGGCTTGCTGCTGGTGAGAGCAACAGCAACTCTAAGGACGAGGAAGATCTTGTTCTGCTGATCAAGATGATTGAATTTGGAACAAGAACGAAAAAGTCTGCCCGCTTGGCAATTGAAGGGTTTCAGCTCCAAACTGTTCCTCCAGGCCAGGACAAGCAACTGAGGTCTCTTCATTCAGCCCTGCTCCCAGAAGTTATTTTCAATATTGCCTACGTTTCCACCGCGAACGCGAGACGAATGGCGTTCCAAGCCGTTGGTCAGTCTCTTGACCTCCGACTGACCCCTGGATTTATTGTGCCTGCAGCCAATCTGGTAGACTCGATTCTACTATCCGCCAAGAATGTTCAGGAAGCGTATTCCGACTGGGGCGAGACTCCAGTTGAGATTAAAAAGACGGACGAGCAGCCCGCAACCCAACAGACGTGGAACCTGTTTGGAAAGAAGAGATTAGAGAGTCTCCTCATCGACGCAGACTTTGCTGGTGCTGTCGTGCAGGTATCTAGTAAACGCAATTTCAGTAACACAGCGCGATCATCAAAGCTTGGCAGACCGTCCTTGGCTGGGAAATATGGCCAATTTAACGCGGACGATACTGGCAGTGGCGCTGAGCTCCGAACCCCCGGACTTGCCTGGAAGATTGAGTTCCGAGACAATGGCCACGATGACCCGATTTTATCCGGAGAAATCAACATCAACGCGTCAAGTAATATCCTCTACCCATCAGTCGTACCACTTATCATGGACATGGTGTCAAGTGTGAAGGAGGTTGTTGCAAATGATGGGGACGATTCCACTCCGTCCACCCCCAACACCGTAACGCCCAAATCGCAGAAATCGGGTGATGAGGAGAATATTCTTACAACTGATCCAAGTGCAGTTCTAGGCCGAGTGCAACTTAACCTAGGTCTCCGAATCTGCAAGCAAGAGTTCTCGCTGAGTTGTCAGCCTATTGCTCGTGTGGCTGCAATGGCGCGCTTTGACAACATCTATTTCACTGCAAATACAGTCAATTCACTGGAGCAGGGCAATTTCTTCGCAATCTCGGGCACCTTTACCAACCTGCAGGCATCAGTGCAGCACGTTTATTCACGGGAGTCGACTGGTAGTTTCGATCTCGAAACCATTACGCTTTCCTTTATGAATAGCAAACACGTGAGTGGCACAAGCGGTGTCTCAGCAATTCTCAATGTGAGCCCGATGAGAATATCTGTCAACGCAAGACAGGTCCAAGACTTCCTTCTTTTCCGCGAGATTTGGTATCCAGAGGACCTGCGCAAGGGAGATAGCCCGGAAGTTGCTAAACTCGTCACCGAAACTTCGCAAGGGCATTTGGTGCAGCGATATCAGCAAGTCGCTGCTACGGCCGCGTTCCCATGGACTGCAACCATCTCAATCGCGGCATTGGATGTCAGTGTCGACATGGGACAGTCGATCGGAAAGTCGGTCTTTGAAATCAAAGATTTCTGGGTGTCTTCAAAGAAGACATCTGACTGGGAGCAGAATCTCTGTCTAGGCTTCAAAAAGATTGGGATTGACTGCGCTGGTCGATTAAGTGGCTTCATCACACTCCAAGATTTCAAACTACGGACTCTTATTCATTGGCCGAACAGAGCCGAGGCACTGAACAGTACCCCGCTGGTACAGGCATCGCTGGGATTCAATACGTTACGGCTTAAGGTTGCCTTTGACTATCAAGCATTCCTGGTTGCAGATATCACCTCCCTAGAGTTCTTGATGTACAATGTTCGCGAGAACGGTGGTGATCGCCTTGTGGCTATGCTCGAAGGCGATGCTGTGCAGGTTTTTGGCACAACAACATCGTCCGCGCAGTTTGTCTCACTTTACCGAGCGTTTAAGAGGTTCGCTCAGGAACGGAAAGCCAACTTCGAATCATCCCTGGAGGAGATTGAGAAATTCATGAAGCGAAAAACAAGCGTGGGACGGTTTACGTCACAGACCTCTGATCGAGAGCCGCCACCAAAGGTACCCAAGGAAGACACCTTGTCAAAGTCACCAATCTCTCTCGACACCGACGTCGTGGTTGCTTTGAAGGCATTGAACTTGGGACTGTTCCCCAGCACCTTTTCCGATAACCAGTTGTTCAAGATTGAGGCACTAAACGCCTCCGCTCGGTTCGCAGCCAGCTTTGAGGACAGACGCATCCACAGTCTGCTCAAACTCACTCTTGGTCAACTACGGATTGGTCTTGCGGGTGTTCGTAGTTCAGAGGCGCCCAAAACCTTGAATGAGCTCTCAGTCAATGACGTGGTTCAGCGTGCGACGGGCTCACGCGGTGGCACAATTCTGAAAGTCCCACAAGTTTCGGCGGTGATGGAGACATGGCAGAAGCCAAATAGCAATTCGATTGACTACGTATTTAAGAGTGCGTTTGAAGGAAAGGTGGAGGTCGGATGGAACTACTCGCGGGTCAGCTACATCCGAGGAATGTGGGCGAAGCACTCGAAGGCTCTCGAACAGACATGGGGCCGCGAACTTCCCATGGCGGCCGTCAAGATCACGGGAGTGCCGGAAGGCGAAGGAGAGGATAAGGATGGAGAGCAACTGAAGATCACGGCAGAGGTCAATGTGCCACAATCCAAGTACATTTACCAGGCCCTCGAGCCGCCGATTATCGAGACACCACAGCTGCGGGATATGGGAGAGGCGACACCGCCGCTCGAATGGATTGGGTTGCACAGAGACAGGCTTCCCAACCTGACTCATCAGATTCTCATCGTGTCACTGCTGGAGTTAGCTGGCGAGGTCGAGGATGCCTACTCTCGAATCCTGGGAGCGTCCTAAGACGGAGAAGAAAACCACATCAGCATCATGTGACATACCGGTGTCACGTCGTTTTGACTTTGGAGTTTGTGGGTTTGTTTGATGATATATAATGGCGGTCAATTATGGACACGGGAGGTTACAGTCACGACGACGCTGACGGCCTAAAACTACTAATCAAGTCATATATCATATGTTGTATATATTGCCCACACCACATTGGAGCATGGAGGGAGCCAGCGAGTTTTTATTTTTAATGAATTTACTTGGCAATGCGTCGCAATTTGCGTTCGCAAGTATCATCTATTTGGGCGACTTACATGAGTTAGGGCATGGGTTAATAGGGGCCTTATCTGCCCAATGAACGATGGCGTCTGGGACCCAAATCTCGGATATCGCTTCTCCGCGTGATGCCCTCACTGATTCTACACATATGCCTAAGACGTGGACTTGCCCCACTGACCCTGCCATATATTGAGACCTGTCTCGTGTCTTTGCATCCTGCTCAAGGAGAGCGGCAGAACGAAAGGGATGAACGTACGTTACCCAGGAATATAGTGCTGGGTCGCAGTAGTGAGTAGTATTGACGTTATAGGTAGGTAAGTTGGGAGACCTTCATCTGCAGTTCGGTGGTTCCCTGCCAAAGTGTAATTGGCATCGGGAAAAGCATGTGATGATTGTTTAATTGAATGTGGCACGGCGTTTATTCAGTAGGCGGTATGCTGCGGCTTAACGGGTAGTCGCCGTCCTGGCGAATCAAGACCGTGCTCCGTCTTCTGGAAAGGGAAGGCGAGAAGCTGAACCTCCCCGAAAAACGCATATGGAGCCAGTGTGCTGTGGCAGGAGCGTCCCACAGCTGACAGTCAGCTGGGTCGGTTAAGTGCATACGGTGAATGCACAGCGAAGCAAGGATTTCGCCGTGGAGGGCACATGCAGTGACTGATGGGGTTGTGGCAGGGATTCTCTCCATTGTCGTGCAATTCACTGCTGCTCTGCATCCCTTGCCCGCCGTCTGCCAGCTCGAACCGAACTTTCATCTCGAGCTGCACCACCGGATCGAATCGCTCTGGGCCTGGAGGCTTGTTTGGGTTTGGGGCGGCCACACACATCCGCTTCTACCCTCCCCCCCGGCTCGTTGGGCTCTTTGCAGCCTTGGGCCTGTGGCATGTGAGACCACGAACTGAGCTCCAACGACCGCCGTTCCTGCCAACCACCCTCCGCTGCTCTTTCGATTGCGCGACGCCGAGTGGGCTAACCTAAGAGCTTGAAGCGTTCCTTCCCTGTTCCTGGGCTTCCGTGACAGCCTCGAGGAGCTGCGCACGTACACACCCACCCCTCCCTCCGCTCCCAACCGACCGAAGCACCCGTACCGTACCTGTGAAGCTTGTGAAACGACACAGGAGAGATCGATCGCCAGCCCTGTCCACTAGCAGTCATTGCCAGCCCGAGCTGCAGCTAGACCAGTCGAGAGAAATAGCAAGGACTGCCACACCCCCCCCGGAGTCTCGTGTGCGCCGCCTCTCACCCCACAGCCAGAGCTTGCGCCGGCCTCGATTCCCTGGCGGGCGCACATGTCAATCCAACCCAGACGACTGCGCAGATACACGGGGCCTGGGACTATCTGCCGCGATCACCGTTGCGTTCCGTCGTCAAGCCGTTCTACCGAAGGCTTGCTGCCTCCCCGTTGACGAACCCCATATTTCCCCGTCCTCGACATGTGGGGGTAGAACTGGTTGATTTCTTGTTGTCTTTCAAGGTTCTCAACCTGTATCTTTGCCCTGCTATTCTATCCTGCCGTTTGTAATCCGGCTAGGCCGACTGCCAGTTAGTCACGCGAGGCCGACAGCGCCGTCAAACCTCGCGTTTCGCCCGGACCGAGCTATCTGCAAGGGAAGAATACCACGTCAATTCGAAAGAAAGTCACCTTACTCCCTGTGAAAACGCACCCATGCTTGCTGTGCACCAGTCTGTCAGGATGGCTTCAGATAAGTCGCCGTCGGATCCGTACCTGCCTTTTGGCTGTAAGTCTGAACCTCCCCGCACTCTCTCGGCTTACCACCAACTCGCTCGACTCCTCACGACATATGGGGGCGCTGTGGGAGAAGGGTAACCTGATCGACCAAGGTCACTGACGTGTTTTCTCTACTTAGATGCGATCGATCCGAATCAGGAACCTCAGGACCCCCCAGAGCCTCCTCCTGGCGATCCTCTCCTCACAGACTCGGACAGCAAGTTCCTCAGCTCGTTCTTCGAGGACATGACCGCCGACCAGTACAATATGCCTTCATTCGGCGAAGGTCTCAACTTCAGTGATTCGTGGCTCGATCTGCCTCCGCAGTTTATGGGAACAGCGACTTCTTTTGGGCCACAGTTTGGAACGTCGTTGGCATCTACCAACGGTCAGGGAATTGCAGGAGAAACAATAGATTTTCGCTCAGCGCCAGAAGCAAATCTCATGCCGCCTCCTCCTTTACCACACGGTCATCATCAAAATCAGCCACATCAATCAATTCAACAGCAACAACAGCAGCAGCCACAACAACAGCCTCAGCCACAACAGCATAATACGCAACATCACTTACAACAGCATCCACAACGACATGCACAGCAACATCAATATCACTCTGATGACGTCCTAAATGCTGCTGCGACCTTGCTGCAGAATGGGGCGGGCTCAAGAAGTGCCTCGGGTAATCACGAATACAATTTTCCAAGACGGCCCGTTGCCCCCCCTGCCAGCCACCTGCGACACCAACCAATGGACGAGTTCCCCACAGATGGGCGTCGATCAGTTCCACAATCTCAGGAAGCTGAATATGGAGACTGGATGTACGGTGCCCAGCAGCAAGGACGAATACCACCTGCGCCTGCACCTCAGAACGACCGTGCAAATGATTTCCAATGGGGGTCAGACGCCAATTTCAGCCCGGTGCAAGGTTACACTCCTAGGCTGAACAAAGGCCCGACGACAATTGACTCAATGCACAGGGAGCAAATGAAGATTTTGGAATCCCTAGAAGTCTCCAAAAGTGCAGCAAGCACGCGACCAAGCAGCCCGACCAATACACACCACGGCCAAAAGGCTTCAGGGCAGGCACAAACGAAGGTAAAAGAGGATCCCGAGGCTCCCCCACGGAAACGAAGGAAAAGCAAGAACGCTCGGGAAGGGACGGAACTGGCTGAAGGCGAAGATACCCCGACCCCAACCCCTGGCGCTACTACATCTTCGGCGACGAAGCCGAGGCGGAGGAAGCCGAAGGCAGAACGCTCGGCCAGTGATAACTCTCCACCACCTTCAGCGACATCCGTCACAGCACCTGTATTTGGTGAAGGGCCGTTGTCAGACGCAGGGTCATCTGGAGGCGGGGCTAGCCAGAGACGAAAGCCATCGGCCAACGGGTCCAAAGCGCCACGAGAGAACCTGTCGGAGGAGCAGAAGAGGGAGAACCACATCCGCAGCGAGCAAAAGCGCCGCACCCTCATTAAGGAAGGCTTCGACGACCTGTGCGAGCTGGTACCCGGGCTCAGGGGTGGGGGCTTTAGTAAGAGCACCATGTTGACGATCGCAGCGGAATGGTTGGAAGAGCTATTGCAAGGAAACGAAGCCTTGGCAAACCAGTTGGCAACGATTGAACGAGGATGAAAATAAAAGGTGTGCAAGGGCAAGCTCTTCGATACTTGTTTCGCATTTGCAATTTTGGTATTGATATTTTAGCGATTCACAATGAGCACCGCTTGGTGTCTCTTTTGTTTATGATTCCCAGCAGCAGCGGCAATACCCCAGGGACTACACGTGGATATTCTGAAGAGGGAAAATAATTATTGACAGCATTGCTTCTTAACAAGCAAGCGAAGTGCGTTGTGTCGTTTTCTCGAAGCACAGCGTTACGGCGGAACCTTGTTTGCCAACGACGAGGCACTAAGTAATAAAACTTTCGACACCATCTATTTTCTACCCGAGCTTGTCCGTGGAAAACCAAGATCGTTTCCAGCCTGGATATTAACGTGTCTTTTGGTTGGCCCGTGACGAATCTGCCGACAACGGCCGCCATTCGGTAGCACACGGCCTTTGGGCCTGCCCATCAGAACCAAGGCCTAGTCAGCTTCAAACTGCGAGACCAAGTAGCTGCCCAGTTATGGCAGTCTCCGAAATATGGGAAGAAAGCGCATCGCTCCCGTAACTCAGTGTTTTACGCATAGTCCGGTTCACCGGGTAACTGGACGGGCTGAGCTCAGCATTGACACCGGCCCATGGGCCGCATTGAGAAGATTCGCGAATAATGCAACGGCGAGAATGCGATGGTATTTGATCTTCCAGCCCGCGGGCTTCGGCGAAACAAAGCCATCAACTACCACTTGCACGTTATTGCGGGACGACTGAGTCTCTTAAGACGTGGCCCACACACCCAGTATTACTCATGAGTGCAGTTTAGCAACGACTATCTCCGCTTTCACGAACGGGCACGAGGAGGGTGACGGATGATGGATGTTAATAGATTGGAAACGATGAGGACTTGGTTGATAAAGTTTCAGACCCCATCTATTTCTTTGTATTGATAGCGTTTAAACTTATAACATATGAATCCCCTCAATTGTGTTTACTATACATTACTTGTGTTGCATTATATCATACCCTGGTCTGAGTGAACACTGCGACTGGACTAGTCTATGGATATCACCTTGTCCACGTCCACGATGTGTGTGGAAACACATGGTACGGTGGCATTCGGCCTTTATATCTCCGAGAACCCTTGCCCTTTCATCTCATGCTTGAACTCCTAGATCTCAGGCATTCCTGGAGATTGGATTTTAACTCGTCAATACCCCGAGAACTTTGATTTCTCGTCAGGTGGCGGCCGCTGGCTGTCACCGCCGTCCCACCGGGTCGTAGGATTCAGGATGCAACCCTTGGCTATAATTTTCGTGGAGACAACCCCCAATCTTTCTTTTCGAGAGGACCACAACGGCAGAAGAGATGTCAACGACTCGATTGAGGTTCTATTTAGCCGTGACGGGAGCTATGTTACCCTCCCGCGCGCAGCTAGCTGAGAAGGGTATCGATCGGAACCAGGAGCTAGAAGACCTGATTCAGTATCATGGCTGGCCTATCTTGAACCTGGTCGCATACAGGAGAGAGACAGGTGGGCACAATACGTGTCTCCATTATAAGCATGTCGCAACATGATACATGGTATTAATGAAAGGGGCAGACCTGGGCGGTGGCTTCGGAACCGTTCACAGCCGCCATCTTGCAGCTATTTCAGGTTGAGAGCAAAGTGAGCGCGGCCAACTTGAGCTCTCTTCCTCCCACTGCACTTCATCCTCCCCGCCTTCTTGAGTGACAGTATCCTCTTTGCCACCATCACTATGAAATTCTCCCTCTTCACGGCGCTCTCCATGAGCATGGCGACCAGCGCGGCCTCGGCCTCAACCCTCATCGCCGCCCGCAACGACACCGCCGAGTGCATCGCCCCCCATCCGATCCCGGACCTCAAGGGCAGCGACTTCAGAAACTTCGGCGTGGTGCTATTCCGCGCGCTCGACATGCTCGACGTGTTCGGGCCCCTGGAGCCGCTGCAGCTCCTAGCCGTTGGCACGCAGCAGCTCAACCTGCACTTCATCGCCGAGACGCTGGACCCCATCTCCACGCGGCCGGCGAGCATGAACAACTTCAACTCGAGCTTCTTCCCGGAGATCCCCGTCACCAACACCTTTGACGACGACTTGGATTTGGACGTGCTCATCGTCCCCGGCGGTCTGGGCGTGCGCGCGCCAGGGCTGGATGCCATCGAGGACTACATCAAGAAGGTGTATCCCAAGGTCAAGCTGCTGATCACGATTTGTACGGGCGCGCGGCTGGCTGCGAGGTCCAGGGTGATGGATGGCCGGTTGGCGACGACGAACAAGAACTCGTGGGATTCGACGACGGCGAATGGGCCGGATGTGAAGTGGGTGTCGCCGGCTCGGTATATTAGGGATGGCGACATCTGGTCTTCTTCTGGGGTGAGTTTAAAGAAACTAACTGTGACGACGTGAGGAGAAAAAACTGACATGAGGTGAATAGGTAACCTCTGGATTGGACCTCATCTTCAACTTTGTCAAGACGTACTGGGGCGAGGAGGAGCATGATCGGATTGCTGGGATGGTCGAGCATGTCACCCGGGAGTGGGATGATGACCCCTTCTCTGCCCACTACGGCATTCCGAGGACAGATGCGCAGCCGTGCTTGGATTAGGGGTGAACTTGGTGTTTGGGATGCGTGGACTTGGGAACGCAGAAGCGTTGGGACCCTAGACGTGAGAAACGAGACCAAGCCGAAGACCTTTTCATGAAGATGGGCATTCTGTTACGCTAATAAAACAACACTCATGATAAACGAAGAGCTTGAAATCAACCACAATTCGGATATCAGGACAGCTACGTGTGACGAGACTAATCAAGAGAAAGCCAAGTAGGTGGACTGGTGCTGGTGTCTCACTCTCCTCTCAGCCAATTCGTGAGATCAGTGATACCCTCATGTGCGTCTCAGTTAGTGGGCACCGGCAGCTTCTTTCGCTGACCCTCCACGGGTTTCAACTTCGTACCCTTGCTCTTAAAACCGATTGATTTGGTTATACTTGCCCTATGCTGCCATGCTGGTTTGATCGAACGTCGGTCCACATCCTCAGCTCCTTTTGCCCCTCTCACCTCATCGAGCCTCCTGCTCGGCTCTTACCAAACCTAGGTACATAGACGATGAGTGGAATGATGGACGAATTCTCAGATATGAGTTGATTATATATGATATGGTTGTTTTTATGATAATTTTCACAACCTCTTGATCCAATACCCGAATCCAGCTGTCACCAAAGAGAGGAAACCAATTTAGAGTGTTTCGATCTGCAATCTAGGCTCCCTGATACGAGTAGCGACCATGAATGATATATCCAAGACCTAGACTCCTTTAGTTTTATCTCTTGACCCTTCTTAAGAAGTAAGCCCCTAGATATGTAGATGGCATAATAGCCACTTTGGTCTCAGGCTGAGACTGATGAACCATCTGTCACCCCATGACAAAGTTCCTCTTTCTCACCCTTCCTCGGCTAACTGTGGCCATCTTTATGCCGTGTTACGTTTCCCGAATCCCTCTCTCGTAAGGCTCTGTACTCATTGTTCTCCACACATGTTTAAACTCGGCGTCTCGGACCATGCCGATGATGAAGATGAACTGGTCTTGCTTTCCCCTTTCTTTCGTTTATGCTTCAATATTATTCCTCCCTTGACGATTCAGGTCTTAAATAACATGGTATTGCCTAATTCCCAATCTTTTCACTCATAGAACAAGTCTAGCTGACACTCGATGGCAGAGGGATGACGAAAGATATCCTACGGTCGTGGAACCAGATGCATACCCCAAACTAGCCTACCCGGACATCCCAGAAGTGACAGCTTCCCCTGGTCCGGATATCCAGGGACACGATAAACTGTCTGTCCCTGAAAAGGACACACATCCTCCATCTGATGAATCTGAGTTGCCGGAAGTGAGAATAGTTTGTGGCTCAAGAAGAAAAGAATTATCATTCTCGTCACCTTGGTAATTGTTACCGGAGCCATCCTCGGGGGTGTTCTTGGCGGATTAGCAGCAACCGGATGGCTGGGAAACAAGAACAAGAGCTTCGAGGTTCCATCTCCTATTCCATCAAGCATAACCAACTCGCCACAGAAATCAGGGCCCATTAACAAGACCCAGCGCAGCGTAGCGGCATCCATCTCCTCCGGTGCCGAGGGCTCCGATGTGCAGATATTCTACCAGGAGCTCAACACAACGGCCATCTCGTACCGACGCATCGTCAACGACAAGGCCAAGGCGGAGCAGAAAGCAAGCCTGAGTATCGAACCCGCCTGGGGCACGCCCATGGCCGCCGCGGCGATCAACGGATCCAACCCTCTCAGGACGCAGCTGTTCTACCTATCCGTTGACAGCGACAACAGGACCAACATTGCCGAGGCCATGTTCGAGTGCCAGGACTCCGAGTCATTCTCCACCGTGTCAAATACCGTGATATCTGGCAGTGTCGACCGACTCGTCCACCCAGAAACCAAGCTCTCCGCTCTTCGGCTGGGGGATGACCTCCTCCGGGTCTTCTACCAGCAGACAGACAGCAGCATACAAGCCCTCCGTTGGGACGATAAGTCGGGATGGTATGGCAACAAAGTCAGGCAGAACGCGCACCCGGGGACGGCCATCGCCGTCGCGGCCGCCGAGCGAAAGGCCGTCCATATATTCTACGTCGGCCTGACCAGCATGACGCTGCGGGTATCCATCTACGACGACCAGCTCGGTCCCAAGGGGTTTAGGTAGGTTCCCAGAATTACTTTCTCGGCGTTCCTTTTCCTTCAGAACCAAGCAGAGAACTAACAGGCGTGCATCCAGTGCTGAGGTCGGCGGCACCCCCAGCTCCGACTGGCGACCGACGAATAGTCTGACAGGCATCCACGTGGCCGGTGATGGATCCTTCAGATGCTATTGGTCTCAGCCCAATAACGGTGATATTTACACGTATTGGCGCGACGATTCGAGATGGATCGGCACTCACGAGGCTCGCTGGGGCCGTGTTGAGGGTGGCTTTGCCGGAGTTGGCTGGTCTGACCAGGCTCGCCTGTACTATTTTCAGGATGGTGAGTTGGTCGTCAGTGCACAGGATGATAAGACCTGGCAGAAGCCTGCGGTAGTGTGAGTCCGGGATAGAAGCGTGAGAGAATCGGTGCTGGATTTCCCCTTCAGCTCAGTCGTAGTCGCAGTTGAGAGTGTTCGCCTGTCATTCGATCAGCTTTGTAATATACCTTGCTCGATATCTGGTTTCTAGAAGTCTCGTAATGCGGCCGTGAGGGTACAAAACTCAATAGCATTTCTTCAAGGGCTATTCATGAATCCCGAGTCTAGAGTACGCCAAACATGGATGTTATGTTTTATATGTTGCCCCGATCACTCCATCTCACTCTTCTGCTTCTCCCCGCCTCTGCTACAGATCCGTTCTGTAAAAATTACCTCCATTTTTGAAAGACCCCTCCCATGAACGCCAGACAAATAAAGTACTAAGATAGTTTGAATCATCTCCAAGCTCTGCACCCGCCACCGTCGTCTTGCTTCAATTCCATGGTCTAGCTCAAATCCATGGTCTCGCCGCTGCCGTTAGTGACGGTGAAATCCACGGCGCCGTCATTGCCAATCAGGCGCTTCTCGGACTCTGCGACGAACTTGACACTGCGGGCAGGGTCGTAGAAGAGGTTGAAGCTTCGCTGCACATCCTCGACGCTGACCTGCTTGGCTTTGCGCTTGGCAGCGAGGAGCTGCGAAGTGGTGATCAGGTTGCTTGCGTATCGCAGACCGGTCTCCTGGCCAATCTTGGCGAGTAGGGCAAGGGCGTCGGGGGACAGGTCGACCTCCTCTTCCTGGGCTCGGATGTTCAGAATTTGTTTAATGTGCTCGGGAGAGTAAGGGTGAGTGTTGATGATGACAATGCGATCGAGGAAATCGAGAGGCAGACCGTGGGGGCTGCGATAGTCGGTACCACGGATACGGGAGTTTCCGCGGTTGCTGGCCATAATGACAATGGGGGCCAGGTCGTCCTCGAGGGCTCGGTTGACATAGGCAAACGACTCAATGTCGAGCATGTGGACCTCGTCGATGAAGAGAACACCGGGGACAATCTCGGCCTTGCCCTCCTCCTTCCATTCAGCCACCTTGGTGTTGATCTGGTCTCGGATCTCGCTGCGGATTTCTCCAGTGTCGCCAGAGAAGAGGGCGAGGAATCCCTGTGTTCTCGAGTTGATGACATCGATCTCGTGGAGAGTAACTGTGTGGACGACCTCTTTGCGCTTCTGCAGCTCGCCGTCGGGGCACTGTAGGAACTTGGTATCGACACCCATAGCATCGTAGTCGCGAGAACGAGCATAGGATCGGCCGAGCTTGGTGATCTTGCCGGAGGACTTGTCGATCGAGATGATGTCTCCTGCCATGACACGCTCCTTGGTCATCGCGTCAATCATCTTGCTACCCATATCGTATACAGCCTCCATGTCGGTCGTTTTGATGGTCAGCTTGCCCTGCTTGGTGGCGCCGGTGACACTGCGGTCAATCTGGATCTCGACAACCTCTCCCTCCATAATCTCACTCTCCTCCTTGATGCGTACACCAATGGACTTTCGGAAGGCCTGCGTCAGGGCTTCGGTCTTGGACATCTCGAGAGAGAAAATTTCGGATGATGCGACGGATGTGAAGGGGACGTCGGGGCCGAGCGACTGTGCCATACCCATGGCGATGGCTGTCTTTCCAGTGCTAGAGTGACAGGTTAGCCAGCAGTTGGTGCCGCATGTCTGATGGAGGATGCCCCCAGAGCATTGCGCAGAGCGATCTCCTCCATGTTTCCATACCTTGGGGGACCAGCAATGAGGACGGCGCGTCCAGCAATCTTGCCATCCTTGATCATCTGGAGGATGACAGCGGCAGCCTTACGCGCCTTCTCCTGACCAACCAGACCTTGCGAAGCAGCTCGGGGCTCGAGAGAGGTCGCATCGACACCGAGGCCGCGAATGTGGGAATGGGCAGCGATGAGGTTCAGGCCACGAAGGTCCTTGGAATCGGAGACGGTCATCACGGGCTACACAAATAATCCAATTAGCATCGAGACGTCGCGTTGGTCGGAAGTGCAGCGATGGTATGCGTCGAGCTTACATTCGCCATCTTGAGGTGGTGTTTATGGGGAGTGCCCAAGTCTCGGTATCCAAATAATGCTGTAGGATAGAGATGGGGATCAATTCGGCGATATTACACGTGGTTGAGCGGTGCGTTTACCCCAGAGCTTGGTGTGAATGTTTTTCAAGCATCTACAGCTCAGTAGCAGCAACGCAGAAATGGCCCTGGAAGATTACGTAAGCACGCGATTCGCATGCCCAGGGTTGATCACGAACCCGTCATTGGCTGTCTCGATATGCCTGGGAGAGGGTCGTAAAGTTCCTATACAGGTCTGATCTATCGCTGGACGCATCCAAAATTGACATGTCTAATTATTCCGCTTCTCCCCCAATTTTCTTGCTGGAACGCTGCTATCTTGACCCTTTTCACTAGCCTCACAGGTTGCGTAGAGCCACCATGATGCAGTGCCCGAGTCAAGGCGCTTCCAATCAGCCTAGGTAATGTCCATCGCTGCACTGGTGATGACCAATTAGTCAGCCCGCATCAACGGGCGGTTTTGCGCGGTGAGTGAGCGAATCCCCCACAAGGAGAAGCTCGAGGCCGATCTTCTCCTGCCACTCTTCTTTGCTTGGCTAGCTCGGAACATTGTTGCACAACTTTTTGGTTCTACATCCCGTGAATTGCTCCGGCCTGCAAGCACATGCCGGACCTGCTCTCACCAGCCAGCCCGGTTTCTAAAGCCAACACCATGAGCCCTGCGACGAGCACAGTGCCTGCCGCAGCATCCACAGCCTCAACCTCTACCGGCGCAGAAAGTCAACTACCTTATGGGCGAAGCCGGAAACAGGTGTCGCGTGCGTGCGATTGGTGCCGTGTAAGAAGGATTCGTTGCGACAATGAGCAGCCTTGCAAAGCCTGCCGCCAGAGAGGTGCACAGTGTACTCAGAATGGTGGCGATGGCCCAAGGACTCTACCCCAGGCTCTGAGGTATGAGAATCACGCTTGATGATGAGCCCATCCATTGATATCCCCATCGTGTTGACTCGCTTTGCTTGCAGGGAAATCGACAAATTGAAGGCCCGCGTCAGGGAATTGGAGTCGGAACTGGCTGCCTACAAGTCCCAGCCAAGAGCGGTTGCTGCCATTACACCTGTGTCACCCTCTGACCAGTCCTCTCCAGTCCAGTCTGTCAAGTCACAGGTGCAGAATACGGCTGTGGTGAAGCCTCGCTGGGAAGGTATCTACGTCGCCACAGCGCGATCAGATCAACCCTCCTACTACGGCCCCTCATCGATCTACTACTTCGTGAGTCGCATTGGGTGCTATCTTGGCAAGGCCTTGCAGCAACCTCACGCAGACAAGAGCTTCCAGACCAGAGGCGGGAGCAAGAACATGCACGAGACTGACTCGCCGGATGACAATGCGAGACAAGACCCATCGGAAATTGTGTCCGGCACTGACGCACGCTGGGGTGCCCTTAGACGTGTTCACGAGGAAGCCTTGCTCAAGCTCTTCTGGGAAGGCTACCACTGCTTTATGCCCATTGTTGACGAGACTGAATTCCGGCAGCATTATGCTTCCCTGTGGGAGCCGTCCCGCACAACGAGAAAACAGTCGCCCCTTGTAGACATCATTCTCGCTTTAAGCTTGCAATACGGGTATGCGTTCATTCCCCGGAATGCTACCCATCTTGCCGACCACGATGAGGCGTACGGAGATTCCGCAGTTGCAGGGCGGTGGTACTACCGCAGGTCACAGGCCTTGCTGAGTGCAGACCTGGAGAGTCCCTCCCTCACCACTGTGCAGTGTTACCTTTTCAGCATTTGCTATCTCTGCTGTGCCTCGTTCCAAAACATGTGCCATATTGTACACGCTCAGGCTGTCAGAGCTGGCCAAACACTAGGTCTACATTTAGAGCCTCCTGCAGATACACCTCATGGGGAGCGTGAGTTGCGCAAACGGGTGTGGTGGCATGTTCTTTTACTGGAAGCCAAGATTTCTACTAAACTTGGCCGTCCATTTTTACTGGACTTAGGCCAAGTAAGTAGTATGTCAAGACCTTCCGACGATTTGACCACAGCAACCTACAACAACTCCAGTGTAGGAGCGTATGGACCTGGTCCCGACATTACCTGGCTCACGTTTTCTAGCCATAACTGCCAGCTCTTCATAACAATGGCCAACATTTACGAGGTACTGTACGACAAGTGTGGAGAGGCAATCCACCAAAACAACATAACTTCGATTTACGCCGACCCCAACGTGCTCGAGTCATGTGCCAAGGTTCTCGCTGCCAAGATGCCGATCTTGAGAGCCTGGGCAGATAATGTACCTGAACAGCTGAAGATGCGACGCCGCTCAGGGGGGGAGCCCTTCTCCACGGACCGCTCTGCCGTCGAGATTGATCCTCTGGCGCCGATGTGGGTGCAGCGTCAGCGTGTCTGGCTTGAGCTGGCATACCATACCACGGCTCTCAACCTCACGCGCCCTTTTATCACGTTCTATTCCCACTCTAGCTGCTATACCCCAACTGCGGAACAGTTCGCAAATATTGCTGTCGATCATGCCATTTCTTATACTCTCATCATGCACCAAGTCGTTTTCGAGTCGGACCTCTTGTGCGGCTGGAATGAATTCTTCTTTCTGCAGTGGAGTGCTGCCATGACCATTGTAGGCTTTATCCTTGCCTATCCCATCCATCCTGCCACGCCCAAGGCACGGCAGGCTTTGGACAAAGCCATTGCTGTTTTTGACAATTTCGCTCCCAACTTCCCCGTCAGTGCCGACGCAGCACGTATTATCCGCAACTTGGTATCCAAGGCCGATTTACTTGCCGGCGGCGCTGAGCCCACCAAGGCAATCGAGGCTCCCGTTGCTCCCCTGGGGGTTTCTCCCATCCTTGTGGCAGGTAACAACCAGATTACTACCAACGACAACCTTTCTTGGCTTGATCCAAGTCGCCAAGATGATAGTGTCCAATTCAACCAGTTCATGGATTGGGCGATGTCGGTCGATGCTTATAACAATTTTGATAATTTCTTTGATGCGTCCAATCCAGTGGATGCTTGGGCATTCGGGCAGGGTGCAGGAGGCGTCCAATAAAGCTAGAGCAAGACAGCCAACATCAGACGAGATTCATTATGGCATTATATATATTAGTGGTCAATGGCATTGGGAGTTTGGAGTAGTCAATCCACTGGTTCATCACCGATACACGAGGCAAGTATGATTTACGTTAAAAAATACAGTCTGAATCTATCATACTACCTAGTTGGTGTAGATATCTCGTACAAAACTCTATGCCACTTCTATTCCAAATTCACAAAAACGCAGTCGCCTTCTAAACCCAGCCGACTACTGCTTGGGCTGGACTGGTTCAGCTGCCAGTCGAGGAATGAGTTCGTCCCACCCGGTTTTCCCAGAAAACGGAAAAGTATCGATCCCGCATTTGGTTCCAGGCTGGGGGAGCTCACCGCGGACAAAGTAAGCCCGGATTGCCTTGGCAGTGCAAAGCGATGCCTGCATGATGCTGGTATGCTGATTTTCGCAGAAGTCAGTTTTCCTGTCGTACTGAGCAAGACAGTATCTAGATCAAAGGGGAACACTTACTCCGTATGAATCATGCTGGAGGAGAACGCTTCCCTCAAAGGTCTCGCTCACGTTGCGAGCCGACACGAGGGGCGTCACTGAATCGTAGGTGTTTCCAATAATAAGAGCCGGGTTCAGGGGCTTGACGCGGAAATCGCCCGAGTAGCGCTCCTTGGCCGGGAGCTTCCAGTTGGCGCAGATGGAGGGTGCGGCGATCTCGCCCGCGATGCGGTTGCCGTTGATCCGGGTCTCCAGGGCGGGGAGCACGTCCTTGAACGTCTGGTTCTCGGTGAAGGCGTCGCCGCACTTGATGCCGTACAGCGCGTCGGGCGAGCTGGGCGATACCTCGGGCGATCCGCCGCCACCGATGTCGTCGCCGGCGGACTCGCTCCCGTCCATGAGGGCGGCGAGGTTCTTCGCGACTTTCTTCCAGGCCGAGGGGAACTTGAGCTGGACGTACAGGTATGATCCCTTGACGGTGCTGTAGTCGAGCACCGTGCCGCCTCCTCCGGGAGCTGGGATGGGGATGGGGCTCAGCCTGAGCTGCTCGAGGAAGGTGTAGATGGATTCCTGGAGCTGCTCTGCGGTTTGGTTCTTTGCCAGGGGGCAGACATCGGGGTTCTCCACGCATCCCTTGCAGAATCCCTCGAATGTGGCGTCGGCATCCACGAGTGTCTCCGTCTCGAGATTGGCGTAGTATTGGAACGGGTTGACCACACCGTCCAAGATGATTTTGTCGACACGATCCGGGAACATGGCCAAGACAGTTGAGCCAAGCAAGGTCCCATAGGAAATACCTACATCAACTGTTATCAGCACATCATGTCCTCTAGGTAAGAGAAGTAGCTAATAGAAACTCACCCCAGTATCGGAGCAAACCGTCCTCCTGAAGGGCGTCGACAATCTGCATCATGTCTCTAGCTACAAAAGCAGTTCCAATAAGGTTGCCGGTCTTGTTCTGGACCGCGGCGCAGGTATTAGCGTAGAGGGTGCTCTTGGCCCAAGTCTCCCCAACGACGACGTCGGTTGCGTTTCCGACTTGTGTGGGCATCCCAGCAGCTCGACTAAGATTATCCGTGAAACATTCAAATGGGAGAGTTTTTCCGGTTCCTCTGATTCCCTAGTTAGCATTTTTGCTCGCAGAGAGAAGAGTTCTCTTTGTTCATTGGACTCACCGAGGGGTGAATGTGACGATATCGTGGTAACCACCAGTCGCGCTATATGCTATGTCAGTAAGCCAGGGCCAAGGAAACTCGCAATGCACTCTGATATACACTCACGCTTGTAAAACGTCCCCCAGTGAGATCAAGTCGTTCATGCAGTCGGATCCAGGACCGCCGCAGTTGTAGAGAATGCTGCCTTTCTTGGAGGCCTCGTCCACTGCTGCTTGCACACGAAACACAGGCAAGGTCATTGTCTCGGAGGAGTTCGAGCTTGTGTAGTCAAGAGGCACTGATAGGTTGGCGCATTGTATGGGTAGAGTCGCATTGGGGAAGTCACACGGCTTCCAGTCGATGCCAGTGTTGTCGCGGGCCACTTGCAGAGGGCCTGCACTAGCAGTCCACATCAGCAGTGGCACGCTCAGAAGTTGTGAAGTAAACGACCGCATCGTGATGTTTCTTGTTTGATACTTGGTAGAGTTGGTTTGGAATGGTCCAGAGCAGGTCGAGAAAGCATTCCAAGATGCCTTTATATAAGTGAGGAATCATGGGTATACGTACGCCGATGTCTGCTCAGCCTTGCTCCAGCAACCAGTCTTCATGATCATCACATTCTCCACATCCTTCTCGGCCATGATTCCCAATAGTCTTCGATATTTTTAAAATCTGCCCTATCGTCATCGGCTCCGTGCCGGCGGCCGGCATGGCCTCAATCCTCCCATCTCCAGATCATCAAAGCAGTGATGTAATGATACAGCGAGAAGCCAATTGGAATCCGCCGCAGGCTGGAATAATGGGGATGTTTTTCCAATCAGGAAGTATGCGCGACCCGCCATGTTTTCTCCTGCAACATCGATCTCGACGATCGTCCGCAGCTTTAGCCACGTTGGTCAGCGCTAGCAACAAGCCAAACTTGCATATGCCCTGGCCAGCTAACATGACCATCGGGAATATTGATGTTCTTCGCTTTATTCCACTGCATTTGGCATAGGTCCATGTCGATTCATTGTGGCGCTCACCTATTGTGACGCAACATCGAGACGGGCAACGTATTTCAATCATGAATATCCAGATTCGGTCAATTCACTAATTGAAATCAACTGATTGGTCCTTGCCCATCTTGGGCTTAACCGACAAGAATGGTGTTATGGAAATTAACTTGTCTTTTGTCTCCAAGGAGCTGTTTGTGTTGCAGAAACTTCCTAGCCCCCCCTTTTGTGTGTTGGTGTGAATGGGCCGAACAGACTTACAACCTGCCTAACCGGCATGTTGTAATTTGTATGATTAAATGTCAGATATTTAGAAATACGTAGAAATAGAAGTGGAAGAACACTTGATTGTTAGGATGATAGCTATCATATTCTGCTGGTCCCCTGGCTTGACTCAACATCCTAACCTATAGTTTCTATTCCTAGTTGAAAACACCGCCCAGACATTGCTCGGAGCTATCGTGGCCCGCACCGGCTATTTTTCTATTTGTTCCCCGTGTTTATTTATGAATTACGGACGGTAAATTCCATATTTGGGCTGTTGTCATCGTACATGTTGGTTCAGCGTTGGCGATGGATAACCAAAGAAATATTTTGTTTATGACTATTTATGTGTGGTAGTTGGTGATGAAGTCATGCGTGCAGCCTGATCTTTGGGTTAACCCTTGTTTACGGCGATGAAATAAACAAGTAGCTATTTTTCTTATTCTTGGGTTGACAGGCGTGCATCGAAGTCTCAAAGCCAAATTCTTTGCTGGGAGGTAGTCACCAGGTCGTTAAGCACAGCAACTCCTGCAATACTAGATGAACCCGCACCTCGTATCTAAGTTGTAAGGTAAAACTTGAATTTAATATCTCTATGCATTTCCCAATCGGAAGAATATTGCTCCTACCGATTTCGTAGCGAGTTTCCCAATTGCGTACACCAGATCATTTCGTTTCTGAACCGAATATTGACGGAGGTCATGGAAGTAGTCAACTGAGGGCTCTGATACGAATTGAAGGCATAAAATGGATATTCCCCCAAAATCCTAAGTTCTATTCTTTTTTAAAAGAGGATGGTTAGGTATCCCATCATCATCATGCGATGTTGCTTTGATACCGCATATTCCGACCAATAGTTTGACCCCATTCAAGCCCAGCGGATATTTGAAAATTCTCTGTAAGCTAAACTTCTTTTTCTGAGAACGGTATGGCTTTTTTTCTGGTTTTGGATTAACTATCTCATCGGAATCCTATATCTCGTGGCTTATACCAAAGGCCCAATTTCATAGGGACTGGGGAAGGCTACCGCTCCGATCTTAGGTGGCATTCCAAGAACGTCTGTTCCACAACGAAAACGCTCATTTCTCAATCCAGCTTCATCCCCCCGAGTGTTGGGGCTTTTCCAATCTCACACCTCTTCCGACACCCACCCAACCACTCACGAATTGTACGGAACGGACGTTTCAAATAGGCGAGGAGCAGGGATATAAATCCAACTCTCTGTAAGACGCAGCCCCCCCAGCAATGTCATAGAAGCCCTATATACAGGGGTTCATTCCCGATCCAATCTTATTGTAGCCATGTGAGTAGTAGCATGATATCTGAGTCAGAGTAAACGAGCACAAGATGCAGAGAGTGATCCACAGCCAGGGTCACTGAATGAAATAGTGTAATTTGATTCTTTTCCCCAAATTATACTCGGGCTTGAACTGGAAAGGACGCCATAAACTCCGTTACCAACAACACCGAGGCCCATTGGATTTGATTTGGGATCATCATATCGTAGCGGAAAATTGTCGAAAGCAACCGGCCGCCAGATCAAAGAAACGTCGTCTAACGAGCAGTTGTAATGAGTCGAAATGTGAGAAGGAAACTGCAAGGATTTTTCAATTTTGCCGGCCTGCCTGCCAAGCCTGGAAACCAGGGGGGAGCTGAGCTCGTTCATCATCCATGTTCCAGGCATCCCGAGGAATAGAAAGCGTCGCTGCGATCGTATAATCCTTGCATACTTGGTCGAAAAATACAATTCAGTCCTGGAACGGTTTGCCCATTGTATCATAATTGCTTTTATCCACATATCCGTGACATCTCCCCGAAATGGGCCAGAAATTAAGCATGTCATAATCATTATATCGATTTTAATTCCCTCTCCATGTCCCCTTGAATAGATGCCTTGCCAACGCGTCGGGCGGGATGGAACCATCATTAGTACTATCTGAATGCGGCTGCCCCATGCCGAACCCATCGATGGGCAGAACGAGCATGTCGCCGTAGAGGGTCGGTTCCTTCATGTAGGAGAGATCCGTCAACTGCTTGATCCATGGCTCCAGCTCCTGTAGTTGCTCAAAGACGACATCAGTCCACGCGGCAGGTCCGGTTGAGTTCATAACCTCAATGCTCTCAGGCTTCACTTGGTTAAGGGGGACCTTATGTTCTTCCGCCAGCAACCTGGCCGAGTTGATGATGCGGTTCACCATCTTGTCGAATACCGGATGTCCGGGGGCGGCGGCGATAGTCCATTGGCAGAACTGGAGGACGTGAGGGATGTCAGCCCATGCCGGGCCTTCACGGCGATCGTACTCAATGCCAACAATCACACGGGTTCGGTTCCGGATGTGAGAGGGAATCCATTTGTCGATTGGCTGCAGTGCGATAGTATCGGTGTCGGTGTATACTCCTCCCTCGACGGAGAGAAGGAGATAGCGCAGCATGTCTGATTTCATACCCACATTCGGCATATTGGTGTATGTCTCGATAATGTCTGGTCTATGCGAGAAGTGCTGGTGAATGAAGTCATCGCCGCCTTTCTGGTCGACTAGAAGGCTACATTTCATTCATATGTTAACAGAGGAAGCGGAGATGAAGGGGAAATGGGAGCAGGAGAGAGAGTAAAGATGAAAGAGCTATTAAAATGATTGAGAGGGGCCTATCTTACTAGAAATAATTCGGATTCAGCGCCAGCCAGGAAGCGGTGTTCTCGAGCCGCCCCGCCTCGATGGTCGGTTGGTCGGGAGTCGGATTCTTCGGAAGCATAATCTGCCATATCGTCTCGGGGATGTGAGCTACAGCAGGCTTCAGCGACTCTGCGGATGGCCGAAATCGCCATGATTCGAGCCCAGATCGATGGAGGAAGAACAGGAGGGCGGCGACTGAGAGAAAGACGAAGGCCGCGATACCAGTGCGGCGGTACCGGCGAGCGTAGCCACGGGCGTATTGCGCTGGTGAGGCCGGGTTCACCAGCGGGAGTTCACTGCTGACTGCCATGATTGCCAAGCCCAGCCGACGACAAGAACCGTCGTCTCATCGACTATTGATTGAATGACAGGAGGACGAGGTGGGAGGCAGACGGGACCCAATGGCGAGATATACGGGCTCACGCCTTGCATACATTAGCCCAAGTCGCCCGCCCCTCTGATAGACTCGGATCTATTTCAGGCAGTAAGCCGTCGCCCCAGCCGATTGCCTGAATCTTACATGGCGATGAGGGTCCTTTGTCTACGTACTGAGCCGGTGCTGTGCAAGCCAAAACCCAGTGTGCGCCACTAAAAAAGCTCTTTGCACGGGTGTGGCCCAGCTGAAGGCAAATCCCCACCCGCATCTCGTTCCTTCATAGCGAATGTGACGCTACTTGCCAATACGGCTGGTAACATGGTAGCACATCGATAAGTATTGATCCGTGGCCTGATTCCATACGAATCCGGCAGCAGTAGGCTCTTTCCGTGCTGTCGAATCCGGCCTAAACTATGGCCCTGTGGGGGAAGGGCTCCGGATGCGAAAATTAATATATCTGGTGATGCTTTCAGAATTGTCTTATCGGCGGCATGAGCCTAGCGGACGCCCCAAACGCCTCCTTCTGCCGCAGGATACTCTCACGCTGATCTCAACTTGCCCGTGGCCAATCAAGACATGTCTGAGGACGATCCGGGTGGGTGTTGGCTTCAGCTGACAAGGCCCGGGCGCTGTGCTATCCAATGACGAAAAGCCTGCGACCAACAGACGACGGAGCGGGAGAAGCCAGCGGGTTCGGGTTGTGGCATGTCGAAATTACAATCGAGACGTGCTTCCACCGACATGCCTCTGACCCCTCACAATTACAGCGCTTCGATACGGTAAGTAGGCCCGGGGCTGAGTTGCCAAGCGATGGTTGGCCATGTCCCGTATTTGGACCATGCCAAGGGACGGGATGGAGTCGAGCGGTTCGGGGATGGCTACATCTAATGGCCAGGCAATTTCTCAACGCTGTGCGACGTGGAGGGGAAGACTGAAAAGCAGAGTGATTACGCGGGATGATTCCCCCTCGAGGAAAGGTCTGGGCTCCTCGAGTCGGCTCATGATTAGAATCCTGCTCGACTTAATATATGACTACGATCTCACATCTCAAACAGCCCTGTACAGATGTCGCTACCACTGTTTGATCCGCACGTAGCGCCTACCATGTCACTTTCTTCTCTCACCTCGACATGGGCTGCCGGGCCAGTGTCATGTTTTGCCGATCTGGGCTATGAACAAGTCAGCAAGATGCACGGCACAGCCACGCCTGTCCCCATGGGAAATTCACCAAGCCCTGACTGCCTCCCACCCCAAACCCGATGTCCTGTCGGCTGCACTGCTGCCTGCGCGACGACAGCCGGTTCGTTGCTGAATGGCAGGCCGGTGAGCATTGTGACCTGCTGTCCGAGGTTTGTGAACCGTGCCTGCTTCATCTGGCCAAAAAGAATGGGGGGATGTGTCTGACTTAAAAGGATTGACAGCGTCGAGGCGGTTTCTTTCACGTGCAACAATGATCAGCGCGGCTGCTATACCGCCATGACGCTCAGGAATGATGAGACCGGTTTCACTACCGACTTGGGCCAGCGTGAGAGGTCCACGGAGCAGATTGTGGCACGAGCGCCTGTCACAGTACAAGAAGATAAAGCTCTCGTACCAGGGGTTATAGTTGTTTCAGTGAGAGTTTATTGGAGGTTCCACTCGCTCGAAGCTGACAATTCCAGGTCGCCCCAACATCCATGGCCAAGGTGGTCCGGCATGAACGAACTGGCGCTCCTCTGAGAGAAGAAGGCTCATCAGTGTCGTCGCAGCATACCGCTGCTTCGTCCAACACCGAGGTCACCGAGAGCTCCGAAGCGGTGGGAACGAGCATTTCCACTGGCACCATCGTGGGCATCTCAGTAGGGATTGCCATCCCTGTTGCCCTCGTATCCATTGGCTTTTTCGTCCTGTATCGGCGTGAGCAGCAAAGGGGGGAGCGACCTCGTATCTTTATTAACAATTACATATCCAACCGACTGTCGCCCACCGAGCTGCTTCAACTTACCAGCCGAGGCTTTCACGCCCGCGATGACATCCCCTACAGAGGCTCAGCGCACTCAGGCCAGCCCAGTCGGCCAGCGACATCGGCATCGGCAGAGGGGGATAGATAGGTAAATGCGTGGAGGCGGGATATGTCATGAATGAAATGAAGATAGACAGCAGCCTTTGGCTCATTATTTCAATTCTAACGACCGTGTTTGATAGACGCTTGGTCCATGCTTGCCGGTGATTCTCGTCGCAGCCTTTGAGAGTGCCCCCTAAGCCCCAGATTCCCAGCTTGCTGGAACAAAAGAAGAACCCAGCGTCCATCATTAGCTAATGTCCCAGCAACGGGTGCTACCAGGCTCGGCTTCAGCCACCCCCTTGCCATGAGCAGATAGGGCGGCTAGTGGCAGCCTCATCCAGTGATGGAGGGTGGCATCGGGACTTGGTCGGTTCGGGAAGCCGACGGCTTGGACTTCCTGACTTAGGGCCCTCCCACAAGAACCGTTGATCCAACATCGTGAGGCTTGGTCACCTCGTCTGAGCTTCCGGCTGGAGAGCATTTGGTTCCTAGACACAGGCTCAGTTGCGATTTCCACGCGTCAACACGGGATGAGCTATCCATGGCAATGCCTCTGTGAATTGCAGCGCATGAACATGCCTGAAACATTGGGTGGGGGAGTCTCGGGTGGATGCGGCGCTATCGCTCACTATCGCTCAGTTGCTGGCAGCTTCGCTCAAATGACGCGATAAGGAGACGCGAGCGCCAAACCGCGTAAATTGGAAGGCGGGTTTCTTTTTTTTTGCTTCTTTTTGTTTTCCCTGTCGTCGGCATCCCCCCAACAACCCAATTGACCTTCTCCTGAATTCATCCATTACCGTCTCATTCCACCTCCCACATCCATCTCCATGACCATCTCACTGCCAATCCACGCAAAAGAAGAAGCAAAGCCCGCCGTCATGTCTTCAGCATTCGTTCAGCGCCCTGCTCCCGCCTTCAAGGCTACCACCGTCTTTACTGCCGGCGAGTTCAGGGACATCTCCCTCTCCGACTATCTCGGCCAATGGTGAGTCTTTCGTCAGTCCCAGACCTCAGGTCAGCAACCAAAATCCATCCGGCGGGCCTTTGCTAACGTGCCCCGTCCTATGCAGGGTCGTCCTCCTCTTCTACCCCATGGACTTCACCTTCGTCTGCCCCACTGAGATTATCCAGTACAACGACGCTCTCGCCCGCTTCCGCGCCATCAACACCTCCGTCCTCGCCATCTCCACCGACTCTCACTTCTCCCACTTTGCCTGGCAGCAGCAGCCTCGCAAGCAGGGTGGCCTCGGCCCCGACCTGGAGCTTCCTCTCGTCGCCGACCCTTCCCACTCCATCTCCCGCAGCTACGGTGTCCTCATCGAGGAGGAGGGCATTGCCCTCCGTGGTCTCTTCATCATCGACCCCAAGGGCATCCTCCGCCAGATCACCATCAACGATCTCCCCGTCGGCCGCAACGTCGAGGAGACCATCCGTCTCATCGACGCCTTCCAGTTCACCGACGAGCACGGCGAGGTCTGCCCCGCCGGCTGGATGAAGGGCAGCCAGTCCATGAAGCCCGACCCCAAGGGCAGCCTGGAGTACTTCGCTGCTGCCAATGGCGAGGCCAACGGTAACGGCGAGGCCAATGGCGAGGCTAATGGCCACAAGCGTGCCCGCGTCGATTAAACTTGGTCTCCAATTGTGATTGAGACCTAATTCTTTCTTTTGGAGCCGAAGGAGCTTAGAGTGCGCCGCATGTAATCATCAGAACTAAAGCTGGAAAACTAGATTTTGCTAGACTAGACTAAAAAAGGAACAAGGAATTTAGATCAGCCACCCATTAGACCTTGAAGTACCTCGATTAAACTCAGGAACCATGTGAGACCATGTCAGAAAGGCTGACCTATAAGCTTGAAGATGAGACACGGCTAGCCCTTTTCGATGTTCGCCCAGAATCCTCACACCCAATATATCAAATTTGAGAAGATTGAGAGGCGACAGCAACATACGAGCTGGGCCCACAGATCCGCCTCAATCTCTGCACCAACCCAATTGTAAATACAACTTTCAAATAGTGGCCAATTGATTTACGACTGGCTGGTTCTAGATTGGACCAATCGCGTTATACGAACTACATACCTGGCCGAGTTGCCGAGGCCCAATATAGAGGGGACCATTAAGGCTTGGATGACCAATCAATGGGAGATGGCATCATGCTCTTGATTCAGCACACGATATGATGCAATCAGCCACATAACTGGCAATATCTGCGGGGATGTCAATATATTGGAAAGCGGCAACTTGTGGAGTGATGCCCACCGGAGTTGCGGAGTGACAGCACTGATTTGTAAGGAACGCTCGCCGATACAACGTTATTCGCTGGGCCAAGCGAGGTTTTATATATCGAAATTTCCCCTCTGTCGAAATTATACTTACCAATCACAGAACATTACCTGTCCTGTTCTAAACTTCCTTCAAACTGTTCCCCTCATCATGTCCCTCCCGTCTACTTTCAAGGCCGCTCTCATAGCCAACAAAGGCGAAGAACCATATGTCGCAGAGCGATCACTCGCTCCCTTGAATCCCGGCGAGATTGCCGTCAAGATCACAGCAACCGCAATTAACCCTGTGGACTGGAAGATCCGCGACTACGGCTTCTTCATAAAGGAATGGCCGACGATTCTAGGAACTGACGGCGCCGGTGAGGTCGTCGCCCTCGGCCCTGACACGTCCCGCTTCGCCATTGGCGACCGTGTCTTCTTCCAGGGGATCCTGGGCAACAAGGACTTCTCTACCTTCCAGCAGTACGCCAAGATACCCGAGGCTCTAGTGGCGAAGACACCAAAGAATACCACCGACGAGGAGGCCGCGGGCATTTCCGTGACCACCATCTGTGGTGTCGTCGGCTTCTACGACAAGACGGGGCAGGGACTGCCTGCGCCCTGGGACGAGGGAGGTGACAAGGTTGGCAAAGGCAAAGCAGCTGTCATCCTGGGCGGCAGCTCTTCAGTCGGGCAGTATGCCATTCAGCTGGCTCGTCTGTCGGGCTTTGACCGCATTATCACGAACTCTAGCCCCGCGCACCACGAGTTCCTGAAGAAACTGGGTGCGCACGTTGTCCTGGATCGGTCAAAGTCGACTGTGGAGGATTTCGCCGAGGCGATTGGGGAGGTCCCGCTCGAGTTCGTATTCGACGCCATCTCCGAGCTTGAGACTCAAATTCTAGGTGTCAAGATCCTCCAGGCAAAGAACGTCAGCAATGCTCAGCTCATCACGGTCACTGCCGTCCAGGAGGAGGCCCAAAAGCTCGGTCAGTCTAAGGAGCCAAAGGTGCTTATTAAGAACGTTCTGGGATTGGGAAGCAGCCCAGATCTGCGATACCTAAGTGAGCCACTGGTCAAGGCTCTCGGGGACGAGGATGGTTGGCTTGCAAAGGGTTTGTTCATCCCGAACCGCCCCTCGGTTGTTCCTGGTGGATTGGCGAAGCTCGAAGAGGCACTAAACAAAGTTAAGGGGGGTGTCTCGGGGCAGAAGATTATAATCAAGCCCCAAGAGTAAAGCAATGTAGCTGGGTGGAAATACCATTCTCTGTCCCGGTCCAGGGATTTGATATCACCAGATAGCTTGTAGGAGTAGCGCTTTTTTTAAGTCGAATTTCGGCCAATCAGGCAGACAGTAGGGCAGAGATTTAAGAAAAAAAAAACAGATTTCTCTACTACCGTTAGGTATCTATAAATCTACCTATCCTCGTTTGCACTCTTAATTACCCTAGGATGAGTGCATTGAGCGAGTTTCGAAATTCCAATCTTACCGTAGGGTGTCCATCTAGACACTAATAAGTGGCTGGTAGAAAAACAGGGCTTGTAAACTGCATAGTTACATCGATATAATTATTATAGCAGTTAGTCACATTATAGTGCTTACTATCATGTAATACTAAACAGATATTGTTTACTAATAATTAATCAATAACTCATTATCATCATTAGCACCGTGGCCTACATTGGTAAGTTGAGATAGGAACACCTTTGCAGTCCCGGTTATTCTAACGCGCACTCAACACTTAAAAGCTATGGGATATATAGAAGATCGGCTCGTTCGATTTCATCACAGTGCTCGATAGCCTAGGCAATTCCTAATATATTAGCATTCCGTTCGAGTACTTTCATAAGGACTTAGCGGTATGTCGAGAGAATCCACTACCGTCTTTCGGCACCCAGCTCACTAAAAAACTATATTGATTTCAGTCGTACATAACTTAAATAACTGATTGAGAGTGAAAATCCAACGGGGTTTGAAATAATCAACCCATTTCATTGCTATAGCGAGCGTTAAGCAAAGTCGAGTAGTTACTTTAACTATCTTTACATGGAAAACGATTGTTAGTTCTCCTTATTTTTGAAGTGTTTCTTGGATACTTTGGTTCTTAAGGAAAGTGAGGTATTTTCTACATAATAATTTGGAAGGGCGTTAGAAAGGAATATCGTTTACTGTCTCGGCTACCCGATATAGGGTAGGCCCATAGGCAGGCGACCTTTGGCGATAATATCAAATCATATTGTAAGTCAATTTCTTCCAAAGCATGAACATCCCTACGATGTGGCGTTAATGTGGCAATGGACATTTCTGGTCCTAAAAATTGCCACTGGAAATCAAGACACAGGCATAAGTGTAAGCGCTCGGCTCTTACGTGGGGCATGGATGAGATACCATCGTGTACATACAATCATCTTGGCCAGCACATATAGACCTTATACCCACTCGTTGTCTGATTCCCGATGATATATTAAATTTCTAGCATGTGAAGTACCCATTCACTTAACGCTGGACCTGCAGCTCAACTTTTCCCTCAAAAAAGCAATACCGATATTCTCCCCTGGTTGGACGGTCCGCACCGGCCGCTTTTCGCCCACTTTGCGCCCCACGGACTCTTTTTTTGCTTCTTCCATGCGGTAATTTTTCAAACTCGGCAGTTTGACTGTATACGGCTTACCTTGGCCGGACTAAGTGAAGAAAGATTAGCGGATTCTCAGTATCGGTCCGTGGTGATTCTCCTGGCTCGTAAATTTGCAGCTCAAGTGGATTGGATGAACACTCGGTTTGCTGAACATCAACGCTTCGGGAGGGAATTGTTTGCATTTGTCAAAGTCACCCTGGACTAAAGTACGAGATCATAGAGCCTAATTTATCGTAGAACATTCTTGAGCCAGGTTGGGAGAATATTCTGTGATGGAATCGCACCAAGCTGGATAGCGAAAAGGCCTGTCACTTTGCGTAGAGATCTTGTTCGTTAAAGGTCGGCCTCATCGCGGCTCGCCAAGATTTGAAGGAGCAAGGGATTTAGTTTTTGCTCGTGGATCGATCTGTTTATTGGCCCGATGCTACCTGATATTTGATCAATATTGGCGAGCGAGGTTGATCAGACTAGGGGATATCGGCAAATTTACTTTCTTTTCCCCCCTATTTGCCCCTCGTTCCCATTTCTTTTCCAATCCGTCTCCCATCCCTCCCCCCTTACTCGTACTTTCGATCTTCATGACTCCGCACAGTACGCATCTCTTACTAGGTGATGAAATGTTGTAACGTGCAAATACAACCGGCTTATTTTCTTCTTCTTCTGACACAATCAGATGAACGAAGTTCCATAAGACAATCTGCTGGAAAAGGCATATGATATGCTTACAATGAATGCGTGATCTCTGAGGTCTTTATAAGTAGGTGAGATATGACAAACATGTTCCTTATGTTTCACCTATGTAGTATTTATGGAATCAAAGTTTCGGAGCATGCACAATGGAAAGGCCGTTGCAACAAAAGATCCTAATCCTCGGGTTTACTCCCTTGCTCAGCTGGCAGTTATTGACAATACAACCAGATAAGATAAAATGAACCAATAATCGGTCTATATGACCTGGCATATCTGTCTTGTGACTGAAAAATACCGGTTTGTGGTATTCGGACAACTCCTTACAAAGATAGGCGCTGCCATTGGTGAATAGCAATGTATCTCTGCAACTATGACGATGACGAGATTCGGGGTTCAGCGAATGGGCTTCCCGAAGGGCCAGCCCGTAGCCGCTCCCTGTGCCTAGAAATGTCCACTTCTTCATGTAATACTACAGCTCATATTCTCCACGCCCCCCTCAGATAAACTCCGGAGAGACGAAACAGCAACAAAGTTGGGCTGTGCTAGTCTCCAGTAAAGCACAGGCAGGAATAAAATTCCATGCAAAAAAGCAATCTTCATCGGTGATGGCGTCTGGTTGCTTGTATAACAATGAGAAAACGGGGTTGCTCCACACCCATACGTAGTTCTCTCAAAGCGGTTCTCCACTGCAGCGGGAGAGGATGTCAAATTTTCAAGCCTTTTTTCTGCCTCGTACCCATGCCATAGCCCCCGGTTACACCCTTACGGAGGGCCATGATATTAGAGTGTGCTAAGAATCATGGGCACAACCCCACCGAAGCCAACTCAACTAGCTAAAATATTTGGATTCTTTCGTCTATCAAAATATTCGGATCACACGATTTAGAAAACTCAATAACTAGAGAATAGCAAGATAAAAAAGAGGGACATGTGGTCTGTTCTCCGGGATGAAGTGTTGCGGCTGAGCCGGAAGCGCCCGGTGTCCGGACTGTGGAAAAAAAAGCAAGGTGAGGAAAATGAACTGACATGCATGAATGACAGCCGTGGCAGATGCAAGACAGCAGCTAATACTGATCTGAGCGATCGGATTGGCCTGAAAATGCTGCACGAAGGAGAGGAGACGTAAAATGTACGAATCCCATGTTGTCAAAAACGCCACATTGGCTCTCCAAACCACTCCCGTAAGTTTCTGTCGAACTGCATTTAACTGACCGCATCTCCCTGTCTTTGAACCACCCTTTCCTCATTCGTCGTTCGGTGAGATAGAAGATCGTTAAATGGATGAAACACCCGTTGCCATGGCCAGTTTCCCAGTAACCAACGGTGTGACGACCATTATTCCACCACCTGAAAACTATGTGGTGGACTTCGAGAACCCGAAAACTCAACATACCTTGGAGCATTTTATGATATTCGGTTTCCTGGGATCACTGGCATTTGTTTGTTTAGTGCAACGGCTCTATACGAAACATTACATTGTCGGTGGTCTCCGGGCGGATGACTGTAAGTATCCTGGGCAGGAATCGGCGCATAAAGGCGACCCTTAGCGAATGGATAAGTGAACAGGTAAAACTAATTATTTTGATAGACCTCATCACCGGTGCCTGGGTGGCGTCTCTGATAATGGAGTCGGTGCAGATATGTAAGCGAGATTTGATTCTAACAATTTCACCAACTATGATGTGTACGTTACTCATCATATTTGTGAGCCAGGGTCAATATCGATTGGAGGTTTGTGTCATCATGCCTGGGAGATGCCCATTGAAGTTTACGAAAAGCACATGATTGTAAGTCCGGACTGTTGATTTCTGAATCTTGTTCATTCTTTTGCTGACAGGGACTCTATGTAGACCTCATATATCGCGGCGCCGGTATTTATCTTTTGCAATGGCCTGAGTAAAACGTCTCTTCTTACATTCTATCTTCGGATTTCGACACAGAGGGCCTTCATAATTACCATTTGGGCGACCATGACCATTGTGGCCAGCTACACGATTGTCATTGCTGCCTTGCTCCTGTTCGGATGTCGTCCAATCTCCGCTTCCTGGGATCCCAATGTCATGGCCAATGCTAAGTGCGTTGACGTGGCGGCTCTCTATATAGCAATTGCAATTGCCAACATATTTTCCGACGTCGTTTTATTCATCATTCCCATCCCGACTGTTATGCGCCTCAAGATGCCTCTGGCTCAGAAGCTGGGTGCCAGCCTGATGTTCGGAATCGGATCAGTGTAAGTAGATTCGTCGATTCGTCGAGACATTTGGACTAATACATTTAAATAGCACTATCGCTACATCTGTTGTTCGCATGGCATACCTCCCTTCACTCTTACACACAAACGACATCCCGTGGGTGGCTGCGCCGGCCAACGTCTGGGTCTTCATTGAAGCGAACCTGTTCATCATCTGCGGCTCCATGCCCACGTTCAGGAAATTCTTCCAGAAGTTCGCCCCGAAATGGCTGGGGAGCAGTTACGGATCGCAAAATCACCTGTCGAGAGGAAATACCTACAAGATGTCGGGCAGTATGGTGTCTCGCCAGCATCGCACGGGCTACTCACAGTTTGACGACGCGGAATCGGACTCACTATCAGCAAAGGAGCTCCAGCAGCTCTCTGCCGGGGCTGGTAAAGGGGAAAGTATAGTTAAAGGACATGTGATATCTGTCGACTGTGAAGCGGCAGGGGGCTCACAAGAACAGAATATGAATGGCAAAGATATTATTGATAATGGGGGAGGGATCGGTTTCACCAGGACGATCGAGATCAAGTACAGCACATGAGCACCTGGCTATTGAGGCACCGACTCGTTGCTTTTTATGTCATTATTTATTTTATGCCCTTATGACTTACATAGATTGGTACGTAATAAGTGCAGCTGGTTTCTGCATCCAAGATGGGCGTAATGACCGGGAATAACTTCTGGTGACGGATGGCCAAGAAAGCCTTACGTTGGATGAGGCAGACACTGCCAAAGCGGCTAATCGTGTAAAGCTGATCCGCCAGTATTTGCTCGTAATAAGACATAACAGGTCCCAACCATTGAGGGACAGATAGCTTCATTGCTTCATTTATGCATTGCTCAAGGACTGGCTGGCTGTGATCATGGCGGATTCAGTTGAGCACGGCGATCAAACTCTGCCAACCAATTTGACATTATTTCCGCTTCTTCTTGAGGCGCTCTCTAAAGAAGGCGCAGACCTTGTACCACATCAGCTTGAAGCCGTCCGTCACCTCACCACCATCAGCGAAGGGCCTAGGTTCTCGATTCGTCGCCATCTCCGCGCACAGGCAGCAGGAAGAAACGTTGTCGCTAAGGTTCTCAACCGGTGCATCTCGCCTAGCGCTGCGAAAAACGATGCCTGTACAATCGCCGATCTTGTCCGTATGTTGAAAGAAGTGAGGATACTTAATTACGGCCCATTTCGGAAACATGAGAACATCGCCAACCTAGATGCCGTCGAGTTTGGCATCTTCTCTGGCGACCCATTTGAGATATGCCCGGTTTTGGCCTTGGAGGCTGCAGAGCTCGGAAGTTTGGATACTCTCCAGAGCAAGCCCGCCTCACAGACTCTTCCATGGAGTGCTCGAACATCACTTCTCTTTGATGTCGCTAGCGGACTCAAGGCTCTGCATGACCATGGAGTTCTCCATGGTGATCTTAATCCCTCGCACATATTAATCCATCCGCACCCTCAGAGAGGACTCTTAGCCAAACTTATTGGATTCGGAGAAGCTCAGATCATTTCAAATCTGAAGTCTGCTCCGGCTCTCTTGGGTACCGCGCCATGGAGGGCCCCAGAGATCGAAGAGGCTTCTATATCCCTCGAAAATGTTCTAAAGGCTGATATTTTCTCACTGGGGCTTGTGTTATGGTCTATCTGCGTGATGCAGGATCCATTCGCCAAATTTGACCTGCCCATCGACCCTGCTTCGAACGAAGAGAGCATTAAGTTCATTGTTCGTCAAGCATATCTATTTCGGTGTATCCCATTCTTCATACAACATACAGTAAGAGAACTTGATGACGAGTCTCTTAGAATGTTGGAAGAGTTGTTTGAGTGCTCAGTGCGACTCACACCAGCGAGCCGAGATCTCTCAAAGATTCTGCGTATCCTCACTCCGCATAGCGGCCGGGAAGCGCTACCACCTCACGAAGAAGATTTTGGAGTCGGCTTGGAAAACCCGTGTATAGATATGCCCGAGCAGTCGCTTACTAGCATCACAGCGGGCGTTTCAGTCCTCAAAGACCTGCCTTCACTTGTGGCAAAGGAATTTGTGAAGACGCTTCAGTCGATTCTGGATCTTCCCCCGACCGAAGAAAATAGGAAAATTATTGAAGGATCATCTTGGACGCTTTTCCTCTGTCATTTCTATGGTTATGGGACTAAGCGAAGCGTATCTGCCGCGATATATACATTGATTCGTCACCCCAGTGATCCACAGTCACCAGCAATTCTCGTCGATAATACTATATCTGTCCTGAAAAAAGCCCTGGGAGAAGAATTTCCACCCGAGATTGCGTTAGACGGTCTGAGTCTCTCACTCGAAGATGGAAGACATGGCAGCCTTGGGTCGTGGAAAACTCTTCGCCGGCCACCAGCTGTTTATTTACTTGAGCATGGGGTCAAGGTTGAAGAGACGGAGATCCTTGATTATTTAGATCGCGTCCGAATGGATGAAGGACTTCTCGAAAAAGACATTGGATCTTGTAACACTCTCCTACACATGGCCGCTATTTTCGGATTATCGGATCAGATTTCTTTCCTGGGAAATTTTCCCCAGGTAGATATTGATGCTCAAAATGATAGAGGCGAAACACCGGTCTACCTGGCCTGTGTCTATGGGCACATTGAGACCGTAAAAGTTCTTTTGGAGCTCGATGCAAATGCATCAATCAACACCCATGAACAAAAGAACGGTCTCCATTGGCTATCATCCTTCCCAAAGGAAGTAGTTCAGCAACTAGCTGACGATCTGTTTGAAAAGGGGGCTGATCTGGTTCTGCCCGATAGGGAAGCCCTTCGATATATGCAATGGACATCAATGTGCCCTGTAGAAACAGAGTTCATTCAGACCGGGAAAATACGAGGAAATCCCCTCTTGACAGCCATCAGCAACATTGATATCGATTCCGTGTTGGCGATCTTGTGCGTTTCTAAGGACTTCATCTCCATGTGCAGTCCAGAGACGCGGCTGTTTGTTACGTTGGGTTTGGTCTTTGAGCCGGCGCTTCGTCTTGCGTGTGAGCTTCATTTGTTCGATATAATAAACATTCTATGCTTGGTCCTGAGGGGAATTCTTCTTTCTCTGCCAAAGGACTCGGTACCATCTGCTGCTGATGGCTTATTCCAAGAGTTGCGTAGCGGGTTGTGCGAGGTAGGGGAAGTCTTTACTGCCCTAACACAATCTACCTCCCATATACGGGCAGCCCTGGACATGCGCTTTCATCTTCATAGACTTTCCTACCATGAATCAAGCTGGAAGATTGCATGTCGGCAAACTATTGAGCTTCTCGTCGATCGTGGTTTCGTGACGAACATAGTCCGGACAGAGAGGGGGCCGCTAGGGACTGCAGCTTTTGCTATCCATTGTGGAAATAACGAGGCTTTGCGTACACTAATTCAAATGACTATGTCTCGGAGCGGCCAGTTGGAAGTTGTTGATTCCCAGGGATATACCTTGGTCCATCACGCACTGTCGAGAGGCAGGCTCGATTCGCTCAAAATCCTGGCCGAGCATGGGGCAGTGTTGGATCTACGACAGCATCGAAATCCTGAACACTGCCTCACGGGTGCAGGAGCTAGCTACTTGCACGTTCTCGGCTCATTGCGGCTAGAAGACCCGGAGTTTGTGCACATCTTCCTGGAGCACGGAGTCCCGGCAACCATCGAGGACAACCAAGGGAGTAGTGCCTTATCTCTGGCCTTGATACGCGGTGCATTCTCTGTAGCTCGTGTATTGCTTCAACAAGGCGCCAGCCTATTAGAGAAAGGTCGGTATGGATTAACTCGGTTGGGTGAGTTATTTTTACCGGGAATGATTGAGCAGCATGATGACATTTTTTCAACGATCAAGTAAGTTCTTGAATTTATGCATTCAACTTGAGATTTCTTTTTAGCAACTTATCAATTAGCTAACAGCATTTAGATTCATTCTGTCTTATGAAGACAATAATTCACTATTCATTGTCTCTCCCGAGCTGGATTACACAATCTTCCATATAATTGCACAATGTTATTCACCAAGTAAACAATATCCGCGGCTTATTGACATGGTTATTCAGAAATACGGATCAAGGGAGCATCTAGAGGTCCGGGCAAACAATCCGGCAAAATCCACTGCTGTTTTTACTGCCGTTGCCCAACTGAACCCGATTGTCGTTGAAACTCTAGTCAACGCGGGAGCATCTATGGCCGACACGGACTCCGAAGGTCGAACACCACTGCAGTATGCTCGTGTAGTCCATTCCAAACTCATTTATAACGTACACGGCGTGTCTAGCGGTAATAAAATTGAGGACTTGGAGCGCATAACTTCGGTCATCATCATTCTTGTGGAGAAGGGAGGTCGTCTGGAGCATATCGACATACCCAAAATCAACGCTGCACTGGACCTAGCCGAACCTCTATTGAAAAGGATGATGTGTTCCGAACATAAAGTGGCCTACATGCGGCACCTTGAAGATTCTCTGATGGCCACTGTGAAGTCGGGCTATTCTGACATGATATCAACTTTAGATATTGACGGCCTTGATCTGATCCGGAGGATTGTCCTAAGAAAGGTAAAGCCATGTCTTAGAATGGACCTGGAGTATCGTGTCTTGCCCCTATCTTCGGACGCTTCAATGCCATTTGAGTATGAAGCAGTCAGGGAACGGATCCCATGGTTTCAAGAATTGACGAATAGAGATCTTCAGCAATTTCAGATGGCGGCTGCGTTTGAATGGCTCCTTGACCTCATTCAAGCAAACGACGTTCCCCCTAACAGTTCCCAGCTGGGGACAGAGGCCCTTCTTAAATATGCCTTGACAAGAAACCCAGCTGATCTGCCCTTTGATCCGAAAATTGTACGATTCCCTTACGGGTTGTTAGAATGGTACGGACGCATTATTGCAACGAATAGTTTCTTGGGAGAAGAGTGTGATTGGGAGCAGCGGTTGGGATTTTTGGAGATTCTCAAAGAGAGAGAATTGGCGCGAAAACAGGGGATATTCCCACTACCCGCCTTCGATGAATCGTTCCGAGACTTTCACTTCAACAAGCTCCAGCCCAAGGAACTGGATGTCGAAAATTCATTTGCTTCCATCTCTACGGTCCTCCGTTGCCGCTGCTACTATGAAGATATAGGCAGCTGCACACGATTTAAGCTCATGCGTATCACCCAAAGAATGAGTAGCATCGATTCCGAGACATGGAAAAGTCGAGTCAAGGAGTATAGTGCAGGAATCGCAGGATTCGAGGGCAAGCTTTCGAACTGGAAAGAGCTAGCTACTGGCTCAAGAAAGGATTTGCAACATATCTCCATTCTGGCACAACTCCTTTCTGATACAGAGACACCAGAATCGGCATTTCTACTTGCACACCCTAAAAATCTTGGCGAGATTCCCGTGGAACCTGTTGTGGCAAATTCGACGGCAGCTCCCCCTTCTGATAACAGCGGGTTGGTAACCCTCAAGCCTGACTACAGACCGCTTGAAACGAAGAAGCTCGAACTCCGGTTTCTCAAATTAAGTCCTTCACCATCTACTACTGGAAACACGCTAGAAGACCTCATAGAATGCGGTATAGAGCAGTATTCAATTTCTCCCAGCTATCATACTAAGGAGTATCACGAGTTTATCGCTAGTGCTGGTGCGGAGTCAAGAACACCCATGGAACACTACAGAGGCTGGATCGAGGCATCAGGAAAACCTAGATTTACATGGGGAGACTTTGATTGCCTCAGCTATACCTGGGGAGATCCGAAAGAGTCCAAGAAGATATTACTCGATGGGAAACTAGTCACTGTGGGAGCAAATCTGGAAGCTGCGCTACGCTCCCTTCAACACGGAGCAGCACCGAGACGGGATTCTACTCTGGGTTGATGCACTTTGTATCAATCAAGACGATATGGACGAGAAAGCCAAGTTGGTCAACCAAATGTACAGCATTTATAGGGCTGCTCGGACGGTGACGGTCTGGCTGGGCGCTGCGGATCCCGATACGCCGGATCTGATGAATCGCATTCATAACTTTATTTCGACCTACACCCGAATAAGCGAACCAGAAGGCAGCCTGCAAGAGGCGAAACTTTTGAAATGCCCACCTATATGGTATTCAACCACCATACTTCCGGCGGTAATCCACTTATTCGATCGACCGTACTGGAAGCGGCTCTGGGTGATGCAAGAGATAACAGCCAGTGCGCCCTGTGAGGGGTTTTATGTCGGAGAAGATGTAATATCTTGGAACGAGATGCTTCTGCTCATTCGCCATCACAGGAACCTTACAGATCTACATAAGGCAACTGATGAATTTACTGAAGTCCAGCTTGGTCGAGCTTTTGGCAATTTGTCGCATACCAGGAGACTCATGGCCATGGCTGAGATGTACCACACGAGCCTGGGATATCACATAGGAATATTTCACTGGAATTTGGTAGCTGGACGAACTGGATTTCACTCGGCGGCGGTGCCCATGTGACTGATGAAAGAGACAGGGTCTACGGTCTTCTCGGATTACTTAGTCCAAAGATTTCCTTAAGGGTTCAAGTTCGATATTCGGTGACGGCGGCAACCGTCTTTCGGGACTTTTCAAGAGTTCTGGTTGAGGCAACAGAGGAATTCGATGATGTACTCGCAGGGAATATCTGGGATCAGTCAAATGGTTGCTCTTGGGCAATCAACTTCAGTGAATCATTCAACCGCCGAGTGATCAACACCAACGCGACTGGCGAACCAAGGCCATACGACCCACAAGGAGCTACCGATGAAAGGGGTGACGAGCCCTATGTGTCGCCAAATAAAAGGTTGAAGCCAAAATTTAGCTTTTCGGATGATAGCACCATGTTGTCCATGTGGTGCCTTCACGTCGACAGCATAGAAGGGATATCTGGGTTTGCGTCCCGCCACCCACAAGTAAATGTCGAGTGGAAACAACCAACACGAGCACTGCTTCCTGAAGAGCAATTCAGTGAACGAGAGAGCCTGTTGAGAATACTGTACGCCGACGGAGAGAAAACCGATAACCCCGATAGCACCTTGCTTGATATACCATGGTATGACGATGCTGAACCTGATGCTCCAATGATAGAATAACTACAAAATAACGGTTGGTGGGATATTATCCAGATGGATAATTTCAGGGTGTTCCATGAATTTAGAAGGCAAAAGGGTGATTTCATTACCTATAATGGTGCACCTTTCAGCAGTTTCTTCCCCAGGACTGTAGCCCCGTGCACTAGAAAGGAGAAAATACTAGCAGCACTGGGTCCAATTTCACCAGTGCTGGATTCTACGTTCATCACTACAACCGGTAGTCGGTTAGGTCCAACTCCGGTGCCGGCTCAGGTGGGAGATTCTATCTTCATTGTCCCTGGATGCTCGTATCCCGTTTTGATGAGACCAGAGAATGGGTATCACCGGGTGGTTGGAGAATGCTACGTAGAGGGCTTGATGAAAGGTGAAGGTGTAGAAGACCATCTGGTTCAATTTGAAGAAGTTCATTGTCTATAACAGCTGTTGCACCTTGAATTTAGTAAGTAGTTAGGGAACATTTCTAAGTATAAATACTGCGCTCTATAGTTAACCTTCCAGAGGAAATATTTGGACATATACTGAACTCGGAGACATTGTTAATCTATCGCGTATGTAATCACTGTTCATATGACTTCAAGATCTTGGAGATTCGATCCACGGCGCTCCAATCCCAAACTGAGGGTCTGCTGGTGGGCTCACTCCTAACAAGCATGCCCGAGGTAATTGTCTTTTGATTAAGGTAGCATGACACAGATAGTCCCTAATCTCACAGAGGACTGGCTATAGCTTGATTTCGTAGGTTGACGCTATGATGGTACTAGGAAGGTTATTAAGAGAGCAATACTCACTACCAACCAACCGACTGATATTAAAACATACCACACCTAGAACCTCCAGCGTTGAATTTCAACACCATATCAAAGTAATTAATCAGTTATAACCACAATATCGAGCTAAATAATGTAGAATAAAATATTATTAACTTATTGTTGTGTTTGGTATTATTATAAAGAAAATAAAGAAAATGGGGTCTTTGACTTGCGCAAGAAGAGCTTTAGTATGCCATGTTTTATATCAATCGCTTGCCAGCTCTCGCTGTGCCACTGTTGGGGAAAGCTAATCTCCTGGGTAGTGTAGCACCTATTCTCGTCTGCAGGGTGAGGTAATTAAGGTTTTGTATAATAATGTTCAGATTATCATTAGGTTTTGTTGTGGCAAATCTGCCTTCTCCTTGATTAGGGCCATAGGACAAGTGTGTCCAAGACCACGACTTTGGAGGAAAATCTCTCTCTGACCTAATTATGGCTTTACCAAAATACCAAGACCATGGGAGATAGTTTGAGTATAAAGTTAGAAAACAGCAATAGAAGATGCCAGACCCGACATCTCAGCAAAATGAATATGAAAGGCGAAATACAAGCTTCGCTAGTCCAAGGCTGCAGTCATGCGGAAGAAAAGGTCTATACACATTCATACCGATAACTCACTTACCTTCGGGACGAGCCGGTCGTGAAATAAGTATACAGCTTTCCCTCTCTCATCTGGCTTCCTTCGTTCATCTTACACCAATCCAAACACTTCGACACACCAAGCTCGAGGCTTTTCGGCTTGCAAGACAACCAACCTAGTGAGTACGAGGACCCTCTTGGCTAGAGTGCTTTCAGCACCAAGACCACATATTCCTCTCATCATTACCCCTTTTCTATTCTCTTTGGAAATATCAATCCAAGGACGTAACTCATTGACAAGATCATCACTTTCAGGATGAGTTTAAAAGCCACCACACCTGTCATCTACTACTCTCTGCCATCCTGTATCCTGTACCATATATTGTAAATCCTACTGAAAGATGGCGTCAGTTGTGCCGCATTTGCCGCTGTTTCTCGCGAGTGGCAGGCAATCATCGAACGGCATAACTTTGAACGACTGAAAGTAACGCCTCAACGGCTTAGCACTTTCCAAGAGATGACGCATCTTAATCAGCATCTGGTACGTTACATATGGCTATGCCTCGAAATTTCAGAGTATCCGCCTGTTGGATCTTGGGGTGTCGTTAACAAGGACAATGCGCTCATTGCAGAAGCAATCGAGAGCTTATTTTCAAGCCTTAGCACTTGGCAGCCGCTTGGTGATCTTACTCTTGATATCAGTGTCTATTCGCCCTCTGATGCGCGAAATCAGTTGTCGAGATATCTGACATTTGAGCCTGATCTGAATCCCAAGAATTGCCCCTACGATCAAAACATACACGGAGATGCCCCAGGAATCCCTTCCCAAAATCAAATTGACATGTTCGCTCTTATGATACTCTTCGATGATCTCCTGTCGAGAAATGGATATGAAACTCACGAGCTTGACAACGTCGTCTATTGGCTCTCTGGCCAGGCAGAGACGGATCCAGACTTTCCTGGACGACCTCACATACTGTCAGATGATGAAGCATTTGACCGAATGTTAACCGAACTGGTCGGATCAGTGAACTGTTGGGAGCAAATGCCTTCCGTGCCAGCGGTGACCCGCATGCTTCTCCGTCAGCAAACCCGAAGAAGCTGGCCCCCCGAGCAGCTTCATAAGCTATTTTCACGCCTCCCTGAGCTTCAGGAAATCCATTACGAGCCATGGAGGAATTGGCTTGGCCAGGGAGGAGGCGATTTTGATGATGGTAAGTGCGGCTCCTACTTTGAACCAGCACCCATCTTATACTGACTAATTTTGTTCTTAAATTTGCGAAGGCTTCTTCCAGAAGCTTGCCTCAAAACATTGAAATGATTGATCCTGTTTGAAAACTTCAACGAGACTTACCCAGAGATGATTCATTGTCCGCGACTCCGCGAACCAAGCCCAAATCTGAGCGCGGCACTGGCTGAAACCAGCCTCGGCCTCGAGTCTCTTTCCGCAGCATTTTCAGTTGATGCCAGCTATTTCTTCAATGCTTGCCAGTCCTCCTGGAACTGGGCTAAGCTGACTCTACTCACAGTCACGTCACAGCTGCTACGACCTGACGCCGATCAACATCAGCTGGAAGAAATGCTTCGGGAAGCGGCGGCAGTAGCCCTGCGGATGCCGCAGCTTCAAACTCTAGAAATCTGGGAAGGGCGGAAGGGACTGGCGGCACTCTTCAAGTATCAGTCTCGGCCTGCACGTCTTACATGGAAGGCTACATGGGATTTCAGCATACCAGACTCCGTAACTCGGGCTTGGGACGAGGTGGGGATGATGTTCTATGGTCTTGATTGCGCTGTTGTCAAGCAACTTCTGGATGGCGCAGCGATCAAGTCTCATGCGGATTCAATCGTGCAATTGCAGCTTTCACAGACGATAGTGCGACCTATCTCGCTGCAACAGATCAGGCGGGAGCAGCGCTACCTTGATCCTTGAACAGTGCACAACTAAAATCTCAAATCCTGAAGTTTTAAGGTGGAACAAATATCGATATTCTAGGTGCAAATTCAAGCTCAAGGAAAGAAAGTCCTGGGATAGCTCCGCTCGACCCTTGAAGAAAAAGATTTATTCTACATAGATGTTACAAAGAATTTCAATTCTTACTACTCTTCGGTAATAATGTGAGATTAAAATCTAGTAAAGCTCTAATTCCAGTTTGCTGGGTGAAGTTCCTCTCGTAGCCGTAATGCTACAAAAGCAGCGACTTTTTCTTATGTATTTTCTTGTTTTCTAAATTCACTCAATCAGCCGCATTGTATTGATAGCAAGACCAGATGGTTTAGTACCTATCTGAATTCCTCTGGAATTCAACTAGGCTTTCCCCCTCGCTTCATATTCCATTTGTCGTTGATTCTCTAGGGTAGCGCTACCATCCCGTTAGTTTATGAAGTTCCAAGTTGCTAAGGTCCTAAATGTATAGCTACCTATTAGTCACATCTCGAGCGGATCCGAGAATTTCTGGACCATCGTGGGCTGGGCGTCTGGCGAGGCCCCAGTTCTTACCGGATTCTGCAGGTTCTGCAGCTTGTGCAGGCCTCCATGACTGATTGATAAACACTTCACTGATTGATAATGCCTCAGCCTGCTCCACACCAGGGTGCCGGTGTCGGAGAACAATTGCTTCTGGAAGTCGCTGATGTGGGATAGCTAATAGGCCACCCTCGAGTTATAATAAGGGAGTAAATTAAGGAGAAATTGTTGATTTCCCTTTTCTTAGGAAGAGTACGATATTGGCACTAAGGTTGATATAAGATAATCAAACGCTTTATCGAGATTAGTCCGAGATCTTCTCGCCATTAGGGCCATTGGATCATGGCGGGCTCCCTCCTCGCACGTTCGCCGAGTGGTATGATTATTCCGTTAAGAAAATGAAGTCTGCGTCCGCCAAGAGGGATATTTGTGGCCATCGGGGCGACGACGAGCAGCAGTGTGCGACAATTTTTTGCTGAGAGCGACAGTCACGAATCAAAAGTTAGATCTGTTTGAGAAGCACGCATCACGAGAACGCCATGACTCTCCCAAAGCAGCACAGATCCAGGTCTTGATTGAAGCCACTTAGAAGGAGTCTAGACCAAAGATTTCAAAAAAAAAAAAAATCAGGAAAAAAACCCAACATTATTTAGTGATTTAACTGTTTTATTTCAAGCTTAAATAACTCAATATCCACGCTTTGTCCAAGATAATAGTACGCTTGGTTATCAACACAAGCTCCTGGCCAAGAAATCTCGGAAGAGGGTGTTATCATATTCACGAAGACGTGCCATAAGCCTCGAGGATATTCACTTCGAGCCTAGCCCAAGCGCAAGGAAGGCCCAACTGTAAGTTGAGACATCATCAATCAACTGGAGCTGTGCTCTCCCCCGACTAGGAAGGGAGGTAGGTATTCGCGTCGAAAGGTGTAGGCTTCATTACTGGGCGTTGAGGGACTTGCTGGTAGTTTGCGCGGCCTGGCGAAGGCGCGCCTCGAGGTCGGCATCACCAATCACAATTCGGCCGTGAGCAATGAAGTCGTTGTATACAGGGATCAGATCATCAGAGCGCAGATCCAAGCCGTAGTAAAAGAGCACGTTGCCGTTCTTATTGAAGCTGCCGTCCGCCTTCTCGAAGAACCAGGTCAAGTTTTCGTCGTTCTCGCTGGCACTCCAGACGAGGGCAGGGTGATCCCTCTTGATAATGGTGAATACATTCTCCGCGACGTTGCTTAGCCAGCCAGTCTTAGTAATAGACAGAGTGCTGAGCGTGGCCACAGCTCGATCCTCGCTCTTGGGCAAAACGATAGCCAGGCACTCCATGGCATCGTCATAGTAGGCAGTGAACGGCTTCTCCTTGAGGAAGTCGATGAAACGATCCACTGCAGCCTCTGCATCCAGGCCGATCTGACCACGAAGAAGCGCTTCCTTCAGCTTCTCGACATCAGGAAAGTCCGAGATCGACTTTGCTTGGGATAGACGGCTGCCTCGCCTAATCAGGGTGCCGCCGCCGACGTCGGTGAACAATTCCTTCTGGAGGTCGCTGGGATGGATAATAGCCACACTAGAGGTTCGGGGCAATTTATCGAGAAGCGATTTTGTCTCAACTATTTTTAGCTTGGTTCCATAGCGAACCCAGGGTTGCGCCATAAGATGGTCGTACTCTTCATCAAGGTTAATCTGTGAGATCTTCTGCCCATCGCCATCAAACAGTCCACCTTTTTCTGCTAAATACACCACTTTCAAGGGCTGCAAGGCCTCTGCGAGGGCCGAAGCACTGATAGAGTACGTGGTTAGCCAATCTATCGTCACGCTTCAAACATTGGAGATGCAGGGCAAGGAATACTTACGCAACATCGGCGTTGACGTTTAGGAGGTGTCCGTCTTCGCTCTCAGCCATCGAGGTGAGGATAGGGATGTAGCCTGCCTCGATAGACTTCTCAATAGCATCCTTGTTCACTCTGGTGATCTTGCCAACATACTTCCACTTGTCCTTGTCGAGGTAGTCGGCGATAAAGGCGCCGCTGATGGTTCGGGTAGCAACGCCAAGCTCGTCAAGGCGGTTGGTGAATCGCAGGTTCTCCTCGAGGAAGAGCTTACGGGCAATGCCTAGAGTCTTGGCATCGGTCACCCGAATACCCTCCTCGAACTGGGGCTCGACGCCGGCATCCTGGGGTGACGTTAGCCTTTTTCATTCCTCCTAAGCAACGCTCCTAAGCAAAAAACTTGCCTCCAAAAGCCGGTTGAGTTGAACTCCTCCCCCATGCACGACGATTGGGTACAGGCCAAGCTCGTAGAGAAAGAGAAGGTTGCGGCACAGGTCGTCAAGGAACTCGGGTTGGAGGATGGCACCGCTGACTTTGATGACGGCGAACTTCTGGGACTCGACGGAGGTGAAGAGCTTGAGCCACTGCTGGCTTTCGCGTTTACTACCGATGCTGCTGACGGTGTGCGTGATAATCTCGCGGAGGCGGTCACGGCTGGGTGAAGAAGCCGACAGGACTCGGGCGGACGTCGAGAGGTCGCGGGCGATGTTCGTGGTGGTCGCAGCGTTGACGCTTCGGCCCTTAATCGGAGCAACGGCTGCAGCCGCACGCGACACAGCCTTGGGGGCGACTCGTCGGGCGCCGGCCCGGAAGGCCACGCCAGTGGCAGATAACATCTTTACGAGGCCAAGTGGCTTGGTGACGGGCGGGGAGGGTCGGATTGGCAATTGCGAGGCAATTGAGAGGTGTTTGGGAGAATTGAAAGCGTGGTGGGACACAAAAGAGCTCGACTCTCAAAATGTGGGGCAAGCGGGAAGAAATCACAAGCTGCCGTGGAAAAGCCGCTGGCCCGTGTGATGCCCTGGCGGGGTCATGTAGCTTTAGAGCATCTCAGCGAGCGTACTCTAGCCAGGCAGTGTATGCACCAAAGACACTCTCCCTAATGCCTGACTGAAAATTTACATAGTTAGATTTATGGCTTGTGGAAGATTGCGTGCCCTGAAGGGAAAAATTGGGTGAATAAATAAGGTGTGGTGGCTCATTGTAGGTGTAGGGTATGTAGGATATGTATGTAGAAACGTTAGAACAATCATTACATGAAAACAATTGCGCATCTCTTCTCGACCTTTCAATAGGTAGACATCGACCAAGCTCTCATTAGACGAACAATCATTCATGAGCTCGAATTAAGGCTATGGTGAAACTAATAGATGGATTCAATGTTCAAATGAACATGTGGATCAGTCATTCACTGCTTGGCGGCATTACATTGAAGGTAATATTATTATGTAGGTAGGTATCTTGTCCCCCCCCTTCCTAGGTAATTATATAGTTAAGTGGCTAGTTAAAAATAGGGACTGCAAATTCACAAATTATCATGGTAATTAGTTATGTTATAATGCTTCTTATGGTGTAATTACCTGAAGTAGTGATGAGCCCCCGAAGCCTTAAACGCTGTGGTGAGGTCGTCGACGGTTACAATTTAATCTTCTTTTGATCTAAATTTGGTTACATTGATGAATCTGGAGTATTTGAGATTGCCTGGTAGAGCGGTTATGAAACAGCAAAGAAACACAGAGGAACCAGGGCTCATCAAGGGAGTTACATAGTCGTGATAGTAACTCAACCTTTGTTCACTTAGAACCTTAAGTACGGCGAACTAATTATTGCTCTATCACCGGTCAACCATTGGAGAACGCTAGTTTCATATAAAAAAGGCCTATGGCTTAGATCAATTGTGTTGCTGATGCTTTGACTGATTTCCATCTCTACATTGTTGTGTTGGGTAGAACATTCCTCCATCTTTTTCTCCTTCTTGCTTGCTTGTTTCTCCTCCTATTTTCACTAAAATATCTCTCTTAGCATATGAAATAACAGATGTCGACATCCGGGACGGCTTTGGGGTATATCATATTGTACATGGAATACAAAATACCTATCTTGAAGTGCAATCACATCTCCCCTTACCCATGGGTCCGCATAAGCACATGCTCGGCAAGCTGGAAAGCTTGGCGTAGGTAGTCATGCTGCAGGAATTGGAAATTAAGTAGTTTGTTGTGACGTATTGCCATCCCCCCCCTTCTTTTTTGGAGGGCTCTATTAGTAAGTTAGTCTTTAAATGCACGATCGGATTTATCCTCGAGTTCATGAGCTCATCATCGTTGGCAGATAGTTCCTATGCTAATTTATATACACGGGTGTGCAAGAAACATCCAAATCCAACCGTCCCTTATGCGGGGATCTCGCCGTTCTTCTTGGCTTCCTCATACATCTGGTTCCAGATGGCCAGCTTCTCCTCGTAGATGGCAATCAGGTCCTCGCTTCTCTTGGTAGCATCATCACCACCGAAAGCTCGGACCGCAGCGTAGTAGACTTCGGCCAAGGCGTTGCACAGAGAACTGAAGGTCTCCGACTTGCACTGGTATTTAAGACTACATCACAACCTTGGTCAGCGGACAGTTCTCTTTGCCGTGGCATAAATTTGCATCAAGCATCTTAGACAAAAGAAATTGGGAACAAAACGTACTCGGTCAGGAAGTTGCTGTCGATCTTAGCCTTGGCGGCCTTGGTGAATCGGCTCTGGAGGCGGTAGTTCTGGTAGCCAAAGTCGTGGCGGTTGCAGGCAGGCTCGTACTTGAAGCCGAGCGGGTTGTCAGGGGAGCTGGTGCAGCCATCCGAGGACCTGTGTATCGCCGGTTAGCAAGCCGAATCCAGGGCAGACAAGTCAAATTGCTTACCAGTCCACATCGGCGGGATTCTTGGCGTTGCGGCGTGTGGTGAAGGCGGGGAGGGTGATGGAGAACAGAATCTCATCGACCACGGCTGTGGTGGCCCGGACCTCCATGTCGGTGATCTCACCGGTGGGCAGAGCCACGACGGCGGAGATGAGAGGAAGGAGAACGGCGGCGAACTTCATGGTTGGAATTGGCTTGCCTGAGATGAGCTTGCACTAATTGCTACGGAAGACGAGAAGGAATGGAAGCGAGATGCTGATCTACTTATACTTTCTATGTCAATAACAAGACATACACCTATTCCGTTTCCAGGGCAGACTCCGGAGGCGACCGACGACAGTCAATTCATTACATGGGCCAAGCTGCACATTCGGCCTGGTGTCAGGTAAAGCGAGAGCTTCATCGCCAGCTTGCTGCTACCTGCTGGATCCGGTAAGCAACGCCCCATGAGGATATGTCCCATGGTCCAATTGGGCACCATCTCAATCAGCCTGACCTGCACGTTTCAGCAGCGCTCAGTTCGCATTGGTGGGCGCAGAAGTCCCTGCCAGCGACCCGCCAGACTGCCCACGAACTACCCTTTTGATATTCGAGATGGCTGGTTCATCCTTCTATGGGGAAGCGTAGAAGCGGGATCCTTGTGCTCATCACGGCAGACGCCCTCCATTAGACCACAGTGAGAGTCGTAATTGCAACCAGCTGACACCATCTGAACCCCTGAATGGATGGCTGGATGCCGGCCAATGCGGGGTGAGTCGGGCGCGATGCTGGAAGAGGAAGCTTGGTGCAGCGATCCCAATAAATATGCCTCAGTAAGCTTCCAATTGAGTCGGTCAAGGTTACTCCGTATTCCTCGCCTTCTTTTTTCAACGTTCGATAAATAAGCTCTGCCGATTTTATTACCTATGGCCAAGGTCTTACGTGACGCGTCCTTGTTTCGCTATAACACATGACCTATAAGCTATGCCGTAATTCAAGTTCTCAGCCCCTTGCCCCTGCTTTCAGTTCGAGCCAGGACCCCGGCCTCATTTGGTTTCTCACCTATCCCTATAGCGGCTACCAGATCTCGATTACAGATCTGTGCGTTCAAAAACCGGCATGTATTCCAAAGGACAAGCGACCTTCAAGGATTGGCCGCCCTGGATAGCATCACCAACGGTTTCCCCATCGTTGCCGAATTGCCTCCACGTTGCTCCTGCTGGTAGATATACATTTGTTTCCCGCTCCCCATGGTGGAAAATGGGGGCAACCAAATACTTGCTACCAAACATGTATTGTTCTTCAATTTCCCATGCATGTTTATCGTCCGGAAAATCGTAGAACAGCGGCCTTATGATAGGATCACCCTTAGTATGGGCCTCACTCGTCAGGTTGCGTATATAGTCGCGTAGCTTCTCGCGTAGCTGGATATAAGCCTTGCAGATGCGGAAGACGTCCTCACCGTACGACCAGACCTCATTGTCTGCCCCGGAAAGGCACCAGCTGCCCCCAGAATTACCGAGCTGGGGCTTCTTCGGCTCTCGATCTCCATGGAGGCGGAATACAGGGCAGAACGCGCCCCATTGGAACCAACGCACCAATAGTTCGCGGAAGGCTGGGTCGTTTGGGTCTCCGCCATGGAAACCACCAATATCCGTTGTCCACCACGAGATGCCAGCCAGGCCGGCATTTAGGCCGGCTGCTAACTGGTTCCGGTAGCTGCTCCAGGAGCTAGCAATGTCCCCAGACCAGAGGAGAGCTCCGTACTTTTGACTACCTGCCCAGGCACATCTAACCAAATTGACCACCTTCTCCTGCCCGGCTTTCTTCATCCCCTCGTAGAATCCCTGGCTGTAATACCGAGGGAACGAATTGCCGACCATCAGATCAGGGCCTTTGTAGTAGCGGTAGTTGTCAAACTGGTATTGTGTATACTCCGGCTCCGCCTCATCAAGCCAGAATGTCCTGATCCCTTTGTCATAGTAGTTGGCTTTGGCTTTGGACCAGACATACGCCCTGGCCTCTGGATTGGTAGCATCAAAGTGGCGGCACAGCGTGTTCCACTCCATCGCCACCATGACGCCGCGGTCCTGGCGCACGAGGAGGCCCTTTTCCAGCATCTCCTGGTAATTCTCAGACTCGCGATCCACAGTGGGCCAAATAGACACCATGGGCTCGATGTTGAGAGACTTGAGCTCTTCAATCATCGCATCTGGATCCGGCCAAAAAGTAGGGTCGAACTTCCATTCACCTTCCTTGGGCCAGTGGAAGAAGTCGATCACGAGGACATCCAATGGCAGACCCAGCTCCTTGACGTGTTTCCGGGCGACAGTCAAGACCTCCTCCTGGGTCTGGTACCGCAATTTGCACTGCCAGAACCCGAGACCGTACTCGGGCATCTCGGGGACCTTTCCTGTCACGTCCGTGTAGGCCCGAACGATTTCCGCAGGCGTGTCGCCCGCCACGAGCCAGTAATCCAGGGCACGTGTTGACATGGCCTCGAATGTCGTTTGATTCTTGCCAAAGACTGCGCGGCCCACCGAGGGGTTGTTCCACAAGAACCCGTACCCAAGCGAGGAGACTGAAAAGGGGATGCTGGCCTGCGAGTTCCGCTGGGCGAGTTCAATGTCCGTCCCCTTCAGGTCCAGATACGGCTGTTGATATTGGCCCATGCCGTATATCTTCTCTTTGGGGTCGAGGGACTCGAAGCGTGCCGTCAGACGCCACGATTCGGAGCCCGGCCTGGGGACAAACTCGCGGGCTTCGATGCTCAGTGCGCTCGCCTTGGGGTCCGTCGGGTCGATGCGACTGCGCATGAATTCCTCAAGGATGAGGTCCCCCTTTTGGTTGTAGACCATGAGCTTGCCGCGGCTGGAGACTCGGGCCACGATCTTGCCGTTGACTACGGCACCCGTGTTGTCGCCACCGATGGATGTATTGCTGCCAGGTGATGGAGGAGGGCTCTCCTCGAGTGCCCAATCTTCTGGTGGAAAGACGTGCTCTTGGGTGGCTCGTACCCGAATGGCGTTGGGCCCCCATGGCTCAATTCGAAGCGTCTCATTTTCGTAACGATACGTGAGAATGGAGCCTTGAATAGAGAAGGCCATGTTGTGCGAACTTGCGATGATGTTTCAATTGCAAGCTAGTTCATGGTCTTACCATCTTGTTTATTAAATATTGGAGAGAAAAGGCGTTGAATACAAAAGTAGCACTGATACATTTGGGTGCTGGTATGTAGTAATGCCCAACGGGTGCTTCAGCCTAAACTCACTGCCGATCAAGCTCGATCTCGGCTCATATGAACATTTAATGCATATTGTGTAGCTTGTCTGCCGGAATCGGCGGACAGCATAGGTTCCCCTCAAGTTTCTACATCTATATTGGCTGGCTTGTGGGTTCTACGAAATCCGCCACCGGCGATAGGGATTGGCGTTGCCAAGGCCGTATCTCCATTGATTGGTGGAATTGGAGGACTGTTAAGAGGGATATTGCAAAAACTGCAGTCAGAGCGTGGTTAAGAAATAGAATAGTATATCTGAAAAAGGTGAATTATATTGAAGTCTAGCTAATTTTCCGCTGCCTGGCCTGGCTTAATCATCGAGATCCTATGATAAACTGGCGAAGCATGAGGACTCAATATGAATTCTTCGATATCGCTTAATAGTACTTCCTATTAAGGTTCCACAAGCTAGACAAGACTTGTTATTAGTAGGATGAAAATTTAAAACCATTCGAAGTTTAAAGCGTTATACGGACCTCAGATCAATCAAGACATAGCTCTGTGGTATTCACAATCAAAAGTTTCTGCCATAGTTGGTCGGAGGGTTCTTCTTGAGCTTATTGTGAACCCTCGGAGGCGACCTTTCCGGTTTCGGGGCAGGGGGATCCTTATGGAGCTTGTTGCGAACTCTTGGAGGGGGAGGGTTATACTGTGTGAGTGGCTGAGCATTGTCACCAGTGACTCTGTGCCAGGCGTCGCGAAAGCCCATGATAGTTGTGCAATATGTATTGTTTTCCGCTGGGGTATTTGTAATTCGCTTCTTCGTGAAGTGGCGTTGATGGATGAAGAAATAGGATGGGGGGAATAAGGCCATCTTATAGGAAATATACAAGAAGTGTAGAGAGGCACGCAATTGTGATATCGGTTCGCCGTGCATGCGTACTTTGCCGAATTGGCAGCGATCGTCCTCTAGGCATAAGCAAGAACGACTGCACAATTGTGCGGATGCACGATACTTTTCATGTGAGGGTGACGTGGTGAGTGACTGGGTGCCTGATGCAACGATATGATATTGCTTACGATGATTATTGCCATCAATAGTTGAAGGTCATCTCTTAAAGTAGTAACGGTGGGCAGATGGCTAAGTCAGGTCTATACATCGCGATCACTCCTCTCAATCGTTGATGGATTTCTTAGAATAGACGCACAATAAAGGCTGTGTAACAGCAAAACAGTACTTGAAGTTGGGTAAGCCTGCTCTAACAATCATTATGGACCTTTTTATGCAATTATTTTGTCGTAAGGATAATTTAGGTGTAGCTGATCACATCATGAGGTTCTTAGCCAGTGAAAGGATACTCACAAAAGAGGTTGGTTGAACGATAATAATAGGAATAAACATTCGATGCTATATTATTAACTATATGTAGTCACCTGGTCTCACTCACGTTTGGGTATCATTTAAGTGATTAAGGCTTAATCATACTCTGAGATGAATTTGCGTTCGGGACACCTTGAATTCAACAACAAGGTCAAACATGTTTGAATTGAAATCGGTAGAGGTGTGACGAAGACTGGCCTGAATCATGGACGCATAGTGAGCCGGGTGGCCTATCTCCCTGTTCACTATTGAGAACAAACTTCTATCTCATCCCCTGTGCTATCCTCCCTTGCTTCTTCTTCCCATGCTAGTATAGGCTCTTTTGCCGCCGCCATCGCGTAAGGCCAGATTCAAGGTCACGCCTTCCTCTGCCTCTTATTCTGGTATCGCCCCTGTTGCCTCCGTCGCGATGGCGAGTTCAGAGGTTAGACTCCTCGTTGGTCCCACCTCGAGCGAGAAGCTCGGGATCACCCGTGGAAAGGCTGGGGCCATCAAGCCCAGACTCCAGAGCAGTGATAGCTAAGATCGCAAAGCCTAGCACAGTAGCTGGGAGGACAAGGCTTTTGAAATGCATCTTGGTTGTGGTAGGAAGATTTCTCAATAGGGGAAACATAGTTGAAGAAGGTAAGAAGCGGGGAGGTTGGGTATCAAATACCGACTTGGTAATGTATTGGGGAGTGGTGTTCAGGTGAAGTAGTTGCTGGATGAGCACACCTCGCCATCTTATACTTCCAAGGTTCACGCCCGCCAAGAACAATATTTCTATTTTCGTTCAGTAGACGTGATCCATCTCTCCATGTCATACCGTGTTACCTCGAACAACTTGTAACCTTAGCGGTCCAGTTTCACTGCTTTGCTCAGCGGATTACGTGTGTGACCAGCAATAGATTCCGAGTATCGCTTAGCTGCCGGGGTGTTCAATTAGGATTGCAAATCCTGCCGGGAAACCGGCCGTTGGGGTTGCAGTTATTTGAAATCCGGTATATATCTCGGAATGGCAATTGCTATTCACTAGTTGACCGGGTACTCCACAACTGCTTGACATTTCCCGCCTGCTTCTCTAGCCAGTAGATAAACCATAGTACCTATCTCAAAATCGGTCACCTAGATCTGTCTACTCTTCTTAGTAAAACTTACCCTGATCTAGAGCTCTATTTGGTTGATTCCATTAGAAATCCCTTTAGAATAGTAGTACATAATATCAGTATAGTCGGATAAATATCAGGGCAGTGGGTCTATATGCTACCAGCGAACAACGACCACACTTTGGAATGCTTCTCTCAGGGGTAAAGCCAGACAGGCTTACAGTAATTTCTTCGTCTTGATTAAAATTTCAGCTGAAAGTGGAACTATATCCTACCAGTCTTGATAATTATCTCGTAACCGGCCGTCATACTCTTCCCTTGCTCTTAAAGACAGCTTCTAGCAATAGCATCCTAGGAAGCTTTCCTGTTCAACTTAGGCAGGTAAATCAGTTGGTAAAATGATCGAGCTTCGTGAGTCTATAGAGAAGCACTCTATGTACAGTTAGTTAGAGGACCTTAATCTTAAGGTAGGCGAAGCTGGCATAATATACACAAAAGAGGATATACTTTTAATGCACCACCCCACGTGCCCAAGCACGTCTTATCAACGGACCTTGTCCAGTTCCACCGATCTACTAAAATGTTCTACCGCAAGCAGGGATTATTCCAGCCCGGCTATAAATGGGGTCAAGACAGCTAGAAGATAGAGAGAATCAAGCTTTAACATCTATTCTGCCTCTCATATAACTGCAGGTGTAAAACATGGAATCGGGTGGTAACAACATCAGTGTTCGTTCCATTCTTTGATTTATTATTCAATTTAAATCATTGGTTTATTAGCTACGCAGATAATATTCTACGCATATTTTACATAGACCATGTGTTTTATTGCAGCCTAAAGCTTCAACATAATTGAATGTATCATGGTAGTGGAGCAACGGCACCAACGGGCCGGCCAGGCTTCCAACAATTAGGTCATCATTGAAGTCATGTTTAAATAATTCCGTGGACATCGAGCATCCTTCCTCCATCATTCCAAACTCTTATTCAACAAAGCTCTACCCACCATGGCCGATTCCAAGACTAAGCCACCAGTCATCTGCGTCTTGTATGTTCCCCCCAGACACAACGAAATGCTTGAGGAGTATGTGAGAATAATGGCACCGAGCGCTGACATGGATAGCTGCGGATCGTCGTCGGGCACTAACCCCGTTCACCTACAGGCAGCAAGAGACCTAGCTGCCGAACTTCACAAAAACAATGCCCAGCTTGTTTACGGAGGTGGCACTTTCGGGCTGATGGGTGAACTTGCCAAGACACTCGTCTCGCTCTCGGGACCCGACGCCGTTTACGGCTATGTCCCTCAAGGAATGGTGCAGCTGGATAAGGGTCGCCAAGGGAGCAAAGTCATAACGTCAAGTGTGACTGGCAAAATCGAACGCGTCATAGTGGATGAGCAGACCATGGATCCGGAGTTTGGTCGAGTCCTGCTCGTCCCGGACCTTCACACTCGCAAGAAAGCAATGGCGCAGAAAGTTCTTGAAGGCGGTCCAGGCTCGGGTTTCATCGCCTTGGCTGGCGGGTTCGGTACTCTCGAGGAGGTGCTGGAAATTGCCACGTGGTATCAGATGAAAATACATCGCCAAGGGGTTGTGTTGTTGAACATTAACAACTACTGGGACCATGTGGTCGCGTGGGTGAAGAATTCCACCGAAGAAGGTTTTCTATCTCGTGCGGGTGCTGGGATTATTATGGACACCACCGACGTTCAATCGGCCCTGGGACTTCTAAGAGACTTTGAGAAGAATCCGCCTGCCTTTTAGTTGGCATGGAGTAATTGGGAGCCGTAGTTTATCTTCAATTAAATCCAAGTCACCAAGAGCTCGTCATTTTTTAAGGACTTCTATTTCTTGACTAGAGCTGTAACCTAATTTTATAGTAAGGACTATTTCGTTTCGTCGAAATTCGCCTGATTCTTTCAAATGGAGTATCCAAGTGCTGGTTTCTATAGGACATATAGAACAGACGATGTCACTTTTGTTAGATACCTAATTGTAACTTCAACCTTAAGCGAGATTCATCTTATTTCAGGTAAGCCTTTATGAATCACTACCTGATGAAGTTGTTAATTCAACCCTTCGTGTTGTCTTTCTTTAGACGCATTGTCCATCCTCTCGACGTCGTTGCGACTGGTGGTATCATATCCTCAACAGCAGCGATGCGCCGGCGATGCATAGATTGTTTTGAGCTCTTTGAATCACATTACTTTAATTAAATGACTGGTACCAAGCTTGCAACCCAGAATAACAAATTATCCATGGTCCGGCCTGGTTAGCCGATCAGCACGGGCTACTGTTGCGGACGGTTGGTTTCTATCAACCTACTTTTACCTGGCTTCAAGGTGTTGGGGCTAGCAAGGCCGTTGCGGCGCAGGCTGCGGAACATTTTCCAAACGCGAGATTGCAGGCGATAATTGCTGGTGGTGCTGCAGCTCCTGCGGTTGCACCCCAAATGAAACCGGCTGCGCCGTAGCAAGCCATAGCGACACCAGCACAACCGCCTTGGCAGACACCGTATACGATAGGCCCTGCCGAGACGGATGTCGGGAGCGTGGCAAGTATAGCCACGAGGCACAAAGGCTTCATATTTGCGGCGGTTATCTTGAATATGTTTTCCGAAAGGCGACCTGGGTTCTGCGAGCTTTTTAAGATAAATCGTCAACTTCTGAAACCTGGAAACCGAACCGATGTTGCATCTTGTTCATATAGGGGAGCTCGAAGGTTATGAGCTAGGTAGATATAGTATCGCCTCATGCATGATGTCACAACTGTTTAAGTCTGACGTAAAACAATTTCTTTTTGGCCAGATCATTGACAGCATGTCTTTTGAAGATATGATTTTGGCTGGTAATAGCTACAATTATTTAACATCGCTACGTAGAGCATGTATGAGACATGGCCTTTGGCTCGGCCTGGGTATGTAACTTCCACATGTCTCTTCCGCATAAAATTTGAATAGTGTCCCTATGGTTCTCAGCCTTGTTCGGTTGTGTAATCTCACCCTCACTTGTTGCAGTTTGAGAAACTTGGTTTACACATCACTATGGCGAAGATACGTCATGTCGAGTTCGATAACGAAGGCGCATTGTCTTACTAGAGTAGATAATGAGAGAAGTCGGGAAAATTTTACTTGACGAATGGCCGCACCACGCGGATTATTTTCATTTCCATCTGCAACGCCTCAAGTGGCCTCGATCATACTGAGCTAGTGCGTGAATCACTTCGGCAGGTTGCTACTTTGGATGCAATGGTAAGCCGGGAGGGATCCAACGTATATACTTTTATATACTATATCGCCGGCATGCGTGATTGGCTTAAACATCCGGAATCAAAGTCTCCGTCGTAGAATATAGCAGTTCTACTCGAAACGGATCATTGTTGGCAATATATCATTTTCTGCCCAACACAGCCTTCAACATACTTTCATGCTTCAGGCCCTCAAGCGCTTTTGCCTTGCCTGCCAAGTGGGTGACAGGAGAAATGAGACAAGCAATGGAAGAGTAGTTCTACTTTCTAAGATAGATCAAGAAATTCAGTACTATAAAACTAATAGAAGTGACAATAGTTGCAGTATTATCTCTCTAGCATACATTATTAGCACTCAATAATTTGATAATACCGGTTGCAGACTCGCGAATAAGCAGCTTAATGTTTGAGTGTCTCAATTTCAATGTCATCCACATGCCTGCCTCTAAGCGATTATTGGTTCTACTGGTGGCACTGACCCCTTGTTGGGCCTTCACGCCGCAGTTTGCTGGGTTTGGATTAGGCATCTTGAATTCTGATTTGCCTCTTACCCAGATGCCGGCGACCAACAAACAGTGTTGGTTCTGTTTCAATTCATTTGCATCACCTGCTCCTAAGCCACAATTTTCCATATCAAAAGGTAGATTTGACATAACCAACAGTCCACAATCCAGTCCATGATGAAGTGGCCTTGCGCAGCTCAGGCATGTCGCCGTCCCGCTTTGTGGACGTTTCTCGGGCAATGTGAACAATGCCACCGACATTTTTGCGGAGAGCATGCCGTTTCGGCTTCACACACGTGTCTGACAACAGAGGTTTGTATAGAGACCATGAATGACTGAGCGAGGCCGAGATAAAGCTGGCATTTCTGACATGGCCCCTCCTTGTGATAGGAAATCCACACAATCTACGTGTCTGGTGACGAGTCTAGGCTCCGAAAGCTCAACGCATCCCGACGAACGGCAGGCGAGAAGATCATCTCTGCCCTGATAAACAACATCGACGGCGATGCCCTCCGCGAGCGTGCCGAGACTCTACGTCACGGAATGAAATGCACTGTCACTCTTCCAGCAGCCAACCAGGCATACTTGAACACTGACGTCGTTGGGGGACGCAACTACCATGGCTCAATCGTGTTTGAAGATGGAAAAGCCTGGCTCGCACGATTCCGGCTGCCGAACCATAACGCGCCTCCGGTGGAGGAGAGAAACTTTGACCGTCGCAGCGAATTCGCCACATATCGCTTTCTGGCCGAAGCTGCTGTCCCAGTTCCGCGCGTTTACGACTATGCCGACGACGAGGATCCATCCAACGCTGTTGGCGCTGGATACATTCTAGTCGAAAAGCTCGCGGGGAAGCCGTTGGCTTGGCACGAAGCGGATCACACACAGAGGGAAAAGTTCATGCGTCAACTAGCCGACATTTATACCCATCTGGAGAAGCATCCTCTCGGAGCACTTGGGCGCTTACAACCATCATCGTCGTCGGCAGGCCAGCCAGAAGTCGGTCCGGCATTTTTCGGCTACGACCCGAGTGGGCTTGCAGTGCCGTTTGGTCCATTCGATAATGTGGACGACTACTACAAGGCCTTAATCCAGCATAGAATTGATCTCATCAAGACGGGGGAGATTGCACCATCTGCACCCCTCGATCAATACCTTGTCTACAGGAGTCTCCTTGACCGCCTCCCCCGAAGCGAGCAGGGTCCTTTCTTCTTGCGCCATGTCGACTCTAGAGATGAAAATTTCCTAGTTGATCCTGACTACAACATTACAGGCATTATAGATTGGGAACTGGCCATTGTCACGGCCAAAGGCGCGGCTTTCCAGTCGCCTCTATTGCTGTACAACTTGGGAGAGCTGTACCATCAAGGCCTCTCCACACCAAGCGAGGATGAAAAGCGCCTTGCTGAGATTCTGCAGGAAGAGACCAAGTCGGACGAGCTCTCTGCGTTGGCTGCGCAGAAGCTGCACTTTAGAGTCGACCAAGTGATAGAGACGCACCCCGAGAATGGGAAAAACTTTACCAGAGTTTTCAGCGGATGGTGGAAGGCTGCTACGGGGGAACAAGTATTCGATTGGGACATGTGGTATAGGAATGCACTGGACAAGTATGGTGATGGAGGTTTTACGCCTCCATCGTCACTACGACCCTTACCCAGTTGAGACTGGATAAGGCGTAACAAGTTTCTAAAAGCTCTGATTTACAGTAATTAAAACTCCAAGTTACAGTATTCCCTTCCACTAAGTTCCAGTTGCTGTACAGGCTCTGTATTTCAATTAATTTCCTAACATAACAATCCTCTACCTGATATAACTGAACGTTTAGCATGTGGGTTTCAACCGATAGTGGGCTGTGTAATAATACTTACATTGCCAAAATAAATCTAGTGAGACATCATAAGGTTTTAATGTCGGATTCTCTAAGAGCTTTCCAGAGCTTGCTCTCATGAAACTTGTATAAGTAGTGCCGATAATAAGATACCGGTCAGATAACGGTAGGAAGTTCAAGAAGCATTTGAAGTTTTAGAGAAGGATGAGTGGTTGAAAACTTGATAAAGTGCAATAAAGCTCCAAATCTTGTTTGATTTTTATTTTCCTATATAACTGTGGCCTTCAAGACGCTGAATCGAACAGTCTAGATTGCCTCTTGCTTAACTATATCGACTTCCTAGGTTATTAACCAGAAGTTCTTCGATCGGTTGCGGTCTCAAGGCCACTAAATGATAGCGAGTTTTCCACAATCTTAGGAGTTAGTTGACTTTGCTTCTGCCCTTAGTGTTGGCTATAGGAGGTAGTTTTCCAATATATAAGCACCCCGTCAACTCTGAACGTATCTCAATCGAAAGCCGCATTGATCAAGGATGGCTCCACTTTGAAGCATCTATGGCTTCTCAAATCCATCTTCATATCCCGACAATTTGGCAGCCAGGCAGTTCATTAGACCACTTGACATGATGCTCGTGCGCCCAAACCATGTAAAGGTCCAACTATCTCCGAAATATCCGGTCTATGGTCATTTTCCTTTTTTGGATTGAGGCCATGAGTACAGGGGTACTTGGAATGGATCTAGCAATAAAAATCATGCCGGAGTTCTATTTGTGTAGACAGACGCTGTGCAGATGGTGACTGGCCTCGCTGCACCCGACATTGTGTCCAGCGGAGATAGGAGTTAAGGGGGTTGAGACTGAAGGTGATGAATATTCGTACATGTTTATTCGATTCCTTCACATGAATCACAGTAAGTATAAATATTCATAGAAAAGCAGCAATTAAGAAATCTGGGTTCTTCACTTCAGTTTGTTAAGATTAGTAGCTTCCGCAAGCTTGCAGACGAAACAAAAAAGAGAAATGGCTGCCGCATCCTACGTCCTTCCTGCCAAGCTCTCCGGGGCTCTCAGCGACCGTGAGCAAATCGCTGACACTCTATATCGTCTTGTTGCTGCCTTCGACCACGCCGACGAGGACCTTCTCCAGTCCGCCTTGACCGACGATGTTGTAGTCGAGATAGTTGGGTTCCCTAGCAGCAAGGGAATCTCGGAGCTAAAAGAAGCTATCTTCGGCCGAGTTTCCAAACTCGAGACGACTCACAGCATTTCCAACATTCGTGTGAGCATTGAGAGCACCACTTCTGCTCGAGCTTCGTGCACTTCGGTAGCCCAGCACGCCCGACCCGGCAAAGGCTTCGAACAGGGGCCACATCGACTTCTTGGCGGAGGATTTTATATCTGTGATCTGATTAAGGAAGGTGATCTTTGGAAGATCAAACAGTGGATGGCAAAGCCTATCTGGTACGAAGGCGACTCAGCCATCGCGTATGAGGCATAAGAGACAGAATCGGATGGAAGAACAGGCTGGCTAGTGGGTTCCAATGAGTTAGCCGAGCTGGATCATGCAAACACTTTAAATTTCATGTTATCAGCAGAAATCGGTGCTCTATCTAACGCTTGAGAGCATATTTGTTCAAGATGAATTTTGCACATATTGAGATCCTCCCAAGTGCCTAAGTGACAATGGCAAGCCAAAATAATTTTGTCCCCTTCACGTCGCGGTTTTCATTATACAATCTAAAGTGAGAGTTCGGACGTCATCGCCGCACTTTTCTCTAATCTCTCTAGGAATGGACGATAGTCATGGAAAACCCTGAGCTGACCAAGGTTCCACCAGATATGGAAATCTAAACTAACCTATGTGTGTAAAAGCCTCGCCAGCACCGCTATCCTTTTAGACTAAACATATCAGAGCTTCACCTTCTATGTGAGTTCTATTAGTTGCCGTTAAGTTCGTCCCTTCCCTCCCATCAAGCAACGCTAGGAAATTAATAGCATCACTAGGATAAAAATTTACGCTGGTAAGCGGATAAGGGGGTGTATACTTCGTAGATAGTATGTATATGCCAGGGTGAAACTGTCCCAAGTACAAAGTTCCAACACTAAGGTCACCCTAGATGCTAGTCTCGGCTTTCCATTGAGAAGAGACTTCTTGTTATTGATACCAAATACGCTGATAAAGTTACTCTAGCTAGATCTACAACTCTTTTTATCGAGCATCTTCTTATGCTGCTATAGTTGGTATAAGGTAAGCAATAGATTGATATAAGGCTCTTTATATTCAGCATAGTGCCATACTCAGGGACCTAGAATAATCGCACGTGTAACAATACCATAGGCGATTAGGCAACATAATTCCGCCGTACAAAAGGCAGTTGAGAGCAGGCAATCGATCCTTGAGTATAGTTATTCGCAGCAATACGTTTCATCTTAGAGAGGCTTTTCCTCAAGTCGCAACGGACTCATGTAGCTTTAAGAAATGATAGGTTGTAACAACCGGCCTTTAATGCATACCTAGGTGTCAGCACTTTGAAACACTTGACATACAATAAATGGACCTCGCGCGTGCAACGACCAGATGTTTAGTGAACACATGTGAATATGTTTCTAACACAGTGCAAGAATGACATCAAGAGAATATGGGAATAGGGATCGTAACATGGATACGTAATGCCAGAGCACTGCCCTGTAAATCTTGTCGGATTACAGGAGGCAGCATAATTCTCCTCTTTCTTGCGTATACGCACCATGCACATATATTGAGGCGTAAGGGAACTTCCCCAGGACCTTTTGTTCATTTCCGTTTCGGGTTGTCCCTTTGCCAAGGGCGACTTCGGGGCGAACCAAAAAGAATCGAGTGTGTTCAAATGGTGGTTAAAGGTCGAAACTCTTCGCAAGCTGCCACCGAGACCTTAATGAAAATCAAATTTCCGTTTTAATTTAGTACTATCCATGTATCACATAATACGTTCTCAGAATAAATTCCAACCGAGGTATTGTTGAAGGCAACGAACAAGAACGCACCGTAGAGACGGAGGAGGAGTTTGGGGTAGCTGTTGCATAATAAAATAGATATTAGACAGGGGTCGCGGCTCCTTTGCTCTTTGGAAACCCGCTATCATGACGCATGAATGATTCCCACCGGCTCAATATCCTGACGCAGGTGGGGATCGGCGAAATACAGAAACCCGCAAGTTCCGGGCGCTGGAAGACAGAAGGCGCAGCAAGCTAAGCCGAGACAATCATCTTCAACTACCTGGCTATACGCATACGACATGCGTTCACTAACGAGCAAACCGTTCGAGCGACAAATCAGACCCGAGGTTTCCGTAGTGGTGATAAGCTCACCGCCTCCAAATGACTTCGTCAAATACAGAAAGCCCGGTGGCACCAGAAGCTAACTAGGAAAGATGCATGACAACTACGCCCATCTCCCCGAGTTGAATCAATGGATGGCGAAGCTTGGGCCGGTCACTGGCGGTGCGGAAAGCTATGTCGAAAGCCAGGCTGGTGCTGTCGCTGAGCTGTCAGTCCCCGCTACAACACAATCAGCTTACTCTCATATCCATTATTTGCTAGGATCTTTACTTCATTGGACTAAAACCGAGGAATACCAATATAGAGTTGTGGAACGTGTGGATAGCACGGAGAACTTGTGTGTCGATCTTTCGCGATCCTGGTCTTGTAGCTATGCAACATGAGTCAGATGAGGACGCAGAAGTAAATCAGTGAAAGCATAAACTCGAAAGACCCTGGATAGATATAAGTATATAAACTCGACCGTATAGCCACCTGAACTGGTCCTTCTCCTCTCTCATCACTCCCAATCAATCCTTCTGTACATTCTTTCGAACAAGACTATCTACTCAGCCAACATGCAGTTCTTCAACCTCATCGTCGTTGCCCTGGCCAGCTTTGCTGCCGCTGCTCCCAACCCAGCTACCCCCGAGGCTGAGGAGGTCAACATTGAGAAGCGCGTGAGTCTTCAGTCCTAGGCTTCTGTCTACGTTGTAGACAGATGTTCAATGATTCAAAAAATAGTTCACTGACTTAATCACAGTGCTCTGGAAACTATGGACCTTGTGCTTCTCAAGCCGACTGCTGCTCCCCTTACCAGTGCTTCACAAAGGGTGGATACTGCGTCTAAAGTTAGAGAGAATAAGATCACTTGTTATAGCTATTGGACATAGTAGTTTTAAGGAATGCAAATAAGTACTCTTACATTGTTTTCTCGCTGAGGCCGTTAGGCCCGAAGACAGGCAACTCAGTCTTCGGGGACATGCTCGATGTGAGTAATACCTCCTTACTTGGTGACCTGAGAGCGAAAACGTGCGTGCCCTTGTGAGATTTCTGGGGAGCCTGTAAGGCGGCTGGCCTAAGGCTGGATTGCAACGAACCTAATCTTGGGCCTGATGCTGGGACATAGGCATCCTGTGTTTTTCCTTTAATCGCCGTGACTGTTAGGAATATTTAGCATCAAACCATGATGCGTGCATTTATATCGGCCCCTGCATTAATCAATAATCTCACCACTTCCTTGTGCCCCGTCATAACCGCAGCAAGAAGAGCATTTACATCTGCACCTCGAGCAATCAAAATTTGAGCAATATTCTCGTGCCCACCGCTTATAGCAGCCTGTAGGCTATTGCCAAACCGTCCATTCGGTGTGTTGATGTCGATACCGTCGTCGAGCAACTCTTGCAGTAGATCCTGAAACGTCTGGGGGGTAGGGCGTATGAACCATTGCCCTGAATCCTTCGGTAGAGCCTCATTTTCCTGACTGGTTGTCAAAGAGTCATTGTGAATCTCATACCGGGTAACTTGATGAGAAGCGTCACGCATTGTCTCAGCCAGCACTCCGGGTTGTGTCTTACTTTCGGCACCCTCTTCAACGAGCATCTTGGCTATGTCTTGGAATTCCATCATTGAAGCGACTGACAGTGCGGTGAAATACGTGTCTTGCCCTCCAAGATCTCCATTATCTACAAATCGCCGCAGCTGTAGAGGGGGCGTAACATCCGCAATTATTGGTGCTGCTGTGGCTGGTTGTCCATCAGTCTGAGAAGCAGCTTGAGCCCCGGCATCGAGTAACGTTAGAACCACATTGTCTCTACCCGCGAATGATGCTGCTTGCAGTGCTGTACCAAAATACCCGCCGATGGCTTTCATATCAGCGCCTCTCTCAAGCAGGAGACTAACCAACTCTTCCTGATCCATCGATGGGCCTGACGAACACACGCTTTTAGGCGAGGGATAGCCAAATGCAGCGGCCTGAAGAGCACTATCAAAAATTCCACCTCTAAGATTGACATTTGCTCCATGCTCAAGTAACATCTTGGCCGCCGCGATGTTGAATATGCAGAAGCAGCTTGAAGGGCGCTCCCATACATGTTATTATACGCATTAGGATCGACGCCGGCAGTTAATAGCAGTCCTAGTATCATTATGTATTTCGGGCCGAGTGCTACGGCTGCTTTAAGCGTGTCTCCAAGCTGGTCAATGAGAACCTTGGTGGCGTATCTGAGCATCAGTCGCACTGTGTCTTGGTGTTTCTCCTGTATAACGCACTCCACTGGGGTTTGTCCCGTGCGCTTGTCTTTTTGATCAAGACATGCGCCTCGATCAAGTAGCAATTTTGTCATCTTGAGATTTTCACGGTAACGTCGCGCAGAAATCACCAAAACACAGCCTTCCTCATAGCTCTGGTAGTTCACATCGGCACCCTGTTCAATCAAGAGCTTTGCAATTTGAGTCCATCCATCTTCAGCAGCGGCTAGAAGAGCACGGGAGAGTTCATGCGTCTGTCCTATAACCTCTGGTCGCTGCAAGAGAAATATGATCATGAGTTCATGTCCACTTCGAGCAGCATCATAAAGTCCTTCGCGCAGGACTGTTTGCAGATCCTCAATGTCCCCAGTCTTAATTAGTTCGGTTGCTATTTGCACATAGCCCTCAGCACAGGCAGTTTTGAGGGCAGCCTTGATGAACTCGGAGACCTTACGGGACTCGGCGCAATCACCGTTGCCACCGAGCTTGGCCCCTGCCTGTCGCAGCACGCCCAGTGCGAGCTTGTGGCCTTTTGAGACCGCCGCCAATAGAGCATTTCCCCAAATAGTGTGATCGGAAAGGTGGATATCAGTATGTAGGAGTTGGCTAACAATCTGAGGATTGCCTTGGTTAGCCGCTTGCCAGAGGATATCTCTTCCTGATTTCGGATCGACCAAGGAAAGGTCTAACCCTGCTTGTCCAAGGAGGAGCTTAACGATTGGTGAGTGGCCCGAGGTAACCGCGGCTTTGAGAGCAAGATTGAGACCCTTTACGGGAAGCCTTGAGTTGTTGTTGGGCAACGAAAGAAGAAGTCGCACAATCTGCTCTGATCCATGAGAGGAGGCTTCTTCAAGCAACTGGCTCCTCACCTCTGGACTCACTTCAGTGCGGGAAGTCGTCTTCATAATTAGCAACTTTGCTAAGCCTGCATTATCGGCGGATAAGAGTTCTTTGGTAACATCGCCAATCGATTCAGCCATTTTGGCGAAGTCAAAGGCCGAAGAAAGTAGTATCCTCACCATGTCCTCACTACGACGACAAAGTACACTGATAGAGCCTCCATCCAGCTGCTCGATATCCTTTGCCAGCAGGCATCGGAATATTAGCTGATCGACCTGGCGGCGCTTTCTCCGATGTTCGCGATTGCACCGCTTACTCACGTAGAGAGCTTGTATGCATGCGTCTGCTGAGAAGCGCTTCGGGCGAGATAATAAGGCCTTTACAATCTGAGTTGAGCATGAAAGGGCAGCAAAATTGAGCACTGCATCCTCTTGGGCATCAAGATCCACACCAGCCGATAGAAGCTGCTCCGCGAGAGCGACAACTACACCCTCGTTCGGTTGACGACGACGTTTTCGGTCGACTTTCGACAGAATATGACAAAACAAGCTTTGAGTAGTTGTAGGAACCATGGCATTAGGGTTGGCACCCTTGTGCAACAGACTCCCAACTAATAGTCTGTCGCATCTAAGGCAGGCTTGCACCAGAGCTTCATCGAGGGATAAGACAATCCGCCGATCTCTTGCCCAGTCTAGCAATATCGCCAGCTTCTCTGCCATCTCGGACCCTCCGATGTTGTTGTTCAGTGCTTCTTGAACATCGTCTTCACAACCCTGGTCCAAAACAAATCGTAGGATCTCAACATTCCCCCACTCGGCTGCGGCTTGGGGTGGACTACGACCGCACGGGAAGTGTAGAGCAGCGCCAGCATCCAAAAGAAGCCTGACCATCCCCGTGCAACCCGCCTGAAACGCCACCGATAAAGGCCTTTCACCACAAGAGAACTCTTGGTTCACGTCAGCTCCGTGGGCAATCAGTATTTCAGCGGCCTCTCTTTGGTCATTTCTGACGGCAGCGCGAAGTCCGCGGCCTAGCTGGTGAACATGAGTGCTAGGATTGTCGTTCAATCGTCCTTGCTCAATCAGTTTAGCCATTACCCGCTTATGGCCGATACTGGCGGCTACTTCAAGTATACTCCCCCTCAATTTCTCATCTACGTCAAGTTCAACGCATGCTTCAAGTAACATATTAGCCAACCCGCTGTTCGCAGTACCCTGTGCCCAGGTAATGCAGCAGATGGAACTATCTGACCAAACGATAGCTTCCATTTTGGCACCGTGACTCAGCAATATGCGTATCAAATCTAGGCCACGTCTGTCCACGGCGAGTTGAAGTGCTTTTTGACGATTCGCGTCCGATCCTTTTGAAAGGAGGAACTCGATAACTTCGTGGCAGACATTTGGTCGCACAAGGCTTGGCCTGTTGGGCCACTTGACACCACTCTCCCAAACTCGACCGCCGGAACCGATCGCTGCTCGCAGTCCATCATCAAGGTCTTCGCTGCTCACGCTACCGCCCTTTAGATCGAAGAGAAAGCGAACAACGTCGAGATGGTTCATAGCAGAAGCCAACTCCAGCATCTTTCCCCAATTTTGAGGGTTTGTCTCCCAATCGGCCCCATAGGAAATCAATAGACGCATAGTGTTCAGCTGGCCAATCTCGGCCGCAGTATGCAGCGCTGTGCTCAGCAGTCGATGGTCGGGGTTGGGGTCTGCGCCGGCCTCAAGCAGCAGCTTTGTTATCTCGACACTGCCTCCAAGCACCGCTGCTTCAATCACACTTTCACATCTTCCGCTATTACGCGATGTTCCTGCAGTTCTCGCCTCCGCAAGCCTTTCGTTAACGTCAGCGCCAGCCTGGAGCAGGATGTGTGTATTTTGAAGCTGCTGCTTCTCTGCTGCAGCAAGCAGTGCAGGGGTATACCACCGTCCTTTGATGTGTGCATCCTTGGCTCGCATCAACAACAATCTCAGCACTTTGCAGTGGCCTCTGGCGGCTGCAAAATGCAGCGCTTGCTGGTACGAGAAGTCTCTTAGGTCCACTCACAGGGCTGTTTCGAGGATCGTTTCGACGACTAGATCATGTCCTCTAGCTGCTGCGGTGAGAAGACACGCAAAGAACACGCCTTTGGACAAGCTCTGCTCCGCCGTGTCCTTTAACAAATGGCGCACTAGCTGATGATAACCATGCGCTGCAGCAGCCATGATAGCACTTCCGTAAAATCCCCCCCGAATATTAGGGTCTGCTCCTGCTTCAAGCAGGTGCCTGACGACCAACAAATGTCCCTGAGCAGCAGCAGCTTGAAGAGCACTATGATAAGCCCCTCCAGTCGCATTTGTATCAGAACCAGCGTCCAGCAAGAGTTTGACTGTTTCGCTATGCCCGTTGGCAGAGGCAGCCTGAAGCGCGGTTGCATGCAGTCTTCGGTGCAGCGTCCGCTGAAACTTCTGTCTCATGAGCTGCCACTCCAGCTCCTCGACGATTTTATGGGGCGAAATGAACAATGACTTGTGTCTCCTGCTATATACCATTTCCCGTGGCCGCTCGCCGAGGAGCTGGGTCATGAAATTCTCGTCTTGAATGAAAATCGTCTCCTCAAGCGTCTGATCCGTACCTTGGAGAAGCCGCTGTTGAGCTTTCGCAACACTGGATTGCGAAACAACTGATCGAGCCGCAGATTGGCTTGCAGAGCTCCAAGAAGCTTCATCGCTTGGTAGGTCGCATTCGAATGCTTCCTGTGTGAGCTCAACGCCTCCGTCGTCATTGTCTTCATCGATGCCAGGATTATCATGGGCGCCAGCCTCCAGCAGTTTTGTGACGATACTAGTATGTCCCCGTGCAGCGGCAGCCTGCAGTGCGCTTCTATAGTATCCCCCTCGCGAATTAAGACCTCCACCTCTCTCCAGCAGAAACTGTATGGTTGATCCATCGCCTCGAGCAGAGGCTGCCTAGAGGGCATCCCCGAACCAACCGCCTTGTACATTGATGTCCGCTCCATGCTCAGCCAGCAGTCTTATCATGCCGGCGTGACCACGGGCGGCAGCTAGCTGAAGAGCAGTTCCATACAGGCCACTACTATGGTTGACGTTTGCCCCCTTTTCCAGCAGTACCTTAGCTATTCCGATATGATTATCTCCCACGGCGGCTTGGAGCGGTGTAATGTGCTTTTCAGTCTCTGCATTACAATCTGCCCCGTGACTGAGCAGAATACGTACATTTTCCTCATATCCACGATAGCAGGCTGCGTAGAGCGCATTGGAGTACTTCCCTCCCCGGGCATTGACCCGAGCTCCATTGGGGCAGTAGACGAACAGCTTCCTGGTTACCTCGAGCCGAAGCTGCCTGAAGTGCGTTGCCATACTTCCCACCCTCGGCGCATACATCCGCACCACGCGATAGCAACTGGGACAGCGCCTTGGCGTTGCCATTTGTTGCAGCCGCCTGCAGGGCATTCCCTAAAAGGCCACCCATGGCATTAACTTTTATTCCACTGTGATTTAATAGCAGTCGGACAATATCCTCGTGTCCCCCAATGGAGGCGGCTTGGAGGGCATTGTGGTAGTCTCCGCCGGGCGATGATAGCTCTGCTCCGTGTTCAAGCGACGTCGCCACGGTACTAGTGAGCCCAGCCAGAGCAGCGTAATAAATTGGAGATCCCAGCGTGTAAGACTCAGAATTAGATTCAAGCCAAGGGCGATCGGGGTTATAGAACAGACTCCAGATCCGCCTTGTCTTATCCTGGGTCAAAAATGCGATGGACGCCTTCCTTACTTCGGAGAGACTTTCTGAAGCCTCAGCATGCTCGAGCCAGTATCTAGAGGAAAACTGTGCTAAGGGGAATTGCTTCTGAATATCTTCCAGCGATTGGCCTTCCTTAATATGGGAGAGATACGCCACGCATACAATAGCGATTACCCCGTGTGCCCGGGTCGAATTCGCCACGTCGTAGAACATGTTCGATGGTGTGAGCGAGAGCAAGTAGTCCCTCACCGTCGCGTGTGCTAGTTCAATGAGATCCGTAGAGGTGGTGTCGTCAGTGTCTTTGCTCAGCCCGGATGCTCGCGTAAGAAGACTCCGGCGAATGTCCAGAATACCCTGGGTATCCGGCATCCTACGATCTATTTCAAACGGAGGGTGCCTTAGAAGGTCCACGGCAGCCACATCCACCAGTTCTTCGACCCGCATTGGCCTTTGGCTGTAAACCATGAACTGTAACATGCGTATTACTCTCGCGTGGTGATGACTTTCGATCCTCTGGAGTATCCTGTCGTACATTTCTTCTAGCGTAGTTGGAAGGCGCTTCAGTTCCTCCTCTATTTGCCCGATATCAACGCAAGTTCTGAGAACTTGTAAATGACACGCTACAAGCCGGAACCTGAGTTGGTCAGCCAATGCCAATCAACGCTGGCAGATGACGGTGGCTTACATTCCATTGGCCCTCTTGATCATCTCAGCATGCATGGAGCTTAGAATGCCAGGCACATTTCTCCATCTATTGAAGTTTACGTCGCCCTGTGCCGTCTCCTGGATGTAGGTGGAAATGTCATCGTTTACCATTTGACTGTCTGGGGACGCAAACTAGCTCTCCTTGTCGAGCCAGTCTCTCATCGCCGATCCGATCCGGCTTTCGTCTCGACTAGTGATCAGAACAGAAGCATCTCTGAGCTCCGTAGTGAAGTTTCGCGTCCAGGTTAGAACTTCGTCCGTTGTGTTACACTCATCCAGTGCGTCAATAACAAGTCGAATAGGCTCGTCTGTACTCCGAAGCATTGCAAGGAAGAGCGTGTTCAAGTCTCTAGGGAGCAGCCGTTTATCACCGCCTGCATACTCTTCCGCAAAAATTGTCCTCAGACCTACCATGGCTTTATTCGAGATTGAAGAAAGCTGCGAGATGAGCGATCGAAGAAGGCCATCTAGCGAGGACTTGCCACGATCCCTCGTATCGAAAAAGAAGTATATTGGTGATAATTCTCTACCGTGCCGGTCTGCGAGGAGGGCAGAGATCACTTGAGAGCTTAAGATAGTCTTTCCAGAGCCTGGCAGTCCCCGTACCCACAGAGTACGACGAGTTCCTTGCATCCACTCTCTGAACTTATCACCCTTAAGAAACCATGAGCAAGTGCCATAATGATGTTTTTCTAGGGCGTTGACAAGGTTGATGTATGGGTCGGGAGCTGAAAGCCATTTTCGCAGACGTTCTTGCTGCTGTTGCGCGTGAAGATTCCTCACACCATTACCGAAATCATTGATACTGCTCTCGACTTGATCAACAATCAGCCTCATGTCTCTTGTAGCCAATGGGAAGAACTATGCAGGGAGCTTACTTGACTTAAGATGCCCCAAAATATCAGTTGCCTTAGAAGCCTGCTCTACATCGGTTGCGTGGATGAAAAGGAGTAGCTCTTTTGCACAAGCTGCTGCGGTTGCTTCTGCGAATCGATGCCACTGGTCGTTTTTGTGCGAATCTGCATAATCCGAGATGCCCCGAATAATCACACAAGGGAAGTTGTTCATGAGCCCTGTGGCCTCCATTTCCAGAGCGATGGCGTTGTGTGTAGCTCCGATGAGATCCCTGGTTGACGCATGCTTGACAACCTCGGAGCCTGTGGCAATAACGCCATAGTGAATGGTGGGAGTAGTGCTAGATCGAAGGATGGGGATTCTCCTGATGGCTCTTTGGGGATCGCAGTTCTTACACGACCTACCTCCTCGGTGCATAATTCGCGGGGAAAAGAAGATCTTTAGCCTGCCCTGGATGCAACCACTTCTCTCTCGTCCCCAGCGGGAGCTTTTCAACCATCTGCTTCATATACTCGGTGATGCGATTCTCGCGTAGCTCATGGTCAGCTTCCATGGTAGACAGCGCAACACGCAGGACCCTTGGAGGCTGGTTCAGATGATATGCGACCTCAAATGACCCGTCCGGCAGCTTTCTCCCGAAGTTATATGCAACAAGACCGCCTGTCTTTTTGTCACTACTGATGACTACATCGCCGAGACGCATATCGTCCTCGACCAAGTCCTCGTCCTCCTGATCCGTGTTTTCGTCGCCGACACTCCCATTGTCGCTACTCCAGCGCGGGATGCCAGCGCGGGATGCCAGCGCGGGATGCCAGCGCCAATGCCAACCATCAATCCAACGCGGATATTGGGGAAAACACCGAGCATATCTCTAGCAGACACGGCCGCTGAGCTGCCACCAACCTCACCTCTAGGCAGGCATGCGATGACGACCTTGTGGGAGTGCAAACGTCCCAGGATATAGCTGTTGCTATCTTGCAAGGGTGGAGACGACTGCGGGATACCATGCTCTTCGTCCAGCATGCCCCTTGCGGCAGCCAGTTCAATGGGCAGTGCGGAGATCCATCCTATCTCATACGCATCGTTCGGGAATGGGGAGATCGACACCTCCATGTTAACAGAACTATCTTTGAGGGCCAGCGGGTGCGAGCAGGGCACAGCTTGAAGTGTCGTAGGCATACATGCCAGTACGATAATCATAGAAGGCGAAGGAATCACCACTAACAAACACTTGCTCGTCAGCTGAAAGTGAGGCTACATCAGGCAAAGATCTTGGGCTCTAGGACCGGCTCTGTGGCTGACTGACGCAGGATTCGTGTATGCCTCAAGCAGAGCTTGTGGCTTTGTGGAAGGGGACCCCTGCCACCCACCTTAAGCAGGTCAAACAATAAATGGCACATCACATCCCCAGGAGATGCAGGCGAATTAACAGAATATACCGCTATAAATGGGCTAATCCGGCCAACATTATTCGACGCTAAGAGCCCCATCAAGGCACAAGAGATCGGTGGTCACGCGCGCAATTCGGAAGGGACGAGAGAAAGTGGCAGATACGGTTTTATGCTCAAGGTTGGAAGTTGCTGTGAATTAACACTTGTGAATGAGGCAAGAGCGAGCTACCGGTCATTTGCACGCTTCTGACCAATATTGCTTCTGAGAGCATATACTCCCAATCAAAGCACCTTAACCGATCCACATGTTTTTGGCTTTATCGGCAGTAATGAATTTTACGTGTAGATTGGAACACCGTCTCTGCGTATTTGGGTACAGGTTGTAGGCCCGTAGTTTTGTGGCGTGGGAGAAACTAATGCAGACCTGCATATTGAACGACGGCATTTAGGCCCTGCCAGAGAGGAACACCAGGGTAAATCAGAGCAGCAATAGAAGAATCGGAGCAGGAGGAGAGAGGTGTAAGAAACATCAATCCCATATCGCTTCACGAAGATGCCATGTCATGTCATTGATAGAGAACAGAAGAGCGAACTGTGAATGACGTAGATGCGCGACGTGGACGTAGCTGGACTGGGCGATGATGATCCTGGAAAGAGCGATGAGCTGGGACGTTTAGGGCTCTGCATTTTGGGCGCTAGACCGCTCTAACGTAAGACTTCGATGCTGCCAGGAGGCTTGGTGGCACTTGGCACCCAATCACATGTGAAGTGCTAAAAAAATAGAACATGGGAAGAGGATCGAGGAATTACGTAGCGTCACACTGCCACTACAGCCAATTAACCCCTGCCGCGGCCAACAATTTATCGACTCGGCAGTCCCTTCCCTTTCTCCCTTCCATCGTAGTCTTTATCTCTAACATCATCTCATAGCGATCGAATACCCTCCATTCTTTAGTTTCTTTTCGTGCGTCCGGTTCCTTGTAGCGTCGTCCCTTTGCCCATTCTCACACCTGCGTCTACATTTCTATTGACAGCAACATCTCAAGTCGACCCCGGCCCATCCGTTCTCCCCAGCACAATCTAAGTAGACATACATAATTATTCACATACGCTCATAATGGCGGCCAAACTCGATCCATCGCCCAAGATGGCCTCATATCTATCTCGGTTCAGCCCTGTACCAGCATTCCCCGAATACACTGGTCCCTACAAGGTCGGCACAATGGACGTCGAAATCGCCGTCTCTGAATTGATTTCTCCAGCTCCCACTCCTGAGGAAGCTGCCGATATCCCAACAGTCCAGTTCCGAATCTTTTATCCCGCCACAGACGACACCGATGGAAAGCCCATCCCGTGGCTGCCGACCCCCCAGAGGCCACATGTGTCAGGCTACACTGAGTTTATTGGCATTTCCAAGACGCTGGCTGGCTTTCTCTCGTGCGTGCCGCTCCTAACCCAAGACTAACACGCTGTTTTCCCAGTCACTAACTGGTGGTATAGATTTCTCCCCAGACATCTCTACTACTCCTCAATCCCCGTTCATAAGAATGCAGCGGTCCGACAGCCCGAGACAGAGAATAAGCGATGGCCAACCATGATCTTCTCCCACGGCCTGGGAGGCACTCGAAACTCGTACTCATACATTGCTGGCTCGCTTGCCTCCCACGGTGTTGTCGTCTTTTGCCCTGAACATCGTGATGGCAGCGCCGTGGCTTCATTCATTCGAATTCCCGGCGAAAGACCTCAGGGCCGGTACTTTGCGCCTACTCGCCGATCTATATCTTATCGCAGAATCCCCCATGAGGTGACAGATGAGGTCTATGAGGCCCGAGAAGGCCAATTGCGTGTCCGGCTTTGGGAGACGGCATTGATTCATGAAGCGATTCTGAACATCGATGCTGGCGCAAGATTCATTAATCTGAACACCTCGACACCAACTTTGCACCAGTTCATGGGACGACTCAATGTGAACGACCCTGGCAGTATCATTTTCGCTGGCCACAGCTTCGGTTCTGCTACCATGTACCAGTTGCTGAAGAGCACATACTATGCTGACCGACCTGAGTTGGCCGAGATGGAGAAGCCACTGTTCCGGCCGGCTGAGGGCAGTGCAATCCGCAAGCAGGTGACGGAGAAAACCGTTACACTGCTCCTCGATATGTGGTGCATGCCACTTCTTGGCCCCAATTGCGCGCCTCTGTTTTCACTACCTCTGCCTCTTTATGACGATGTCCCCTCGGCTGCTGGCGGCAACGCCCTACTCGCCGTCGAATCCGAAGCATTCTTTAAGTGGAAGGAACATTTGAACATTAAGGCACGTCTGCTCTCTCCCAATCCGAGTGCAAAGGAGGTAGTACCCACGGCCTTCGAGCGGCCTAGCGGTATCAAATTGACGGAGCCCAACTTCTTCTACGTTGAGAACTCTGCTCATTTAAACCAATCTGATTTTGGTGTTCTATTCCCTTGGCTGACCAAAAAGATCTTCTCTGCCGAACAGCCCGAGAGGGCCCTTCGTCTCAACCTACGTGCCCAGCTTCAACTTTTCCGAGCCAATGGAATTCCAATTGCACGCACATGTTTTGATGACTTGATCGATGGCTCCCACATCGACAAGCTAGATGTAAAGAAGAAGGACGGCGATGCCGTGGAGACCGAAGACGGACTACACAATGACAAGTCCATCTTTGATCGCAGCGCTGACAATACCGTGGAATGCTGGAACTGGATCGACATTATTGGCCTTGGCGACATGAAGAACGAAGAAGAGACCGGCAAGACCGTTACCCAACAGGTCGAAGAAGCGGAAGAAGAAATGAAGGGCCAGCTCGAGCCATACGAGCAAACGTCTACACCTGCAACCACCCAAACGCTGAGCGCTGCTGTTGCGGCTTAGGGAGACGGGTGAACCGCTCTGCCCAATTTATGAATGAAACTACGAACGACGATATCACCTCTTGCATGCGTGCACTTTTTCCCTGCCTTTTTTCTCTTCTTCATTTCTTGACCTACACCGGTTGAAGCTTACACGCTTTTCTTTTAGCTTACTTTTTGACTTTCCTATTTTTCTCAGCCTTGAAAATATACTTGGGATTTCTTTTGTCGTGGAGAACGCTACAGGCGTGGAGAATGACGGAGTTGGAAAAGACGTGGCGTTTATTTTTGGTACGGAGGAAGCTCACTCAGCCATACCTGTACATTATTGCCCCTTAAATTAGCTTTGACAGCGTGCCTGGATTTGATTGTTACTTTTTTTATCCGATCTCCTTGGAATCATCGTGTCCACCACCCACATGCCTCAGTTCTGTGATCTTACTCGTGCACGTCGTTAACTAGGCACAGCCCCTGTTTCGGGTTAGTAATGACATTGGCCGCCAGGAATAATAGTGCTGTCGATTAATCATTCCGATATTGCCTGATTATTACGAAAATAGACAGACAATAATCCTGTTTCAAATTACTAGCAGGGTGATTGCATGTTCTTTGGTAAGAAAGAGTGACAGTAACAACTACCCGGCATGGTTCTGAACATCCATGTCGTGCCACTTGGTGATATTCAACCTGCTGAGGTGGATTTGGCTACCCTATACCTTTCCGTTCTGGCTTACCTTGGATTGAGTGCGGCAAGACTATTATAAAAAGCTTTTCTCAATGTAGAATTAAATGTTCTCTATATTTTCTAATTATCTCAAGGTGCTTTGTTCATTCTGATAAAGGTTGTAATTACCCCCTGTGATTATCTATTCAGTTGTTCCATAGGTAGTTCATACATGATTTAAATTAACTATCATTTCATTGGATATCGGTTAAAACTATACTATTGGCTTCTTAGGATATTCTAGGTGATAAAGAGCTCATTGGCAATAAGCGGATATTAACAGAGAGAACTATGATTATATGCTCTCCTCGCATGAAACTCTTAATACTTACTAAATAATTGATACATCTCAAAGTACGATAAGCACGAGGCCGGATACTTGAAGTAAAGTATTGAACTAATAGCTGGTCAGACTACAAGTTAAAAGCAATAGGGGACCAGCTGATAATCATGTGTGGATACATTGCATGTGTTGAGAGGCTGAGTTAACAAGAGCCAACTTTAGTTATGAGGTTGGTTTATCTTGTAGAAGGCATTCGGATCCACGAGAAATATTTGGGTAATTCTGAATTTAGATGATAAGAGCGCATATTCATTAGGGAACCTACCAAAGATTAACACATATGCAGGATAAGGACATTTATTGGAGGTATACTGTTCATAAAACATGGAAAGTAAAGCCAGGACCCAACCGGACTTAATCACCTTGACTGTTGCAAGACTCCGCAACTCAGATTCGATCAATAGTCACTATCTTATCCGTGTGCTATTTCAGCTCTGTATATAACTTCTTCATAACTATTGACTATCCCAGGATTATGAAGATAATGGCGATAATCGGTTGAACAACCACGTCAGCCAGTCGGAATGGAGGTTAGCTTGAAGGATGTGTATCCAAATGAACATCTTGAAACCTACTGGAGCCAATTGTGCAATGAGAGTTGAAATATCACTTGATAGATCCGCTGTCAGAAAATAACAGAGCTTTGTAATGAACGTGATAATTCTATTCGCAATATCCGTCGCCAAAAGCTTGCTTGCGTTATCGAGGAGGGAGCTGAGTTGGACGACAATCGGCGCAATGAGTTGGATGAGGGAGTTGAGGTCGAAGTCTTTGAATTCGTCGATTAGAGGCTGGATATAATCTAGCAGCGTTCCAGCACGGCCAACGATGGTGCGCGGGTTGTTGACAAAAGGTGGTGCCAGCAAGTCAGCGAGGTTGGTGATACTGGAGTTGACATCATCGAAGAACCCCGGAGTCAAGAGCTTTCTGATGGAATCAATGAGAACCAGAAGATCACCAAGGGCGCTGGTAAGCTCGACTTGAGCGGTGATGGCACTATCGGCAGAGTTGTCTCGAGGTTGCAAAGAGCGCTGGATAAACCCGGTATCTTCGGACCTTGGTGTCCGGGACATAGCCAGCACTGGCATAGATACAGCCAGGGCTGAGGTGAAAATTCTTGAGACGTGCATACTGTAACTTGATAAAACAATGACAATATAATTATCCTGACCAGTTGAAGCTCGGGTTTGCTTAACCTAACGAGATGATGAAAGATCTCGCTGGTATTTTCTCTGTGTCTCTTGGGTTGTTCCTTACAGACTGATTAAGAATCGTTTAATATGTTTACGGCTTGATTAAAACCTAGAGGAATTTGGTTCTAGCTGTGAGGGCCAACGAGCTGGTTTCCTTCTCTGGGTAATGGCATTGCACTGGATGTCGACACCTCAAGCCATTTAAGCCCAGTACCCCGCAAAGCGTGGTCTTGAATTACGTACTTCCGGTAGTGTTAAAAGGGCTGAATGGAAGTAAACCACCAAAAGCAAGGCAAAGCTGGCTAATAACCACCAAGTTTGATAATGGTGATAGTCTCTCTAGGGAGGGTGTAACTATAGCTGCCCTGGGAGCTAAGCCAACTATTGCTATCGCGATCGAGGTTTTAAAAGGCTTAAGAAAGATATCCTCACAGCTGTATAGTCTTCTATCTTGCTCTCTCTTCTAAACTCCAACTATCAGACACAATTTGCTTCAGAACTCCACGCAGGAAATACGTCAGGATAGTACGAAGTGAGTGCAGAACATTTGCAGGAAAACAAATTCTTGCCGTCAAAGGTTCATCATAGAAATAGACAATTAAATCCGAATTCAAGAGTTTCTTTGCGAAATTTGCGCAGCGTAAGGAAACTTTAATTACACCAACAACAGAAAGCCCAGAAGAAAGCGTCACATCTGCGCCGTCTTCGTTAGATGTTGAAACAACGACCACTGCAACCTTCTTCAATACTGAGGCCTCGACTTATAACGGCCCAAAGCCAGAGCAACCCTCTGGCAGCAAAGCTACAGCTTCCGGGGAGTCAAAACCGCAGGAGTCTACGGATATCAATAGCAGCCACGGTGACTGGAGTCCCAAAACCACAAGAATCCGATAACTCTGGGGCAATAGCTTCGGGATTCTCCAAAGTAGAGAAATCTTCCAATGTCGACGCAGGAGCTTCGAATACCGTGCATGTCCATGCGGGTGATGTCCGTTCTGTGACCGCTGCTGGCAGCTCAAACGCTTCAGACTCTGTCAAAGTTGCTGCACTGGAGTCAGAAATTCACGATAACGCACACTCAGATAGCACCAACTTCACCGCAATAGATAATACATCTGCAGCGAGTGTGAAAATTGCCAGTGTGCTGAAATCGGAACAAACCGTACCTTCAGCTTCATCTGAACCTGAATCTTTAAGTGAGGCACGCTCTGGATCTGGATCTACGTTTAAACTATCTGGATCGCCTTCCTCAGTGGCTTTCGAAATAACCGTCTCAGATCACACAACCGAAACCGAAGTTGGTCGCAAAACAAACGAGAGGAGGACCCAAGGTACGGCGATAGGAACTAAACTGTCCGACCAAGCTAGCGACGTACCTTCAGCATCCAGATTCAAGTCATCCAGTTCCCAAAGAGATAGCATTACTTCAATAATTGGTGCTGCCTTGAAGACCGAATCCCTCGCTAAGAACGATCCTGCAAGTGGTGCGCAGCTGACGACCACTCGAAGTGCTGCCGCCGCGATGCCCACGGGCGTAAATCGCTTGGCTGGGCCGGTATGGTTAGTATGGAAGGCTTATCAGGGACCATGATGGCATTTTAAGAGTAAATATGGCATTGAAGCCAAGGTGATTTACCTGCTTTTGGTTTCGCAGCATGTAACGTGTGAGGATTGTCTCGAAATTCTTTTTGTCTACGTGATCTAAGAGACCCGACAAAGCTCGAGTTCCTGTAATATTACTAAGGCAAATTTAGTTTAATAAAGGTACATTAGTATTTATATCAATATTTGTTTCTCGTTTGCACTCAAGCACTTATAAGATTTTTGACATGGATCTGGGTAATTAATCAAACACTGGCGGCACCCTAGGATGCTTCCAAATTGAATTTCCGACTATCTTGTTCCATAACATGACGAATCGTGTCTGGAAATCTAGGCTAAGATCTTTTTCCTGGGGCTAAAATCAAGCTCGGGTTTGCGGAGTTGGTCTGTAACTCGGCGAATTTGAAATGTGAACCCCCTTAATTTGTCTCCCACTCTCTTCGGGGAAGATTGAGTCTGTGTAGATCGTGACGTTTAACCCGTGCGCTTCCTCTTCTTGCTATGTCGGTCCAAGAAGTAAGTGTCTGATTCGCTGTAAGGAAAGAATCGCTTGAGCTTAGCACGTGGTGTCTCAGGATTGTCATTTGAAGTAGGACTACTGGTTTCTGGGATTGACATCCACGACATCTCACGGTACGGATTCCTCTTCTTGCTGTTTGGTTCCAAGGACTGGCTGTCCGAGTCACCGTAAGGAAAGGGTCGCTTGAGGTTACCACGGGGTGCCGCCTCAGAATTGTCATCTGGATTGGGAGCACTGGTTTCTGGGATACTCTTATTACACTCGATTGACATCCAGCACATCTCGCGGGGCAGAACCTCCGTCCACAAATCGATTTCTCCAATATTGACCCCGTATTCCTCCCGGTAGCGGTAGGACGAGGTGAACTCGTTGAAGAGCCGCCTCAACAACATCTTGTCCTGATGTTTAAGAAACCGCAGCGGCCTCCGCACCCATTCCTCGTTCTCTTCCCAAGGTACGCTGGACGTCCTCGAGTCCTGGGGGCACGCGCCTTCGGGATTCTCGAGCTCCCAGAGCAGCCCCCAGACGAGTGCCTTCCTGTATAGCCAGTACGGGTCGGACTCCAGCCCGTCGTCATCGCCTGATGCGAGGCTGGCCTTTCTGAACACATCCTCTAGATAGTAATCGATGTCTTCTGGGATGTTCTCTTTCATCGCGCGCTCGTCGTGTAGAGGGACTCGGTGCGTGATAAACCAGTACATGTATCTGTACGTGGTGTATACCACATTTCTGCAAGGATGGCGGCTCTCGTGGGTCGCGCTGTGGCAAGTCTCTGGGTCGGGGCAAGGACGTATGGAGCGATTAAGTCCTACTCCTATGGGGTTAAATAGATGCGCCTTGTCGCCTGGTTGGTGCGTGAGAAATGGGCAGCTTGCCTTTTGAGACTCATCGTGGAGCTGCGGACACCAGCAGCGTCTCGTGTGTCCCGGCTGCGCGGAGATGTAGTACATGCCGGTCTCCTCGAATGGCCTGGTGTCCATCCCACTCAGGTTGCGGTAGGTTTTGAGGATCAGCCGGGCGAAGCCGACGACGAAGTCGTGAAAGAAAGAGTCGTACTGCATGGCCTCTGGGTCAAGCAGCATTCGTCCGTCGTCGGTCCATTTTTGCCTTGGTATGCTCCATCTCGGTGAATTTTCGTCTGCAGACATTTAGCACTCGTCGTATGGTTTCGTGCTGGTCGTGAGATGTCAGGAGGATGAACCCACGGGGCGATTGTGGGATATCAGGAGGATGAACCTACGCGACGATCTTGGGAAATCAAGAGGATGAACCTACGCGACGTTCGTGGGATGCGTGAGCTGTGTTGACTACGGTACCATTGCCACCCAGCTGCGTTGATGATGAGCAGAAAATGGAACGCCGAACCAGAGCAAAAGAATCAGGTCTTGACGGGAAGCATGTGGTGATATTAATAGTCAAAATCCTACTATCTGCCCAATTTCACTGCAATTGAAGGAAACAAACTACCGTGCCTGGTTCACAAAGTGCTGAGATTCAGAACTCAACCAAGACAAAGCCTCATTGTTTGTTCGGAACGAGCAATTATCTTGTGAGGCCTGAGTGACAAAGGCAGGCTTACCAAATAAGGCAAACAGCGAACTGACCGAAACGCCAATCTAATTATTCACTCGTGCCTTTGTCTGTTATTTCTTTGGTCTCTCCGCCCGGGCCATGAACAGCTGTGCCTGGCCGCCGAGCTCTTCTGGCAGCTTGGACTTCTCGGAACACCACCGCCATCCTATCGAGCTCAGTCCAGCTTGCTCAAAGTATCCCCGCACCTCCTTCTCCTCAAAGCCCATTCTTGAGACGGTGTGCTGCACATCACTGTCTGGCGGTGGTAGAAGTGGCTGGCAGCCACTCTCTGAGGGGCTCACCCAGTCGATGATCAAGAGCACTCCTCCGTCGGCAAGTCGATCGGCTAGTTTGGAAACCATCTGCTGTGGGTTTTCGACGTGATGGAGCGCGAGGGAAATGACTGCTAGATCGAAATCATTGTACTCGGGCGTGTTGATGATGTGATCAGATGCTGCTGTGTCTGCGGTGATGAGGTCGCCATGCACCGCATGCATCTTGTCTTGGGAGTAACCCTCGCTTGCGGCCCTCGCATTGTACTGGGCAACCATGCCAGATGAGATGTCGATACCACGAGATTTTGAGATATATTTCGCCAGGGCCTGGGAAGGGAAGAGCAGTCAGCTTGGGGCGGTCCTTTTATTTGTACTACCATGGGCTCGTTTAGGGAAGGGAGGGGCTTACTCTGGAGACCATCCCATCGCCACAGGCGTAATCGAGCATCTTTGTCTCTTGATCGGCAGTGTTGAGCGATGAACTCCGTCCTTTTATCCATGCCACTTGTTCTTGGAGCTCATTCGAGACTTGATTGGTGAGTTCCCGTACCCAAGGCTCCGAGAAGATGTTCGAGGCCACCTTGCTACACGTGCCACCGAGTTAGCAGACGAAAGGGTTTGTTCCATCTAGATATCAAAACTTACTCAAAGTGCTCCTCATTCCTTTGGCCTATGTGAGAGGGATCAAGTTGTTCGCCGTGGTGATGGTGATGATGGTGATGGTGATGGTGGTGATTCATTATGGCTGTAGATTCTAGGCACGTAGGAGGAGTGTCTGTACTTTGATAAGGCTGCTCTATCCAAGAAGAAGCAAATGAAGTTCGAAAGGAGATGGCGATTTAAATATGATGTGTCGGTGCCTTTGGTGCAAATAGATGAGTAAGTCACCGGAAAGTCGCCGATGAATGTCTCCTTGAGTGCGACGGCAGCTCCTACTCCTACATTCTTGACTTGACTCATGCCATGCAGGCCAAGGCGTGTCAAGATTATCCCATATCTGCACCCTGACTAATCGCGATGATTGAATAAACTGCTCGCGTGGCTTTGGTGCATCATTGTGGTGCCTCAGACCGTTTGTGTTCAGAGAGAAGGTCAAATCCCGCATTGACAGTTGCCATCAATCACAAAGACCCCGAAAACCCGCCGTTGAGCCTTAATCTAGTGCCCGAGGACCGTCAAACACTAATTCTGTCTGTGAACAAATTCAAAAAATAAATATGCTGCATTTTAGCCTGCGCCTTTTCCCGTCTATAAAATACAACTCTATATCAATCAATCGCCCTTGACTCCAGCGTTTTGTTCTACATCGGACCCTATCCGACGATAAACACCGTTCTGCCTGGTGTTCCGCCTCGAGCGACCCAAGACTGAATTCGCAAAGTTGACAATCAGCCCCGCGGCGATGGCAAACATGGTGAGGCCTAGCAGTCCCTGGAGGCAGTGCGCCCACATCCAGCTGTACCACTGGCTATCCCAGCTATGCCACGAGGCTCCCCTGCCGGTGGTGAATATTGCACTGGCATCGTAACCTGGGTGGTTATCGATCATGAGCCTGGTGAGGGGCGGGTCGTTGGCGGGCTTCAAGTCGTGATACATCTCCCACATGAGGCTCTCATACCACTGGCCACCGCCCAAGCTGATCGATACATAGGGAAAGAAGTAGTCGTGGCAATAGTATGCCAAATTGTCGGTGAACATGACCCAGAAGGGGTGGTTTGGGGTAGCACCGAGGATGTTATTGCTCAGCGAGCATGAGCCGCCGTCAGTGAGGAAGACGGGGTAGTAGAGCAGTGCGTCAAGGCTTGTTTGACAGCCCTGTGATTTATGTCAGTGTCTTCAGTTTTACATTGGTAGATCTCATACATACATTGTCCAGGTCAATGTAGATTCCTCCATAGTGGCGCATCAAGAAGTATTTCAAGATGTCAACCTTTTGGACTTTCTCTGGTAGCTGGTCATACACGGGGAGAAACCATGGATATTCATCCTGGAAGAAGGTGCGCGACGTCTCGTCATTCCAGAGCTGATCATTGTGGCAAGTCAGTATACGAGCCCCAATTGCAATTGAACACGCAAAAAGATGAGTGAAAGGGGGGATAAGAAAAGGTACTTTGATGCCATCCCATGTCAAACTCACCTTGTATTCATACTCCGGGTTCAATTTAATGATAGTCGCCTGCAGCTTAGCCCAGTCTGCAGGCAGTGTCTCGTTGCCCGGATCGGCCCAGTTATGGTAAATCTGGTGAATGATCTTGGGCACAACTTGCACCCGGGGATCCTTTTTGTCCTTTTCGTGCAACGCGAGGGCCTCTGGCTGTGTCAGGGAGACGCCGCTGTGTGGGCCGAAGATGCGTGCGACCAGCAGGATTTTGGGTAGCAAGAGCCAGATGGCACCTATCAGAAGGAGGACGGCGATCACCGTCGACCGCCTGGCTGGAGAGAGTGCCATTGTGTCCGGGCAGCAAGTATCCTGACCATCGCACTGCAACCTCTACACCGGATGGAACTTAGAAACCAGCTGCTTAGTAGGATGGTGCCGTTGGCGATTGAGTTTGCGGTGATGGACAATGGATTTCAGGGGCAGGGTGCTGATGACGCGCCAGCCCCTTCTCTTCGGCGGCAAGCCGTCTGGAACATCGGATTCGCGACGAGGGGATGAAACACCCCTGTTCCAGCGCAACGAAGAAAAAAAGCTGCAGCGGCTTATCTGGGCGGAATTGGCGGGAAGAGGCGCTGTGGCATCGTGAAATAGCGGATCTCAGGAGGGATCTGCAGGGATCCCGTATTACTTCATGCCTCAGCGGAGTGGAAGGACACGCCACAGTCCAATAGCGGTCGCTAGTTCCCTTGCGAAAATACCGGTGCAGGCAGATAATTCTGCTACCATCTGGCATTATTAGCATTGACATCGGATCTATCGTCGCAAGGGCTCCCTAGCGGTTAGGGAGTTGTGCGCTAAAATCGGCCGTAATGACGCTAACAGCGGAAGTCTTCAACGCCTCCATCCCTCCATGTCTCGATTGCATGGCCCCTCCAAGCATCGCTCCTCCGTGCCACCTTCCGCTGCAATACGAGCTTGGCTGCCACGCAGTAAAAGGCGGTAAGCATAAACTGCATGTAAGCTTTCTCGTGTAATAAGAGCGTCTATCTGCGCCATCAAGTTTGTCTATGCCTACCTATCTCAATTAGCCATTTTTAGCACATAACCACTCATTACCTAGTGATTGGTTTCTCTAACGATCGTAGGGGTCACTTTTCTTTCATCTTCAACGAACAGACGAAAAGATTGAATAGGTGCAGTTAATTGCACGGTATATTCTCTAATTTTACGCGAGCAATCTGAAGATGGGGTACTCGTCCCCCTCTTCCACAGGAACAATGTTGAAGGTGACGTATGAATCAATATTCTCAGGCTCCAGGGCGACAAATGCGAGGCCGGCGTTCTTCTGCTTCGTGCTGACGAGGAAGCTACCCGCGGGCAGCTCTATCTCTCGCTGGCTGGCCTCAGTGGTACTCGTCACGCGAACTACACCCTCATAATAGCTGGTGGCCAGCTTCGTCGACGTAAAGGTGAGTGCCTCCACGGTTCCCTTCCAGGGCTCAGACAAGGTTTGGACCTCGAGGCCATAGACACGGAGGCGCTCGGCGAGGTCAGGCCAGGCGACAGGGATGAGATAGGCCTCGGGGCGCGAGCGTGTGAGGTTCGCAAGGCTGGGGGTTGTGGAGGAGAAGCGCACGGGCTGCTTGACAACCTCACCCGTGCTCTTGTCGACGAAGGAGAATTGTCGGATAGATGTCTCGCTAGAGTCTGTCACGACAATTTCATCCGATGAGCTGATGAACTTCTCAATACCGCCCTCGATGGTGCTGAAAACTTCTTCTGCATTGTCGGCGGCGGTCTGGACAATGCTGCTGAGCATGGTAAACCCTGCGGCAGTGCGGCGCTGGAACTCCTGGTCTGCTAGTCCAATACCTCGCATTTCCAGAAGAAAGACAACGGCTTGAGTGAGCCCCATGGCATTGCGCCCGATCTTAGCGTCGGTCCCGGCTTCATCAAAGGTAGCGACATATTCAGAACTAGATGAGGAGGACCCTGTGACGTAGGGCTCCGTTCGAAGCCCAGCAGCCTCCATGTCCTTCGCGATGTTGACGGCAAAGAGTTCCTCAGAGAGTGCTCGAATATCCTTGTGGATGTTGAGATTTTTAGCTGCCGAGAATAGACCATCCGAAGCGTGGACGTACTTCCCATTGCCGAATGTGCTCGACGCTCCGTACTCGTGCATATCCACCACAACGTGAGGGCTGAACTCATTCTGGAGCTGCTTGATGTTGCGAGTCTGCTGGCGAGCTAGCTTGACGTGGTCGCGGTTGGGATCAAAGTTGGTTGCCAGCGTACGCTGGAAATAGTATTCTCCGTCTGGGTTATAGCGTGGCAGGATAACCAATTCAGCCTTGCTGAGGATAGCGTCCGCCCAATCAGGGTCGTTGTCAAATTTCCCAAGAAGGGCCTGTGTAGACTCATCCCCAGCAGGTTCGTCGCCGTGAACTGAGCCCTGGATCCAGATGCGGACTTTTCCTGTAGAGTCTCTGCGACGAGATGTGGAGTTGCTGGACTTGCTTGATAAATAAATGTAAGGGAACTGGCGGCCCTCTTCTGAGGTAAAATTGGCCGTCTTGTAGGTCATATATGTGTTCTTGTCCGCAAGTTCCTGCAAGAAGGCATCTACTCAGGATGTCAGTACCATCTCAATGCCGTAAGCTCTCATCGGGGGTCAACCTACCCACATCCTCATGAGATGTAGGTCCCTGTGTTCCATTTTTGAAGCCATCGAGACGAATCTCGGGAGTCAAGAATGCAGGGGAATAAAGTTCAACGTCGACATCTGGAAAGGCCTTCTCAACAATCTCAGAATCGCGATTGACGGTGCGTTGATTGTAGCCATACTTGGTTGCACTGGCTAATTCGACAAGCCCAAGAGCGAGCCCGGCAGAGTTTGTCAACCTCATTATTATCCGTGTACCTCTCAATTTAGGAGGGACAATAAGATGTTGGTGAAGTGACGAGATGATATTGCGGGTGGTTTTCTTTATGCAGCATCGAGAGGGGAAATGGCCCTCTTTTATTAATATTCCAGAGTCCAGTGGATTGACCATACTGACGACGGGGTATCTATCTTCGAGCCGACATCATATCAAGCTTTGTCACCTTTGTTACCCACTACATGGTTCTCCTCACTGAGCTACGGGGAGCTTCCTGTTCGAGGTTCGTTGCCAAGCCGCGAAGCTATATGCTTGACGTAGGTGCTTAATTGATAGACCAGTCGGGTGAATAGCCCTGGGCGATTGTAATTCGTGCTGTGGGCCGTTCACTAGGGAGACTTGTTATCAAGCACTTTTGTTGACGCCGGCTATTCTCCTCAATACTACTCTGCCTTATGAGAACCATAGCACGGCATCTCGTCTGCATACTCACACATGAAGGAGTGATTTGGTGGCTATTATATAATTACAGGAGTATTCATTCTCCTGCTAGCATTTCCGGGCTCACCTCAATCGTGGTCTTACTATCACCGTTGAAACAGCAGGTTAGCGGACCCGTCGCCCTCGGCTCTCAACTTTGAGTGCCGATACAAGGTGGTGGAGGAACAAACACGATCCACAGTGGGCTCTGGCAGGTTTGGTACTCGTAGCCCCTCGAGGATCGCATGTGGAGATCAAATGATAAGCATGGTGCGACTTAGGCTTAAGCTTATGAACGATGATATACTTTTTGCAGATCACCGAGGCCGAGTAGGACTTGCTTCCAAGTGACATTGATGCGCAGAGCTAGTTTTACATAAGCTTGGAGGTTAAAGGGCGCCACAAGGATGTGACAAAGCAGCCACAGAACATTGGAGAATGCTGCGCCACACATGGGATATGGTCTTAGTCAGCATGACGGCGTCGCATTACTTTAATTGAAGCTTTAGGGACATGCCGTCCATGAACTTGATGTGCAGACACAAGAAGCAATGGCCTCGACATCAGAAGCTGCCGATGATGCGGCTGCAGCTCCAGTCATTCAGTTCAAGAAGAAGTCTCGAAAGGGCAACCTAATAAAGAAGCGGCCAGTCACTCCCGAAAAGAAGGATTCTTCCGACGATGATTCTTCCTCAGACGACAACGGGCTCCAGGATGCGAGGCACAAAGTCAAGCGCAGGAAGAAGGGAACCGAAGTCCACTCCTCGACCACTGCCGATAAATCCTTAGCAGCGATTCTCCCGACTGTTCACCAAGCCGACCGCAGTGTCGCGATCAAAGACAACAACGATGCAACTAAAGAACGGAACTGGCACGAAGAAAACAAACCAGGCGCCAAGATTGGCCCAACCAAGTCGGCCAGCAACGTCCGGATGACCACATTCACCGAGTATACGCTGGGCATCTGCAAAGACTACAAGAAGACTGGGCATTGCGGGTAAGTGATCGCAAGGGTTTCTCAAACTAATTGGAATATGTACTGACAAGCAATAGTTTCGGCGACGCCTGTATTTTTGTTCACGATCGAGGCGACTGGACCGGTGGATGGAAGCTGGATCAGGACTGGGACAAGGCCGTCAAAGAGAACAAAGTGCCCAAGAGCACGGTGGTAGCCAGCGCCGACCGGACACGAAAATTCGACACTACCAACGACGACGACGCGTCGATCCTGGAAAATATCCCCTTTGCCTGCATAATCTGCGAAAAGTCGTACCGCGATCCGATTGTAACACGATGCGGCCACTACTTCTGCGAGTCATGCGCTCTGACTCGGTATAGAAAAGACCCAAGCTGCGCCGCCTGCGGTGCGGCAACGAATGGGGTCTTCAACACGGCATCGAGATTACGGAAACTGCTGCAGCGGAAGAAGGAATGGGAGGCGAAGAAAGCTGAGACTGAGGCTGAAGCCAGTGGTGCAGGAGACGCCTGAGAAGTTGTAGCTTTGGAAGATTAATCATGTTTCCTAGCGACACTGAAAAGAAGGCACTCTGAATGTTATTTGTTCAGACACAAGCTTTCACCTGGGATTGATAGGCGGCCTTCTCTATCAATGGCCACGTCCAGCCAGCGGCTTGGTCCAGATATCAGGACTCAGGCCCAAAGCTGTCCCGGTTTCTACATCTGGGAGTGCCACTTCATTCGGGTGGTATACAGCAGACACTTCTGTTTATGGTATTGCATATGTGGCCGACTCTACGGATTTGTGATCCATCTTTTAGCCTTGGGCGGTGAAACTCAAACCCTATTCAGGCGAGCTGAGTGCTTTAGGAGTTTTTGAAAGAACTAGCCAGCTTTGCCATATCGAGTTGAGCTTTCCAACAGCCTCACGGATCCCCAACTACAAGTCTATTGTTGTCGATGACTTGAAATAGGGTAACAGCATGGGGGTTGGGTACGGTGATTTCGGCCTAACTTGTGAACATCTCACTCTCACGTCTCGAGCAGGTTTATATTGCCTCCCGGTCCCGTTTATCCGCACACGAAGTCGGCTTATCCAGCTCATATTCATCGTGGACCGGCAGAACGACAGAAAGCCCATCTCAAGACGTTACATAAACATACTGGAGTGAATTTATATAGCGTAACAGAGATATCTTAGCTAGTGGTTGATAGGACTGGACTCTAGTCACTAATCTATATCTTTACGTTCCTACGTCCTAGCACGCTCTGGTGTTTTCAACATTCTTAAGGCTGGTGGGACAAGTCCCCTTCGTAATCTGTCAAGGCTTTGTTTCACGATATTATTCTCAAACACCTACCTGCCGCCTTCCTCTTACAGGACCAACTCGCTCATGGACATGTGTTTCTTTTCTTTTTCTCGGTCCTATTGATCCCATTGTCCCGTACCCTTGTCCCCATTGAGGATTTGGTGACCAACTGCCAGGCTCGGGAGATAGTGGAGATGGAGTAGATTGTTCTCATCGAATGTGAAACCGGGGCAATGAGTATGAACCTCTTCCGAATTCCGGTACAGGGGGGAACCATGTGCATAAGGTAGACAACAAAGCCGGGCTTAAGCTTAAACGAGGCTATTTCGTTGGCCGGTGCTATCTTGTTTCCTTGACCGTTTCTCCGGGCGTGTCGCCCTTGCAAACGCGAGGTTCTTATTCTTAGCAGGTAGTGTAATACACGTAAAAAAGTCAGCCATTTTGCATATCTCATTAGAGGGCCTGTTTCACGATGCCTGCTTGGCGAACCTGGATCTCGCCAAACTGCGCCGACTTCCGAGAAGCAGCTCATCAATTTCAACGCCTCCAACCCCGTCGGTTTGAAGGTGGTTCGCACAAGCCCAAATAAGAAAGAGTAGAAAAAAAGCATGAGTTTTATATTGAAAATGTTACACAGAAGTAGATTTTAGTGGATTTCGCCGTTCTCTGACCTCAGCCTGTGCCGCAGCCAGTGCACACGAGACTTGACGACAAAGTTCTACAAAGTTCATCCTCCGCCCCCTCACCATACCTTCCTTTTTGCTATCCCCTGCTTTGCCGATTCGGCGGCATACATGAGACGAACCGGCGACCAGTGGATTCATGTTACACCAAAGGTTAGGTCGACTTGGTGGCACACTTTCCATCGGTGCAAATGAAGTCGTCGGAACAGTCTTGCGCCGTCGCACATGATGCCCCTAACCAATATTAATCTTCCAAAATCCTTACCAAAAGACATGGCACAGAAATAGGTCGAAAAAAGGGAAGAAAAAGAAAAGAGAGGAAAGACTCACCCAAGCAGTGGCCAACCCAAGTGCAGGTGTTGTCATCACCGTCGCCGGTGTTGTTGCCTCCAATTCGCTTGACGAGCTTGTCACCAAGACCAACGATGCTCTTGTGGAAGTCGTCAAAGTTGTCAGCCGTCCAGTCGGCACCGGTGGCTCCCGGAACGGCGTCAGTCCCTGTAAAGGCGATGTAGAGAACGTCAGGGTCGTCGTGGCTGGAGCCGGTCTCGCTGCCGCCGCTCATGCTCTGTCCGTAGCAGGCCGTGGCCAGAGAGAGGGACACCTCGCCTACACTTGGTCGGACTCCCGGACCGTTGGTGTCGCCCCAAACTCCATAGAACTGATCGTAACACACAGACTTGTCAGTTGAAGAAGATGACCTCCGATGGGAGGTCTCTTACCATCTTGTCGCCACAAACGACAGCCATGACACTGGCCTTGCTGACACCGTAGGTGCGAGGGTCAAAGGTCGGCCACTCCTCCGGCTTGCCCGTGTTTCCAAACACGACGAAGCTGTGGTCGAAGGTGTTGATGTCGTTGATGCCGATGTTGTAGCCCGCGATGATGGGCTGGATGGCAGTCGCGTACACCGTGGTGCCAGCGCCGCCCTCACAGCGAGTATCGCCGTTGGACATGTTTGGGGCGCCATCACAGTCAACGTCCATGTTGCTGAATTTTCCAGGGCCCTGGAGGTAGACGACCCCGTAGTCATCGAGGTGGTCGCCACAGTAGGACATGTCTTGCCCACTCTTGTTAGTTCCGTACTCCTTCGGTATCTTTCAACAACACTGGTACTCACCTCCCTGCTCGAACTGGGAGTTGTAGAAACCCGTAGCGAGGGCCTTATCGCATTTTCCTTTGGCCTTCAAGCTATCGTAAAAGGTCTTCATATTGGAAGGGATGTCAAGGGCGAGTGCACCAGGCACGGCCGCAAAAAGAAGAGATGTAGTCTTCATCGAAAATAGCAATGAGTGAATGTACAGAGTTACAGACTTGAGCTCAATAGTTGAGTGAGAGAATGATATGTGGAATCAAAGCACCGGCAACATTGGCTAGGAGTAGAGTGCGTTCGCTTTATATACTCACCACCCCCCTTGCCAAGAACGGATGTTCCTTAAGTGCCGTAGTTGCATGGGTTCTCAGTATGCGCTGTGCCGCCCATGGTGAGTACCGAGTTCTTTCAGTTTTGGGTATAATCTCAAGAGGATGTGGATGGTTTGTTTCAGAAATTCCTCGCGACGCCTGTTGGTTGTGGGCCGCCATTGAACTGCAGTCAGCCGAGCCGGGGCAATCAAACTCTTCCTTATTGTTTGCAAGGCCATTCTGTTTAGGGCTCGGATACCACTATTGTTTACGCGCGCGGGATGCGCTTTTGTCGGAACTCGGATGGGGATGAGGTATGGGTAGGGTGCCCAGGATCTTGTTGGCTCACAGCTTGAAACCGGGGAAGGATAAACTAAGCAGGGGCTCAGCTCGACCACGTGTGGTACTAATTCTTAAAGAGTACAACAATACCATGAACATACATTACACCGAAATGAGCCTCTATTGTTCAAATTGAACAGATGGTTATATGAGTTAAGGCTGCAACACCAGAGGCCCCTGAGACGATGATGAAGCGAGTGCAAAAGATAATGATCCAGCGCCAATCATAGTGTCCATAATGCACCAGAAGCAACGCATTAATTTGAGCTGGGACATCATTTCCCCTGCTGCGGGAAACTTGACAAAAGGACTATGCTGTGCTTAATGAGATGACAAGCTTGGCTGTCAAGGGAATAAAGGGAGGCCTCGATCATTATACAAGGCAATCAAGGCAAGAGAAAGAATCTTGAAACCCAAGCGAGGCTGGGAAATCCAAAAGGTGCTGTGTGTGATGGAGGCCTGATATCGTTATCTTGTCCATGCCTGTAGTAGGATTTGAGGCTACGCGTGCAAGAAAGAACGGGCGAAGATTAATAGTAACAGAATAAGTAGCAAGAGTACTGACAATGTTAACAGATATTTGAAGCACATATATTACTTCTACCATGGTTTATCAAGAACAATTCAAATTCCTCGAAGGCTTGCCTATCCGGACAATATCCTTAACGCCATTACTCTACGGGAATGCCTTCATACTCCGCATACCCAAGCGCCAGGTTCATGTTTTCTGGCAAAGTATATTAGCAAACGGATATATGTACACAAGAGAGGCACTTACGCAAACACTGAGTGGCGGCTCCTTTGCTGAGGTTGTCGATCGTCGCGGCGACAACGACCCGCTTTCCGGTGCTGTCAACTGCGAACCCACCTATTTCAACGTGGTGTTTCCCAGCGATGTCTTTGACCAGGCTACAAATGCCTTGTAAGTATGTAAAAGTGGTTCTCATATTATCGGGCAAAATACATACGGAGCTTCGCCGACAACCTTGACAAGCTTCTCGCCAGCATATCGGTCTTGGTAAATTTGGCGGATTGTTCGAGAATCCATTTTCTCTTTAAGAGGGATGCTAATAGTCAGATGGATGCCACTATAGATAGCTGGTTAGCAAAGGTGCCTGACACATGGTACTCAGATGCTCAGGGGAGCAGCTAACCGGAACCAAGAAGCGACATGTGGCATCAGCGCTACTTCGCCTTGCCCAAGGCCAAGACTATGAGCCACTTCTCTCTCATGGATGTGTCCAGTAAGAGAGTAAGCAATCAGATTGTCATGAAGCAGCTTGACATCATTCTTGGGCTATATACGCAATTAGTCAATTTGTATGTAATGAACGAGAGAGGTCTGAAGACATACCGAGGGTTTGGTGCCAGCCCCTGAATAACCGCTCACTCCAAATACTGGTCTGAGTTAGTCGACTTTGTTCTAATAAGCTGAAGAAATATGTGATATGACGACTGGGATAGGTCTGGGAAACAGCGGGGACGTAGGAGCCTCGGGACCAGACAACTATAACCGGATTCCTCCACCAACGCCATTTCATCCAGCATGCAAAACAACTATCCTGTTGTATTCGCGACAGCTCGTTTTGTGGCGCCGATTGAGGTTCCAAGTCCCCCCTTGAGTGGGACTAAACGTCTCGCAACGAGCTTAGCAGAGCAAGACTTACCATTGACCGTTTTACTCCTGTCGATATGATCAAGCAGTGCCCCAATACCAAGTTGGCTACCTGTACTGTAACATCCCGGGTTCTATGGAAATATTAGCTCCCTTCTCGAGCTTTGAGAAGACACAAGGTTGAAATTACTGAAATTCTTGAGCTCTGGCAGATGTCGGATCTTTTTTGAAGCTCGGGAAGTCCATAGCTATTGCCGTCGTGAGCCACACCGCTTGTCTTTATAGAGAAGAAATTGGGGGGAAGTTCCTTACGTCCAAGAATCATCGAAACGATAGTCTGCCGATAAGTCTACAATGAGACTCTTCTTCTCGCCCTGGTTGAGGATATCGACAAAGGGTTTGCAAACACCTAGCAGTAGAAAGTCAGAGAAGAAGCTGAATGAGACTGTAAATCATTATATACCGTTAGGCAATGCCATGATCCAGCAGTCTACCTCGCTGTCCAATTGTAGCACCGCCTCAGCGTCGAGGTTCTCGTAGGTGATCTTGCGCTTCGAATATCCCTGGAGCTCCTGGCCGGCAAGCTCTCGTGAAGACACATGTCGAAGGTCCATATAAGGGTGGTTGTTGAGGAGCTCGACCAAGGCTTGACCAGTGTATCCTCGGGCTCCAATCAGACCAATGCGGGACGGGACGTCGTTCGAGGCATTCTTCTTGCCAAGAGGCGGGTTGGGGTTTGTGGTGGCAGCATAGCCTCTTCGCTGCTGGTTAGCAATGACAGACGCGGCTCGATGGGCGATTGGGCGTGCAGACCGGGCAGACGAGAAGGATCGGGAGTAGTTGAGACCGACGACGCAGCGGTTCGAGTTCGGCGCAGTGGTGATTGACGGCGACGATCGAACAGCTCGGCGGGCGGCGGCGCGCATGGCCATGGGGGCGGAAGAGAGCATGGCCGCGGGTTCTTCTCAGGCCAATTGACTCGGCGGAGGGAGAATTGCTGGTGGTGACGTCGAAGAAGAAGCTGGGAAGCGCCCTTGGAGTGCCCGTAACCAGCAGTGACTCGGAGCAGTGGTGGGTCTTTGCAGGGTGAGGAGTTGAGCTCATCGTTTTTTTTCCCTTGGCAGTGGCCGAAATCGCTCGCCAGGCAGGTGACCCACCGTGTTTCCGGCACTCACGACCGCGACCACACCAAGAAACTGCTGTTCTAAACCGCTTTAGTTTGGAAATTTTATCCCCGCATACTCCTAAAACTAACTACCGGTAGAATCCCCATTGACAAGGGCACCCAGCCGACAAGGGCAGACGCAACCTGGCACTGTTCCCCATCAATAGTGCAGACTACCCACGAAAGGGCCCATGCATTCATATTGATATACCTAGGTAAATCAAGTTTAACCAAGGAACAAGTAGCAAAGTAACGAGATGAGAGCTTGAGTGAGGAGTGGCAGACAGCGTTCTCTCTAGACCAAAACACACGGTTTACGTCTTATGGTCAAAAGTACATCTCTTGCAACAGCGCCCAACTTCCCAGCAAGCTTTCAAGGCGTACCCTTTCTTTTTCGTCTTCTTTGAAAAATAAGGTGATCAAAGCCTCTAATCTCACTAATACGAAGAGAGAAGAAGAACAAGCAATGCCTCTTGGCCAAGGACCTCTTAGACACAATTGATCATCTTTCTCGTAGTCAAGTCCACGATTAGCTGATTTTGCAATGCCATCATAACATGGGAGGTGGCAGTAGCGAGCTTGAATCCACGGTCCAGAGGCGTGATGCCTGAGATGAGAAGAGGTACAGTGTACGAACCTTATATCCAAAGCGATTCGTATAATAAAGTGACAGCATCATACGACCGGGGATCTAGCAGCCAAACTATCAAATGAACCCAAGAAAATACCACGTTCCATTGTTGGGAATCTCCAGGAGTCAAGCCACTGCCTCGGGCTCTATCATGCTTGCACGATCTTCAGTGCGGAGCGCCTCATGGTAGACGCGACTAGCAACTTCCACCGTTCGTTCTGAAACTCCGAAGTCAAAATCTCAATTATCAATGTTTTCGGAACAGTTTTCCCCATGGATGATGCAAATGACGTGAAAATGATATATCCACCCATCTACAGATATGAATAGAAAACAGTAAACCCCAAACTCCATGGTCCTCTTGGCAACTCAGTTTTCCAGGTGAACTTCTATACCCAATCTCACAGCCTATGCTTCATGAATGGCGACGGCCATTCTAACATCACAACGCGCCCTCTCAGCATCCTTCATGCTCATCATGAATCCTTCGCTTTGTCACTCTCTTCTAGGTCAACCGTCTCGACCGCCCCACTCAATCCAGAGTCCTCATTCTTGCTTTCAAGGCTTGGCAGGAACGAGAGGAAGTAGTTAGCGATGTCCTCGTGCTGGTTGAAGTAGGCCAGATCCAGAGGCACGTAGTTACGCTCGTTGGCCAGCGCAGGCGAGGCGCCCTGCTCGACGAGGTACTTGACTGTGTCGATGTGGCCGCCCAACGCTGCCCAATGCAGGCCGGTGTTGCCGTGCTCGTTGGGCTCATCCAGAAAAGCCTGTCTCTCCTCCTTGGGCCTTCCTTCAAATGACTCAACAAGCTTGCGCACCGTCTCTGATATCACAGTTAGTAAGTTGGCCTGTCGTGAAAAGCTGATGCGCTGCTGTTGCTGCTTTCGCGCCCCAACCCACCTAAATGCCCGTTTCCTGTGGCCATGTGCAACGTTGTGGATTTGTTGCTCTCGTCCTTTGCTGCAATCAGAATTTCGGCAGTAGTAGCCTTCTCGCGCTCAGCTAAGCTCGCGACGGACTCAAAAAGATCTTGAGTTTCTCCAGTTCGCGCGAAATAGATGAGATCATCGATCTCATCTTCCGAAAGTTGGGGGGCCATGGCTGCAAATGTTGATGAGAGCCTTCTTTGGCGTATTGATGAAATTTTACTTTTTGGTGGGTGATGATGAGGGGACTGTGTGGGCAAACTACCCCGCATTCTTCGCACTGTATGCTGGCCTACTCCTTCCGCCGGATCATGGTCTATCATTTCGACCGACTCGTAGATTATTGAAATATACCATCATTACAGGTCTGACATAGTAGTTACATCGCTTCTCTTCATTCAGGTCCGAGGCAAAGGATAATCTCTCGCTCCAGCCAATCTGTGAGATTCCCCCCGTCATCGAGCCACTGAATTTCGGCCTTGACCCCCAACATCAGCATCTTTTGGAGTTCGTGTCTCATTTCAGCAACTTCCTGGCTTGATTCATCGGTTGTAATAATTGCTTGTATCCTTCTCAGTGTCCCACGTACCAGTTGTCGATCTCTGACCGAGAGTTGGGCACTGGGTTCTCTGCAGGAGGTGGATGAAATCGAGTCGCCTACGGAATCACCACCTCGAGAAGAATGTGCTTGCTCCTGATAAGCTATTCGTTCAAGAGATGATTGTACTGGTTGCGAATTACGGGACCCTAGGATATGTCTCGTCTTGATCCCGATCCAGTGCGCTTTAAGATACGTCGGTGACGGTAGTCGAGAAAGGCCCCATCGATAGCACCTCAAAATGTTGACACCATCAGGATCGTAATCCACGAGGACTAAGATTGGAACATTCGGGTTACTTCGCTGAATGATATGCAGGAATGACCACGTCAACAAATCAGGGTATCCCTTGCCCTATGATCCTGATTAGCGCTTGTCTCTCGATTTGGGAGACTGGCACCTCTACCGTAACGAGAAGGCCAAGCCCAGCCGCCGATGTTCGCCAGAATTGTGTAGACACGAGAGATCTAAACACGGCCTAATAATGGTTAGATATATACAGTATAGATATACGTGTGGTTTCAACATGCATCCTTCTCTATGACTAGTATCCACTTGATGTTTGAAGTGTTGACACTAGCAATTGTGGTTGACAGCGGAATTGATGAGCCCTATTCAAACTGATCAGGGTCATTCTCATAGCATTTATCTTCCATAGTGGATGCTTACAAGGCGATTGTATGACGCATCAATCGAAGTACCATCTTTCAAATGAACTATCGCTTGTCCAGCCACAAGACCTTTTGAGGTGGCGACCTGTTCCGGTCAGTGACTTCCTTAGGTCGAATTGACGATTGCAGGGTATTACTATATTCAAATCTTCACGACCGATACCAAGAGTCAATGCTAAACAGTCCACTAGCTCATCTACCCGAGCTTGTGTGCCAAATAGCTCCTGGTTCTGGTAGAAAATGTGTCTTGCGATGAATTAGAGGCGCAAGCTATGGCGTGGATGATGGAGCAAACCTCTTGGTTAAGATTTCATTGGAAACCAAAGCGTCATGAGAAAGTTGGAGGATGAGTAGAACTCTCGCTGAAAGTTGTTAGATCCAGTACGCATCGATAGGGTCGGGGCGTCATACTAAATTTGGTTGCTTCGTTCTGGCTCCGACCTGGAAAACAGAGCCGCTCCTAGCGAGGCTCTCCGGTGCCGCGCCGAGGGTCGCATATGAAGTTGATAGTCAACTCTTCTTTCCTGATGATGCTTTCTACAATAGATTCAAAGATTCCTTCGATTTGTGCAATAAGACTGCCAGGATTCGGAGCAAGGCCAACCCCAGGGAAGGTCCTGCTTCCCGCAGCAACTGCCCGTCTCTGCGGCATCTATACGGTTAAGGTTTCGGGATGCGTGTTCGGGGTACGAAACAATGGATGGCAATTACCTACTGTACCTGGGTTGTAGGTCGTGATGAGTGTTGGAAAAGCGAGAAGTACCTAAGGCACCTAGGTAGGTGGCACTTGTATGTAGTCGGTCTTTTAAGGGAAGGAGACATCAAGGTCAAATGTGGGCTGCGCTTTCCCTTGAACCCCAAGGTATCTAGGTAGGTACTTTCCTCACGTGCCAATACCAGGCATCTACCTGGGTAGGTATCTATCTAAGATACCGCTGCCTTCTTTTCAGATAATCGGCTGAAAGAGGCCTCAAAATTGTCCTTATTAAAACTCTTCAAGTCTGGCAGACAAATTTCTCCGTCATCTTAGCCACCTATTTTAACCATTCAGCTGAAGGAGGCATGCTGTTTAGTTAGTTACAGTCAAGTTGTGGCCGTCGTTACCTACTTAGGGTGTAGCGCGGCTGGCAGTAATCGCAAAGTCGGGAAGGTACCAGTTCGGTTGGTAATGCCATGACATGGACTTATTCCATTGTGTGAATTTTGGCTGGCAAGTCAGGATGAATTATGGAATGATGCAGCGTTAAGCCTACGAACAAGTGAAGCATCACGCTCACGGGCACAAGCAACATCCCCCAGAATCAGAAAAATCATGGTGTACAAGAGGAGGTTTATTCCCAAGGACTGGTCAGGACTCAAATGGCCCCATCTCGCATCGATCAAAGGCTGTTGGGTCGACCCAATAATCCCTTTGAAGAACACCATCAGTTTACCTTTTTGTTTGCCAGACACAATTACGAAAACCTCGAGGCTCTGAAGCTCCTAAGTTCCTTCCAGCATTCGGATCGCGATTGGTGGGAAGTCGCAGCGTGCAGAGATCGAGAATTGGCACGATGGAAGAAGTTGTGTGCACCATCGTTGCTGATCCCTTTGCAAGGAGAATCTGTAATTGGATAGATTGTCGTCATACCATCAAGTTGGAGTTTTAGCTCAGTTGGGAGAGCGTCAGACTGAAGTTCGACTTCAGTCCATTGACATCTGAAGGTCGTGTGTTCGATCCACACAAACTCCACTGTGTTTTCTTTTTGCCCTTCAGCGCAGCATCATGAAGATCACGAGTACTCTACTTGTCTAATAAGTAACTCTTTTTCTTTTCCTAAACTACCTATTAGGAGATAGTCGAGTTCCCAGTACCCCAGGATATGTGAGGAAAGGAAAAAGTTTTGAGGCCGCATGCGACGTGACAACTACCCGTGTATTATATAAACAAAAAGAGCCATTCCCAGAGTTTAATAGAAGGTTCGTACCGAAATCTTCGCAGCTGCAGTCACAAACTCAGAACCAATGTATTTCTAGATATTTTGATTGCTCAATTTGTGATCCCATACCGTCTGTTTAACTTGTCAATGGAGGGGATACGGGCATCGGAAAGCAAATGACGAAAAAAGAAAGATCTGCGCTCAAGCAACCAATCAGATTCTACTTGTTCCGACCATTCGCATTCAATTCAGGGGTTGCAGCAAGTAGAAGTCCCAAACTGGAGATGCCGTCGTAATCGTGTAGATTTCGATGCTGAAGGGGTAGCATTGGTGGGCACAACAGGTGCTGTGCAGCGCTCGGAGGGGGCCGGATCCGGGGTGGAGTGGTGGGTTTTTCTCCGGGCGTGCAGCAGTGGGTGGGTGGGTAATTTACAGAGCACCCTGCTAGGATTGATGTGATTGATTGATCTCGCCTACTTATTTGTTCACCAGACCGCCACGCCAGTCTCGCCTTTGCCTCCTCTTCATGTTCCAATTGCTTTCCGCCTTACAAGCTCAGCCTTGACGACCATGACGAAAGCTACCGGACGGGAGGAGGAAGCTCCTCTCCTGCGAAAGCGCGGTGCCGACGACCAGCACGCCCCTCCAAAGCGGCCCAAGCTCGAAGCTAAGACCGACGTTACAAGATGGAGGTTGAAGGACGACGACAGCCGCCATACCTGGCATTACCTGGAGGACGAGAAAGCTGCCAGCGAATGGCCCCAGAGCTACGCTGAGAAGTACTACCTCAATCTGCCTTTGGTACATATATCCTACCCACCCCTAATCTCGGGAGCTGTTGGACTCACCATATTCTCTTTTCTCTAGGGCCTCCCTGATCTTCCCACAGCCGCTACGCCCAAAGAATCTGCAGAGAACGGCCTCACATTCTTCGAGAAGCTCCAGCTTCCATCCGGCCACTGGGGCTGTGAATATGGCGGCCCGATGTTTTTGCTGCCAGGCATTGTCATCGCCTGGTACGTCACCAAGACGCCAATTCCATCCGCGTACGCGACCGAGATCAAGAACTACCTTACTGCACGAGCGCACCCCGATGACGGTGGATGGGGTCTACATATTGAGGGAGAGAGCACCGTCTTCGGTACGACTCTGAACTATATCGTCCTCCGACTTGTTGGTGTCGACCCTGAGGACCCTGTGATGGTCAAGGCCCGAGGAACCCTACACAAGCTTGGGGGAGCTGTCTACGGACCACACTGGGCGAAGTTCTGGATGGCAGTACTGGGAGTCGTCCCCTGGGATATCGTCAATCCTGTACCCCCTGAGATCTGGCTCCTCCCGGACTGGGTGCCCATTGCTCCCTGGAGATGGTGGATTCACATCCGGCAGGTTTTCCTGCCGATGGGTTACATCTATTCGAAAAAATGGAGCTGCGAGGAGGACGATGTGATTCGTGGCTTGAAGGAGGAGCTCTTTGTCCAACCACATGCTGAAATTAATTGGGCAAGTCACAGAAACAGCATTGCGCCCGGTGACAATTACCACCCAAAATCCTGGCTCCTGAACTCGGTAAATTGGCTACTGGTTAATATCTGGAATCCATATCTACGAACGAAATTCATCAAAGACAAGGCCGAGGCCTGGGTCAGCGAACTCGTTGACATGGAGGATGCGAATACCGGTTATGCAGATCTGGCCCCAGTCAATGCCCCAATGAACACAGTAGTATGCTACATCCGTGACGGGCCTGACGCATTTACCGTGAAGCGCCATATCGAGCGTTTCCCAGAATACCTCTGGATGAAGGACGAGGGAATGCTCTGTAACGGGACGAATGGCGTCCAATGCTGGGACACGGCGTTCTTGATTCAGGCCGTCTTCGAGGGAGGCTTCCAAAATGACGAAAGATACCGTCCCATGCTCCTCAAGGCCCTTCATTACTTAGAGAGACAGCAGATCCGCGAAGATTGCGTGGACACTGAGAAGTGCTACCGACAGCAAAGAAAGGGCGGTTGGCCTTTCAGCAACAAAGACCAGGGCTATGGTGTTAGTGACTGTATCTCCGAGGCCTTGAAAGGCATCATTCTTCTCCAGAAGGTGGGCGGGTTCCCAGAGGTACTGGAGGATCAGCGTATCTACGATGCCATCGATACACTGCTATTATACCAGAACCAGGATACCTTTGGGCTATCTTCCTATGAGCGTCGCCGTGGAGGCACTTATATGGAGATGCTAAACGCTGCCGAAGTGTTTGGTAACATCATGGTCGAGTACGACTACCCTGAGTGCACTACGGCGTGCGTGACAGCGCTCTCTCTCTTTCACAAGCACTGGCCAGACTATCGTGGCGATGAGATTGAGAAGTTCATCAAGCGAGCAACAGACTGGGTCAAATCGAACCAGCGTCCTGACGGCTCTTGGTACGGCAGCTGGGGCATTTGCTTCACGTATGCAACCATGTTCGCCTTGGAGAGTCTTGCGAGCGTCGGGGAGACCCATGAAAACAGCATTTTGTCGAAGAATGGTTGCGAGTTCCTGCTATCCAAGCAGCGAGAAGATGGAGGGTGGTCAGAAAGCTACAAGGTATGTGAGCCCGTTTTCCCCCAGTTATTCCCAGCAATTAACCAAGATGCAGGCTTGCGAGACCATGAAATGGCATGAGCATCCTTCCGGGTCCCAAGTGGTCATGACAGCTTGGGCTTTGATCGGCCTGATGGAAGCTGAATATCCGCACGTGGAGCCTCTCAAGAAGGGCATCAAACTCATCATGGATCGTCAACAGTCTAATGGCGAGTGGAAACAAGGTAAGTAAAGTAAGCCCGGGCCAGAATCCATGTTGAACGGATCTAATTCAAAAGTCCAGAAGCAATTGAAGGCGTGTTCAATAAGTCCTGCATGATCTCATACCCGAACTATAAATTCACATTCACCATTAAGGCCTTGGGTATGTTTGCGAAAAGATACCCGAACGTCAAAATTGAATAGCGAGCGTTGTAATTTAGAAGACAACCATATAAAATAATCAATACGCGGGTGAGGGGCGTTTTCAAACAGTGGCGTAACAGACTGGAGGTCTAGCAGGCTTACCTAAGCCTGCTAAGCCTAAAACACAGCGCCTTCTGGGTGACAAGCATATGCTGGTGTTTAGGTAGTGACCTAGCGCTCCTTCCTCTACTGAAAGCGTTCCTTCCTCTACAGAATATTCCCTTAACAGTCTGAAGATATTATTGTATTGCACCAGAGTTACAGTAGGAACAGGCTTACCAGTAAGTACTATATTCAGATAATACGAGCATATACCCGTCTTGAAAAACGCCTCTGTCTGAAAACCCCCTGACACGGGTAAGTAACCAAAGCTTAATTTCAGTGTTACAGTCTTACTGGTCTTATGCCGTAGCCTACCTTCAATAGGATGTAAAGCTTGGGCACTCTAAAATTTAGCACGTTGCCTGCATAGCTTTGTCTCCTTACTGTGATCAAGTAAAGAGGCGCCTAAACAGGAAATTATCCTTGATAAATCTCGCCCTGCATAAAGAGGCTGTCAAATTCGGCCAGTTTCCATCCGGATCTTCTGTTGCTTGCTTTGCTTCGCCTTGACCACTCAGGTGGCGAGTTTGGACTGCCCCTCCACAACAAACAATATGGGCGTCAAGTTAGGCAGCCTCCGTAAGCCACTCTCAGCCTCACCCCACCATCAACCCAACTCATTGTTACCCAGGCCTTTTGGCTGCTTGAGGTTTTCCTCTCTTCCACCTTCGATCATTTGATTTTTCCCATTCATAGTATTCTCCAGCTCCAAGGCTCATCACTTCAAGAAGTCCGGGCCTACCCAACATGTCCCACATCACGCTCGCCCAGCAGGGCATGGCCGCCGTCGAGAACAGAGCCTGGGATGAGGCCATCACCAAGCTCTCCGTGGCGCTCGAGCAGTCCGCCAACCCGGGCTGGCTCATCGGCCGCTCCAAGGCCCTCGTCGCCGTCTCGCGCTTCCGCGAGGCCCTCGAGGACGCCGACCTCGCCTGGCACTCGGCCTTCCAGCGCAACAAGCGCGACCTCATGATCGAGGCCCACTACCGCCGCGCCGTCGCCTACTTCCGCCTGGGCGAGTTCGCCAACGCCGACTGCTGCTGCGTCTATTCCATGCGCCTCGCTAAGGGCAAGTCGGCCGTGGAGAAAGAGGACCCCGTTAAGGATCTCAAGGACGAGGAGGGGCGGTGGGCCGTGACCGCCCAGCAGGTGAAAGACGAAATTGCTACGGATGAGTTCAACCAGCAGTCCAACTCGGGTTCCCTCGTCGAGGCGACCCAGGCGGCCGGGGAGTCGGTCAAGCAGTGGCGCCGGGCCAGCACTTTCCGTCTTCAGGCCATCTCTCGCCTACAGAAGCTGCCGGAGGACGACCCCGCCAGGATCGCCACGGCGACTCTACAGCCACCTAAGAAGGCTCTCGCCAAGTTGGGCGGGGATGACAAGAAGAAGGCTGCCTCCAAGGCTGCTGGATCATCCGCCGCTACTGCTCCCGCCGTGGCAAAGCCCCAGGTTCCGGCCGACACTCCCGTCCGCCTACAGGACTTCCAGAACGACTCAACCATGTCCGTCACCATATTTTCCAAGGGGGTCAACAAGGAGAAGCTCCAAGTCGAGTTCCTTCAAAAATCGGTCCGTCTTGACCCCATCATCTACCCGAGTGGAGACGAGAAGGCTTTCAAGCTCAGTCTCTGGGGCGAGATCGACACGGCCGCTTCCAAGTACACCGTCACCCCCAGCAAGGTCGAGCTCAGCTTGAAGAAGAAGTCACCCGGCAAATGGCCCCAACTTAAGGGTGAGGGCAACGACGATGAGCCTTCAGCGGAAGAGAAGATGGCCGAGGCCCGCGAGAAGGAAATGTGAGTTTGCTCTGCATCATTTCTCCCTTTTCTTTATGCTAATTTAGAATTTGTAGTCTCGAACACTTAAAGGAATCACGCAAGAAGGCCATGGACGAGGCCGACGAGGAAGCAGCCGAGAAGGAGAAAGAGAAGGCCGAAGTGCCAACCACAGCCCCGGTCGAGGAGAAGGAGGCCGAGAAAGCACCTGTCGCCTCTAGCGGGCCATCATACCCTACGTCTTCCAAGAGCGGCCCCAAGAACTGGGACAAGATTGAGGGCGTCGACTCGGATGAGGAGGAGGGAGACGTCAACATCTTTTTCAAGAAGCTGTACAAGAATGCCACCCCCGAGCAGCAGCGAGCGATGATGAAGAGTTTCACGGAGAGCAACGGCACCAGCCTGAGCACCGACTGGAACGACGTCAAGGCACGCAAGGTCGAGACTGTGCCCCCCGATGGCGTTGAAGCCAAGAAGTGGTAGTTCAGGAATTTGTTTGCCGGCCACTTGGGGTCGTCTTCTATGAGTAACGAAGTTTAAATGGTGGCTTTCAAGAGGGATTGCAAGGAACGGAATTCAGTGTGCGATATCAAAAGACGCTCTTAATGAGCTTGAAGATTGTGTCCGGCACCTACAAAAAAGCCTCGTATGGAGGTGTAGTTAGGAACTGAGAAATCGTAGCAAAATAATTGAAATGAGAATATGAACAAGCGCTCCATCTATTCCAATTTACTAGTCTATGCTAATTCTCCCACAGTCCAGCCAACTTATCTGAAAGAAGGACCTTGTTCCTGCAACCGTGACCTCGCCCTTTCAACCGCCCTGTGCTCCTCCGCCTGGCTCTCCGTCTGTATCCTGCGGAGCCTATCCAGCAACTGCGTGTACCAGTCCGTGGCCACCAGCTCGGCCTCCGTCTCACCGGGATTCCACAGCGCACGCCGAGCCCAGAGCGGCTGCGCATGCGTCTCGGGCGCATAGCTCGCCCTACTGATGAAGTCCTCGGGCGAGATGTACGCCCCGCGGAGCCACCGGCTGCCGCCGCCCGCGGCGTCGAACGCCTTGCGTCCGTGCAGCACGCGCATGTTGTCGAAGAAGACGGCCTCCCCGGGCTCCATCTTGGTCTCGTACATGGCCGACTCCTCGTTGACCAGGGCCTCGAAGATCTGCGCGCCCTCGATCCAGCGGTTCAGGTCCCGCCCCCCGCCGCGGAACGGCTTCTGGAAGGGCGGGCTCCAGTAGACGCCGCCGTAGACCTGGGTCGCGGACGTGTTGGCGTTGAGGACCTGGCGGGCGCGCATGTACCGGTGGCCGTACTTCTCGTAGCCGTACAGGACGTTGGTCTGGGTGAGGTTCTTGATGGGGGCCTGGTCGCGGAGCGCCCACATCATTCGGCCGACGCGGTCCGCGTCGCTGAATAGGGACTCGCCGCCGCTGCAGGAGTTGTCCATGCAGTGCAGGACCTGGATCTTGGGGGGCGGTTGGAGGTAGAGGAGGTCCTGGTGCAGGCCGAGGTAGCCGCTCGTGTAGGCGACGTTCTCCGCGTTGGGCTTGGCCCGGACGTCAAAGGTGCGGCCGTAGAAGGTCTCGCGGATGTTGGCCATGCGGGTCGTGATCTCGACAATGGAGCTCTCGTCGCGGGGCACGTTCTTGAGGAAGACGATGCCCAGGCGCACGAGATCCTGCACGACGTCCCAGAAGGCGCCCTCGCCCTTCATGTACTCGTGGTAGTCGATCCTGCGGACTTTTCTCGAGATGATATCGGCGTCCCAGTGCTCGAGGCCGAAGCGACGCTGGAGCTGGAACATTCTGGGATTAATCGGCTCCGTGCCGCGTGAGAAGTGGTTTCGAATCCACTCCCAAGTGAGGGTGATTACATGGCTATCTTCAGTACTATGGGAGAGATCACCAAAAGTACTGACGACAACACCGACGTCTGTCTGCTCGACATGCTGTATCTTGATCCAGGTAGGCACCTGTGAGGTGGCGAACGACTTCTGGCCGGAACTCGGATCGACGCACCTGGGGCACTGGCACCCATCCCGCAGCTGCGTGGCCTGGAACTCAAACCCCTTTTCGCTCTCGTCGACAACATACAGGATATTGTCGTGCCATGAGACCTGGAGCGCCTCGCCGTTCTGGGCGTCCACATGCATGGGCAGACTCCGTGCCAGCCTGGGGATGTTCAACTGACGCCCCCGCCATTTAGAGCGAGGAGCCGGTGGCTGCACGTCAACCTCGACATGGCGGGGCTCCTCCTTCTCGATCGCATCTTCCTGATACTGCGGAGACGATCCGGAGGTGTGTCTGTTGGGGCTAAGTCCAGAGGTGTGAAAACGGTTGCAAGGCTGGAAGGCAACTACGTCTGCCGCTCCAATTGATGGCCTTGAAAACACGCGGTGACTCTGCGCAACACATGCTGCGGCTGGTCTGGGGTATGAAGAAATGAGTCTGCGGGTTGCGACGCGCATGGCGATGGGCCGACCACCTTTTCGCGAGAGTCGCAAAGGTTTTTCAGGAACGAATAAGAAGATACGGAGGAAAGTAATTATTCGGTAGCTATAATATATATGTTAGAACAGAAAGAAAGAAAGACGAGCAATTGGGTAGCCGCGGTCCCGAAGCCTCGGCTCAGTGTGGTCAGAGGTCGTCGTTCGGCTTGTCTGTTCTCATGCCGTCTCCATGAGAGATGGAGACTGGCGTGGTTTTGGCCCAATGGAGATTCGCTCGCTTGTCTGTTTTCTCCCCCTCCACATCTTCACTCTCTGTCCTGCACCACCCGCTCACCCGACACCCTAAAATCCCCTCCATTTCCACGTCTATGCACGGTGATGGGGAAAATGTGTTCATGTGATCATAAATTGTATTTATTGGGTATCCCATATTTCATGCGTTTTACATGTGCACCACCTCCATCAAGTGAAAGCGATACCTCCTCACACGAGGTGCCGTCCCTGGGGAGTCTTCCTCCACGGCTAGCTATATCTTACACGACTCCTCCAGTTGCTCAGTGATAACCACCTAGGTAAGCCTTCCGAATAATTGTAATATAAAGCAGCTACCGGTTGCGGTTACTGGACCACCGCTTCACCATTATCTCTCGAACCTTGTACAATCTCAAGGCATCTGCCAAGCCTGATTCAAGAGCGTGTTCGAACTTGTGCGGTGGGGGTACATCCACGTAAACAAGTACCATGCTCTTCATGACATGCGATAGAACCCGAAGGATGCTATGAAACCACTGCCACGTCTTCTGTGGCTTCCGCTTCCCTGACGACTGCCACCAGGGATCCGAGTATGAGGGTATGACCAGCAACCCAAACTCTGCGTGATCAAACACAGGCCCCCTGTTGTAAAGGAGCCAATCAACTCCAAATTTAATGCCAGCACGGGGTACCCAGCCCAGTGAGCGAAAATGATGGTACACAACATAATGCAGAAGGAAATCGTCATCCGGTAATGGAGAAGGGTCATCAGGCCCAGTCAAGGGCGGGAAGACAGAGTGCTGGCGGAACAAGTTGAGAAGCTCTCGGGTCGACAATGGGTCCCCAGAGTCGTTCAGCACCACAAGAGCACCTATCGCAAAGTTGAGCCACAATGCTTCCTCTGGCATGAGTTGAAGGTGCTCTTTGTTGATCAGGACACCAGCACCGGCCTGGGGTCCAGGAGACAGAGACTCATTTTGTTTAGGATTAGTTGAGTGTCCAGGACTCGGAGGGTCGGCATGGTCGAACGTTGTAGATGCTACTGTAGGTGAAAACCGTACGCTCTTTCGACGCTTCAAACGATCGAGACCTGGGATAACTGGTGTGGAAATCGGCCCTTCGGTTGACGAGGTATCATCACTAGTTTCCAGACTCGAGTCTAATGTACCATTTGTCTTGGAATAATCATCTGAACTTTCACCATGCGATGGCTCGTCCTTGACGAACCCGTTGACCAGGTTGCCAGGCAAGCTCGCGGCCGAGTTGGGTAGAGCAAGGATCTCAGCCGGACCGACTGGTGCCAGAAGCTCCGCGGGAATATGTGCTTTGAGGGGTGTGTCCGCATCCCCAGCGGCACGGCGCTTTTCAGCTTGCCTTGCCTCTCTTTCGCGTGTCTGACGGATGTTTTCCTGCTCAAGCCTGGCTCGCTCCCACTTGGCGCGAATTCGCTCCTCGCGTCGCTCGACAGTATGAATTTCACTCACGTGGCCTTCCTGTAGGCCTCTACGAACTTCTTCTCGCTTCAGCCAATTAGGCTCACTTCTACTGAGATTGCCTTTCCCGTAAAATCCTTGCTCCCATAGCGCCCGCATAGACTGCGCATCTTTGATATGAACAGACGTGGTCGCTACGGACCAGGTGCCCTGGTGAATAATACTGGGCTCTGCAGCAGGTGGGAACAGGATCTGGCCAAACCAGGCATATGCGAGTTGGATAAAGGAGAGCGGGTTGCTCGGATAGAATGAGGGTAGTGGAAATGTCTTGATCGGGGCCGGTTGGACATAGATCTCGTAAGGCCGACGCTCCCTCGCTGGATTATTGTTGGCACTGGCCATGGCAGGTTTCGGAGTGGAGGTTTCAGCCATTCTGCATCTGAGTCATCTTGACCTTTAAGACCTGAGGTTAGCTGAGGTGCCCCAAATCAGGTTTCCGGAGGGTAATTGATAAGAAAAGGAAAATTCCTGCGGTATCAGATACCGTTGTAGTCTATAATTTTGGGCAAGCATTGAGGACCAAGTGAATGGTGTTTCCTCTTAGCACCGTTACGAGTTGTCATCATAACAGCAGGACGGCCTTCGGCAGCATGATTTGTTGCCTTGGCACGGAGGGAAGTGTCATCTGTGAAGGTGACGGAAAAAGAATAAAAATGCCTTACCTGGATGTAATGAGGGCCTCGGCAGTATCAGCTCATGGCTTTCTCTGCGTGAGCTCGTCAATGGATGAACACGACGACGCTCTCAAGGCCTCTCTGTACAGCTCTGTTTGTGTGAGCTCAGAGCAGATTGTTGATGAAGGAAGAAAACTTGGAGCTTTCGAATTTTTTCCCGCGCTTATTTAGCACGCGGTACGTACCAACCCCAAGTGGGGATCGCTCCGTCGCACAGATTTGATGCCCACTGAAGGGAGGCAGATGGCCCCTGGCTGCGCTATCCACAGGGCACAGGCCCAACACAGCAGGTGATTCGACCCCCTGAATGCCAGGCACGGTGCTGTGGTTGGTGGTTTTGCCGCTCTAGAACATGCTATCGTCCAGCCATGGAAGCTTACTTTAGATATTAGAAGTCACTAGATCTCTGTTGGGCTCATTTATCTCCCACTTGCTCCCTAGATTGATATCCTCCGTCCTGAGCCCCTATCCGCCACACCTACGAATATCCGCCGTTGGAAGAGATTTGTCTGTATCCGTTTAATCAACTGTGTATTCCAGGCCTTGCTTTGGATAGATAGCAAAGGAGGGTCCGTCCCACGCATGAACTAATCACCTCACCAACCTCTTCCTCTTCCGCAACATCCGTTCCTGGAACTACCTATTCATTAATCCCCGAGGTTTGCTAGTCAAGCCCTCTTTCATCAGTCCTACAGCTTTTGGCAGCATTGATCTGCAATTTATACAGCCTCTCTCCACCCAAGCAGTGCTCTCCCTCATATGATGACCAGCCCCGCTCAGCTCTACCGCCATTTTCGTGTGTTATAGCTGGTCATCATCCGGTAACGATGAGCGCAGTCATTGAAACAGTTGCTCTCATCTGCCTCGTATGGAGTTGCCTCGTCGTTCTCGTTGAGTCCCTTGGCATTCGCGCCATGTAACCACAAACACCCTCCTTGCTGCATCATGCAACAGCTGCTGACATGCTCTTACAGCTTCAAGCACTATGCCAAAGAATCTTCGCCGGGGGTTTCACCCGGCCTTGGGCAGGATGCACCGTCTGTAACCATCATCCGGCCCGTCAAGGGTCTGGAACCTAAGCTCTACGAATGTATTGCTTCTACGTTCCGCCAGGACTATCCTAGAGAGAAACTTTCAATCCGTCTTTGCGTTGACGACTACAGCGACCCAGCTTATCCGGTCCTGAAGCAGGTCGTGAATGATTTCCCCGGGTTTGATGCCGAAGTATTTGTCGAGTCCGACACGGCTTCAACAGACTACATGGGCAAGGTTGGACCAAACCCCAAGATTCGCAACATCAGTAGGGCGTACCGAGAAGCAAAGGGTGAGGTCATATGGATCATGGACTGCAATGTCTGGGCAGCGCCGGGTGTCCTGGGCCGGATGATTGACAAGCTCATGGGCTACTCCAAGGGCGACGCCTCAGCGCGCCCCTACAAATTTGTCCATCAACTGCCGATCGTGGTGGATCTTGTCGATTACTCTGGTGAGAAGTCTGCCGCGGAGCAGGCACTTCTTTCTCCCGAGGCGTCATCTTCGAGCGTGGACCCCATGCCCTCGAGAGAGAACGATGGCCTCTTCACAAAGATTCGCCTCAACGGTGGTGGCCGCCTCGATGAGTTGTTCATGGCCACCACCCATGCCAAGTTCTACGGTGCCATCAACATCGTCGGTGTCGCACCCTGCGTCGTAGGCAAGAGCAACATGTTCAGAAAGGTACATCTGGATCAGGCAACCGACCCGGCTCAGAACCCCATCCTACCGAAGAACCAGGGCCGACTGACTGGCGTTGACTACTTCTCCCACAACATCTGCGAGGACCATTCGATTGGAGAGCTGCTATGGAAGACCAAGATCGAAGGCCACGGCAAACATGGCATTGTCTGGGGAGACCTCGTCGTCCAACCCATGTCGGGCATGTCTATTGATGCTTATATCGGACGACGTATCCGCTGGCTGCGAGCTCGCAAGTACACCGTCCTGGCGGCTACCTTGGTCGAACCTGGAGTCGAGTCTCTCCTCTGTGGTCTCTACTTCAGTTTCGGTGCGACAACAGTCCCCTGGGTTCATGAAGTCATTGGCATTCCCCAGACGTGGCCTGCCATGGCAATTGCCTGGTTAGCTTTTGTCACAGCCTGGATGCTGGCTGACTGGGCCGTCGTTTGCCGCCTTCACGCCGGCAGCTCGATTACGTTTGACGAGAATACACCCTTCTTCGCCAAGGGAAGAAGAATTCCCGGAGTAACTAATCGTCGGTTCTTGGAATGGCTGCCCGCGTGGATTGGCAGGGAAGTGATGGCAATGCCGATCTGGATAACCGCAGTGTTTCTCGGAGGTACCGTAAACTGGAGAGGTCGGATCTTCAAAGTCCATTCCGACACCACCGTACATGAAATCACCCCTCAAGTCCATCAGAGGCCATCTCAGCCACGGACTCCGGAATTAGAGAGACAGATGCTCCCGAATAAAGATAGACGAGATTAGATCAGGCGTTTCTTACTTGTTAAAAGAACACTTTTAAAATCATCTTTACAATTACCACCAGGATGCTTCTAAGTATCTTGTTTCTTACTAATGTTTAATGCTGAGGATCAGCTTGATGTGAAATGTTTACGTAGATACAGTCCCCAGATGGCAATTCAACAACCACATCAGCGAAAACGGCAAAATTTATGGAATTTCACTGTTCATATTCGGTTGCCTTGTAAAGACAGGATCCAAAAGAAAGAAAAGAGTACATCATTCCTTTTCCTCCTATGCACAGAATGCTTTTATAGAACTACCCAGCGCCGTAACTCCAATGTTGCTTGACAAAATCCTGTGTGACCGAAGCGAATAGTTCGGCGCTCGGTCTTAAATTCGATAACCCGATCTAATTCGAGGGTGAAATAGCGTCCAGCATAACAGACGCTCGGGATGAGGAACTCGTAACTTGAGTTCTCTTCCTCCCAAAATTTTCCCAATGCGCCAAATTGCGCCGCCGGGGGCCCCTCAGCTCAATCCGTGTCAATGTGTTGGGGATCGTATTTCCAGCAGCGCTTCTTAACTCGCAGTGATCGCTCATCCAGAAGCGAAAAGATTATCTTCGTCGCGCAGGTACTCTCCGTTATCCGCCTGTCGGAAGCACACGACACCAGTCGGATCCAACCGCCGAGACTCGGCAGTGCTGCGAGCGGTGACGCCAAAGCCGAGCGGCACGTCGTCCATGCTATAGACGACGATACCCTGGTGCTCCGGGCAATCCTCGGAGAAGCGGCCGATATGGGCCTTGACGACGTTGCCGCCGTAGAGGAAGGGCTTATATTCCACTCTAGTCAGTCTTTCTGAGAAAATTCACCTTCCGAGTCTTTGAAACGACCTACCATGACACCGTTCGGTCGGATCCAGATTTTGTGCCTGGCGAACGGCGCGATAATCGGCAGAGCTGTGATGTGCAAGCGAAATTTCTTAGATTTTGTGAATTTCCCGATACAGGTTCCGAGGCTCAGGATCTTCTCGCGCGAGAAGGACGTCGCTAGGTTCGCTATGGAAAGAAGAACAGCATAGACGCGGTCGCCTTGTCCTAAACGAAAGACCTGATGATTTGGTTAGTCGTAGACGGGCAGTGGTAGGAGGCAGTCTACTCTTACGATGCGGTCGGCTTTGGGGGAGTTGTCGACGGGGGCGATGAGATTCTTCAAAGAATTTCCCGTATAGTCGGCAAGCTTCTTGAAGAGCGTTTCCGTTTCTGCTTCTGTGAGGGGCCGCATCTTGCTCGATCGGATATAGAACAATGAAGACAACTCGATCGAGGCGCAAAACAATTCCGTCGTGAAGCTGGGCCGGATGCTCGCGCAAGAGCAGAAAAAGTTTGGGCGGTGGGTCTACTTATCGGCGCTGCTGTGGCTTAGCGCCCCTCAATTCTCTAAATTTTGTGGCTGAAAATACTTTCCTGTGGCTGATCTGCGTCTTCATAGGTAATCAACGTCTTCTTGGAAACCAATAGATAATGATAGGTAATTCCTGAGAAAATTGCGTAGTATTAGAAGCAGTAGTGGAAAAATCAATGATTCAAGAGCTAAAATGTAGTAAGACGCTGCTTTGGCGTGTTCATTTCTGTGTCGTGCTGTATGCTGGCAAAGTTTCAAGGTATCTAGCTACCCTAAGCCAGCATTCCTCAACCAGCGATCTAGGTTGATGAACACTTCACTCTATGCTCATCAATTTGCCGAATTGTTTGCAATAAGGCATGTTTCGATCATATTTCTTCTTGAGTCTTTGTTATTTCTCAGGAAGAAGGCAGGCATGTACTTCCTTAACGGACTCGCACAGAGGTGGGAATACGCTCGCTACCTCTGAACCCGCGATAAGGTGTCTCAAGTCTACTAAAATCTTAGCATAGCAAAGTGGCATAATCTATAGCATTAATATAAAGTTCGAGCGCGTTTCTTTATTAACCAAAGCAAACGGCCGCGATATCTTTCACTCGTATGTTTAGCCCAGATTGAATGCAACTTAGAGCTCTAATGAGAGTCCAAGAGAAGATAATAGTGTTAGATATTAGCTTAAAACGCCTTGAATGTCCCTTGAATTTGATACTCACTCAGAAAGATTTTCGACTGTACGGTATTTCAGCGTTATGACGACACACCTAATCATTGACGAGCATCGGGGAGTTGGCATTTAAAGCATACTGTCGGCAACGAACAGGAAACGACAGGAAAGCTGAGAAATAGGTTTAACCGTCTAGTAAAGGCATCGAAGTATGCTTGTCTCGACCTACCGTCCTAAGAGGATTCGATCTGGTGTGCGAGACAGAGCTCAGGCTGATCAGCTTGCTCTTCGCTACAAGCAGATCTGCCCAACTGCGTTTTCAAACGAATAAGCAAATTTTCGTCTCACAAGTGGCCTTTGAGGCTATCTTTCTGTTTATGAACGGCATATAGATACAACAGAATGATATTTTGACGGGATTGCCGACGAGTTGATCATGGGAAATACCTCCTTGTGTACGTTGTGACACAGAGGGAACCAAGCATGGGTATCTCCTTCATGATCGTCATTTACTACAGCTATGATTAAACAACACTCGAGTTACTGCAAGATGTCATTGCTTGATGGATGCATAGTGTCTGCTTCACCTCTAGTGGCAACATTCAGCAACTCGCTGGTGTCCTCTGTAGCAATTTGAAGCTGTCTAGAAAGCTGTTGTACGTTATGAAGCCTAAAGGCAATAATCGGAACGCTTCGTGTACGAAATATGTTACAATGTGGGTGTTTATGCCTGGTAGTCGTGGTTCAAAGGGAACCCGGATCGAGGTCGAGCCCTGACACTTCGAGGTGCACGCTGTACTCGTCTATCAATGATTCGACCTTATTTTGGTAGAGAAAGTCTCTGAAATTGAGATGAACACGGTTGAGGTTGTCATCGCCAACGGTAAAATCACTAGCTGAAATGATCGAGCACCTCCGTCCGGCCGGGCTCACTCTCTCGTGTAGAATCTCTCCGCTCGCGGAACAAAGTGGCAAAAAAGGGGGTTCTGCTTGCCTCCAAGAATTTTTGAATGATAAGAAAAGAATAATCTTATTCGTCGACTGGCATGTCATTAGTGATTTCGTATCATCGTTGGTAACCTCGGTTGGAGAACCGGGTATGAGTTGGGGGAACTTCAGCCCCCCTGCTCATCCTGTTTCCCCCCCATCAGTTTTCCCCCCTTCTCCAAATTTCCTTCAATGCATGCGGGCACCCCACCCATCTTTTCGTAGATACGGTACATGCGTGAATAAAATAATCTCTTACTAGTTCACATATATGGTGGGTTTGTTACCGGGAGAGTCTTGTTGGGGGAGTGGCCTGCATGTGTCTTGTGGTGTAGTGGGCAGCTTCTCCTCACTGCCCCCAGTTAGGTATCCATCCCCCCAAGATCAATCTCAGCAAGGGGTGGTTTCAAATATTGTGACTCCTCACGTCCCATGGCATGGGCAGGGGGCTTTCCCCGCATGAGTGAGCGAGAAAACATCGAACCATCTGCGGAGATACAGATTATTGAGGTGCGGAGTCACTCCTAGTAAAAGACTGGTCCCGAATGACATGCCATTCATGGTTGGGTCACTCCCTAATCGGAGATTCGTGTTGAGATCATGCCCCATGGGGACCATCTGTCTTGCCTGATTTTTCCATTTACACCATCTGTATATGCCAGATGGAAAGTGCGGGTTAGAGATCAGTGTCCACCCCAAGAAAAAATGGCAAATATGGGAGTATGGCAATACGACTTGGAGACATGTGGATCTATCGAATGTGGTTGTGGTGAATACTCGTTTTCCTTTTGTCTTCTTTTTTTTTTTTTCTAAAATGCCGTTGCCCCTCACGCCTGTAAGACTCGCATTGTCTTCAGTTGGAGTAAACCCATTTTGGGGTTCTGTGTGGCGGGATATGAACCGAGACCGAGATTGCCTCAAGAGAAGTGAATCCCCACCATTTCTTTCTTGGCCTGCATCTGTAGGAAGGATGTATGCAGCCAAGAATCCATATATGATGATACTACGAGTAGATGGGGCGGGACTGACCCCAACGTTAAGCGAACAAGGAGATGCCACGGGAGCGCTGGAGCGAGACAGATGTCTCTAGGTTGGCATTCATCAGGGTTCAGGGTTTGGCTAGGACGCCCAGGATGGTAAAGGCCGCCCTTGTGGACAATAGTGGCATGAAGCTGGCGGCTAGAGACCACCTGTGGAATAATAAGCAGGGATTCATGCAATGTACAAGAGTTAATTATCGTTCGAGACTTCTTCTTTGCTTATGCATGGGTGTGGAGCTGGCCATAAGTGTGTGTGTAGCAGAACTACGCCGCTGCCGCGTAACATATTCGCCATGTGTCCTGCCGCTGCCGATGAAAGAGAGCAGTTACCGGGCTGGCGGCCTCCTCTGAGGGTGAAGTAGGAGAGACGCTCGATAGAAAACGATAATGAAGACGGGAATTCCCGGTAACTCTGTGCTGTACAAAGAATCTCTTTAAGGTCGAATATTTGCCGGCCTTGGCGTGGGGCACACACACATAAGAGCGAAGGCTATAATGACAACTGTCGGGTTGCTTGTAAAGAGGTAAAGTGGTGTGGTTTTCTCTCCTGATAGCATCACTTCGGCGACGCAGGGGAAATGGCATGGCAAGTTTCCCGCATAATCTAGAAGAGGAAACGCATTCTTTTGGGGACTGTGTAAATAGTAGAAGATAGTTTGGGCGTGTCTCTACTTTGCCTACCGGGAAGTGGGATATGTTGATGGCTCCTGCATTCGCCTACCTAAGAGTGTATTCCCTTCAAACTGCCGAAGGGTTGGAATGGTAGACGGAATAGAACGGGGACAGAATGCTTCTCTCCATCCTTAAACGGTACTAGCTCTAGATAGCGGCATAGCATGGTTCATAGCACAGCATGGAAGCCCGGAAGGGGCTTCTAGAGCGGTTCCAACTTGCTTGGATCTTCTGGAAGAGGGATGGCGGGTAGGATCAGTGGAGCAGGGTTGATGTTGATCCAGGCGTGAGTATGACGAGCTAGTAAATGCGCCATGGCGGCAATTTGCTTTTCAGCCAAGCCGGGCGAGCAAGACTATCGTGTCAGTGTACCGTTTTGGCTAGGGGTTGTTGCATGCATGCACTGATGGGCCAAGGCCAATATGCTCCGGAGCTGATTCATCTCGAAGGCATCCTCGCATAGCTAGCGAAGATGACCGTATGAAGTTTGTGTGGCATGGCATGCTCGACTTTCGTGACGATATTGAGCCGGCCATATGCATTGATGTTGTGTTTTTATTTTACCCCGCAAAAATAAAAGGATCAAAACTCTGGGGAGTTCCTAAAATCCTCTGGACAGGGAGCCAGTAACCAACCATGCTGGTATTGAGCTGGATGGCCTCGATAAGGACAGGCAAGGGGGCGAGATATGTACACGAGTCTGGATGTGTCTGCGGGCATAGATGCGTTGTAGCTGGGAGGGTTGTATCTTGCTGGGAGTTGAGAAAAGCTGTACCCCCCCACGGGGTTGCCTGCCACTGGAAGAGCCTGTCATTGTAATACCCAGTCAGCGAACAGTGGAGAGAGACCAGGATCGTGGCGGTCATGTGGCTGCTGATGGTCTCGGATCCGGTGGAGGGAGCCTGGAGTCTGGAGACAGACGCAGGCGGGACAAGATGGAATCTGCTGCATGGGCCCATCCATCCCCTCCTTCATCCTGGCTGGCTTCGGCCATACAGCACATGCCCTTGCCCTTGCCCATGCCCATGGCGGATGTCGCAGATGGCTGCCTGTTGGCCAGTTAGCGCTGGCTGGATGGACACCTGCCCGTATTCTCTCCGAGATGCAGAGTTTTTTTCTTCACTTCCCCTACCTCAGCCGCTGACTGTGTCACCATGGTCATGACGACACTCAATGAGGTCTTTTGTCTTTTTTTCCCAATTATTAAGCTTGCTTTTTCGCTCGCCAGGGGCCCAATGTGGGTCAAGATAAACAGTCATGGGTCGTTTTGGCCGTCTATTAAGCTCATTTGTAAGGTTATTCACTCGTCTCCACGGTAGGTCGATTAGAGTCTTGTGCTGGGCAAGGAATGTGTGTAATGCAAACATGTATGAGGCCTGGACGAGCGCCGAATATCCGAACAAGGGCTCTCGGTGTCTTGACGTGCCACCACAACGCGGCTCAAAGACCAAGACATTGTCAGATTTTCTTGGCTCTCGGCACATCGGCAACAGCCACTCCCCGCACTTGGCTTGATTGGAGGGCCTTGCCATGGGATGACATCTAGCACCTTGGCAGGGCTTGATGTCTGTCAACGTCCGTCATCGAACTCCCATCCACGAGACACGATCAAGAACATCCTCGCGGTTGAGGTCAGTTCTGATTATTTCATCTCGAGGAGGGGACGGTTGACAAGATGAGTATCATCATGCTCACGGTCAACGTGGGAGCCCGCCAGGGGCTGGGACCGGATGGCACGCTGCCTGTCCATCTGCTCTGTAAGGGTGGCCGTTGGCGACGCTGGATCCCAAATTCCCCATCTTTGCTCCCTCCCGGCAGGCATTCTCATCTAGGTAGTGATTTCCTCCTGTCGACCGGCTACGACATTGGGCCAGGTCTGCTCGCGCGCACGTTCCTCCCCACTCGAGCAAGGTTATCTGCCTTTGCCTTTTAGCCTCGTCCCCATCAGAGAAGCATTTTTCTCTCTACGGGGGTTCGGCGAGGCTATACTGCGTTGAGCAGGTCCGACCTCTGCCCCATAATTCACCCCATTGATGTGCAGAGGCCCGGTGAGGGACTGTTACATTATGGCAGTCTATAACCTGCAACGTACTAGATCTGTTCGAGGGTGTTCTGTGCGTATAGAGCACGGCAACTGTCGATGCGGGAACCTGAGACAAGGGAGGGATAGCATGCGCTGCGGCGGTTAGGCAGGTAACCAAGCCTAGACAGCCATGTACCTCCCATGCCGGCTCCTAAGCGATGACAACTACTAGCAAGTAATCATCCATTTCTTGGTTATCAATTTCTTAGTCCGTCTTCTCCATCACCCATCTCTTCCTGCCCGCTAGACGGAAGGGTGGGGAGGGGCGCGTGGGTGATCAATGGGCAGCCGTAATACCACTTCCGGAAAGGGATCTTTGTGACGTTGACGCGCACGAGTCGAGATGGCATCATCATGCCACGGAGTACCTTGTAGCAAGCAATACGGCGGCGTCTAGAAGAGGTGGGACAGGTAGCCAGGCCCAATCACCGTGGGCGCCCGAGTGTCGGCCATCGTCCGGTCGCCGGCTTGAGAGTCTTGCCATCAAGGTGGAGAGAATGGACGAGGGAGGGTTGCTTCCCTGTCCTCGTTACCCCGATGGGATGGGGAAAAGAGCGCACAAACTGACAGGACAGGATAGGACGGGGCAGGGGAGGGGACGGAGCGCCCATGCTGATACCTGGTCGATTGTTTCTGTCCAATATGGATGTCTGGGGGAAAAGAGCACTTGCCGGGTGCCTCCCTGAACTCGATTCATCCGCACTTACTGGCACCCACTGAGAATCCACGACACAACATGCTGTTGTTCGACCCCATGTCTCACCCACTCACTCAAGTCACTCACCTTCTCACCTCTTCATTTGCTTCCGACGTGCTCGCTCCCTCTTGAACCCTGCCGGGAAAAGACCGTCCCTCAGCCGTATTGGTACTAGAAGGTGCATATCACTCTGTATCGGGTCCGCCGTGAGATTGGACTGGGTCCGTCTATCTGTTTCTGCTAGACCACATGAGACGCTCGAGGTTAAAAAACAAACTGTGACAGTAGGAGCTTGGCACCCTCGCATCATCTACCTCCTCCTCAGCTACCCGTTGATCTGCTTGCCTACCTATATATACCTCTCCCCCGCTCCAACGTATTCTCTTGTCTGATTCTTCCCTCAAGCCCCTCATCCCCATCCAACTTTAATAGTGGAAAGTTTCAACCAGTCTTCCCCTCTTCTTGCATCCTCTGTTTACTTCAACAATGGCTCACGAGGGCAACATTGACACAACGGGCCTGGAGCCTGCCGATCCATTGGCAAAGGGCATCCTGCCCACGGCCAAGCAGTCATTCAGGGATCTCTTCGTCTGGAAGCACCGTCTCGTTGTCACAAACGACAATGGCGAGACGACATGCTACTGGAAGGAGCCTGAGCGTATCCAGAACCCCATCAGCCTCTTCATGATGCTGGATCTCAAGGGATGGACTTTCTTCCTCGTCGGTCTGGCTGCCTGGACCGCCGATGCTTTCGATTTCCATGCCCTCTCTATCCAGACCAAGAAGCTGGCTGATTACTACGAAACCTCGAAGACTGCCATCACCACTGCCATTACCCTCACCCTGCTCCTCCGTTCAGTTGGCGCCGCCTTCTTTGGTCTTGCTGGTGACAAATGGGGACGAAAGTGGCCCATGGTCTTCAACATGGTTGTCCTCGGTGTTCTCCAGATCGCTACCATTTACAGCGGCACCTTCTCCCAGTTCCTCGCTGTCCGCAGTCTGTTCGGTCTCTTCATGGGTGGCGTCTACGGTAACGCCATTGCCATGGCTCTAGAGGAATGCCCGTAAGTTTGCCCCAACGGAAAAGCCAGCTGGCCAGAACGGCATCAATTGACTTTCTGTCCTTCTTCGTTTAGTGTCCCAGCTCGTGGCTTGATGTCCGGTATCCTGCAGCAAGGTTACTCTCTCGGTTACGTCTTCGCAGCCTGTGCCAATCTCGGCGTTGGTGGCGACAAGAACAGTTGGAAAATCGTGTTCTGGATTGCTGGTAAGCTTTGTCCAATGCAGCCACGCCGTAGTCATGAAGCTAACATCCCCGTTCCCCTCACTTAGCTGGCATCTCCATTGCCGTCGGTCTGCTCCGAATCGTCTTCCCTGAGTCCAAGCAATTCCTTGAAGCCAAGGCCCATGGCAAGAAGGCAACTTCTCCTGCTGCTTTCTGGCGAGACTGCAAGGCCATGTTGGCTCGCGAATGGAAGATGGCCGTGTACACCATCATTCTGATGACTTGGTAAGTTCTTCCTCGTTCCACAAGGGAATTAAGTCGGTGTCATTGGCATCTTGAATATACTCCTTGCTTGCAGAACACTAACAACTAGTCCAGGTTCAACTTCTACTCCCACACCAGCCAGGACTCGTACACCACCTTCATGCTTACCCAGAAGGCCCTTGGCAACACGCCAGCTTCTAGAGCATCCATCATCATGAAGGTCGGCGCGTGTGTCGGCGGAACTATCATTGGATACTTGAGTCAGTTCTTCGGCCGTCGCCGCGCCATCATGACTTCCGCAATCATCTCTGGCATCCTCATCCCCGCCTGGATTCTTCCCAAGGACGAGGCATCTCTGAGCGCCAGCGGTTTCTTCATGCAGTTCTTCGTCCAGGGCGCCTGGGGTGTCATTCCCATTCACCTCAACGAGCTGTCCCCTCAGGCCTTCCGCTCCTCCTTCCCCGGTGTCACCTACCAGATCGGCAACATGATCTCATCCCCCTCTGCCCAGATCGTCAACGCCATCGCCGAGAAGACCTTCATCCAGGGCCCCGGTGGCAAGATGGTCGAGGCCTACGGCCCTACCATGGGCGTCGCCACAGCCATCATCGCGTTGGGCATCTTCTTCACCGCCATGTTCGGCCCCGAGAGGTGCGGCAGGGTCTTCGACCAGAGAATCGCAGGCGAGGTCACCGATTCTTCCGACTCCAATGGCAAGGTTGTCGACGAGGAGAAGGCAAGCGTCGAGATGGCGTCCAGACGGGTTTCTGCTGCCGAGCCAACCCACAAGGAGGGTTAGTTGCATGCATCGTTGGAGGTTATTCAAACAAGGTTCTTTATATAGAGAGGTCCTCTTAGTAAGGCCGTAGGTATCCTCATAAGCAAGATTGGCACTTGGTACCCAACAAATGCATCGGCCCGAAAACCGTGACATGCTGGTAAATGTGAATTGCGACAGTGAGCCCATTTTCCACTTGCAGTTTCACTTTAAGCCCTTGTTCTTATGCTCCTATAGAAGAAACGGGGGAGAGGATATGAGATAAGGATGGCCTCGACGCGAGAATGCCGTCTCGATGCGAGAGCATATTGTCCGCAATCTTTCCGATTGGCAGGATATGAGCATCATACAGATACCGTCCAAAGAAAAGGATTAGACCAATGCAGGGAGACAACATCATCCGAGAGGCGGTGAACAAATACGAAGATTAAATGAGATAGTATGCTCCCATCTTGTTTCAAGTGCCTATTTCACCCTCACTAAATTACCCATCCTGCTCACTTTATCATCATTTCAAGAGAAGAAATTCTATCCAGACCATTTCCGTTGAGACTAAGTGCCTGGCTCAGGGCGAGTTCTGTTTCTCAACACATGATCCAAGACAGAGTCTGGCAAGATCGAGCTCTGCTTCGCTAATCACTGGATTCGCTTCGGAATTTGAACCCAAGCTGATAACGAGTGCAAGGCTTTGCCTAACTTCGCCTTGAATCCACCTTATATTCGGAAAATTCCGTCTTGATAATCACCCCACACCCGAGCCAGGAAAAGTGGCGGGAATGCTGAAGTTGCGACTCTTAATGCCATGTTTGCTTCACGTCCACTCTCTACGGGCTTTTCCATTGCTTCTTGAGATCGCTAATTAATGAAAGCCCGGGAAATTTGTGAGTCTCAATCGTCTTCTCGAGCAGTTGCACCAACGCAGCTCGCCTTGTCGTCGACTGCATGCAAAGCCCAGCTATATTTCAGTCAGCAGCCATCGTTTGATACAAAAGCGCTTGGTACTCACCGGTATAGAGTGCCTGTATATTTACAAAAGCGAGCGGCATATCAGTCGTCTCTTGGCTGGCAATGCCGCATATGGTGTTGACGCTTTGATCCAACTGTCTCTGGCGGGCTCTATATACTTCTAGCCCACCCGCGTTGGGCATATGCAACAGCAGAATGATGAGAGCTAAATTATACATCTGTACAGCCCCTGCATGGGAAGGAGGATGGATCCAGATTGGGGGGAAGGTGATGGACTGGGTTGCTTGTGCTGGCCCGGACGACGAATCTTTGGTCGACATGTTAGTGGCCATGTTGGCAACGCTGCTGGCCGCGGAATTTTGGTAGCTATTAAACGGCTTGTGTGACACAATGGGGCGGAACGATCTTGGAAGTAGTGAGTCCCACGCCCGGAGGGCCTCCCTCAGTTTGTGTCCCTGTTCGATTCGCTGTTGGATGTCAATCAGAGGCGATTCGGGGTCTACCCCGGCATACTGAACCACTTTGGCGGCAATGTAGACTATCCGTGTTGCGTACTCATCGGGTGTGAGCTGTTGGAGACTCCTCCTCGGACACCAAATGGTCATAGTAGGACGCCCGGCCCTCAGAGCCGCCCACATATCCTGGCGAAGCCACGCCCACCAGACCGCCTGGCGGAGCCCATCGGTAGACTCCCCGTCATTGTCTTGGCAGCGCTGGATCCAAAACCCTCCCCTTAGGTGACGGTCCCAGTCGCTGTTGTTGGCAGGCCCTGTAGATTCAAACATCTCGTAGGTGCTGATCATGATGGCTGTCGCTAGGATCTCATGTGAGTCCGCGTACGACTGGTAAGACAGAGTCTGGGATAGATATCGCAATGTTTCATAGTAATACTGCTTAGCGACCCGAGCCGGTCTCGAAAGGGGAATTGATTTTGGATCGGACTCGTTCGGATCATTGCTTAAAATAGAACTCCCTTCAGATTCCGGTGGATTTTCAATGTCTAATGAGATATGCCTAGCAGATACTGCGAGTATTGACTTGAGGAGACCAACATTTCGAGTAGCCAGATGAGGCACGAGATTGGTAAAATGGCGAGCGGGGTCGAAGAGGTCGAGAAGAGGGCCAATGTATTCGACATAGTGTCGCATATAGAAGAGATCATCGCCTTCAATTGGGATAGGAGTAGGGGTATTCCAACTCGGAACTGTTTCATTGGTAGTCTCGCTTGGCCCCGTCACGATGCCATAGTAAAGGTCATTTCCCATGGCAAGGCCATCGTGGCTTTGTCTTCGGGACAGGGATGCCTTATCAAAGTCCCAGCGGTAAGCATCGCTCGCGACGTCATTGTGCCGCTGAATGTTAGTTAGAGCGTCCTGTGCTAATAGATCAAACCACTCAAACGCTGTGGTGTTGTTTGGCCAGGCAGAAGCTTCGCCTGGAGAGAGAAGTGGTGCAATTGATGGCGCCGAGGCATCAGGGGTGAGTACCGGCTCAGCTCCAACTGCGTCGAACAGACCTGTGTGAGTGACTGCTGATGGGGACTGTGTATTGAGAACTGCTTGTGGGGACTTGGAGAACGTAACGACAGGAGGTGACTGTATAGTGATAACTGCCTGTGGAGATTTGATGCAATGAACAGTCGACGGGCTTGCCGTTGAGCCTGCTCTGGCCTCCCCAGGCTCTCCCACTGGCTCGGGAAGTCTATCTATCTCATCCGAGGTTTTCGGCCGAGATGCTATTGAATCCGCCGAGGGGGTTGTATTCTCCAAGGACGAAGAGCGTAGACACTCCCTGTCAGACTTGGTACATTGCCCGCATCGAGGCAGCTTTTCATCACACTTGATTCGCCTCTTACGACAGGTCAAGCTTCACCCCACAAAGTCATGTATAAGTTAACGGCGGTTCCACTTCTCCACGATTTCAAGCTTCTCAACATGGCATAAGAGCAAAGGGGAGGATCTGGGGAAACCATCTACTACACAGTACTCACCAGCCAGTGGAAGTCCTCAACCCTCTTGCTCGCGAGGGGCGGACCCGACGGGGTCTGGAGACACCCTGTGTTGCCATGGAGCCCTCGTTTCGACACACACTTGGTCGAGGCAAGACACGGTAAGGAGACCTCCTCGAATCTAGAAGATCTTCTCATAAAGTCCAAGAAGATTGGGCAGGAGAGAGGATGCAAGCCATGCAAGCGAGAAATCCCAACCTCAAGAATGACTTGGAAGCGAGAGAGTAGTGACACTGGCCAATGAGGTCGATTAGCGAAAGGCCCCGTCTCGAGGCAACACGCGAGTCGAGGCGAAATGCATCCAATCCTTCTTGGGCAGGCGGCCCCAGTTTATTCCATTGTCTCCATCCCAATCACACTCCCCACACTCCATGATATGCAGAGATGACCATCCCGCGGCAGTCCCCTGAGACCTAAACAATGAAGGCCCGCTAATTGGTGACGTGCCAAGGGGAGGGGAGAGGAGGAAAGATTTAAACGCAGGCGGCTGCGAGCCCATCGATATCCAGTGAAGAATACCCATTGCTGTCAAGGCGGACGAAGGTCTGTCTGGCGCATTAGCCAGCGACTTTCCTTAATGGGTGCCATAGAACTTGTTGATTGGGTGCCGAAACTTGAGCAGTCCTTCACCCCAGTCCTCATAATCGCAGATCAGACATGGCTTGACCCGAGCGAAGTGGCCAACCTTGACCGATCTGTCACGCGCGGGAGTTATGCAGAGGCTGAAGTGTCAAGCAAAGGTTTTGGAAAATACGGGAAAGTGCCGAACTTTAATGTTTGGCTTGTGCAACGAGCACTACCTCTTTAGTTGACGGTTATTTCCCCAAATCATAGGATCGAGGAAGTGGCGGTTGAACGGTTGTCCTTCTTGATTGTGGGCGAACGATAAAAGGTAGAGGGTCAACCTAGCCCAGTCCAACTACTAGACGTGGGACCTATGCAGCTGCCAGCTACATACAGATTGATGATTGGCACCAGGTTATTTTATTGCTCAAATCCAAAAATCAAGTTCGAGTAGATTCTTCTCAAAATCAATTGGACTCCAGATTTCATCCATCAAGTGCTTTCTCGGTTTCTCTGCAAAACTACGGAAATCGCTTTAGCAAGCTCTGGTAGCTATGAAGGCCAAACATGTATCGCCGGATAGCAAAATCAGTGGCGGGTATCTGCAATCAACCACAGCCTCGCTACTGGCTGCAGGCATGGCGGGAGCTTGGGCCACCCGAGTTAGCGCTACCCCCACCTATTACTGGCTGCAGGGCCGAAGGCTACCAAATACCTGCTGAGCCAAGCTTCCAGACCTCACGTCACATCAGTGCTCCAGTACACCACAGCTTGCTTCCAGTCTCCAAGCAGCACGACTAGAACGCAGCTGAAAGCTTTTGGGCGCCTTGATACCCTCGACCCTACAACCACCGATCTGCCCCGCCCCGTCCAGCCCTCTGGGACCGCGGCATCATGGCTACCTACACTGAGAATAACCTGGCTGAGCCATCCGCTCTGCCTGCCGAAGTCCGCAACGAGGTCAAGAAGCCCAAGAAGAAGAAGGTTCTCCTTATGGGGAAGTCTGGTTCTGGAAAGTCCAGCATGCGTAGCATCATCTTCAGCAACTATATTGCCCGAGATACTCGTCGCCTGTCCGTCTGCCAAGAATCTGCCCCTCCTACCCAGCCGAGCGTATACTGACAGCTGAGAATAGAGGTGCAACTATCGATATCGATCTCTCCCATGTCAAGTTCCTAGGCAACCTTACACTCAACCTGTGGGACTGCGGCGGGCAGGAAGCATTCATGGAGAACTACCTTTCCCAGCAGCGCGTCCACGTATTCTCCAATGTCGGCGTCCTCATTTACGTTTTCGATATCGAGTCCCGCGACGTCGAACGAGATCTCGCAACCTATGTGGCCATCCTCTCGGCCCTCCTCCAGTACTCCCCCGGTGCTAGAATATACATCCTCATCCACAAGATGGACCTTGTGGTCCCTACGGCCCGCGAGGCCATGTATGAAGAGCGTGTCCGCATCGTCCGCCAGAAGACCACCGAGCACTCCAACAACGACATCGACCTCATGCCCTTCGCCACCAGCATCTGGGACCAGAGCCTCTACAAGGCCTGGGCCTCCATCATCCACGACCTGGTCCCCAATCTCTCCGTCATAGAGCGCAACCTCGCAAACCTCGGCATGGCCATCGAGGCCGAGGAGCTCCTCCTCTTTGAGCGCACGTCCTTCCTGGCCGTCTCCTGCTGGACCTCGCCCGAGGGCCAGCACAACCCCACCGAGGACCGCCTTGAGCGCATGTCCAACATCATGAAGCACTTCAAGCAGAGCATCTCCCGCTTCACGGGCACCCCGCGCAACGCCGAGCAGTTCATCCGCATGGAGCACAAAGCCGGGATGCGCTTCAGTCTATTCATCCTCAAGTTCACCACAAACACCTACCTCATGGTCGTCCTTCCGCCCGGCGAGGCCCGCTTCAACGCGGCTATGCTGAATTGCCAGATCGCCATTCAGCACTTCAAATTCCTTGATGTACCAAGCGCACTGCCGCCGTCTTCGACTATCGCCTAAGTCTGGACGGCATTTCTTCATTCTTGATTTTTAAAAAGAACTCTACTGGGAAGGATAAGACGATATCAACGTATCTTAGCAATGTGTTTGGGATTAGAGATACCATAAGGTTGTTGCGCAGAGATTCTGGCGTCACGAACGGGCCTCGCTGAGGGGTTTTGGCGTAGGGTGTTTTTGATTTACCCTTTTTACTCTTTTTTTCTTCTTGCTGTTTGACTCTACATCTTTTCGCGTATTCTAATTAGAATGAGAAAGGTTGGTCGCAATGATTGTCTCTTGGATGGCTTGTCAGGGCTTCCTAGCCTGCCCTGACCCCAGTACCATATCGCCCATTTGAAGAAACTCCATGAATATGGTGTAAACGTGACGTAGGATAACCTTCTTGTAACGAGATTCATACACAGCAAAGAAACTATTTCCACTTCACCACAGCAGTGCCTCCCTTCCTGAACTCTGCCATGTCTCCTATGACAAGGCTCTTGTCAGTGTGCTCCTTGTTTGGGAAGGTGGTAGCCAACACCCAAGGACGAGTTCGCGTATCAGCAGAGGCTCCCTGGATGAACTGATACAGGTCCCCAATAGTTTGTGTGGTGTTGAAGCGAGCTGGCAGTCGTGTTCCATCTGGCAATTGGATGCGGATGCTGACTGTAGGCTGGGAGCTGTCGACATCTGCTGCTGGTGCCGTTGAAGCTGGAGCGGCGGGGGGTTCGCTGGAGACCACTTCTGCGATGGAGCTCGAGCCCTCGCTCCCATCACCAGGAACTGGGCTACCCAATCGACGGCCAGAGCCGCCGAATGGCTTGTACTTCTTGGGAGGAGCCTGGTAGGGGGTTTCGTGCTGTTGGAGTTTCACATCGACGGGGGCGTTGTGCGAGACGTTCATCAGATGAAGAGGTGCTCTACCTTGCCTGATCATCTGGAGGTCCGCCATGTTAGCCGGGTCGTCAAATCGGCGCAGTTCGCCATCATCAATGCTGAATCCGTCCTGCCAAATATGCAGCACACGCTCCTGTGGCTCTGCAGTTGCTGACTGTGATGGACCGAGAGGATCGGGGATGCTTCGGCTCTCGACTCCCTCACCTCCAAGCGTCACACCAGTTCCACGGAAGAATGAGCTTTGCGAAGGTCCAGCATCTGACGAGGGATCTGGGCGAGTGGAGTTTCTGCTTCGGGTTAGAATTTGTCATCTAGATCAAGCCACTTAGTATCATGGTGTAAACGTACTTCTTCGCTTTGGCCAAAATGTCGTTGATTAGCTTCTTGGATCCTCCTTCCTGCTTAGGATCCTGAACGGCTAAACCGGACTTTTCGCCGCCCGCAAACAAATTGCCACGTCCATCATCGTCGTCGTCGTCATCGAAATCTTCGTCGCTATCGTCGTCATGATCGTCATGTTGATGGTGTGAGCTGCCAAGAGAACCGAGCGTCGCAATGCCTCTCTTCTTGGGCTGGGCTGTGGATTTTTGAGCCGACCGGCTGCTACCAGCTTGAGGGGCTGGGCGGCCATCGAGGGTGCGAGGCCCGGTGTAGTTGTCGCTGACTGCTTCTGATGTTGACTCGCCCTGGCCTTCGGCTCTTCCCTCGTCCTCGTCCTGGTAGTAGGAGTTGCAGGCGGTCATAATGTCCCAGCTATGAGCACCGAGATACTGAATCGCCTAGGAAACGGCATGTCAGAATAAGAAATGCCGAAGAGCTGGTGGAAATAGAGCATACCTGTTCGGGGGTTGCGCCAGTCATGTCCACGAACTGGGCAACCTGCTGCTCGCGGTCCTCTTGGTCAGCCATGATGAGAATAGGAAACCGGAGCAAGAAATGGCGGAAGGGTAGGTGATATAGTAGAGGACTGCAGGGCCAAAACGGTAGCGATTGTTGAACTCAAAAGATACAACAGTGCAGAGACACCTGTTGCATTCGAGGTGAAGAATGCGGAAGACCACCTAACGTGAACCTCAAGCTTAGCGGCAGGCAGCAACAGGCAGCTCCAATTCACGTCACTGGCAAGCTCTAACGGAGGTGCTGCCAAGGGCCTGGAGGCTTCGGTGGAGCCTCCAAGCATGGTGGGCGGAAAATACCCCACCGGAAGAGCAATCCACCGTCGCCGAAGTGCATTGAGAGAGCCCTGTTTCTAAAGCGTTAGCTCGGATCAGTGATCCACCGGTGCCGGCCCATCCGCTGACATAATCATAACGCATGGGCGGGAGAAGCTCGCTCGCCTGCGCATAGCAAGGTCCCTCCGCAAGTCGGTGCGTTTAGACGAGACGAGACGAGCATCGCGAAGCTTTCTACAACGATACAGGCTCTCGAGTCGTCAAGGGAGGAGCCAGGCTTCCGGTTTATATTCCAGTCACATAGCCGCCATGGCGTTGGATGAGCCCACGAATCCCCTTGCCGAGTCTGGCGTCACGATTCATTCCGACAGCGAGCAGTATGGCGAAGAGCTCTCTGGCTCACCTGAATCCTCGGGCTCGCCAGTTATTCTCTACCAGGCCCCTACAGTTTGGTCGCTACTACGAGGCGCTGCCATTAACCTGGTACTACCATTCATTAATGGCATGATGCTTGGATTCGGCGAGCTGTTTGCTCATGAGGCTGCTTTCCGTCTAGGATGGGGTGGTACAAAGGTAGGATTTATGAAGCTTCACAATCGCACCCGATAATTAGATATGCTAACTCGGAGCTCAGGTTTTCCCCCTGTCCAGAAGAAGAGCTCATCCCATCGGCCCTGGCATCGAAATTCAAGAACCACGGCGAGGCGGTCGGAAATTGGAGGATTTTGCTAGCCTAGACTAGTTTTCGCAGCCTTCTCTTCAACAGCAACATATAATATGCCACCCAAGAATTCGTTCTCAGGCATCGACATGTCAAAAAGACCAGCCAGAAGCATGTTTACAAGGATCAATAGCAGGGTCATAGGTTGTCGGTTGGGACATGTCACAGCATCTGTACATAGTATATTGCCCACATCTAGACTTGGTGGTGGATTTGCACCCCAAAACAAAATCTCCAACAGATCAAAGTGCTCAAATATCTAATTAACTATACTTCCATTACTTTCCTTCACTCGAAATAGGATTTCGCCGTTCTGCCCACTGCCCGCACTCTCCAAGGACCCTCCTTCAACGGGTTTAGCCAAAAGTGGGGCCCGGTATTCCAATCGCGCGCTGAATAAAAAAATCCCCAATCCTCTGTTCCCGTTGAGAACATCCATATAGAATCTCAGCAAGGGGCCGCCACCATGCTTCCAAGCCGAGGAATTGTGCGGTCGTTACCCTCCGTGGGCGCACATACGCTATCCTCAAGCCGACATGTACATACCATCTCCTCCCTCCCCGCCGCCTCTGGCTTTGAAACCAACGGACGAAGACTGACAGAAAATTGGCCCGGCAGATTCCATCCAGGACGTTTTTGAAGAATGGAAGGCAATTTGGGACTCTGAAGGCCAGTCTTTCAAGTGGCTCAGCCGTGCGGGCAAGTCCTTTCTCTAATAATAGGCCATATGTCGCCCCAATTGCGCTCGGCGGCCCCGCGTCAGTGAGGGCATTCTCGGTCTGGGGATACAGGATCCCGGGAACCGGCAAGACGTCCACGCCAGCAACCCCTCCGGCTGAGTCCATGGTCCCCGAAGAAATAGTCGAAACCGCTTCCGCCGCCAAAGACGCAGCAACGAGCGCCGTAGAGCCCGTGGCCGCAGCCCCCGTCGAGGCTGCCACCAACACCGCACAAGCCGTCGCAGAATCCACCGAGTTATCCGCCATCTCCGATATCGTGAACAGCGGCGCCGAGATCTTGAGCCGTGCCGAGGGCCTGGGATACCTAAAGTCACTCGGTCTCAACTATGGCTACGGCTTCACCTCCACCATGCAATGGGTCCTCGAGCACGTCCATGTCTGGGGTGGTGTGGGATGGGGCGGCGCCATCATCATTACCGGTCTGCTCATGCGTGTGGCCATGTTCTACCCCCAGGTCCAGTCCGTCAAGTTCAGCTCGAAGATGAAGATGATGCAGGAGGACCCCCGCCACAAAGAGGTCATGGAGCAGATGCAGAAGGCCGCGAGGGAAGGCGACCGCTCGGCCCAGCAACAGGCTCAGTTCCTGAGCAGCATCCTGCGAAAGGAATACGACGTCCCCGTCACGGGGCTGTTCTGGACGTTTCTTCCCATCCCCTTCAGCATTGGGCTCTTCCGGATCCTCAATGGCATGGCCAGCATCCCCGTGCCCTCACTGGAGACAGCCGGCTGGCTCTGGTTCCAGGACCTGAGCGCCGCTGACCCTTACTACGCCCTTCCCGCCCTGGCCACGGGTATCATGCTGCTTACTATGAAGGTACGTTCGAGGACCGATCCCATAACCCATACGATTCCATGTGAGAAAACATGCGTTAACAATGTTCCCCAGTTGAACCAAGTCAACAGCACCCCCAAGCAGCAAAAGATGCTCAAGACCATGTCCTACGTCCTCGTCCCCGTCATGCTCATCGCCACCTCCTTCCTCTCCGCCGCAATCAACCTCATGGGCGTCACGGTCGCCGCATTCACCATGCTCACCGGCCGGCTCCTGCTGAACAACAAGTTCCGCGCCGCCATGGGGATCCCCCCCGTCGTGCCCCCTGCTCCCAAGCCCGTGGAGCAGCTCTCATACGAGGCGCCCCGCCAGCAGCCGGCGACCATCCGCGAGAAGCTCACCGACAACCTCGAGGACGTCAAGAAGGGCTTCTCTGAGTCCGTGACCAAGATGACCGGCAGCGTCCGTGGCACAGACAAGGACCGGGCCGAGCGCCAGCGCAAGGAGTCGATACAGAAGCTCGAGGACAAGCGCGCAGACGAGGAGAGGCGGCTTTTCGAGGAGAAGTACAAGCGCAAGGCCTAAGGGGCCAACGATAGAGAAGAGAACCAGAAAGATCGCGTGTCGTGCGCTGTTGTATTCTACAGATCTAGGTTTCATGTGTGGAAGTATTGTAAATATAGAGGCGGCAATCTTCTGGAACTAAAGAAGGGGGGGCAAGATGATCATGTACAATATAAAAGCTGTAGCAAAAGCACAGTCTCTATGCCACTCGGCATACAGAATAAATGTAAGACTCCAATAACTGATCAATTTTTAATCCTTCCGAATCGTAATATACGAGATCGAGGGGGCCCTCCTCAATTATCGTGACTCATCTCAGTGTAAGAGCCTGCTCCCTGCGTATGTAGAATAAAAAACAGGTATCCATCATAAAAAAACAAAGGCCGTCCCTCTATCACAGGTCTTCTCTACTTTAGAGACCAGAAGGATGCAATTAAAAGCCTTTCTGTTGAAACTCATGTTCGTGTTCTCATTAGGATCAAAAGACCGTCCCATCGGTGTCGATGAGAATCGGTGGCTCCTTGGTGTTGGGTCGGTTGATCTCAGCCAACTCACGGCCACCCTATTGCATCGTTAGCCTGATCATCCACATAAAGCAGGTTACATGAATGGGAGAGAAGTTCAGTACACACCTTCCAACTACCAGCTTCCAACAACTGTGCCAACGTCAACTCCTGTCCTGCCAACTCCTTCTTCAAAGCTCTGTTGACTTCGACGCAAAGCTGGTCAAGAAGTCCAATGGTAACGCCTCTCCACTCCACAATCACGTCGTCACTGGGCTCGAACATGGGGGCCACTTCGATACCCTTGGAGCCAGTACGCCTGCAGTAGTCGGAATAATTCTGGAGACCGCGCTCGGTGTCGTCCTTCTTCAATGTCAAGAGTCCCATATCGACGAACAGACCACCATTGCGGTACTCGGGAAGTCCAGTCAGCAACTCGGTTCCGGCAAAATGCATCTTGAGTAATGATTGCATGGGCTGCATAACCGAGTATGCGAGCCACTGCGTGAGCTTGTGGAATGGCAGGATCGATTCCCAACCCCCTGTCGACTTTGACATTACTTGGCTTGGCCAAGCATCTCCGAGCGAGATGCCGTTAATGGATGTGCGCGAGTGAGGCCAGACTTGTGACAAGCCATTCATGAGAACGTTCCATAGGACGGGAAGGGGGACGATAAGCTGGGATGAAGCTTGCGTGGACGGGTGGCCGAGCAAGTGATCTAGAATGTTTGTCAGCTTGAGGCATGCTAATGTAGTTTGAATCTTTGCGGATTCTGGGGGACGGCGATTTACATACCAACCATATTTCCAGGTCGACCATCTTCCCCAAAGAAGTCGGTCTTCTCAGCCAAACAATCTGCGAGCCTGATGAGAACCTCAGTGCGGCCCTCCAGACCAGCCATCACATTCCCTGGGCGCGATTGAAGACCGGCGGACAGTTTCTCTGCAGTCAAACCTCGAAGACCATCCTTGTCAACTTGTGCCCTGTTCTTTGAATTTCCAGAAAACAATCCCTGCGCAAGTCTGTCAGCACGAAATTTCTTCCACAAGCGCGCCGCTAGAAAACCCCAAGGTACTCACACTCTTGAACATCTCCAGACTGGCCACGGCAATACCCTCAGAACGCCTGTACATGCGACCGTTCTCAGCGCTCTTATAACTCCATTCAGTCCCCGCGCCGGCATCGATAAGCACGCTGATGACGAAAAGATCAACTAAGCGACGGCATCGTTCGGTGTTGTCAACCTCCTCGGGCCAAGTGGACAAAAGCTGAGCAATACGATCACGACCGCCGACACAGAAGTGCTGGTACCGGCCGTGACTGGGGATGCTTGTGAAAGGGGCATCGTAGTCTCTCTGCGATCAAATCCAAAGACATTAGCTCAATTCTTGCCGTGAAAGCGTGACCAGGAACCGTTAAATCAATTATTTTGAGCTCCGCGACAAACGAAAAAAGACATTGTCTCTCCACACAGTTGAAAATTGGACGCGCGGGGGCAGCTTATAGCCATCGCCTGTTGAGGAGCCAGACAAGACTTATCGCGGGCTCGTGCAGCCATCCCGATTCAGTTCCAGCCACCATGCAGGTATGACAACGTACCTTGATTAATTGGGAAACGAATGTGACGACATCAGACATCTTGCCCATGTCCACATCGAAGTGACACAAACTGTTCCGCGTGGCCTTCTCGAATACGATCTTGCTTCGCTCTCGCACTGCGCCCAAGCTTCGTAGGTATCCGGCGGGGTCGAGTTGGGGGTCCGGTGGTCGGGGGAGATCGATCTTTGGCATCTTGAAGGGCGCCTTGGAGGACAGGGGGCTGATAGGACCGACGCTGCTGGCTGAGATGCGGTTAATCATCCCGCGCGAGGCGTTCGAGTTGACGCTGGGGGTAGAATAGGTACTGTGGAGGGGAGGTTCCGCCTTTGGGGCCTTTTCCTTGCGAGTGAAGAGACCCATGATGGTTGATGCTGGTGGGGTGTGAAGCTTATACGACGAAAAAGTAACAGTGGCGGACCCTGGATCGAGGCTCTCAGGAAGGAGAAAAATCGGATGCCCTCTGCTGATCTCAAGAATCCCAAGCGAAAGCAAAAAGAATGATACAGGCGTCCCAGGAGCAAAGCCAGGTACGGAACCGTCTGGCGCAGCAGAAAGACCAGAGAAGAGGAACGGGGGCGAGTCGGCGACAAGCTGTTGGAGTTTCTCCCCCAATTAGCAAAGGCTGATAGGTATGATTAGGATCCGGACATGCTCACCAATTGGTCACAAGCTGTTCAGTGGCCTTTGTCCGAGAGTCTGGCAAGTGATGAGCCCCCAAAATTCAAGAACAGACAATAGACAAGGGCCTCGAAGCTCCCGGAAAACAGAATGGGAAGCAACGAGTGTCAAGACGAGGCGAGGCAGCGCGAAGAAGACAAGACAGGACAAGAGCGAAGACCATGTCAACCTAAGACGGTTTAGCCACGATAGAAGGCCCCCTCTCGTCCCCTGGAGGTCCCCTTCCTGGCAGCCTGCTAAGGCAACTTATCCAGTAATACTGGCCCGGAAGTGTACCGTAGAGGCTGGCTCACGCTTCTTTTGGAGGGGTCGTGGAACTCCCAACACACGCTATCACCTGGCCGAGGCCCCCGTTAGCACGGCGTGGGTGGGTGGGCCGCAGTGGCTAAAGCAAGGCGCTATGTGTGCTGTAAGGTGCCCTGCCCACTGGGACCCGCCTGTTGGTGTGCTGGGCCGCCTTCCCAGAGCCAGTTTAGATGCCCGCCCGCTCCATGGAACACCATTCGACGCTTCCGCGCTTGGAGGTGTTTAATTTCCTCGGACCCATTGATCCATCAATCCCCCGGGTGCAAACCCCAGCCGCCTTGAGCCTCTGCGCGGCCGGTATTGGCTCTTTCACAGGCGCCGGCGAAGGGAGAGTCATCCCCGTCCCCTCCCCTCCCCATGCGCTGGGCTGGTCCTCTCGAGGGTCAGGGCTTCAAACTAGCATTGGAGCCGTTCCAGTTGGCCGGCGAGGCGCAGGCACCAGGTTTTTACGGTTGCCCACTTCCGACCAACACCCCAAAAACGGTGCGTACCCAAAGCAGATGGTGGTCGATCATCGATTCAGGGGGACCCCAATCTCTCAACTCGGACCTGCCAGGAACCCGTGGCCATATACCCAGTCCGTTTTTCTTCTTCTGCTCGCCCTGCAGGAAGGGGAATTGGAGACGGCAGCCTCCGCGACACGCACAGCACAGGCGGGCGGGAGGTCCGCCGCTCGCTTCATACCGCAGGGGTGATGCTTAGCCTCGACTAATCACCACAATGCCATCTTGGAGTTGCACTACGCTACGTGCCACTTGGGATTTGTGCTGGGCTCGGGGTTCTGGGCTATGGGTACGATGTAAATCGCTCGCATCTCAATTGACTTTTCGCCCTGCCTGCCCAGGCTTACCCAGGCTCCTCCCGACGATCCGTTAACTAATAGTCGCTACTATTGACCTTACCCACCCCGGCAACGTCCCATCTTAACTGCAAGTAGTAGCTGCAACGAATGAATCAGAGCATGTCTGATTATTGCACCGACTCGTGCAAGGAGATGGAGGGCGACTGGGGGTGCCTCATCCATCACAAATCGAATGCATTGCGCTCCCTCCCCCGCTCTCGCTCCTCTCAGCTGTCACGATGGCCATCGGGCACATTGCATCAAGGAATGCAGTTGAGTTACCACGTGCCGGTACCGTGGGACGTCCCCTGAGCATGGTATTACGATAGGGTATTTGTGGCGCCAAACCACGAGTTTGGACCGTTCCCCTCCCCTGAAAAACAGTTCTGTCTGACTAGCCCGGCCTTAAAACAGGTTAGCTGCTAGCCAGCGGCTTGGGAGAGCACAAGCTGCCCAAACTGGGGGTCGGAAGTTTGAAAGTTACCGTACTACGGTGCAGTACGTAATTGCGAGTCGTAGAGATATGGTTGTTGGGGGTGCTTAGCCCTGGGCAGGTTTGCGCGCTTTTCTCATTCTCGATAGGTTCAGGGCCATCGGCGCACCAGGAGCCGTCGAGGCAATGTCTGGCTGGCGCCACGGCGATAAGTCCTTTGCCGGAATGACTCTGGCACACATGCAAAAACCGATGTTCTGACCGGTTCCGTTCCGGGGTAGGATGGACCGAAGGAAGTGGTTGACCTGCAGTAGTGCCCAGCAGCGGTGCATAACTGTGCTAGCAGCGACAGCAGGCCCATACATACATGTGCCTTAGGTGCAGGCAGGATGCTGGGGACAGGCGTGATCACACCATACGGCCTCGGGTACCTTGCATGGTGCGACACCCCGTCAAACCCGTCCACAAATGAAGGGGCGACAGAGGCAAGAGGGAAACAAAGTCAAGTGCTGAGGTCGCATTCGCCTCCCAGACAGGCACTAAGGCAAGACATCCCAGGCTTCCTACGGGGACGACGCAGCGGCTCTTTAGCTGGAAGAAGCAATCAGGAAGCAAAGATCCCTTTCGCCCCCGACGTCTCTAGGAATGTCTACCTCTCGATGCTACCTCAACCTCGTCAATGCCCATATTTGTGAGCCTGTATATTGGCAGGTGGGCTCGATGGAACGAATCCCTTGCCTTGGCTGCCCGCCGCCGGCCTGTATCCTGTAAGCTGGGAGGCAATATATTACTTGTGCGAGAGCGAATGGCCGACAGAGAGGCCATAGAGGCTTTTGCTCAAACTGGGCATCAACCTCAAAGAAGCAAACCATTTCTCGCCGAGGCTGCTGACAAAAAATGGTCCTATCGCAGCCTGCTAGTGTTGTTCTCCCACGGTTGATCGCAGCTCCAGAGCCCTTTAGATGCAGAGCCATGTACCATTGCGTGGATATTGATGTAAGTTTGTGCTGTTTGTGCGTCGCATGCAAAGAAACTGGCTGAGGCCTGATACACAAAACGCGAGGCAAACCAACAAGCTGCACACATCTTGTGTGGTGTGCGTACACGTGTACGTACATACGTACACATACATACATGTGTGTACAGGGCCATATTCTCGTCTAAATATTATGCCCCTCTTCTGCTGACACCTCCATCTGACAATCTCTGCTCGCTTAGGTCGGCGGACTTCTCCTCCCATTGCGTGGAAAATCGCCGTGCCTGCAGATGTAGCTGATGCATGGGGCCACGCCGTACATGCCATTGAACGCCACCGGCCGTGGCTCCTCGACCATTACCTCCGTGGCGTCTGAATCCGATCTGATACGATGGCCATGGGCTGCTCCTGCTCCCGGCCTTCCACAGCACCGGTTCATAGTCATTGGTATTCCCTCGACTTCCGCGGAACCCTGGGCCGTATTATATTCGCATAGGCCATAGCCCTGACTCTGGGATCCCGGAGCAACGGATGAACGGGATATTCTGCTCTTACTATGACTACACCCGGCTCTTAGCACTTCCATATCGCTGCTAGAAGTCCGTGTCATTTCTATTTTGCAGGTTCCCCAGGATCCAAACGTTCTTCACCTTATTCTATGCCTGATCGGGAAGTTCCAGGGTCCTCGGACCTGGTCAAGCATAACGGTATAAGTCGCGAGATCCACTCAAGCTCTTTGCACACTTTATTGGGATCGATGATAGGCACGGCTTTGATGTGTCAGGTTGGGGCACAGCCAATATCCGACAAGCAAGGCCCGTGCCGACTTTCCCGTCGAACACTTTCTTTTTACCGCCACTGAGGATTGATTTTTCGAGGGGCTTGGCGGACACAATTGAGGATTCTTTGGGTCCCAGGCCAGCTCGGAGACGGCCGTCTGTTCTCAAGCCAAGCTGAGCCCCTTCCTCTCATCCTTCATGGCCCAGCAAGAGCCCATGAAACTGTTATCTTGAGCACTACAAAAAGAAGTTCATTTGCATGCCCATGTTGGATCCAGCGGATTGTTTACTTTGTCATCCATGATATCGCGATCCGCCCGGTAACTCCGAGCATGTTCTCAGCATTGGCAATGGAGCCAGTGGAGGAAATATTCTAGCTGTATGCACCGCACCGTATGCTCTTCCTTGCAAGACTTGGCTATTGGATCGGCGGCCCTCGTGCTTGGATTGAGTGGAGGGCGGGCTTGGTGAGATTGGCCCACGCATTAAAATCCAGGGCGTAGTGCGAGGAGAGATCATGAAACAGGTGACATATCGAGCGACAGGTCTCGGGTCAATCAAGCCAGGTCCTTTTTCAGGCATAATAATAGTACCATCGTAAATGGCTCAGGTGAGTTGCCCCGGAAATCTCAGTGATGTTGAATCATACCCGGTCTCTCAAAGCGTCCTGTGAGAGCCTTCGTAGTATTTCGACACAAGCAAGCTCGAAATATGGCTTTGCAACCCAATGTCATGTTCCTCAAGTTCTCTTTCTCACATGCGGTATGTTGTTGGTGAACCTAAGCGGAGGCATATGACACTTTAACTACCTAACCACGTAGACATCATCAGGCTGGATTTGGCGCTTGCTCACACACGTCCAACAGTTTGTTTTCAATTTAACCATATGAATACAATTTCTATGAATGGGCCGAGCTTTTGTAGCCAGACATAATACTGACTTGATCTGAACAGTATTGATATCCCGTTCGGGCAGAATATAGCTACTGTTGAGGCGACCAAGAACGACCATTTTGCTAGGCTTCGAATTGAAAAGCTGGAGCCAGGCAGCACATACATCGAAACGCTTTATGCTCTTTTCTCGCTAATACTTCCGGGACAAAAGAAAACCTGGGTTTTATGCATAATTTCGCTAATAACCGTGGCTTTATTGGCAAGGTCATTCAGATGACATAGATCCCGATAAGCTTATCATGGTTTCATTCCAGATTGAGGCTCGCTCAAGAAGCTACGATTTCAACCGAAGTATTAATTGAGAATGAGTATAACCTCGATTACAGCCCAGAGTGATCTTAGTGATTTCTCTTCACAGCCTACCTTGCAGTCCACCCAACATAATGGTCTCCGTTAGGTTAAAGTGTCGGCAGCCATCATCTCCCTAAATATTGAAATTTGTAACAAGTGAGTGAATATCAAAACGTTACGTGCTTGTAGGACTCAAAGTGGGCCATTCAACTTGAGGTGCTATGCCTGCCAGCATCTTCATCTGCAGGATGGGTGGCATTGCATCTCAGGCCAATGTCAGCCACGCTGCCAAGAGATGTTTATTGCTAATACACATCATGTGATACACTTGCCAAATGCATCTCATGCAGCCGTATTCAACTCCTACCTTGTCGATGCTGGCAATGTGGGAACAGCAGACGCACGAGAACCCTGGACTGCCACAATATTGGAAATCCCTGCTCTTAATGCGAGGTGCATCAACTCGAGCATGCTGTGTGCCGGGCGGCGTTTCTCATACCTCCATCCAGCAAGCAGGCCATTCACGCAAGACCACGTACCAAGAATCCAGTCTCACACGCGTCTGCGGACGGTTTCCAAGCGCCGGTGGACGCATGCACCCTCCAAGACAATCAGGGGTGCGGATCGCAACCTCGCGACGGCGATACGCCGATGCTCATATCAAACCCGGCTTTACTGCAAGGCACCATCTAGTTAAGAAATTTTTTTGCGTTGCTCCAAAGGGTTGATTTAGTATTTTATTTTGATACACCCGGCGTGGAGTGTATGAAGCCAAGGTTTGATAGAAACTGCAGAAATTATTCGAACGCTAATTAAAACCTTCAGTGCATATTCCAATCAACCTCCTTTTGATTTTATTAGAGCCGGTTAGATTTTCTAGTCCCTGTCTCCGGTTCAACCCGGGTAATGAAAAGGCAGACAGCTAGCGTGAAGAGAATATCAATCTGTTCCTCTCATCTCAAGTTCTAGTAGAACAAAATTAGTTAAAAAGGTGGAAGAGAACAAACAGCTATGAATGGGCAACCTACCAGATAGGGAATAATGCCCCTTTCCTCCTCTACAATTTTTTAACTGGTTTGAGGCTGCGGCCCAGCAGCTTCTATTCGATAATGAGTAGCCCATCATGGTTGACAGGATGTCTATGGTAGCGACATGACGAATGCCAAAGAGATTTACGCAATCAAGTCGGCAACGTTCATGGGCATTTCATCGATCTGGGTAGAGTAGTACACTTCAAATGTGTTAGTAGTGTCGACAACGAAACAGACGGAAGAATTCAAACTCACACTCAATGTCGCGAAGAATACGCACATCTTCGGTAGTAACGAAGTTGATAGCCACACCTTTGCGTCCAAATCGGCCGCTACGTCCAATACGGTGAATATAGTTCTCACGGTTGCTAGGAAGGTCGTAGTTGATAACCAGACTGACTTGCTGCACGTCGATACCTCGGGCCCAAACATCTGTGGAAATCAGGACACGGCTGTTACCCTGACGGAAGTCCTGCATAATGCTGTCGCGCTCCTTCTGAAGCATGTCTCCGTGCATGCTGCTGACGGTGAAGTTGGCCTCACGCATCTTGTCTGTGAGCCAGTCGACCTTGCGTCGTGTGTTGCAGAAAATAACTGCTTGGGTGATCGTAAGAGTGTCATAAAGGTCGCAAAGGGTGTCAAATTTCCAGTCCTCCTTCTCCACAGCAATGAAGTACTGCTTCAAACCCTCAAGGGTCAACTCGTCACGCTTGACCAGGATACGGACGGGGTCTGTCATAAACTTCGTTGTCATGTCGAGAACATCGTAAGGCAGCGTAGCGCTCACGACCACGACCTGGGTGGCAGGTGGCAGGTAGCGGTAAACGTCGTAAATCTGCTCCCGGAAACCCTTATTTAACAGTTCGTCGGCCTCGTCTAAAACCAGCATTTTTATATGTCTTGTTCGCAGATGGCGCCTTCTGATCATGTCGGCCACGCGGCCTGGCGTGCCTGATACAATGTGCTGTCCGTAATCGAGTTTGCGGATATCCTCTCCAACATTGGTCCCTCCAATGCAGGCATGGCACTGGACGTTCATATAGTCACCCAGTGCCATGACCACGGACTGGATCTGCGTGGCCAGCTCACGCGTCGGGGACAGGACAAGAGCTTGTGTCTCACGCACGGCCGTGTCAATAACCTGGAGCATGCTGATCGAGAACGTAGCGGTCTTGCCAGTTCCTGACTGGGCTTGCGCGATCGTGTCGCGTCCCTTGCACACCTGGACAATGGCTCTGGACTGCACAGCGGAGGGAGATTCGTATCCATAAGCGTAGATGCCACGGAGCAGGTTCTCTGGAGAGGGAGGTTAGCATTTCACATGCGCATTTCAAAAGATCGAACCTACCCTTCAATGACATAGACTCGAAGGTGGGGTGAACAGTAACCTCTTTCGAGGTTGAGAATTCCATCCGTTCATCGGCCTTACGGTCGATTCCGCCAGCTGCTTCAGCCATGTTTGCGTGATTTGGTGGATGAATGAAGCCTGAAAGGTTGTCGATTTGGGTGCTGTCAAGTGCAAAAGTTGCTAAGGTTGAATCTCTGATGCGGTTGGCGGAAAAGTCCAGAGGCAATGGATGGTGCCCGCTTTTATTCAGAAAGGCAACCAATCAGGCGGCCTGATACTTTACACTTTTCGTGCTAGCTCTGGCGCGTTACGAACACTGACCTAACAATTTCATCCAGCTCAATCGCTGCCTTGAAGGTCATCCAGGATTTTCCATCACGGTCCTCGATCTCATTCGCGACAATTTCTGAGCGGAATCTAGAGCCTAAAGTTCGGCATCTATCCAAAATGCTCGTGCTTGAGGAGCAGCGATATATCCATGAAGATCTCGAGCGCATCGAACAGGGCATCGCCGATCGAATTCGCGATGAACCTAAACAAGTGAGTGCCGCGCGGTCAATCAGCTCGAATAAGGTTTTCCCATGCTAACTGACATGTCTCATCAGATACGCGATCGCTTGAATAGAGACCACGAGATCAGCCAGCTTCTGGACCAGCTTCAAGCCCAGTCAGCAAAGCTGCTTGATTTATATAAAGACGAGAGCGGAGTGCGAGCCAGTGAAATCCAGCAGATCGGAAAGGAAGACCCCTTTGTAGAATTTTACAAGGAGCTCAAAGATGTCCGCGACCATCACGCCAGATATCCAAATGAGCAGGCCGAGAACACAGAGCAGCGGTACAAGATACGGAGAACTGGTGATGGAGAGGCAGGGCCTTCCGTTGTCGACATGCTATTTTCCGGCGAGGAAGCCTTTGGGCGATTCTTCGATCTAACGACCGCACACGAAGCATTCCTCAACCTGCCAAATGTCAAGCGACTTAATTACTTGCAATACCTCGAGGCGTTTGACAATTTTACGCCAGGGTATGGCGGCGTGAAGCGCAACGAGAAGCTTACCGACCAGTATTTCAAGTACCTTGGCGACCTCGCAAATTATCTCGTATCTTTCATGCGCCGAACGCGACCACTGGAGGACGCAGATCAAGTTCTAGACTCGTTCGACAAAGAGTTTGAATCGCTGTGGGAAAAGGACGAGGTCCCCGGTTGGAATCTCGAGCAACCAAATTCAACTGGTGCTGCGAGGGACCTAAGCTCAGCTGACGCTGTGTGGTGCGAGGACTGCGAGAAAGAATTCAAGAACGAAAACGTATACAAGAACCATCTGAATGGGCGCAAACACATCAAGGCGGCTGAAGCACGAAAGCAAAGGCAAGGAGACCCCGAAAGTTCTGCTGGCGGAAGCAAGGGTCCTGGCATTTCTGCCACAAGACTAAGGGAGAAGGCCGTGGCGGAGCGCGAGTTCCGAGTCAAGCGACTGGCAAGTGCCATGAGCACAGAACGAGGCGACACACGAGTCAATGTCGAGAGAAAACAGGGAATGACAGAACGAGAACGCCAGCAGGAGCTCGATAATCTTCTGCGCGTCTCTGAAACTCCCTACGAAAGCGCAGACCGTGGGGAGGAGGATGGTGAGGATGGTGAAGAGAAAATCTACAACCCCCTGAAGTTGCCCTTGGCTTGGGACGGCAAACCTATTCCCTTTTGGCTTTACCGCCTCCACGGTCTGGGTGTTGAGTTCCCTTGCGAAATCTGTGGAAACTTCGTCTACATGGGCAGGCGAGCATTCGACAAGCATTTCAACGAAGCACGACATGTCTATGGCCTTAAGTGTCTTGGCATTACACAAGTGAACTTGTACCGAGATATCACCAAGATTGAGGAAGCGACGAAGCTTTGGGAGAAAATTCAGCGCGACAGGAAAAGGGGCAAGGTGGACGACGGCAGTGTTGTGCAGATGGAGGACGCTGAGGGTAATGTGATGCCGGAGAAGGTGTATTATGATTTGCAAAAGCAAGGTCTTTTATAAAAGACATGGCGTTATCCTGTTGTACTCTACCTAGAATATGTATTTGCTTAAGTTGGTTGGCTCTCTGTCTGAGAGCTTAGTCATCACTTTCTTACATGGAAACGTGCCCGTGTATTTTCACGATCGAAACGAAACACAATACCATCACAACACATCCTCGCTGGAAAAAAGTCACTCCTTATGATAATGCCCATTTATGAACAATCACCCCTCTAAATAGGGCATGGCAGCACATATTTCCAAACCCATCCCGGCTCTTTACACGGTCTATGTACTGCGCTCAACAATTCGCCACGCCTCTGTTTACATTGGCTCAACACCAAATCCTCCACGCCGGCTGAAGCAACACAATGGAGAGGCGAAAGGCGGAGCCGCTCGCACATCGCGGGAAAAATTAAGACCATGGGAGATGGTTGCCATCGTCTCCGGATTCCCAAGCATGGTTGCCGCACTGAAGTTCGAGTAAGAACTAAACACATGAGAATCAATCAATCAGGCAAACTAACGATGAAGCAGATGGGCCTTGACCAATCCCCACTCATCTTTACATATCCCTGGTGAATCTCGGATTGCAGTATCCAGGGGGAGAAAAAGAAACGGGATGCCCAAGAGGCCGATCCACACTCTCAAGTCCATTATGTCAAATCTCCACCTTCTTACCGGAGTTCGAAGCTTTTCCCGTTGGCCCTTGAAGTTGCACTTTTTTGCCAAGGATGCGCATCTAGCTTGGAACGACTGGCTCGCATCATCAAACGAGTCGCCCAGGTCGGGCCTGACGCTGTTGGAGGAATATAAGCCTTCCGTATCAGGGTCATTAGAGACACCACGAACCATCCATGATCTGCCTCTTGACTACAACCACATCGCAGATTATGTCCAAAAGGCCCAGAATGTGGTCATGTTCGAGCAGGAAGGTCATTGTGTTCATTGCGGCGGCGAGATCGCCTCGACCCAAGACCTCCTTCCAATGTGCCCGAACCGAGGGTGCAGGGCAATGGGTCATCTAACTTGTTGGAGCAAACATGCACTGGGTCCAGATAATGATGGAACGATCATCCCTGACCAATGCACATGTCCGTCTTGTGGAGGTGATTTGCGCTGGGGCGACATGATGAAAGAATTGACACTGAGAGTCAGAGGAGCGAAGGATATCGAGAAGGTGCTTAAGAAAAAGAAGAAGCAAGATGCAAATAATCCAGCCTAGAATTGCCACTCACAGTTGTGTATATAATATGTGGCAATGCCGGGGTACGGCGACTACATATTACAGGGTTCTCTAAATCCGACGGAGAGAATTCCATGACAATGGAATCACCAATATAATCCTATTTCTACTCTTCAAATCTGCGTAGATTACAACCATAGGCAACATTAACTGGATTCTCCGATCGGTGCATTCTTGATATTGAATGTCACATGGGCGCTATACATCAGGAGGTCACGTGAAATGCGCCAAGGCGTCGTTCTAGACCCAGACCCCAATTGTGCAAAACTGCAGAACATATTACGGCCAGGTTCTTGGTTCCATGGGAGGGGAGAAATGGTTATCAGCAAACCGGATCATGAAGCTCCTAATCAATATACATGTATCTATGTGTCCACCCTGTGTTCATCAACTCAGCGTTCGTGTACGCAAAAATAAGGCCAAGATATGCTCACCTTTGGGCTCATTAGTGCAAATCATGGTAGATATTGACACAATGTCAAATGCAAAAGCCAACATGTCATTTGGCAGCCGCGTCTTTGGGTTTTTTTAATTGCAAAATGGCCTAGCGTGTGGCTTGAGACGGCTGAAACAAAGCAATGAGGTTCTTTGCTTTCGGCACTGAGGTCAAAGCTATGGTCGGATGTCGTTGCAGTGGGTCCCTTGCATGAAAACAGACCTGGGGTATCTGGTCCGCCGTGTCTCGTCCCGCAATCAGCAATGGCCCAGCAATATTTCCAGCCGCAATAGTCTATTCAAGCCCGTCAGCATGTCTGTAATATCGCTTTCATTTCCTGGCGCTGGTCTTCCGCCAGCCATGGCACAATGCAGGGGATGTCACACTCCAAGGTACCCGTCCGACGGAGGCTGCAGCCTGAGGCACGACATAGAAGCCGCCCCGTCGAGGACGCCGAGAGTCCACCGGTCATGCCGCACGATACGGCCAGCCAATCCATGTGCTTATGTACACAGTACTTTGTCTTGGTGCGAAATTTAGAGTTTGTGAGACGTTCCTTGGACTTTGATCTTACCCAAAATCGTATGGGTCGCCCACAGGGAAGGGCCTTTCCCCAGCCCTGTGGTCCCTGCGGGCCTGCCCCTTCAGCTTTATCCAGCGTGCGGTAGTGCACTGCATTACCTGAGGTAGGTAGGAGGGAAAAATACAGTGGTCATGGGTGGTCAGTACTGGCTTCCTGCTAAGAATAATCCCCGTACACATTAAGGAAAGTGCCGCCCACATTTGCGATCCGGTCACCTCCCGCCCTTCCTCACCACGTCTCTCCCTCCTGCCGCATATCCAGCCGTCTCTCTTTCAAACTCACCATCTACATACTTGGCGCATACTCGGCTCCTCTCCCACCCTCTCACTCCTTGGCACAACAACCCCCTGGAGCCATTGGTCCATTTTCCTTCCCTCTCTCTCTTGTGGACTCTTATTCGTGCAGTCAACTCTCTTTCTCTCGATACTGCTTTCCAAGGCCTCCCATTGGTCTCGTGTTAGTAGCGGCGGCATCTCTCGTGATCACCCTCCATTTTAAGCTTTTCCGCTGGCTGGGCTCAGCTTCCTATTCTTTCGCATCTGCGAAAATAATCTAGCCCGACAATTCCAGTACTCGGCCCATTCTCGAATCAAACGGAGGAAATATACAATAGACGTGGGTCTGACCAACGAATCCTCGAAATACATCGCCCATTACGCTTCGACCTGATGATGCGATTTGTGCAAAAACCATAAGCCTCCCCCGAGACCATGCATTTCACTCCACTCGATTACACGGCCACCGTAATACTTTTATGATAGAGTAATCGAATTTCGCGATCGCCATCGAGTATCCAGCTGTCGCCTCTCCCGAGTTCTTCGACCATTTGCGCGATGGTGTCCACCCCCAACGTTGGCGGTGGTGCGGCTGCTGCCCCTGGTGTCAATAGCAATAACCCCAGCTCGAGGAATTCACCCGTCATAGGGACCGGACCGACGAGCGGCGCATCATTGAAACCGAAGCCCAAAATCAATTCCAATGGCTATCATCCCCCGAATCCACAGACAATCCTGAGCTCCCTTACAAGCCCGCCACTTGATCTGAGTTCGGTTGAACGACGCGGTCAGCCCACGGCCGTCCGTGAGCCTCTGAAAAAGAAGAGCCGACCCCACGGAATTGAAGAAGCGCCAACATACTGTCCTGACCTGGAAGAATGGCAAGATCCCTTGGAGTACATTAAAAAGATTGCGCCCGAAGCCTCCAAATATGGAATTTGCAAGATAATTCCACCAGAGAAGTGGAACCCGGACTTTGCCATTGACACAGAAGTACGTAGGCCCCTCAAATTACCACGCAAGAAGCTAGGAAGCATTTGCGATCAGGACGTGCTGCTAATATCTAACAGAGGTTTCATTTTCATACAAGAAAGCAAGAACTCAATTCAGTTGAAGGAAGTGCGTACACGGATAATCTGCCTCACCACGCTGCTGACACGCTAGATTACTCACCCTCGTCTAGGATCCCGAGCAAATCTTACGTACCAAGATGGTCTCTTCAAGTTCCATAAGCAACAGGGAAACAATCTTCATCGGCTCCCGTATGTGGATAAAAAACCTCTAGACTTATATCGACTAAAGAAGGCTGTCGAGTCCCGTGGAGGATTTGATAAAGTCTGTAAAGGGAAGAAATGGGCCGAGATCGGTCGTGATTTAGGATATAGTGGCAAGATCATGTCGTCCTTGTCGACATCGCTGAAGAATTCTTACCAGCGATGGCTCTGCCCTTACGAAGATTATCTCCGATTAGCCAAGCCAGGCGTGCACCAGCAGCTAGAGGCTGAATATGGCGGGCCATTAACACCGAGTCCAGCAGGCACTCCAATGAAACGGTCTACCGTAAACACGCCATTGAGTATGAACGCCAATTCTCCGGCGAGGCAAGCATCGGATGCTCTTCAGTCTACCATGAACGGGATCAAAAATGAGGGAGATCAAGACAGCCCTATGCCTGATGCTTCGTCGGTATCGACACCCGGGAACACATCAGCCTTCACCTCTGTAAACGCAAGAGCATTCACACCCGTCAATTCTGGCTTCGCGAGTGTGAACCGGCCATCGGCTAGCAACAGCAACAACCTACACAATGGCCCTAAAAGGTCCGACAGTCCATTCACGTCATCGAAAAATACTCCAGAACCAGGACCATCGGGCCAAATCGCGACATCTGCACTTAAACGTCAGCTAAGCTCGGAGAGCTCTTGCGATTTTTCTAAAAAGGAGAAAGACATTGGCAGCGACGCCGGCGACCTCAGCAGTCGTCGAAGCAAGCGACTCAAGAAAGGTAGTTTGTTCCATCTACCAATCGACCATTCACGGTCACCCGGTTGACTGACTTCAATATAGAGCCTGTGCCCACCGTCGCGGGTTCCCATATGTCTCAATTTCGGCCATCTGTCCCACGAATCCCCAGAGAAGATCCCAACGCACAAAGCGAGGAGGTAAGAACTAATTGAAATCTGGCTAAAAATGCATAGGTGATTGACTAGAGTTCTAGAAGTGTACAACCTGTGGCAAGGGAGATTCTGACGATCCGCTTCTTTTCTGCGAATCATGTGATAATGCTTATCATGGCCAGTGCCTTGATCCGCCTCTGAAGCGCAAGCCCGAATCTGAGTGGAACTGCCCCCGCTGTCTTGTGGGTGATGGACAATTTGGATTCGAAGAAGGCGGCCTCTATTCACTAAAGCAGTTCCAGCAAAAAGCCAATGATTTCAAACAAGGTTATTTTGAGAAGAAGATGCCATTCGACAACACACTAAATTGTCACCGTCCTGTCACCGAGGAAGATGTGGAAGCTGAGTTTTGGCGGCTGGTTTCCGATCTGGAAGAGACTGTAGAAGTTGAATACGGCGCTGATATTCACTGCACAACTCATGGCTCAGGTTTTCCAACTTTGGAAAAGCATCCATATAACCAATATGCATCAGATCCATGGAACTTGAATATCTTGCCGTTCCACCCTGACAGCTTGTTCCGACATATCAAATCCGACATTTCAGGAATGACTGTTCCATGGGTCTACGTGGGTATGATATTCTCTACCTTCTGTTGGCATAATGAGGACCACTATGCGTACTCAGCCAACTATCAGCATCTTGGCGCAACAAAAACCTGGTACGGGATCCCAGGTGAAGACAGCGATAAATTTGAGGAGGCCATGAGAGAAGCTGTGCCCGAACTCTTTGAGACTCAACCTGATCTCTTGTTTCAATTGGTCACTCTCCTCACTCCTGAGCAGCTAAAAAAAGCAGGCGTTCGAGTTTATGCGGTTGATCAGCGTGCTGGCCAATTTGTGATTACGTTTCCTCGAGCTTACCATGCGGGCTTCAATCATGGTTTCAATTTCAACGAAGCTGTCAATTTCGCGCCTTGCGACTGGGAGCCGTTTGGTCTAGATGGGGTGGACAGGCTGCAACGTTTTCGGAGACAACCCTGCTTTTCTCATGATGAGCTCCTATGGACAGCTGCGGAAGGGAGCACTGCTTCAGGATTAACTATTCAGTCAGCGAAATGGCTAGCACCGGCGCTAAAATGTTTGCGTGACCGAGAGTTCGCACAGCGCAATGATTTCGTCGCTAGGCACACAAAGCTAACGTCTCATCGATGCCAGCTACTCGGCGGCGAAGACGTTTGCCCTCTCAACTTCAGTCTTCTTGATGAGGACGTAACTGACGAGGAGGAACAGTGCTGTAATTATTGCAAGGCTTTCGCATACCTATCCCGGTTCAAATGCCTACGTTCTGGCAAGGTGTACTGCATACTGCATGCAGGCCACCAACCTTGCTGTGAGGCAAGCGAAGACGAACGGTTTCTGGGTGATGGCCACGTTTTGATTTATCGCAAATCCGACCAGGAAATTGATTCGATGTATTCCAAAGTGGAGGACAAGGCTCGCACCCCTGAATTGTGGGAAATCAAGTATGAGAAACTACTTGACGAAGAAACGTACCCATCACTAAAG